GAGAGAGGAAGAGCGCGTTCAACTGATCAGGGGTGATCAGTCTATGTATTGATCAGTGATCAGGAGCAGTGAGTGGGTCCAGCCCCTCCTCACCCCTACACCTACCCCAGTCCCTCCCCCTCCCTCCTCCAATCCCATCAGCCCATATCAGAGCAGCAGGACCTGTAGACAGAGGTGCCCACCCCTGGCCCTCCACTGTCAGAGGATGATGCAGCAGCGGCACAGACGCTGGCCACCTCCATGTACAGAGGGAGGGGGTGTCACTGGGGCAAAGTAGGCGTGGACTTTGATCTCTGGGAGGTGGGCCTGTGTAGGGAGGCGGTGTTTTAATATGAGGGTATAAAGAGACAGAAAAGAAACAGTGAAAAGCATTTAACAGTCTGTTTTTCAACTCAACCGGTTTGGGGAAACACATTTAATTCACCTTTTTGTCGAGAGTTAGATGACATAATCAATTCCACATTTTCACAGTGCACGAAAAAGTGGTTTCGATCTTCTCATCCAATTAACTGCCAGAAGGCAAATAAGTGTATTCCCCAAAATGCTGAAAGGCTTATCTCAATCTAGCATAAACAACATTGTGTATGATTTTTAAAATCAAATAAAGTAGACAATAACAATTTTAAAGAACGCACCGATCCAATACCCAACAACAGTAGATTCTATGTCGTTATTCCCCTCCCTGTGATTAACACTTACCCGGATGCGTTTGATGCCGGCCCTGGTGACTTGCTGGCAGTCGTAGAGCTCGATGCGCTCCAGATGATGGCAGTTCTTCAGGTGCTCCAGGGTCACGTCAGTGATGAGGGGGCAGTTGTCCAGCTCCACCACGGTGAGGCGCTCTTGGCCACAGGTACTGCTGCTCAGAGCTCTGATGCCATCATCTGTGATCAGCTCGCAGTGGGACAGAGACTGTCCGGGACACAGCAAACCGTGTAGAAGACAAACAGGGGAGATGGATTAGAGCTCCGTGGGGAAGCGCAGAGGATGAGGCGGAGCTTGGCACATTATCAGATAAATGTTTACCAGTGCTTGCAGGCGGGGACAGTGGATGGCCAGCTGAACCAGGGTGTTATCTGTCACCTGAGGAGAGGAGTAGCTTGAGTAACACATATAAAGTATAATAATAACATTATTAAGTAATTGGACTGCTTTGTCTCTGTTCCCCGGAGGCATACAGCCACACACACAATCACATGTCTTTGTTTAATCTAATCTCTACCCAGACAAATCGATCAAAGTCAACAATAATATCAGATTCAACGTAAATAAATACCATGAGAACGAGGGGGGGAATAAATAAGGAAACAACAAATGCTCTTACCAATATACATTCTTCTAAGTCCATTTTTTCGAGCTCATGACAATTCTGTGAAGCGAAGAGATATTGAAGTGAAATGGGTGGCCCAAAAAAAGGTTCACAGACGAGGAGACAGGAAACTCACCCTGGCCAGCACAATGAACCCGGCATCTGTAACATGGGAGCAACGTGCAGCTTCAAGGATCCTGGGAACACACAGACACACAAAAATAGAACACAACTTTTTAGCGTGGTGACATGTTAGACCTTGTCAGATCGTAATCTTATCTGTTCAACCAAATGTATTTTTTATTTTCCAAGCTTTAGGAGGGACGGCTTGGGCAGTCAATTTAAGATGATGTGACTGCTCTTTTTTTGCACCTGTTGCTCAAGAAGTTTTCATGTTTACAGGCGCGCGGAAGGACAACAAGGATGAAAATGTGTTCTGTTCTAGTCATTTTTAGGCAGCTAAAATACCAAATATGATTATATCCTTTTTGTATTTGACCACAGTCACTCTCCCTGAGTAGCATCGTTTTTGGACACTTAAACAAGCTTTTGGATTACTTGTGATGGAAGGAGGGAGAAGTGTGTCTTTCTCACTTAAGTCTGGGACAGTTGAGTCCCATCGCAGTGAGGGAGGCGTCAGAGATGTTACTGCACCCAGACACACAAAGGATCTGTAGCTTGTGGCATCCTCGGCACAGACTGACCAGGCCTTCGTCAGTTATCTGCTGGAGGCAACAGAGGTAGGAGACAAATTACAAAACAAAGGAGAGAGACGGACACATCCGCCATATGTTATCAGCAGTCGGCACCTCCCCCCCCTTTACCGTGCAAGACTGCATATTGATGGTGGTGAGTTCTGGGCAGTGTTTCTGAAGGTGTTTCAGTGCTCCATCTTCCAGCTGGGTTGAATTAAAAAGAATAAAGAGTATTGTTAACAACACACCATATCAATCGGTCATATGTGTATTGTCCTAAATGAGGCCGCAGAAAAAGTCCAGCCTGACAGAAACCACTACATCAACAAAAGACCAACCAATTAGATTATGTAAAACTAAATCCTAAATTCCATGGGGTTGAGAATGTGCTGTGTTGGAACAGTAAGTAGGGAAAAGGGCAGTGGGACGTGTGTGGGTCATGATGTGGTTTGGTTTTTATTTTAAATAATATGGCATCATACACACATATATTTTGAGTTTTCTGAACATGAACCATTTGTTCTTTCCTGCATATGAGCTTTCTTTACTCCGGGAGGGCAGTAAAATGTAGTGAACAACATCCTCTAGAGACGGTGGAAAAAATATTGTCTGGAAACTTAAAATTGCAACTGGATGAAATAATCAGTAGTACCTGAGTGCAGCCTCTGAGGAAGAGAGCCCGTAAACCATTGCAACCTCGAGCCAGAGCCTCAATGCCGTCACGTGTGATCTGGTCGCACCAGGACAAGTTCAACATCTCCAGCATTCTGCAGCCATCGCTGAGCAATTGCAAAAAGTGAAGATGAAAAACACACGGGACGTGAGAACCACAAGACGATTTGGGTTCAACGGCATAAGGAACACCAGAACACCTTTTTAACTTTGCATGTTGGTCAATTCATTTGAACTTGAATGTGTATTGTAAGATATATTACACGTGTGTATGTGTGTGTGTAGGTAACTGTGACAACACAAAGTCTGTAGGTGCTACCTGAGAGCCTTGAGGGAGTGGTTGCTGATGGACACGCAGGAAGTGAGATCGAGCTGCTTGAGTTTGTAGCAGAACTTGCTGAGGCTGAGACAGGTGCTGTCTGTGATCTTGGTGCAGCCGTTCAGGTTCAACATTTCGATGTTTCGGCAGTTCTGGGCAAACGTCCTGGGAAACAGTCACAAGCGCACAGAGGAAGGTAGGGAGGAGTCCCGTCATTGAATAAATAAGAAGTCAGACGCTCGGAGTGGCTCAGGAGCTAATTAACAGTCATCTTCAGTTATGCCGCTACTGAAGCTTTGCTTTTTTAACGACAGATTTACTCTCCAAAAGAACAGTTTGTGTTTCTTTAAATCAGTTACCTATAGAGGAGAGGGATACCCTCAAGTGAAACCATAGAAATAAACAGATCAAGGTACAAACTGTTTCATGTAAAACATTTTAAAAAGCACCCTTGTTGTGCTTTTGTTTTAGTCTTTGTGTACACAGGAGAGTGAGATTAAACAGAATCACAGTCCCCTGAGACTGAAGAGGACCAAACTGCTTAAACCATAAATAATTCCGCATGAACATAATCACATGAAACTAAAAAGCAACCTGGAGATAAAAGCAGGGCCACACTTATTATATGAGTGTATGCCAGAGTGGCAATGGCAATCTCACTTCATGGAGGCATCACCCACGCTCAGGCAGCCTCTGAGGCTCAACTGCCTCAGGAAGCCTCCGCAACGCTTCGAGATGTTCTCCACCACGCGACCCTGACAGCGAGGAGTAGAGAGAGAGAGAAAGTAAGAGAGCGACATGACTCGGGCCACAGGACAGAGGATCAGCTGTGACGTCACAGTCTGCACCAAAGCCTGAAGACCCAGCGTTAAGCTTTGTGCTGGATAATGCTACTCAACAAGCGCGCGCACACACACACACACACACACACACACACACACACACACACACGGACACCAATGGCTGCAACCCTCAGTCCATCCTGTAGATCAAAATAGTTGCTCAGTCTCAATGGTCTTCTTCACTCATGTGTATAAGTGTGTGTGTGTGTGTGTGTGTGTATGAGTGCGTGTGTGTGCGTGTGTGTGTGTGTGTGCATAGGAAAGGGCACAGGTTTCACTCTACCTCCCGTTCCCTCTGAAGAACCCACCGCTCACCTCTATGTCTGTCTGGAAGTTGAATAAGTCAATCTTCTGCCAGTTACTGCCGTCCAGCGCCAGGACATTCCACGGCTGAGAGGGTGACGGACAGGTTGTCGACAGGGACAGACGTGTGGGTCAGACAAAGGTGAATGCTGACTCTGTTATTGTATGCGGGACAAATCAATTCACTCGGTCTCTTTGTTCAAGGAGTAGCTGTTTTTATTTCTTGAATCCATCTCTGTTTTAGATCAATTTTAACAGGTAATATTTGGCTTTGGACGATGGGCTCTAGGAAATTAAACACTGTATTTTTTTCTGTTGTCTGATACTTTATGGACATATTGTTTGATCAATTAATTTAAAAAAAAAAGTCTACTGACCGATTAAAACAAAGACTGGAAATGTAGATACACTGAACACATTCATTAAGGTCAGTGAAAAAAATCTCAACTATAAGAGCTGTTGTACAAGAAGCAAACAGCTCTGCATTCACAGTGCACGGCAAAGCGCTTGTTGTTATTCACAGATAGCTCATTCATAAATGGCTTTCAGCTGTGGTGCACTTTGGCTGAACAGCGGCCTACTTAAACTTCCCCAGCAGATGGCAGAATAGGTACAGACATTTCTAGAGAATTCAATGCTAGTTAAACCGGTTTAAATTGTACCATAACTTAGAAGTACATTAATCCATTCTGTTAAGCCATATGTAGAAGTGTGTTAGTCCACAGTGGAGGTGTAGAGAGGGAAGAGCTTACCTTGGAAACTTGGGCACACCTACAGAGTGTAACCACGTCTAGATAGGAGAATATTCTAGAAATAGACACAAAAAGAGTTTGTCACGTTCACCTTCAGATAAAGAGCTGCATTTTTTTTCCTTTTCCTTTTGTGTGATTTGTGTGAAGACGTGTTTCTGTGCGTGTCTGTGGAGAGCAGAACAATCCCCCCCCCGTGGTGTTGGGGTGGAAGCAGCAGAGCCCCACAGACAGGCAGCGATTGAGCCGTGGGGCCGGCCGGCCACAAAGGGCTGCATGCAGCCGGCTACTGGGTCAGCTCAATCCATTAATCTGCCAATGAGTAATCTCTGGCGCTCAGACAGGCCGGGCCACAGGCAGCATGTGACAGACGGACAGACGCACGTACGTGTAAAGGAAGGACGGGCCTACGCCAAACCCGACGTGTACACAAAAAAGCTGCCGCTCATAGGAGGTGCCTTAAAAAGGGCAAACCTACATAAAATGTGAGCCATTCAGAGAATTGTCCCGGTGCCAAAGCTTTGAGTGCAGCTGGGGTCTGAATGTCCTTTTAACCCTTGGAAACAGGAGCCGGCCATTGTCTCCTCCGTATAGACGGGGACAAAGGCTGTGTGTTTTGACGTGCGTTGGGACAGGGCATGTTGGGACATGTCCGTATGATCTATACCGGAGTCGCCAACCGGCGAGTACACGCACACAATCGACAAAGCAGGGCAAAGACACACACACACACACACACACAGTCCTTGGAGTGATTGCAGGACACCAGGGAAGCCGACCAATCAAGCAGCCCCTTATTGATCTCCCTTCTAATGAATGGTTAACGTCTGTGACGCTGATCATTCACCAACAGACCGTTTTAATTGAGGCAACCTGGCTTTCCATTAGCTGCGCGGCGAGGGAGGCCTTCTGCCGACCACGGAAGAATTCTGTTAATCAAACTCGGAGGAAAGCCAAGCCAAGTCTTACTCAGTGAAACCTGTTTGGCGTTTACGCTTGATAATCAAAGCATAATGGTTGAGAAAAGACGGACGGACTGTTAAGTACACTGTAGCTGCATCACTCGCTTCTTCAGAACCGGTGGTATAAAGGGGGAAGGTTCCAAGGAAAGGCCCGACACAGACAGAACACATGAATGTTGCCTTTGATCACTTCGTCAAAGCCTGCCTTTTTTTTTTCTTTCATATGTGATTTTAATGGAGCGTAGTCCCATTTGCAGACGAAACGTACACCTGGCTCTCAAAGCATGGCGAGATAAGAGTCGAACCTTCGCCGTGGTTGCCTGAGTAACTCCACTGGCACCGGAATTTGTGTGTTGGTGAGGAAGCCGCTGAGTCACGACAGTTTTCCCAATTTATATCCATGCTGCATGGCCTAGATAACAGCTGTTTACAATGCAGCGGCTGAAAGGCAGACAGACGCAAAAACAAGCCAGGTACACGGGCTCGCGAGCGAGTTATACATTAAACATAAGCAGTAATGCTAAGAAGGCTAATTAACTGACTAATTAACTGCATACCACATGGGTCATCTACACAGAACCTTTATTTGGGCTGGTGACCTGTACGGTGTTGCTGTGTCTGCCCTCACCCGCACCTTCACCTTCTCTTCTCGGGCGACTTTCTGTCCATGAGATGTAAACAGTTTAAAAACAGGAGTTTCTCCTTTGTTGTAGAAATGCAACAGTTAGTCGCTTAATCGATTAGTTGATCCGTTGAATAAGCCGGTCAGTAATAGACATGGGTTGTTTCCAGATGCTCAAATGTGAAGTTTAATGGTTTTCCTTGTCATATCTATGTATCATCGGATTTGTAACTGTTGCTAGAACAAAAAAAGAGAAATATGGATTCCTGACTATTCATTTTATTTTACCAGATGATTAATTCAAATACACAAAAGTAATTGTAAGTGTTAACGCCTGAAGAGGTAAAAGGGTCCATTACTGCGAATGAAAAATTCTGAAAGAAACTACGTGCCTTTCCTGTGAAACACAGTGACACAGTGGGGATAACAAAATACTAAATACTAAAACAAACAGCTCCAGCCAACCCGCTTTCCATGGTTTAAAAACAAGATTAACTGCTATAACAATGAGTCTTCCTCACATCTGATGTTGTGTAAGTGTCCCGATGCGCCACATGTGACAGTAGATCATGTGTTGCAGCAGCGAGTGCATGCGACTATGTGTTTCTCTTCCCACCAGTGAAAGTAGGGCTGGTGGTAATGGGTGTACTGGTGGTCTTTGTTGAGCACAGCTGGGGTGGCAGAAGAGCGCACACAGCACTGCGGAATTCCCCACCTGCTAAAAGGGGCTATTTATAGACACACACACACACACAGGTACAGTTTGCATAGGCCTAGCAGGAGTGTTTTTGACACACAGACAGGCAGATCACGCGCACGCAGAAATAAACAGTGCACATTGTGTGTCTGCAGAGAGACATGCAGATGCATCCTTTCAATCATACAGCGTGGAGGATGGACACGTGTGAGAGCGTGCGTCATGTCAGATTTATGGGTCACTGCTGCTGTAGGACAATAATATTGGCTTGGTGGTTGACATGCTTTACGGAACCTCATTTCAGACTAGTGACCAACATACAACACACTCACACACCTACAGATAACAGTTTTGCTAACAAGTCACCCTGTCTTTTCCCACGGTATGTTGTGTGTGTGTTTTTATTAGAAATCTTACCTAAGTAGAAGCTCTTTGGGGAGCTTCTTGTTAATTGGCGCTTCATCGCTGTTTGAGAACACCTGGACACACAAGATAAACATTAACAAAAATGAATGTGTGTGTTGTGCCCTTTAAGCTGTGAGTACAATGACAACAAATATCAAAATGTGGACACAGCAGACATACATAGCAATAGGTTTTTGTTTTGGCTACATTTTTAGTTCACATTTTTGGAAGTGTTAAAATGATCCTGAACCTTTTTTTACATTAAAAGCGCTTTGGGTCACTTTAATCGCACACCATTGTGTTATTACAATGGTATGGGGACCAAATCCATTTGGCAACTGTGGAATTTTCTTTTTTTGCAGTTTAACTGAAGCTTCAGTAGACGCAGTTATTGAAATGAGATTGGTATAATTCAGACTAAGTCTTTTTAATACAAAATTCAGTGAATCCCTCCACTGTATCAGAGCGAGGAAGCCCAGGGAGAAGATTGGTGCTGGAACAGTTACTACATCAGTTGCTGTTGCAGTTGAAAAAGGCATCTCTTCATAGTCGGCATGGACAAGAGGACCTATCATCAAGTGAGTGTTGGTTTGTGACAGACTTGGAAAAATGTGAACCTATCCTTTAATAAGAAACTAGAACCTCACATCTTTGCAGCTACCGGTGAGAAATAAAGAGAATTACTTCCTTGGCGATGCTAATAAACAAGCCAGAGCTGCATTTAGCTTTCCATGTCCGCTCCTTACAAAAGCTTATAATTCTGTTAGCCTGGTCAGCTCATTGGCATGCTTATCTCAATTAGTCTACTCGCTAAATGTCTGGCCATCTGCTGATATAGACACACACACACACACACACTTGCAGGTGACTCAAGTCAAATCTCTCTGTGTGAAGAACAGGGGCAGAGCATTCTAGATCAGGTGGGCCGCATTCAGCCATGAATTTAAATTGCGTCAAACACCCACATTCGCTGTGCCTCTGCAGACAAGCATTCTGCCAGTGATACACTTGTATCCTCAAAGACTCAGAAACCGTGTCTAATGATGGTGGGGGGTGGGAGGGGGGGGGGGGACTCCTTGCTGTTTCAGACGCAAAACACAAACACCGAAATGTTAAGACACAAACGGGAAGCCAGGGAAAGGCACCGAAAGGAGCAAAGGTTGATTGTGGAAACAGTCCTGGCGCTGTGCTATCTTTGTAACCGACGCAAGCTCCTAGAAGGAGAAAGCAATAAAAAGAAGAGAGGAGATGGTGGAGAGAGAGAGAGAGAGAGAGAAAGGAAGGGGGAGCAGAAGGAAAGACTAACTAACAGAGGAAAACAAAAAAATGTTGCTACAGTCGGGAAATTCCAGCAAAAATACGGACAAGAGTCATTAAAATCGGGGGGGAAAAGAGAGGAGGGAGAGGGAAGGAGGAAGTAAAGGCCACATTTAACCATATCCAATAGAAGCTGCAGAACACAAGTCAAACCTTTTCCATTATTGGTTCTCACATACTCGTATTTAGAATGACACATTCTCACAATCTGCCCATTCAGGTTAGCGCCATCTACTTAATGAAGGTTCAACAAATTCTCAGAATAAACACTTCAGAGTAAAGCCTTCATCAAACCGGTGGGATTTTCAGTTATCTCTATGATCTGTGTTGATGAAGTGATCTGAAAGTTGTATAATACTGTGTGTGCTGAATGGGAGGAAGAGACAAGGCCTTCAGTTCATTGACTCAGTGTCTCTCTGGAGCCAGAGGTGGCTTAGGATTTAGGACTAAATTTAGACTTAATTCCAAACCACCTCTGTAACACATCACTCACCTTTGACCTTTTCTTCATCACAGCGTAAACCTATTGAGCTCCATATGCGACTGCATTAAAAAGAATCAAAATACTTTTTTCTCATTTTGGACCACAAAATAGAAGGAAAAAAAAAACATGGCACTCTGTCGTCTTAACTTGCAGTCAGAGATATTTAATAATAACAGCACTTCATACATATTTTGGAGAAAAAAAAACTGTTGTAATTTTCAAGTGAGTGTTTTTGTTCTATATTGTTCTAACAGAAGATCTTTTCATATCCTCTACCACTGCTGATACTCCACTAATCACAACACATCATTTCTGAGAACCAAATCATCAACAAAAAAATATATAAATCAATTGGTTTCTAGCCTATTTGTCATCAGTTTGATTCACTTGTCAATGGGCAGAAAGGATGGAGAAGTATTAGGTATGAGATCTCCGCCATAGCGCTGACATTATGACGGCAAGCTTCATCTATGGAACGCATGCTTCATTAAAGTTATCACCTCATCATTCAGGGGGCTTCATGTGCCAGCAGAGCTGCCTTCCCATGTGGGAAGTTTCTCCCTGCAGTCATACTCCTATTCCTAGACTTTGTACAACTGGGTGGATATGCAAACTCTCAACTTGTATTGCAGCACAACAATCTAACACATAACTCAAATCTAATTTCTTCACATTGGCCTACATGTGGTAACTCTAAACCTGAGCCATGCAACCACTACAGGTGGTCTTGTTCCTGGTGGGTGTTTTAAAAGCACCCTCTCTGACACGCACACACACGCACAAACACGCGGTCACACCGGCTGGATGCCCACCGCACACTGGTGTGCATCTAAGAAGCTTACAGCTCTGTTGAGAAAATCCACGGATATGGCAACACACACACACACACGTCAGCACCATCACCCCCCTCTTTTCCCATTCACGCACACAGAGACACATGGGTTCATGCTCCTGGGGGCGAGCTAGTTGAACCCAAAAGCATCTCAACTTTCAGATATGAAGGACTTCAGGCTCAAGAGGACCGGAATCACCGGTCGGACCGGAGCTGATTCATGGTTTGTGCAAAAATAGAGATGTTGACTCTGTGAAACATGGTCATTACCGCTTGTCATTTGCATGAATTGAGTACATGTGAGCTAAACGGAACTTTAAAAGCAATCTCTTCAAATGAAAGCAGCGTTGGAAAGTTACTAAGTAGGTTTATTTATGAACTGTGCTTCACAATTGTATTTCACGCTATGCTTTACGTCCCTACATTTCAGATGTAATTATTACTCCACTACAATAATTTAACACCTGCAGTTGACTGGTCGCTTTGAAAAGCAACCTTTTATACACAAAGTATATATTCATCTTCTAAAACATGACGTGTTGTTATGGATTAAAGTACACAGTAATAAAAAGGAATCGTCTACAACATAAGCTGCTACATACACAATAATGTATCATTGACAACATCAAACAATATAACAATGACGGATTGTTCTGCTCGCATTATGAGCTTAAAATACACAAAACACGCCAAGTGTATGAAGAATGCATGATGTGGGGTTTGTTAGGTGTTGAGGTAAAAGGTGAGAATACTACTTCCACCATTGCACCAAGCTCTAACACACCTACACACACACAAAACACTTTTCCAGGGAAAGGTTGTATGAGGACACATGATCATTCACATGTACTGTGATGTTAGAGATTCTTCAACACTAAAAGGACCGCCAGCAGGGTTCCATCACAGCAAGTGTCACGGTGTCATCTGCCGAAACCCCAGAAGGGAGGACCAATCCAACGCTGTTCACTGCTTTTATTTACAACACCACTCTGCATCTGCAGCCCCCCCCTTGGGCACCTCTGGCGACAGAGCCTGCCAGCCTCAGCCCCCCCATACTAATATACTGACTACCCCCCCCCCCGGCCACAGCCCTCCTGTCCCGCAGTCCAGAGCTGCGTGTCGTCGCTGTCTACAGGCGCGACCGGACACAACAACCGGATTTCGGATTACTAACCCTGACCAACAAAACGCTGCTTGACTGCATGTACGAGTATGATCACACGTAGTTTGCTTATAACCTTCCCCAGCACACACACACACACACACACACACACCCCCACACACACACACACACACGCACACAGACAGGGACTCCCACGTCTAGTGGAAGCAAACAGTTGGACCGTAGGTGGTCCACTCCCTCTGTCATACCTCGAACCGGCCCTTGGTGATACCGTTCATGTCTGCGGCGGCGCGTCGCTGCTCCACACGCCGCACGGACCCCCGTCGAGCCCGTTAAACGAACGCCGTTATTGGGTTTTTTTTATTGTTATTTTGTCTCGGCCGGGAGTGTAGCAGCCGAGTCCCGGAGCTGGGTCCTCACACCCTCCTCCTCCCTGCCCCCCCCCCACTCCCCACCAGTCGTCAAGCGAGGCTCCCGTCCCTCCGGGTCAGTGAGGGCGGGGTGGTGGCGGTCAGCGGCGGCCCTGCGGTAACCGTCAACGGTCGCGTTGTCTCGGGAGACCAAAGGCTCCCCGAGCCCGTCTCATCACGGGGAGGGCGATGGAGGGGGCCGGGGGGGGGGGGCTGCTACCGAGATAACAATAACAACACGGACGCTCCGTCAAGTGACTTCACTTCCGGCTCTCCCCTTCATGGCTCCGGCGCGAGTCGGCTGGCTGCGAGTCGTCGCGGGAAGCGCTTGAGACGGAAACAACAGCCGGGAATCGCTGCGGCGGCGTCCGCCTTCATCACCTCGCGGCGCGCTCCCGTCACCAGGCGCCCGGTTCTCTCTCAATGTTGTTATTTTTCTCACTCGCGCAAGGTGGTGGGGGGGGGGGAGTGGCCTTCGTGACGTCATTGCTGCGGGAAAAGCACGCGTGGTCGATATGTTTTGATTGTGGTGTGTCTTAACTACGTTCACCGTGGCGGTCACGGATATTAAGATACCGAGACGGTGACCTGACACGAACCCGCATCGAAGGAAGACGCTCGCATCTGTGGACGCCAGATCCAGGAGACTTTGTCTCCATTAGAGCTGCAGACACACACACACACACACACCTAACAAAACATGACTGACTTCTCTGTCACTCTTGTATGAGGTCCATTGCTCGTGTCATCAGTGGTAAAATGAAACTCCCCAAGGGAAGGGACAAAAAATTAGAAATAGCCTATTTTTCGTTAAATGCCCCATCTTGAAGTGTTGAATTCTTTGTTACATGTGAAATATAAAAATCCCTAATGCATTGTATCGCAGTTTGTTGAGGTATAGCTAAACGTAACTACTTTTTTTCTGCAAATTACAATTTGCCTCCAAATATCCCTACTTTACACTTCTTTTGTTTTATACTAAATTCAACGTGAGCTCTACGTGGCTGCTGGATATTAGAAACAAATTGACGACCCAGTTCATAAAATGAATAAAAATGCATATAGTGTACACCAGAATACAGCCATGATTCTGAAACTGTGTAATTAATAAAGTAATGACAATATTGTAAAACCACTGTAATTTTGCAACAGTAATAGAATAATACCAATGCAGTTATGATTGTATTTGATGTAATGTAATCAACTGGAATGCATGCAATACTTGAACAACAACTGATATTGACTAAGGATCATTCGAAATCCGAGTTACATTGAACTCACCAGAAGACCACTCCCAGAGGTGTGGACACTAACTTTCACACCTTTAAGCATTGTTATAAATACCTGTAGGAACCATTGTTCTCGAGTTCGCTGGTGGAGACGACAAACGGGCACTAGGGATGGTCAAAGGACTGACCTGGGGCCTGTTGGACCAGCGGCTCCTCAGCTGAGATGTTCTTTTTACTACAACACCATCTCTTTTATTAAAAACATTTGATTTTAACCTTTTGACCTGCGATGGCCTCTTTCCGTCTGGCGTTTCTTCATTTTTAAATACAACACTGCAGAGAATGTGAGTGTGAGTTGCACATCCAGAATAAAATATATCTATGGGTGCTCTCAACATCCACAGCTAGAGGGCAATCTTATGCAATATGATCAATTCTGAACTATTGAGGGATGATCCCTCAGAGATGTTCTAAAGCATTATGAGGAAAACGGGTAGAGACTTGTACTGTGTTTCAGTTTTCTTTCAATCCATAATTCTACTTCGCAACATCTCACAAGTAAAAATCGCCCCTCTTCTGCTTCTTGACCTAAGTAAACTATTTCAAGCAAACTTGTGGTGCATCGCTTGAGTAGATATACTCTGTTTCAGGGGCCTGTTCTAGGCATTGTGAGCCATATGTCAGTCACACTCACACAAATCCTGACAAAATGTCTAATTAGGTGAACACACCTGTCTGGTTGCAGGTTGACGCAGCTCCACCTGGTGAATTAACCAAACTATTTCTCCTCTTTTCTTCTCTATGAAGCATGCTCCCGCCTTCCAAACCTTTTCTCATCCTGTAACACAGCTGTAACCATGATGAGGTAATTGACTAAATCACATTCAGGGCTTCTGCCCTGCTGTTGTGTCCGCTGGGTTGAGTGCACCTGTGCTCTTTCCTGCCATGAATAAACGTTTTAAACCTACAATGAACCCGAGCGTATAACTGAAATCCCGACTGTTCGATAAGAGGGTTTATTGGAGGGGTTGTTGAGTCCTGCTGCCACTGGATAAAAGTCCCCCGTGGTATTTAAAAAACAGTTTGTTCTTATTAAGCTGCTGGTGCCAAAAGTAAAAGGGCACAAAAACATCTGAAAATAAATAACATTTCCATTGTTTCTGGCATTTATTTGGACTAACAATTACAAAAAAAGGTATTGAAATACAACACACCCTTATTTTGTCTGCGTCCACCCAGAGAATAATATGAGTTTTTAATGGCAGGGATTTCTTTAATTTTAGTGGAGAATATTAAAAACAAAATGCGTGTGAGAATTTATACAAAACTGACGAATGTCTGGGTTCTGCAAATTGTTAACAGCAGTCATGACACACATTTTGATTATTTAACAGAACGGCGACGAACACACTTTGTGTGCGCATGTTAGCACGAACACAAACATTTCATGGTTCTTGTGCTAAAATGTAATCTGCACGCAGCACATTTGTGTTACAGGTCTCAGGATGAGAGAACCTGATGACAGACTTGTGCCTGAGACGAACTGAGAAAAATAGAAATGAATGAAACAGGCAGACGTGTGGCTTCTTCTGTCAGCGTCTTCTCAAGCAACGAGACGCTGTACGCGCAAATACAGAGTGAGGGCGGCGGCCTGAAACCACAGCGCTGCACTGCCACCTACTGGGCATAGACAGCACCACACACGATGAAGATATCTTCATTCCAAATAAATACAAAAGTGACCATACATTTTGTGTGCGTCACACGCTCCCGGACAAAATTAAATTGGCTCCATACATGACAAAATAAAACTTATTCAAACACTACCACATAACCTTTGGGTTCTTACAATCAATTTAACATACAGTTTCAGCATAGTTTATGTACATTTACTGTGTTTCAAATAGATCAAAGTGTGTGTGTGTGTGTGTGTGTGTTCTTCGGTGCATGTGAACAGGAACTGGATACGGCACAACTGGTGTGTAAGGCATGGCCTGGTATGTCACTGCCTGATGAGGTATTTGGTAAGATATCTGGTAAAATGTTGGACAGTGTTCCTGTTGTGACATGAGATATGGCGGCATTCCCCAAACGGGCATTGCCTGTTCCCATACACTGTTTACGGAGCTGTGTGGGTAGTATGATGGCTGACCCAAAGACTCAATATGTCAATATCCGTGTTGACTTCCTGTCTCGTGTGGACCTCCTGACTGGTTCACTCTCTTGGTGAACAGCTCCAGAGAGGACAGATCCATCACATTCATGATGTGATGGATCTGTCTTCCCTGGACCACCTCTTTTACCCAGGTTCCGGACCAAGACCCTGTCACCAGGCTGGAGGACAACTCCTTTCAGGTGCCGATCATAATACCTCTTGCCTCTAGCGCTTGATTGTTGACTATTTTGGGAGGCAACTCGATAGGCTTCTCTCATCCGTTTTGCCCATTTATCTGCATAACCTCTGGGTGAATCAGTTTCCTCTTCTGTGGACAGCTCGAATAATAGGTCAACAGGCAGGTGCGGATGAGGTCCATACAATAAATAGTGTGGTGAAAACCCTGTGGCTTCATGTTTGGTGCAATTGCACGCATGCACAATCTGTGGTAGGTGTTCTTTCCAATTGCTCTTCTCTTTCTCTTCAAGGGTTCTCAGCATCTGAAGCAGGGTTCGATTTAGACGTTCTGCGGGATGACCTTGAGGATGGTACGGTGTTGTCCTGGAGTGGCTCACTCCAGTTAGTTCTTGTAGAGTTTTGAATAGTTCATTTTCAAACTCTCTGCCCTGGTCATGGTGTAGCTTGGCTGGGTAACCAAAATAAGGAATGAAGTCGTTAAAAATTCTTTCCGCAGCTGTTCTTCCAGACTTGTTTCTCGTTGGATACGCTTGGGCAAATCTGGTAAAATAGTCTATTACAACCAAGATGTATTCATAACCACCCTTGCTTCTTTCTAAATGCATGTAGTCGATGGAGACCAGTTCCAGTGGTGAAGTGCCGGTGATACTTCCCATTGATGCTCTGATGTGAACGACAGGTTTCTTCTTTTTGATACAGGGACATCTTCTGGTCACATGAGCTTCAATGTCTCTTTTCATAAAGGGCCAATGGAACCTATCTCTCGCCAAAGTAAGAACTCGCTCAGTTCCTACGTGATTCATGTCATCATGGAAGTGCTTAGAGCCACTGTGTGGTATTTTGTTGGGAGGACGAGTTGCCACATAAGCAATGTCTTGTTTCTCTGCAGCCTGACTACCTTCCCACGTTGCGAATACAGTTTCCTTGGACAATTCTTCGGAACATTGCTCTTCCCTGGCCGGTACCTGATATCAAATCTGAAGTCTGCAAGTTCACCTACCCATCGGTGACCAACAGCGTTCAGTTTGGCTGTGCCCATGACATATGTTAGTGGGTTATTGTCTGTGTAGATGGTGAAGTGGGGTGTATAAAACAAATAGTCCCTGAATTTCTCACAAACAGCCCATTTCAAGGCGAGGAACTCAAGCTTTCCAGAGGGAAGCCTGTAGTTCTTCTCGGCCGGAGACAAAGTTCTTGAACCATATGGCGATGACTCTCAGTCTTCCTTCCTGGCGCTGGTAAAGCACTGCACCTAACCCTTGCTCGGAGGCATGAGTGTGCACGGTAAAGGGCAGGTCAAAGTCAGGGTATGCTAGTACAGGTGGGCTGGTAAGTGTGTCAATGAGCTGGTGGAGGATACCTTGATGTTCTATTGTCCACAGGACTGGGGACCTTGATGAGAGCTGGGCACCCTTCCCTCTTTTTAATATTCTCGGTGGGTTTTCTTCTGTATTTTCTTTTACCTGCAGCAATTCATAGATGGGCTTGGCGATGCGGGAGAAGTTTTGGATGTATGTCCTGTAATAGCTGAGGAATCCAGGAGCTTCCTGACATCTCCTACTCTCTGTTGAATATTGACTGGGAAACATTCATAATCCGAGTTACATTGAATTTACACGGAGACCACTCCCAGAGGTGTGGACACTAACAATACAACACATGTCTTCAAAGTGGAAGGTATGTGCCCCCCTACCTAAAATGAGTTTGACACCCCTGCTCTAGAGCAACCACTACCGAAATACTAAATGCAAAAAAAAATAAGAGTACAAACTTTTAAAGTAGTTTACACAAAAGTCCTACAACTGACTATGTATCCGCTGGACACCACATTGTTTTAATTATAAAGTAAGTTTTAGATTTTTGTATTTTTGAGTCTTTCCAGCATGTCTGTCTGGTGTTTGCACTTCAAAATCACTGACAGATTCCCAGCCAGACAATAAGTTTCGTTGGGGCACGTTTTCTTCATTTACTCCACAGACTGGCGATACATCCTTGCTCCAGGCTCCGCTGGTACCAGGCCAGTAAAAGAAAAAAAAGGAAAAAAAAGCGATTCACATCGCTTGCAGTCAACGACTCATTTTTTCCAAATACTTCAGTGTGTGAGCGACGCAACTCTCACAGACTGCTTCGTCGCTGTGGTTTTCTCTTACAAGGTAAGACAATTATATACTGAAGACAGGAATGAAACTGATGCAAGGTATTGAGAATTGGGATGTTTTTCATGAGATAAACGCGTTGCGGTAATCAGTTTCGGATTAGCCGAGAGGCTACTTGACTTCTTTCAACTGCTGGCAAGCTAACAAAATAAGAGTGAAGCCTCCGGGAATAGTGTATGAAATCAAGGATAACCTACATTTCTGCTTCAGCCTTTTATAAAATACTGGACCGAAAAATGTTCTTGATTAACAAACATATGGTAATACTGTAGCTCGTTCTACTTTTTTATTTAAAATGACATGATTTATACTTTTATTTTGAAGGTAAAATCACACTCTCCGTGTACTGACCCAGTTTTACACAAATTAAAAGTATCACTGTCGCGATTTTTGTTCATTCAATTTAGGTTCGATATCATAGCTCATTAAAAAAACATATTTATTGTTTATTTATCCTTTCCAAATTGAGGAAATGCAGATAGAGGAGCCCTGGTGTGTGAAAAAAAAACCCAAAGCTTTACAGTGGAAAAATGTTTAGTGGATAAGAGCTGTAATGATACCTTTTCAACCTACAACTGTGCGTGTGTGTCGATGTGAATATTACCACCAGCCTGATCTATCCTTCATGTTTCAGCCGGTTTGGAGATGCTCCGGGGGGCAGTGAGCAGGGCCGTGCTCTGTCTGTCCTGCTCTCTCCTGCTGGTGGTCTCTATCCCAGCAGACGGTGCAGGGGCAGCAGGGCCTTTTTCTATACCCTCTGAACAACAGTCTGAGGGACCAGGCCTTGAGGATCGGGAGTGGGGTTCTGGATCATCTCTTCTGCACCTGCTCCACAGCTTCCCTGCTGACAGCCCCTTCATAACCGAGACTCCAGGAAAACCAGTCAACTGCACCCAGCGCTTCTGGTTACCACCATCCTCTCCAATCTGCTGGGAAAACATAGCCGGACCCGAGGAGTTTGCGAGGTCGCGTCTGCTCGTCCTCCAGAACAGGGCTGCCCTGCAGGCTGTGTCTACTACCAGCGGCGTGGAGGAGGGAGGGGTCTCCTACGAACTCCAAGCCCAAGGGGAGGTCCAGGGGATCCACTCAGACCACCTGAACGTGGTAGAAACTATGCAGACCATGGAGAAGGTGTTTGCCTCTCTGAAGGAGACCAGGAAAGATGGGAAGGAGCAGGGATTCTTCACAAGGTGAGCAGCAGAAGTACATGGACTATTTGATGCATTTAATGACCTTGGGTGAAATTGTATTGGGGTTGAAGAGCGCGGAATCCTTATTAATTTCAGGGGAAAAAAAGGGATGTAGTAACTGAAGAAGTTGGAATAACGTGAACTCCTGATTTCTTAATTAATGATGTAGGAACAGTAACATATACATACATTACAACAATACTATTTTTTTAAAATACCATGAAAAAACAAGCCCCACTCTACAGAGACGAATCTATTAAGTTCCTGTTATGTTTGTTTCTTCTAAACAAACACCAGCTGTGGGATTATTCCTGAATCATTGTTAGTGAGGCAGTAGAGAACTGTGTGTCCGGGTTACTTGTTTAGTCTGAACATAACGCTGCTTGACTGCCAAAGACCGAGTGGAAAAACTATCCAGACTAACAGTGAAGTCATTCAAATGTTTTCCTACGGCCATCTGTCTGAACATCTGGTTGAAACGAGGCAAAAACAGCTGCAGACAATTAATGTAATTCGGTGATTTATCTCAACTGGATGTGAAAGAACAGAATTTTATTTTACAGGCTCTCATCCAAGGTTGTATGTAAATGTGTGTTATCACTTTCAGCATGAAGGAGCATCTTGCCAACACGAGAGACACCATAGATGGAAGAGATCACATGGCGAACATCCTGGAGAGCCAATTTTCTAAAATAGAGAATACTTTGCTCAACATGCAGCTGCGACTGCACAAACTCATCCTGCCGTGACTGTAACATGAACGGGTTGTCCTATTTGTATTAGTATATATATTTAGGTTATTGGATTATGTTAGTAGTACTCGATATACACCATATGTCATCAAAGCAGCCTAAAAGTAACGCGTCAACTTGTATTCGACAAATACACCTCAAACTGTGATGGCGATGTATCGGACATGAAGCTGTTAAATCATGGAGAGTTCATTGTCACGGCAGCAACCACAAGACATGTGTGAAGCTTAAAATGGAACAATTGCCTTGTTCAACACATTATTCAAGACGAATCAACTGCATTTGTGTATTTCTCTCTGGCTGTAGTGTAAAATACATGCAGAGCAACATGAATATCAGACAGCACAAACCTTTATTTTAGTATCAAAACAAATCATTTGTAAATGCATTGGGATGAGTATGATGATACGGTAGTCTGTGGTTATATACACTTTAAATATTCACATCTATTGGGCCGATTGTACATTTAAGTTTAGAAAGATGCTGAATGTTCATGTACTTAAGGTGGAAAAAAAAAGAGGGATTTGTACTTTTGATTAAACAACTTTCAAGTATTGCTGAACTACCTGTAACTAAAACCTGACTATCTTTTAAAAACACAATGTAGAACTTAGAATCAGTAACAAGGACATATTACACTTCAACATGTTTGACAGCATCTGTAAAATAAAGTGTTCACCCAATCGAACTTTGAAGATAACCTCTCAGGAGCGGAGACATCTGTGCACCAGCTGTGAGGTATTTACTTTTTGGTCTGTTACATTGAATTAGCCCATAGTGCAAACACTTTATAAGAACAACACTTATCAGACATCGCTATACCAAAAACCTTCAAATATCTAAATCCTGAAACATTAGAATATTGAGGTGTGATTCATACAAGGTTGATTTGTTTTGCCCATTGTTACAAATTAAGATTTCTGGCATCAGGAATTTATCTCAGACATACCGTACAGCTACTGTGTTTCATTAAGACCGTGTGTGTTCTTTGTTTGAAGGTGATCTCTTGAGTCTTCAGTTGTTTTGACATTTTTTCCCCAAATGTTGCTTTACTTTCCGTTCAATGTCCACTACGGTCTTCCATTATCCCGACAGGTGAACTCTCTCAGTGCATTCAAAAGCGTAGAGAAAGTTTGATGTCTCTTCTGCCAGAGCTCTCAATGAACGACACGACATGTACATTTGATAACATCTGTCCGGACGTAAAATGCAGCAGTTGTCCGTTTTAAAAGTCAGCGTCATCGTCGTTTCCTTCTTGCATTTGCTCCAAAGATTGAAGATAATCTCGAGCCAAGATCTTCTTTGGTAGGATATCTATTAAAGAAATAATTGTACAGTGTCAAACTCGTTCGCACAGCCTGGATTGGCTACAAAATGCCGCCCTCGACTGCTGCACCTCTTTCTATCTGTGTTAAGTGATGTGAAAGGTTTACGGAAATACATCTTGAAAGGTGTACTTAAAAGAATAAATAAATATGGGCAATTCAAAATATATTTAATATACTGTAATTGTTACGTCCTATATCATTTTATAATGAAATATTAATGCATAGATTTAAATAGTACGTTTCCTTAAAAAAACAGTAAAAAAAACAAATAACTAAACAGTATTTCCCTTAAGAAGCGTTTCACTTTGTACACCTTGCTAATGAATGCAGTCAAATACAACAGCACTGAAAAACAATCATATCACTGTTAAAATATAGGTGTTGATTCAACTTCATGACCATTACATGTAGTTTGTAAGGAGATTGGTAAATGTCACCGCATTATACTGAAAGACATTTCTAATAACGAATAACGAATTGAATTGAACATACCATGAAGTTAATTGTAACTTTTGTGGAGATCTATTGCAGGGCTTTTGTATTACACTACATGAACTTGATCAAGGTCTACAAAAGCACACACCATCGTAGCGAAGAGCTAGCAGAGAACATTACAGTCCCCGCAGGTCTATAAAGGCGGCAGCCGAGCTCACCTGTAAGAAAGTGGAAGGTCTCCATCTCCTCTGCGGTGTTAGCCAGGTCGGTGTACGAGAGAGAGTTGGTCGCTTTCCCGGGGCCGTTGTTGAATGAAGCCACGGCCAGGTGCTGGACAAACAGCTCCTTCAACAACACAAGGCGCAGTCAGCAAAAGGGAGAAACTCAAATAAAAAGAACGGAGGCGCTACGTTTACAGTTATTCGACAAGCTAGCAGGCGTGCTACTCGTGGGCTGCGCGGAGCTGGTGTTACGGTTTAACAGGGTCGCCTGTTAAGCCGTAACACCGGCTAGCATCAACGGCTGCTTACTGTTGCCTTGGTGGTGAGGAAAAGAGCGTCCTGGTTGATGCTGGAGACATCGGGGGAGCTCTTCATGATCAACCTCACTCTGGATATCGGGAGGGAGATGTTTTTTTTGTTAGTCGACGACTGGTCCTCTTTGTCCGGAGTGTTTTGGGACATCTTCATAAAGGATCGCACAGGAGTTGGGGTCTGTTTTGAACGGTGACGCTTTCTTCTTCTTCTTCTTCTTCTTCTTCTTCTTCTTCTTCTTCAAATCGACGGGAATTGGCGGTCGTTTCAACGGGTTTCTGCCTCCTGCTGGAACGGAGAAACGTTTTTTTTGTTTACTTTTTGTGCAGAGTAATTATCACACATCCAGATATTACAATTCGTGTCATATCTACTACTACGTTATTTTCAATACAATTAGGTTATTGCATTGATGAGAGACCTTGACATTTTATAACTAATATCTGTATACTATGTTGCAGCCCGCTAAATATTTCCCACTATTCTGTCGTACAGTTTTTTGGCGAAATGTATTATTTATTTATTATAAAATTATTACGTTTATATTGTGTGTTTTTGTAGTAAAGCGTAATACAGAGTTGGAGTTCGGCGCGCTCTCACCCAGTCCAGTCGGGGCGCTGGACTAAGGAATGCCAAACCACAGAAGAAGAGCCGATGTCAAAGAGGAAATAAGAAGAAGAAGAAGAAGAAACGGAGCGTTCGCAACGGCGTTGATTTGGCTGCGAAAATAAACAGTGCGGGTGGCGATCGCTGCGCTTTATCTGTTGTCATATCCGTCACAGAAAGGGAACCTCTGTCTCCATATTTGTGTCGTTCGGAGGAGGCGCGTCGGTATCGGTGGCGTAGCCGTCCTCCCATTGTTGATCCCTGCACGTTAGCGAGGTTCGTTTCCCCGATTGCTTACGATGCCGCTGGGCTTGAAGCCATGCTGCGCCGTTTGCAAGACGAACTCCTCCTCGATGTGGAAGAAAGGGAACCAGGGAGAGATCCTCTGCAACAACTGCACGGGAAAGAGCAGTGGCGGCGGTGGCGGTGGCGGCGGCGCGTCAGGCCCCTCCATGTCCTCCATCGCTCTGCCCAGCAATGGCGGGGGAAAGCAGGTCGGTTTGCTGTGCTGTAAATGGTGCCTTTCACATGTTGTGTTTCTTATGGGTGCAATCCAGACTCTGTGGTTGTTTTTTAAGGGCGCTTTGCAGTCTGAAAAGAGAATTACTTGGATGTGTAATTCGAAGCTCAAATACCTGGTTTGTGTTTGCTTTTTAGTCCAAGCAGGAGATCCACCGAAGGTCTGCACGTTTGAGAAGCACCAAGTACAAAGCGCCTGCATCTGAGAAGAAGGTGTCAACAAAAGGAAAGGGGAGAAGACATATATTCAAACTTAAAAATGTGAGTGTTGCCTTGTTTATTTCTATTGTTATCAAGATGTGCTATTAATGTTTGTATTTGATCTCTTTTCTCAGCCAATCAAAGCACCAGAATCTGTAGCAACAATCATCACATCAGAATCAGTGTTTTATAAGGTATGGTGCTTATTATGCTCAATATCTGATTAATCAATCCCATGTTAATTTGAGAGCATTTCCTGATCTATTTCTCTATTCCTTCATCTTATTGTCGCTCAAATGACTATGGTTGTACTAAACTTCTATAAGAACCAGGCCGATTACAGTGTTCCCGTTTCCACTTGTTTCCTCAGGGTGTTTACTACCAGTCAGGAGATGTGATCAAAGTAACCGATGAGGAAGATGGGAAGCCGTACTATGCTCAGATCCGAGGATTTGTGCAGGACCAGTACTGTGAAAAGAGTGCTGCACTCACCTGGTTAATCCCAACACAGGCGAGCCCGAAGGACCTGTTTGATCCTGGAACGTACATTGTTGGTGAGCGACTGGAGATTCAAATTTTAAGATTTTCAAGACATTTATGTGACAAGTTGAGAACAATCTGATTTGTATTAGGTCCAGAGGAGGATCTGCCCAGAAAGATGGAGTACCTGGAGTTTGTGTGTCACGCCCCCTCTGAATATTTCAAGTCTCGGAGCTCTCCGTTCCCAACCATCCCCATCCGACCAGAAAAAGGTTACATCTGGACCCACATAGGACCGACGCCGGCCCTCACTGCCAAGGAGTCTGTCAGTGGCAGCAGTTAGCACAGCTGTGCTATGGACTTGTTTGTTGCTTTTTAAACGGACATATATGTACATTTATGTAATATAATGAAAAGATAAAATTGTTTAACCTCTGCCGTTACTTCAGAAACCAGCGTTGTTATTGAAATGTTGTACACATAATACTTTTGTATTTAGTTCAGTTTTTTCCCCCCAAGTTAACCAATTCAAGGGAGGGGGGGGGTAGTATTCTGGCAAGCGGTTTGATCTGGTGCTCCTCTGCTGTGAGCGCCACACAGACATATTCACGACCATATTCATGTCAGTGTGGAACTGCCGTGCATGGAATAATAAGACAAAAAAAGATTGGCCCCTCCCTGTTATATTGTTTGGGGAAACACTGTAGTTTAAAAACAAAAAAAGCTCTTCTTCACCGTCCCTTTGTCTGATTGTTTCAGAAAATGGTATTTATTCATTGAGATTCTTTGTTTTTATAATTTTTCCTTTTGTGAATGATACTGTAATTATGACAACAATATGCTGATACAGTAAAGAAAAAGTCTGCACCACAATCTAGATCCCATGTGTCTGTCGTCCCAACACTGCTCTCTTCACCTCATTTTCAGGTAAGCTGTATGATGATGCTCTAAGGATGGTGTGCTCTTGAGAGTCTGATGATGGTTCTGTGGTGTGGGAACAAAACGGGGGGGATGAAAGAATATTCTTCACCTCATTACAGCATCAAAATCACATTGTGATTAAAATCTCATTCAAGTAAATTTTCCACTGACATTATTCATATGCGCTAAACGCTAATTGGGTTTAATAAAAAACAAATCAACAGAAATAATAACGGTGCATGTCCCATCAACTACTACTAGGGAGGGCGGGGGCGAGGGGGCAGCTTCATCGCCGGTTCTAGTCATCCTGACCGAATCTAAACAAAGAGGGAAGTGCGCAGGGGGGAGCGCTCTCGCTCTGCCGCCTTACTCTTGGATGTCTCAGTCACTTCAAAGATTCATCTCGTCTGCTCGAACATCTGCGCTCGTGTCTCAAAGCTTTTCTGGCTGCCTAAATGTCTCATTTATTTTCCACTGATGGATCGGACGTTATGAACTTCACTTGATCAAGCGAACAGGCAGGAGCATGGGCAAAGTCCAGTCCAAACTTGGTGAGGTGTTTTATGGCATTACAATGTTTTGAGTTTAAAAAGAATATTAAATCGCTTCTGACTTGTATTGTATTCGCTCTTGTTTGGACAGTTTCGAAACGCAGACATAGTCCTGAAGGTAAGCCGGTTACCACAGAAACTGCACAAACAACACACGGACTTGAGTTCTCTCACGTGTTCACAAATATGCTTATCTTCTGCAGGTGGTAGTTTGGTTTCCAATGTGCAGACATGTCAAAGCGAGCTGGAGCGTATCCACAAAACCAAACTGACCGAGGTAGAACATTTATTTTTATGATTCATGTATATATTTTCTTTATACACTTGCCTATTATTCTAACAGCTACAGACGCATCTAAAACTCTCCCGCTAGAGCGATTGCACAGGAAAAGATCCCACGATGCTCATTTTAGGTTTCCTTTGACAGTGTAACGGTCCGTTTTTGATGGATCACCAGGTAGAATTGAGTCTCTGATAGAACGAATGGGATTATCCAACCTGGAGCTGTTCACGTGTTTAATCACATCCAAACATCAGATATTTTATTAATGAAATAGCCAATCCTTTAGTTAATCAAGGAATATATGATAATCTGAGAGGGAAAAGATGTTTTTCTGTGAATCAGGTAAGGGAAGGACTGGACCTAACTTTAAATTAATAATAATTACACCTACACACAACACATATTTGAGGGGAAATTGGTCCCACAGATCATCATCTTATGAGATTTTTTTGTATTTAATTTATAAGTCGAATTATGTTCTTATGAAAAAGGCAATAATAAACACTAACACTGGTCTAGAGCACAGCCAACAGCTTCATATCTTTTAAGCCAATTTTGAGGTAAATCATATTTGCTCACATCACATCCAAGGGACATAAAAAACGTTTGGAGGTAGTCGTATGTTTATTCTTCCGCCCTATACTCCTCCTTCTCTATAAAGAGACTTCCAAGTCTGTGAAGTGCAACACGGCCACCCCCTCCAAACAGAAAGGTCTTTATATCTAGCTGGAGGAGAAAAAAAAAGTCTCCACATCTGGTACTGCTTTCCTTCTCCCGTCAGACGGACTGTGAGAGGGGGAGAGGAAAAAGATGTGGGGAGTGGGTGTTCGGTGGGTGTTTGATTGCGTAAATGGCCTCGCATGTAGACTGTGAGCATCAGTGAAGCAGCCTTGAATTGTATTAAAAAAGAACTATGAAAACTGTCAGATGCTGCACTATTAACCATAAACATATCAATTCCGTAGAACCAGATTTGGCGGTGAAAGCACATCACAGATATCTAATGTCCCTCCATAGATCAAAGGATTTATTGTAAAATGTAAATTACGTAAAGGTAAAATAAGAAAAACAACCGACATGCCACTTTCACTTTTTCTGCTGCTTGTTTGATCTTTTAAGCGCTACTGTAAAAGTCATGAGATTCAGTGTGAGTTGTCACGAGTGTTGTTGTTTTGAGGTTCATGAAATGTGGTGTGAAAGGTCTGGAAAGTTACACAATTTGGAAAATGTTGTCAACTCTGCCAAGTTGTTCTAAAGGTTGTGGTAGAGTTTATGCGCTTGTTAATGACGGAGATCTTCTTGTCATTAAGTTTTCCAGACTAGTTTGAATCTCCATAACACCACCACTTCAAACAGAATTTATGATATTTTATATTGTATACGCCTTTTGGTCTTACGTCAACTCTCCTTCTGTGTGCTCTTTCTGAAACTCTACATTTGAAACGTTTTCCATGGATTAAAAACAACGACACCTAAAAACGATTCCTAAAATAACTATAATAGCTATTTTTTTGTTAAAAGCATAGATGAAATGTTTGTGTATCACTATCTGTTAAGATCTTTAACTTCTTCTATTTCACTCTTTTTCCACTATTTTTTTACCTGAAGTCACCGGAGCATCGTGTCTCAATGTTTGCGTCCCCACAGTGAAACTTCCTGTCCAGGTATCAAGTTTTCAAAAAAAAGGTCGCTCGACATTCTTGTTGAGACAAAGGCAGCTACTGTTCTGCCGACATTTGAACCTCTACGATATCGGGACGAGTGCACGGAAGACGGACGCATAATGAGGGTGTAAAGCGCAACAGTGGTTCAATGTACTGCACACCTTTTCGCTACCTGCACCACCTCTTCCACTTTCCACCCTTTCCCCCCTGTAACTCAACCCAGCATCAAAGCCTCACAGCCGGCAGAGAGAAGAGGCTGTTGAGAGGGAGATTGGTGTGTATGTGTGCGTGTGCGTGTTGGTGTGAGGACGTGCACGCCTCTGCATTCGCACCAGAATCAGTGTGACGTTGGTGATGGACTGTCGTGTTGAGAGATGAGATAAGAGTCTTGTTGGAGCTCTCGGTTCTCTGCTGAGCAGACTGGTTTCCACCTGTGAGAGGAGCGAGTATGTCTGATCGGATGTTTTAAATGTGCTAAGGCAGCAGGGTGGCGCTGTGTCCCAGTGGCTGAAATTTATTGTCTCTAATCTGGCCTCACAACTTTGCATTTAATTATCATATGACAACTTCAGGGACACGTGAGTTACGTACGACAGTGAAGAAAAGCTCAAGATGTCTACAGTTTAAAAATGAGAACTATGAAACTATGAAATCTCTAAACCTCATTTTCTTGCTCTTTTGCTTTCTCACTGTCTCCCTTAGGACATTGTTACCATAGTGGAAATGGAAAAAAGATTGGAATCACTGTTCCATTTAATCAAATATGTTGAAAAAGTCATTTTTCTAGACAAAAGTCAAAGGCAGTTTTTCTACAAGGACAAAACCCCCAAAGTGTTCGGCTTTGCTCTCATCTAAGCGACCAATCCTCCCACCCATGGGACATGAAACGCTCTTAATTGCTTCCTCTGTTCATTCCCTCTCCCTCTCTAACATGTGTTCTCTGTGTTAATTTAAACTCTGTCACTCTTTTAACAGAACCTGTACGTAGAATTGAGGGCAAACAGGTCGGGCCGTAACTGCAACCTTAAAGGTGAGTAGAGAACCACTAGAATATGTACCGTACTGCCATTTATCCCCTTCAATCTATTCCAAAGGGCTTGATTATTACCTGAATCAGAACAGGAAGCCGTTTATTGCCACGGATACAGGAATTTGTTCTGGTGGTTGGTGCAATTTTACGAGACAAAGAGTATGGGCTGTATGTTAGCAGAGAATTTGGATACAAAAGTTTTATTACGTCACCTACATTCTTTACAAGAAGAACGCATCTGTTTGTGTGGAAAAACGTCCACCTTTTGGGTTCTGTTAGTTTCCTCTTTGCTGCTATACTGTGCTTGAAAATGAAGCTTTAGACAAGGGATAATCTATTTGGAAATGTCAACACAGTTATAATAGTGAGCCGCAAACTGTGTCTGCTGGGTTGACAACATTCATAGTTGAGCTCCGTGTGTGGTTTAGTTGTTCTGCCACCAAAGAAGACACGCCATGGAAGTAAAGGCATCCACTTCCGCGTCCATAAACAAGCCAATAAGAGGAACAGCCATGCTGATGTGAGTATCTCTAAGTCCCTGCAACAAATTATTTTAGCACTTTCCAAGCAACTGACTCATCTGATGTTAATCAACATGGTATATTAATCACAAGTTGAGGTTTTCTGGTCTCAAAGGTCAACTCAAACATCATAAATCATAACCAACCGCAGTTACGTGGTTAAATCTTTACTGTAGCAGAACAAAGTTGTGGTTTTCCTGATGATATGTGCACATACTACAGGTTACAGAGTGTCACATGGGGCCTGATGAGGACACACAGCGCGAGTGGGTCTTCACACTGTACAACTTTGACAACAGTGACATGGTCAACCAAGAAGTACGTTTCTTTCTTTCATGCACTTTGTTCAAATGCATCATCGTTTCAGCTCTGCCTGTCCACAGCGTGTATATGTGTGTGTGTGTGTGTGTTCTGCAGGACATCAATAGTCTGATGCACTCCATGTATGAGGTTCTGGAGGCGTCGGTCAAGCCGCCTTACGGTGGCCCCACACCCCTGAAGATAAAGCTAGTTGTGACTCCGTCAGCTGACCCTGAGAACATCTTACAAATAGGTGAAAATACCTTTAATATATTATTAGTGGTAGACTTATCATTTTGTTTTTTTTCTCAAATGCCTTAACTGTGGTTTTTGACCGCTGTGATGTCCCTCTCTCAGCCACCGAGAAGGAGCAGAGTGAGTTGTCTCAAGAGTCGGGACACCAAGCGAGAAGTTTTTATTGCGTGGAGGAAAACATAGAGCGCCGAAACCACTACCTGGATCTAGCTGGCATTGAAAACTATACCTCCAAGTTTGACAACACAGGTAGATAGACTCCTCTATCGTTGTTGCTGCCTGAGCTTTCCTCTGGAAATACATCCAGTGTTCTTTCTTCTTCTTTTTCCCCAGAACCTCTCTCTCAGGAGCCCAGTAAGGATGATGGCTGTGCTCCCAAGCACCCCCCTGTGGTGATCAGAGAGAAGCACGTCTCCCCTGGCTCTCCGGGAGGCCTCTCTATTCCCGCTTCCCTCAAAAGCAAGGCTGTGTCAGCTGGGAAAGACAGAAATGGAGGACAGGGAAAGTCTTGCCGATTACACGGTCCACCCCCGGCCTCATGTGGTCGTCCTTCTCAGCCCCATAGCGTCCTGCAACGTGGCCACAGCAGGAGGGTGCGCTGCAGGGTACCAGATGCCCAACACGCCCGATCCACACCGGGGGGAGATAAGGAAATGTTTTCCATTCTTCAGTCCTCTCGAGCGCAGAGACACGAGCACCATCACCATCATGAGCACCACCATCATCATCACCACCACCACCACCACCCTTCGGGGAATTCATTTTAGACACGTATGAGGCAGGAGGGAAGAGGTGGTGTAGACTGTCGACCTGAAATCCTATTGATCATTTATCAGTTGCATCATATTGCAATAACAACCACACAAAGCTCATGCTTTCTTTTATGCCTGTGATAAATTTTACTCAATAATGGCAAGACAACCACTATTTGCAATATATTCTGCATTGACCACAGTGTGATGTTTTATCATAGGTGTTTTTGATCACTGACATGATACAGACTTGCTGTAACATGTGTTTATATTGGCAGAAATCCACCAGGGAAAAGGCAGAAACACACTTGCCTCCACTGACCTCAAGCCTCCAGAGACCATAATGCATTGCAACCATGTGGTGTATTTTGATACTAGCAAAGACAGATTTGTGGCAAAAAGTGAACGTACCAAATAAGTAGATTTTTACCTCATCATTAGCTGCCTTCTCAAATGCAGTCAATGTTACAAACTGACTGTGATTCTGTATCCCAGTCAGAGATTTGATTGTTCCTGTATTGCTGCTTCTACTCTCACAACCTTGTTTTCTTCGGGCTCCTCATGTGAATAGAGTCGCCTAGAGGTGCTATTGACACGTGTCCCAGTGGCATTCAGATGTTGTGCTCTTATCTCTCTAGTTTCATATAGACACTGTCCCCGACGAAGGACGTGAGACAGCTGTTTCTATTAATAACCTCAACTCTTCTTACCTCCCACGTGGCCCCTGTGCTCCACCAGAGCAAACCTGGCTCCAGACAAATGCGCGACACCCAGAGACGGACAACAACAGAGGAAATCCACCAAGCAGCAACCACAGAGCTGCTCAACTGCAGCTCTCACCAAACAGGACCTTCAAATAAGTAGAAACAAAAGATAAAACCTGGAATCATGAAGTCACTGCGCTTCGTTGCTGCTGAGGGCTTCATTCAGAGCGGACCAAGTGCTGTGGAGAACCTCAACTGTGTGTCTTTTAACCTCTACCCGCTTCTCTTCAAGGCCTGCTACCTCCATGAGCAGGCTGACTTGCTGCGTGTTCTGGTCCAGGCATGGCCTCTTCCCGTGCTTGACCTACATTGCCTGCTGGGACAAACTGTTGACTGCCAGACGGACCTCACCTCCCAAACCTGCAGGCTTTGTTTGGAGTCGATTCTGACTGGCCTCAAGGTACTTTGATGTTAGATCTTATATGTCTTATCACACCGATGTCATCCGTATGTTTTATTTGCACGCTTTCTTTGCATGCTTTCTTTATTTTTTCTGTGTGTGGCGTCATTGCCATTAACACATATTCATAAAGCCCTGCATCAAACATTCATAAAGGAACTCAAAACAATTTCCCCTTGTTTGTCAAAGGATTACGTGCTGTCTCCTCCGAGGACATACGCCAAGAGGCTGCATTTGGTGGACCTGACTGCGCTGAAGGATGTCGAGCACCAGCCCTGCCCCTGCCAATCCACACTGGGTCGATGGGCGAGGACCCACCTCCTGACCCAAATGTGCTATGATACCATGGTGGCCATGCAGGACAGCGACGTGTCCCCGTCTGCCTTTGAAACATCTATCGATGTCCGTCTGAATGGCTTCGTCACAGGCCGCAATTATGAGCTGGTGGCTCAGACCTTCGTCCTCCTCCGCTACTGTCCACTGAAGCTCCGCTTTGTCAGTTTTCGGGCTGATTCACTCTCACTCAAGCAGCTTTTCTATGTTCTTCGCCTCGCAGACACTGAGTCCATTTTAAAGCTGGAGATAGTCCACAACGTTCCGCTAGAGGCGACACACTTGGAGGTGCTGCTGTCCAAGGTGGCGTTCCCCAAATTACAGTCTTTGACGGTGCCGACCGGGGCGTTAGATATTAGGAGGTTGGCCTACGACGATGACGTGATGTCCATCATCGGTAACCTGCTGGCACAACAGAGCGGCCTGACGGAACTCTACGTTGGTTTCTCAACTCTAACTGGACACCTACGCAGACTGCTTAAGTGAGTTAATGGACAAAGATGGAAGTATGGACAGGGACCAAAAGGTGTCCTTGTTTGTCGTCATGTGGATGAGATGGATGGCTCGGGTGTCTGACCTCAAAGCTTTAATATAGCTTACAACAATCACCTTCAACCAGAGTCCCAGCACATTGCAGCTTCCAGGCTCTTGTTTAGCAATGGGGCGTATTTTGTTGTTAAAATTGCTGCCATGATGCCAGAGTGAGAGACAGACGGCTGCACCGGCAAGTTAGCCAGAAACCCGTTGCGATGTGGTTGCAATGGAAATAGAACAAGAGCACAAGCCACTAGCAACAGAGCTGTCGATCACAATCTCGCGTCTAACTTTACTTCTTTACTCCTGATCTACATAAGTAAGCCTTTCTGGCACCAATCCTATATAACAAATATTTTATGAGGACCAACCACAACTGCACATCATCGATTTCTGTACAAAAATTGTCGTTTCATTTAACGCTATGTTTTACCCCTTTGCTTTACCCAGTCCCCTCAACACTCCTTTGCAGTGCTTGGAGTTGGCGAATTGCTGCCTGAGCCGCGTTGACATGACCTACCTGTCGAACAGCCTCCACAGTGAGTTCCTAGTCCGCCTGGACCTCAGTGGACATGACATTTTCAGCTCTTTCCCTACCTGTTTCCACAAACTGCTCTGCCGCTGCTCAGCCACATTGGTCAGCCTGGCCCTCGAGGAATGTAACATAGAAGACGAGCACATGGACGCCTTCACTGATGCTCTGACTTGCTGTCAGGGTCTGGAGGAGCTCAAACTTCTGGGGAACCCCCTAACCTCTGAGGCCCTCCAGAGGTTATTCTCTATGCTATCTGTGGGTTTTCCTAAGCTTAAATACATAGAGATGCCAGTTCCCCGCCAGTGTTACTCTGAGAGTGTAACTTATCCTCTTAATGATTCAGATTTACTCCTGTACAACAGGGAGTTGTTTCAGGAGGTCAGGGGTCAACTGATGGGGATCCTGGAAGGAGCTGGGAGAGAGAGTGTGGAGGTGTGCTCCCCACTTATGGGGGCCTATGACCCAGAGATCAATGAAACCAGCAATGAGCTGGGGGTGTCCATGTTGAAGTCTTTTAACAGCGTCATAGGGAACTTCATTGGTTGCATAACTGAGGTGAACGACAGGAGATCACAGGACAATAATTAGTGGGGTTGCATGTGGAAGGATTAAGTAAGCAGACCGACAGCGATGGGTCATGACCTCTGATTAACACAAATAGACATCTGCTTAGAACAGACCTGAAACCTTAATCAGAATAAAATTGTTATTTTTGGGCTATAAGTAATTAGACATTTTAACGCAGTGCTACTTCTGATTGCTTGTAAACTGTCACCACTCCTGTGCATGATTGAAGGGCAAAACTCTATATATATATATCTATAAGTAAGCAAGATTTGTTTGACTGGTTTAATATGCACTCATGAATTTCAATGTATGATTGTCTCAGAGAATTGCGTTTTATATTCTAACAGCCTGGAAGACAAAGATGTGCAGTGCAGCTAGATGTAGCTACGATAGAAGTTATGGTAGACACCTGAAGTTTGCCTATGATATTTTCTTACGACTATTCTGGTGTAAATGCTTTTATAAAACTGGATTTGTAAAGAGCACATATTTGCAACATGGAATATATCTGATAAACAAGTATACTCGTGATTGTTTCTTTTTTTTCTTCCCAATAATTAAATCTTGAATTAGCCATTTATCCACTACATCATAAAAACTGACACATCCACATCCTCCAAAATGTACAATTTTTTTTAATGAGCTCTGTTTTATATAGGTAAGATTTCATCTTAAATATTACACCAAGGAAAGGACTGAATACAAGGATTAACAATTTTGACCAGGAACCATCTATTTCTTCATCCACTCCTCCCTTTCGTTTCTCTCACGGATCACCTCCTCCAAATATGGTGTAAGATAACGGATATCCTTTAGGGAGAGGAAAAGAACAAAACATGGGATTAAAATACAAAAAGCAGGCTATTTTTATAGCATAATTCACACTAGATAACATTTTTGATCACTCAAGCACAGAATCAAAGACCCTCCCAAAGGACGTATTTTATTGATCTAATTATTACTACTTTAATTGTACTATTCACATTATTAAAACGGTTTTGCATTAATTCACTTTTTCCTCTACATCTGGCTACAAAAATCAAATTTTCAAGATTTGAATTAAAGGCCATGTACCTCTTCATATTTCGTCCACTGGTCTTTAGGGAGGATCTGCTGCTTCATGGAGAGATCCAGGGCTCTCTTGACCCTGAACATCCTGTCATTGTACTGGGGCTCTGGTAGCCTCCTCAGTGCCTCTTTCACATCAGAATCCTCAAGGATGGTATCATCACGCATTAAACCTACGGAAAGAAAATATGAGAATCTTAAGATCCTAAATAGATAATCAAAGACAGGCACTACAGGGACTACTACAACCCTAAATGTATAGTGACATGAATATCTCTACATTCAGTTACAAAAACGAGTTATATCAAGGTTTAATACCCTGAATATTTGTATCAATACATGAGAACTTGCCTAACTTGTTGAAGCCACACAGGTTATAATACCACTTGCGGAATCCACCCAGGAGCCTGCCTGTCGCGACTGAGAACAGGAGAAGAAAGACACACAGCATCAGGATCAATTTCGCAGCACGAACTTTAATTCAGAGTCAAGCAAATCAAATACTGAAAGCTCCCACCAGATGTGCAGAGTGAGGAGCAATGTTAGTTATTCTTACATTAGTGATACAACTATAAAAGGGTCTCAGGCGATAGAGTACATCCCCTCAAATAACGATAGATTATGAGGCAATCTAGTGAGCGAACACGCGTTAGAAAATATGTTCAAACTATACACACTAGTGACTAATCGACAGAAACAACACAGTGCTAAGGAGCTACTTAGCATAGGTCAAAAGGTAACGACGCTACAGCGTTAATCAAAAGCAAAGCCAGAACATATGACAGCTTTTAAGAAAACAAGTAAGTAACCATAAACCACCAAAGCAGATCTGGCTGTAAAATAAATATTTTCACAGTGATAACGTTAGCAAGGGTAGCTAGCGATAAGCTAAAGTAGTTAAGCTAACCACCACCCTTAGCATCAGTTAGCACGGGGACACTAAAGGACACACACCCGCAAAACGCGTCTAAAGACAGATGCAGTGTGATAATTAGCAAAACTGAATGGAGTGTCTGAAGGTAAAACATTGATGACGGCCTGTACGCACAACATCATCTTTAGTGCGGTTGTACAACGTTACAAATGGAAATCTAATTAGATAGCGATGCTACTGTACCTGGTGCCCTCGACGCCATCTTTATCAGTGTGAACGGCCGCGGTGCGTCATGGGTAAGGAGGAGGCTTCAGCACGTCATTTAAAGATAAGAGAAAAAGGTTTTCATTGTCACTAGTGAATCAACGAAATTTCATTTGGTAGCCCTCAGCCTTCCAGCAGCAGCCAACAAACAATATAGAAATAAAATGTACATAACTAGTAAAAACATTATTAAAGTAATATCATTTGTAAAACAGTACAGTGTAAACCATTTTATTATGTTTTTATTATCACATTTAGGATATTTTTTAATAGATCACTTACTATACAAGCAGTATTTCAATCAGAACAGCAGATATAAATCCTAAGCATTTATTAAAAATCACATTACAAAGCAAACATTGCAATTTAAACTTAAGACGGTTTGTTAACAACTTCAATCTCTACATGTGTCGGACATTATAGTATTCATTCTGTGTGCTTGAGCCCTAGCTTTCTAAAGTCCTTGATAAGGTCCTATCATGAGGAATCAAAGTGTCTTTTGGAACAAATAAAAATCTTCCAGTGTGGCCAAAGCTAACTCATTACAAAAAGGCTCATCAGGCAACGACACCAGGCGGTCCAGGGAGATGTAGTTTGGCAGAGTTGGATCATACTGAGCTTTTCCAAGGTAGTCAAGGAACATGTGGCGCTCTCTTATACGCAAGTATTTGGAGTTGAAGACCTGTGGGATCAGAACTTCCGGTTATTATTCTGAACATGGACAATGTATAAAAGGAGATAGTTCAGATTTGGTTTTAAAAAGTTAAAAAAAACAACAGCTGTACATCTACCTGTGGGAACTTGGCAATCAAGTTGTGGGGCAACTTCATGATATTGTGGAGGAAGTCAAATATTTTTGTTAGCTTCCTTTTATCGGCAGTCAGCACTTTTGGGACGGCAATGACAATGTGTTGAATCTCATTTTCCTTAAAGCCAAGCTCCATCTCGCACACCTGTGGAACACATTAACAAAACAAATGAGAAAACAGGTTTGCTCAAACAATGTTCTGATTATGTTTTTTGTCCTTCAATACCTTTAAATTTTCTTTAACAGGCTCCAAACTGCCACACAGTAATCTTGGTAGACGAGCTACAATGTTCCGTGTCTAAAGAGAGAAAAGGAAGAACAATGATTTGCCATTTAATTTTGTACGGACAAATACAACCTTCATTTTTGTGAAAAAATTACAAAATGCAAACATAGCTAAGCTCCTCAACAAAGAGGTCACAGTACATCAGTTAGCTTACATTAGAGTCACTGAGTTTGAGTTGCTGCTGATAGAACCCCAGTCTGTTGTCCAGCCTCTTCACACTGAAGTTAAGCAGATATGGAGCTCTGGATACCATCGATGCAACGGTCTCAGAACTGAACTTCTTTGACTTGAGATAATTCACCCTTTGAGAATAACAAAAAGAGAATATTATTAAGACAAGGAGTTGCAACTCAAAGAATGAAAGATGACCTGACCAGTCAATACAAAAATATACACTATATATGGTTAGTTTGTTTTGTGGGACATCTCGTCAGACTAATTCAATTTACAAGAAATAAATTGTAAAATATATTTTTATTTTTTTCAATTCTGGGATCCCAAACAAGCCAGAAAAAAAACGATTATGATTCTATGATGTCACCTGGACTGTAGGTTTTCCAAACTCTCAGTGAGAATGAAGGGGTTCCGCGTTATGATATAGCCAAAGCGAGAGTCCTCCACCCCAATCTCTTTGAGGAACAGCAGCCTTGGGGCCACATCTGCGTTGAAGTTGAGCCTCAGTAGCATTGACCCCACGTTGGGCCTTTGTTCAATCTTCCACAGGTTAACACCTGCAATGAGAGGATGCGTGCTCACAAACAACCAATATAACTAAAAATGCTCTCGACAATATTTTTAGAGTCAGCGGTTTAATTACCTAACTGGACCAGTTTGCTGAGGGTCTCAGAATGGTCAACATAGTCTCGAAGAGAGGTGGAGGCAGGAGGCATGGCGGAAGGAACAGATATACGGACAGCCTCTTCATCACTGATCACCTCAAATGCTGAAAACTCAGCAGCTGCATCCAAATCTAGTAAATGAAGAAAGTACAGATGGAACGCATTCAACTGCCTCTTAAGATTGAAAAAAATGTTCAATGAAAAGGTTAGGGTCAACTAGAGCAAACTAATACGTACCTAATGACACCTGGCTTTCCAGCACAGCATCCCTGATTGGCAACATGGGGCTCTTGAATGCTACAACATCAGCACAAGATGTTTCCTCAACATCCTTGTTTTCCTCTGCCCCCGTTGCCAGATGTTTGGCAGCGAAGTCGCTATAGCAGAACACCTGTTGTTTCTGCATTTGTTTTGCCGGATTTGTTTTGTGGGTCCCCTTAACAATTGAGGATCCATCTAGTATTTTGGTGGGTACCTGTGTAACTCTAATGCAATGGCGAACGTGGGTGTAATACTGCCAGGTACTAGCCACTTTCTTGGAGCAAAGAAGGCTTCTGCATTGTAGACACAGATGTGCACAGGAGGTAGCCATGGAGATTCTGCAAAAAAATAAAAAGGTATGATGTTTGAGACGCTGTGCATAGTAGGAATTACTATTATCTCTGGATAAGTAGAGTCCACCCGTCTGATACGCGGATATCAAAGTACTTCATATTTATACAAGTTATACTGTATGTGTTTTAAGTGCATACAATTGAGAATACAAGACGTACTTATGCTTGTATGCGGCCTGCATCACGTAACTTAACGTGATGAGCTGTTATAGAGTCCCATTGCGTGTAGAACGTTGTGTTCGTAAATACAGAAAACCGACAAAAAGACTAATTTACCGAAACATGCATTATGTATTAATGTACGTTAGGTAAGACACCAGATGTAAGACTAAACCGTTGTTGTACTAGAGGTAGTTTAAATAAGATTAAGCGTTAGCATTGAATGCTAGCGAGCTACCAGAGTGAATATTTCTTCAAAGCCTGGGGGAAAAACACTGAACCGAACAGATTATTTTAGGTTGTTAACTTTAAACTCACAATAGTTCTACCCTCAATTCAGCTCGGCCGTCCTCTAAGGTATCGCACAATGTCGACTGTTCTCACGTGCGTACTAACAGAAGGACTTTCCGGAAATGTCACATTGTGGAATGTACCATAATAATATATTTGTGGGTAACACTTAATGCATTTAATGTAGACGTACATATTTTTTAAAAATAATTGCTGAATTCAAATGACTAACAGTAGAAAAATAGGATATGTAAATGGTATTTTACTCATGGTTGGTGCTTTTTATTTGAGTGGATCTTAAAACACGTAATATTAACTACAAACCACTAGCTCTATGGTTCAATCCGTTTTCTACAAGGTGCGTTAGCCTCAAACTTGTCTCTCTGCTTTCCCAACATCTAGTTTTAATCTCCGAAACCAAAGAAAGAAACTAAAGCGACATGGCAGACTCTGTTTTTCCCAGAACACCTCGGAAGGAAGATGTCAACTATAACTTACATTTCCGACTTATAAACGAGCAACAAGTGGACGATATCTGCCTTGATTTCTTCTATAAGCCTCACACCATCACACTTCTGACACTCACTGTGCTAAGTCTCATGTACTTTGCGTACACAAGGTAAACGTGAAGCCACATTGTGTTAACTGAACTTTGTCGTCAAAATATTCTGTCATTTACGTTTGAAAAGAGTACATAAGCATTTTGTTGAATAATTAGCTAGCCTGACTAGACGTAACACTTTGCTAACTATCTGCTGATCTGTACTTTGTCAACCCGTGGAATGTGATATTACAGGGATGATGACAACTCTGACAACAACCTCCGAGTTGGTATTTTGGTAGTTGTCTTTTTCTTTTTGGTCATCAGCGTCCTGGCCTTGCCCAATGGTAAGATCTGTATCTAACTACTTTGGCTCCAACATTAAATGCTGCGGGCTTAAGCTCAGCTCATCCCCTTTTCTCTTTTTGTCCACTGTATTTCTGAAGCAATTATTTATCTGTAACTACCACGCAGCTAATTTTTATATATTATATAATATTTGACAAATATTCTTTGCCATGAGCTTCTCAAATGTCAGGATTTGCTGCTTCTTTACATAAAGTGATAGTGCATTCATTACATCTTTTTGACTTTTGTTTGAATGAATTGATCAATACGAAGATGTTACTATGGACTATGAGGATTTTTCTGACTCTTGATTACCAAAAGATTACAATAAGAGGACAGGAGAATAATCATCAGATAATGTGATGGTAGCTGCAGCCATACTTTATTTTTTTGGAGCAAACTGCATCTACAAAGTAAAAAGACTTAATGGACCCCGAGTTGAGAATTTTTGTCAAATTTACCTCTTCCTCAAATAGTGCAAGTTCACACGCAGGGTAACTTACCAATATGATGCTTTCTTCATCAGGACCTTTCACTAGGCCACATCCTGCCGTATGGCGAATCGTGTTTGGTGAGTGCTCATCCACGTGTGTTGCGCTGGCTTTGCGTCATTCACACTAACCCAATTCTTTCTGCTTAGATCCAGCTTTCAATTTTCGTTATTCTAACTCATTTTCTCTTTGCTCCGCAGGCCTCAGTGTTCTGTACTTCCTGTTTCTTGTCTTCCTCATCTTCCTCAACTGGGACCAAGTTAAGACACTGATGTACTGGCTGGACCCAAATCTGCGCTACGCCACGCGGGAGGCTGACATCATGGTGACTTTGAACTCATTGGAACTATCAGAGCGCAAACCCCTACTAATATTAAATGTTCTAAGATGTCAGAATGGATTGAAGTTGGAGGCATGGAGAGGCTTTTCTCTGGTTCTAACATTTTCCTACTTTCTTAAGAAAAAACAACTGCTATTAAATATAGTTAATCAAGGGAGAACTCTTCCAGCTGTATAAGTCGATTTTTTTTTTGCTTTTTGGTTGTTGTTCTGTTTATAATATTCCACTCACCTTTCCCCTTGCAGGAATATGCTGTGAACTGTACAGTGATAACATGGGAGCGGGTCCTGTGCCACTTTGACATCTTTGCATTTGCCCACTTTGCTGGCTGGGCAATGAAGGCTCTGCTCATCCGCAGCTACGGCCTCTGTTGGACCATCAGCATCACCTGGGAGCTCACTGAGGTAACGTGCCAGGATGTGGTTGGACTCGAGCTGCCGTTTTGTAAAATCTGTTCAATAAATTCCAGATGCTCAAGTACCCAAACAGAAATTCAGTCATACAAAAAAGATAATTACTTGTAATTTGTAGTGATCCAGCTCACGCAGGGCTACAGCATTGGTTGAGCTTGATGTCTGCACGCAACAAGGGTTGTTTTCGTTTGGGAGAAACTCAAAATAACAAAGCGGTAGTATGAGCTAGAGTTTCTGTTGCTGATTGTTGACTGGTGGGATACAATTATGGGATTTGACCTACTACCAAATTCATTCATCAATAGAATTGACTCCATTAGAGCAGGTCCTGAGACCAACATGTTGCCGCTTAAATAACAGACATAAGAAATGTGGTTCCTTGATTTAAAATGCATGAATACATTTTCACTCAGTCTTCTTCATTTTCTCAGCTGTTTTTCATGCACCTGCTGCCAAACTTCGCCGAGTGCTGGTGGGATCAGGTGATACTGGACATACTGTTGTGTAATGGAGGAGGAATCTGGCTGGGAATGACTGCCTGCCGGTTTTTGGAGATTAGAACCTACCGTTGGGCCAGCATCAAGTCAGCGAAACATGTGTTCTTATACTTTATTCCCTGTCCGTTTAAAAAAAACTAAACAATGTAAAAACTGATTGGTTGTTAAAAGTATTTTCTTATGTTGTTTACTTTTGATACAAAATTGTGGACTGTAAATTATTGTAATATAATTCTGCATTCTGTGTTGGGTGCCAGATGTGTGTATATATATATATATATATGTATATATATATATATATATATCCTCAAAAGTGCACCTTCTCCGTTCAGGGAAATCCACAGCACCACAGGGAAGATAAAGCGAGCCGTGCTCCAGTTCACCCCGGCAAGTTGGACTTACGTGCGCTGGTTTGACCCAAAGTCCTCCTTCCAGAGGCTAACAGGCATCTACCTCTTTATGATCTTATGGCAGGTACTGCATTCTTTGATCGTTTACTTACTTCTCAGATTGTCCTTGCCATTAGAGCAGTGTCTATTGATCATCTCCCTCTTAATGAACCACATTCCTCTGTGGCGTCCTGCTGCTCACACTTTCAGCCATAAGAAATCCCTTAATCTTGTCTGTCTGTAACCCTTGATCTTCACAGCTGACAGAGTTGAACACATTCTTCCTCAAGCACATCTTCGTCTTCCAGGCGTCTCACCCTCTCAGCTGGTGTCGTATCCTCCTGGTGGGAGTCATCACTGCCCCCACTGTACGGTATGTTTAAACTTCAAGACAACATCATTACACCCCTGAGCAACATTAAACGTGATGCTCATACTCATAGATTAGATAAAAACTAAAATAATTTCTTGGTGTAACAAATTGTTTTTATGGGAAATGTGGCTGTCGTTATGGAAACCTTAAATGCTTTTTTTTCAACAACAAATTCCCTTTTGCTCTCCTTTCAGACAATATTATGCATACCTAACAGACACTCGTTGTAAGCGAGTCGGCACCCAATGCTGGGTGTTTGGGTGAGTTTCCTTTGTCTCATCAGAACATGTTTTTGGCCTCTGGCCTTGAAGCAAGATGTGTCAATAGCAGTTTTGAATATTCTGTGTGCCTCCCACTAGAAATTTTTGTCAGTGCTCACATAAATGTTTTATTGTTTTACTCATGTATTTTTTTTATTTATAATGAGGGTCAAATTCACTTTTAGCATTGATGCCGGTAGTCTGGTAAGCAAACTTAGTAAATATAACAATAGATTTGCCCAGGCTGAGTGTCTCTCTCTGTTTTTCCTCAAACAAATCGGCAGGTTTGGTACACATGTTACTGGTGTATTCCTGTCAATGGGTTGAAATATTTTGGTAGGCGAGGCGCGGATGTTGTATGTTCAATGTACAATATGTAGCTGATTAATTCAGCTTAATAAGTTTAATTTTATTTGTCAATTGAAATTCAGAAGGAATTATAATTATGGAACTCACCAGTTTCCAAGGCAACGTAACAGGCTTTCACTATCGGCATGAATTTTGATAACATTGAACCTGCACTCTTATTTGAGGTGGAACCTTTAAATGAGAATTTAAATGAGTTTCCCACAGCAGTCAGGTGAATGAATATTGAGATATGTATTTGATGGCTGGGAACAACAGGTGTTGTGCATCCATAGAGAGGCTCCAGTGCAATGAAATGTTGTTGCCAAGAGAGGGGGCTAAACCCCAAATATCCAGAGTAACCATCCATTTACCAATCAATCAATATAATTGCTCTTATATTTCCCCTTAGGGCCATCGCTTTCCTCGAGGCTCTTGCTTGTGTGAAATTCAGTCAAGACTTGTTTTCCAAGACACAAATTCTTTATGTAGTCCTGTGGCTGCTTTGTCTGGTAAGAATAACAAGTTTGCATATGTATTGTTTGTTCTTGTTGAGGATATGATTCACTTCAGTCAGTCCTAAGCAGATTCATCACAATATGCATACTGAGATATAATAACACTGGGATGCATTTCTTAATAACGACTCTTAATGTATGCTATGTATGTATGCTTCATGTCAAGCATGTGAACAGGATATCATGCCTTACCTTAGCTGTAGCTGTTTAGGATGACATTAGATTCACCATCAGTCACAATTGGGTATGTCAGGTACATGTAGCAAGTTTTGAAGCTACCCATTTAGACACAAGGGCTTTTACACAGCGGCCTGCTGCTTTTCAGTTATTCCCGACGATATTTACTGTACGGCACTGAATTTGGCACCTTTGAATCGCCTAAAAGCCATAGACTGTTTATTGACTAGCTAGCCTCTTAAAATAGCGTGTAGAGACAACGTGTTTCTGTTGCTTATGTTGCAATACCATAACTCTAATTCATAACGCTACTTTACGTTGTGTATTGTTCTGAATGACGTCTAAGCAAACTTTTTTTGCATCCTCTTGTATGTTTAGGCACTCCTCACACTGCTATGTTTATATGGAATGGTCTGGTATGAGCTGAATAAACTCAAGGTGAGTTGCTGCTTAAGTTATCGATTCAGAGCTTCGGTAAGTACAAAAGGTTTTAAGAGTAACTTGAAATCAATGAGAAATCCTGTAACTCATTGTGTTGAAGTTGAACCCTACACAAAAACCGATCCTTTGATTTGTCCTAGTAGAAAAACGCACGAGTTATTAATAATGTTAATGATGGCGCTGCTCTAGTCAAGTGTTCCACTAAAGACGACATGCACAATGCCAGGAGCCAGAAACCAAAGCAGCTAAAGGGAATTTCATTGCCGTCATTCATTCTTCGTCAAGAAAAGTTAGGAACTTCAGCTTGCTGTTTAGTCACTCTTGAGAGCTGCCCATCGTTTCATTCTTCGGGCTGAGCTTCCTTCTGTTTCCAGAGCCTTTCTACACAAAGCGAAGACTGCGATGACAGCAGTGTGAGCGACTCGTGTGGTTTTGTTCCCGGTGGGATTGCAGGTCAGTCTCATACCAGGCAGATCAGTCACAACTCTTTTGAAAAAACTCCATCACAAATGTTCATTTATTATTTCCTCCATAGTTCCGGGGGATGCTTCAAGAAGTTCTCAACCGACAAAAAGGAGGAGAGCTTGTGGGAAGAGCAGATTGGGAAATGACCATGGAGGAAAGCAATGAGACAGTGAAAGATTCTGCCAAGAAGAAAAATACAGTGTCCATCAAATTTACTGAATGATGTTAAAGTTGCATCCAGGGTATAATTAAATGTTAAAAGCAGACTCAAAAGTTACATATATTCTTTTAACTCGTCAGGTTCTAATGTTCTAAATGAGCCATATGCTTCAAATAACCGCTGGCAGGTGTGTTGGTGCTCTGGTGGATCTCTAATACGGATCACAAGGTTAAAACGTGTCAGGTATTCAATGTTAGATTTTTTTGTAACGGGCCGAGCCTAGAATTTATTTATACATAAACTAGAATGCTAACCTTAGCATCGTCCCCAGAAGCAACATTTTCCCCTTTTGTACCTTTTTTAAAATGACAAAATATTGTGTTGAACACTTTGCACTGTGGGGAAAGTATGCTTTTTGTTCTTAATATTTTTGACTGTTTACACTAAATATACCTTTTTATGAGAAAACTAAATATCAATTTTCATCCTGTGTGCCTGTTATGTTTGTCATTAGAATTGGTGACGATTGAATGTTATGTCGTTTTTTAATAATAATTACAAAAAGTGACAAGTTTTTGTAACTATAATACATTAAAGCACTGCCTAATACAGAACTGTATGTTTTTCTATCATTGCATATTCACTTCCAATAAAATGACCAACCCAGTGTAACTGAGCCACTAGTATCCTTTACATGTTTCGATGTGATATTGGGACTGTTGAATTTTGGTGTGTGTTTGTTCTTAAGGAGGGAAGTGAGCAGTGTATTTTAAGTTTACTGACCGAGAATACTGTGACATTTAACAGCAGACGTTGATCATTTGTGTGAAATGATTCAGTCAGTTTATTTTGAGTTTTACTTTAAAAATTAACTGCTCCATAAAATAAGTTGTTAATATGAAAAATAAAGCATCATTGAACAATATTAAGTGTAGAAATGTATTTTACGAGGTTCATAAAAGTTAGCATCTCCTAATTGAATTTTGTAAGAAACTTTTTCATCAGCCTGCTTCAGTTGTTCTGACCCTTTTGAGGCATACAAAGCTTTACGTGTCGGACTACACTGTATTTAACATAAAACATTGCATTCAGTTCTTGCCTCATAGAAGATGTCTAACCAAAAGCTTGCATGTTTTAAAGATTTGGACATATTTGATTGTGGGGTTGCTTTTTAAATCAACAATTTATTCAAAATCCATAGCTACATAACCTCTTGTTTAGTCACATGGGACAAAATAACATCATTCTAGAGGCATATGGCACAAAGTCCGGTTAAATCAAACCTTCCTCTTTGTTGTGTTCAGATACTGCATTTCCCAGAGTGCTTTGCGAGTGGCCGTGGCTCCGGCTGGATGACAGCTATCCGGCGCCGAAACGCCGATAGACACTCAGACGAAAGAGCCATGGCGGCCACGGGTGGAGGGAAAATTAGAAGCAGGAGATATCACATCGCCTCTAAACCTTACGCCAAGAATAAACAGGTAAACCAAATGAAAGTGTCCGAGTTTAAAAAACGAGTCGAAGACGTTACAGGAATTACACTGCCATTATGTCTTAGCTCTTGTTATTGTTTTGTTGGAGATATTGTATGGCCTGCTGTTAGCGCTCGTGGCCTCCACGCGTTGCTAGCATGTGAAGGAAATGCTAGTAAACTGGTTATAGGTTAGCACTATCAGACGGACTTGACAGGTCAAATCAAGGCAGAGTGAGTCATTAAGACCAGTTAATCTGTGTTGTTAAGTAAAACTGCACACAGGACACGTTGGGTTTAGCTCCGTTAGCCCATCCAGTACGGTATTAGCTTCTAGCTAAATTAGCAGAAAGTAACGCAATACCAAAGTATTAGCTTGTGTAGCTAATGCTAGTTAGCACGCTAGCATTAGCGAGCAACGTATTGTTGTCTCCAATTTTGGAGGCATCCCACTTTCGCAGGGAGAATTGACCTGACGGTTCGGTTCAAAATTACAAATGTCTACATCCACGGGTAGTGAACTTTCTTTCAATTATATTTTAGAATTATTTGTCAGGGCTGTCGCAGTCATTTTGGATGTTGGGCTAGCTAACGTTAGCCGGGTATCTGCCAGTTGGATTGCGCAGGAAGCATCGGTCGGTCGTGAACCCACATGGTTGCTTGAATGGATTCAATCACCGCCTCAGCTACCGTTGCCTTCAAAACGGTTAGCTGGACAACACGTGTCTTTATACAGGACTGGTCCATTATACTACTTTGTCATCAGCCATAACGTAAACTATTGTATTGGCCTAAAATCAAAAGGTTGTTTTATTTCTGTCCGCATATTTATGTGTTCTCTGACCGGAGAGGAAACGAATCTAGAACGCGTACTTTAAATCTATACCAGGGAATTGTTTTAATATATAAGCATGCTGACAAGCTAAAAGTGATAAAATATATATTAATTTAACATTTCGCAAGGAACACACTGTTCACGGTGAAAACTAACGTTACGACACATACACTATTTGGTGTAGTCATTGTTTAAGTTTATATCGGTTATCCGCACGTGTTTTGACATCAACCATTGTTTTGATATGAATATAGTTTAGTTAAATTCGTCAGTTAGTGTCCTTGCAAGGCATCGATACTTCATATGAAAGCATTATGTCTGACTTGTCGGAGACCTTTTATTGATAAAGATTGTGTAGGAAACAAATTCTGGGAATCTCAAGCACAGCATATTTCAGCAACAGACAAACCTCAATAACCATGCTCCAAATGCTTAAATCCCAAACTTAACATTTAATGTCTGCTAGTGTTTTATTCTTAATTAATTAAAACTATGTGGATTAGTACATGAATGTTGGGCTCACGGTAGTTGGATCTAGTTGGGCATCAATACACAGCACAGACTGTTAGTCACAAATGCTGCTGTTTTCACATGTAGAATCAATATATAGTTCCGTTAAAACATATTTTGTGGACAAAGGAACACTTTATTTATGTGAACGCTGTGAACTATGAATTTGCTTTTACACGGGTTTAAAATGAATGATTCATTGGAATAATGCATTGATGTCAACAAGAAATATCCTACAAACATGAACTTGGCATAATTTAGTTTGAATAAAATTGTGTCTCAGTCGTGCAAAATAAGAGTCATGATTACGTCTTCTATTGCCCATATCTTTTTTAAAGGCAAATAGTGTGTGAATGTTTGAAGTGAAACATAAATGACTGGACTTAAGTTGGCCAAAACTATGGTTATCAAAATCTTCTGTACAACTCAACTTAAAAGGTCAGTTTAGCTTTTCTTCAGCAGTTTGGTTTACACAACAGAGCAAGATAAATAGCAGAAGGAGCTTGAAAATACATTAAGTAACGCTTATCGCTTATCGTCTCTTCCTGGATTCATCCGTGGGATTGCTTGTGTAATAATGGGACTGTTTTCCCATCATTACTTCTCATGAGATATATGTAATAATGTAATAAGATGTTGGAGGTGCACGCTCCCTTCAATCCTTATGACAGTAGTTAATTCAGCACTAATTACACTAGCACTGTTGTGGGATATACGCGACCTCTTGGCAAGTTAAAATATATTTGCATAAAGGTTAAGCGTGCAATGGAGCCCATATGTGTGTTATTTAGATAAGCAGGCACATATGGCCATTATCTGTTGTTGAAAGCCAACATTGGTTAGACAGCGTGCATATGAAGGGATGCACCCACCACGGCCCCTTTCTCTCAACCTTTCCCCTCTTCATCTACTTTCTTGTCACCAGAAATACATAACATTTAGTTATTTTGTTCAATTATCTTTAATACAGCCACCCTTTGAATAAGTAAATGCATTCATTCGATTTAAGGCTTTGTTCTCTCTCTTGATACAACTTCTAAACATATCCATGAAAGGATTCATGAAACAGACCGTAAGTCATGAAGCACTTGTTGCTGTTGTATTCCATCCCTGGAGCAGTAAGTGTCATGCCACTTCCTTTTGCTTTTTTGAACACAATACAGTGTTCCCCATGTTTACAACTTGTCTTACATTTTTTTATTTTTAATGCCAGACTTTTTTAAGGGGGCTGATGGTAATTCCAGAGGCGCCCCCTGATATAATGATTGGAGAAACCCTGCAATATACTACTCTTAGCTGTACATACCTAAAAATAAACGTCCCTCAATTCTAACCCTGTGAAAAGTGTGTTCTGCATATTCACATCTGGGAAATAATGTATTTTCCAAGTATGAGACAAGACCTATCAACACAAATTAATCTAGAATGCAGTGTTGTGCTGGCTCCCTGCTCCACAGAAGCCTACTTAGTGCCTGACCCACTTTCCCACCGTCATACTCAGCTTGTGTTTTTCTTCGCACTGAAGAGGCCTGCTGGCAAATTGGCCTGTGCTTATATTTTGGATTGTAACATGCAGTGTTTCTATTTTGTGCATCTGTTTATTATGAAAAAATGGCTTCACAACAAATTATGTGAAAGTGCTTTGTCACCATTTGTTTTATTTTTGAAAACCATAATTAGGCATCGGCATCATTTTTGGTAAAACAGTTGAGTACAGCGTTGTCCTGGACAGATTCCTTTTCATCCAATATTTATTGTCAAAGAAATTGTCTAATGAAGAAGCTTCAGATATTGATGTTACTTTGTGGTCACTATATGCATCTGTCTCGACCTCATTTCGTTTTGTTTACAACTTTCTCCCCCTCTGCGTGTTTACATTTTTTTTTATCAGCAACCATCAGGGCTCATCAGTCGAGTGACTGACACGGTGAAGAGCATCGTTCCTTCCTGGCTGCAGAAATACTTCAAGAATGAAGATGCTCCTGAAGGAGCAGAGGATGTTCTTGGGACGGTCCATAACTGCCTGCCACCACCTCCTCCAAATGGCAGCGAAGAGGCACCTCCTCCCCTTGATGGGTGTGACTCCCCAGAGCTAAGCACCAGTAACATGGGTCAGTCACTCCTCAGACCTCTGAGATTACCTGGGGAACTTAATATTCGATACATGAGATGCTTACCTGCGACTTCTTTCTCTCTCGCACAGAGCCCTCAACCAGCCGGGCGTCCCTAAACTTTCAAGATTATGTTCTTTCTCGACCTCCATTGAGTCGTTCCCACCTCCACTTCCCTCCGCTGGAAGCCTCCTCCCCGACCCTGGGGGCCTCCGTCAGCCATTTCTCCCAACCCTCCACCTCCTCTGCCCCTGGACCCTTTTCCACAGGCTTCTCCTTGGTCAAAGAAATCAAGGACAACCTCTCGCAGCACGAAGATGATAACATCTCCACCACTAGCGGCTTCTCTTCTCGTGCCTCAGACAAAGGTGAAAGCACAGTGACTTCTTCATCTGAACGCTGATTTTATTGACCAATAACATGGCTCTCAGTAAAACCGTTGCAATCCCTGTCTTTGTATTGCTATCCCATTTCCCCTTTAGCTGTCACCACCATGTGGAATTTACCACCTTTGCATGGAACATTATGCTGTTGATTTAAATGTACAAAACCTATACAAAAAAGTCAGAAAATACTAATTATTTGGTGTGTTCTGAGCCTACTAAGTTTAGTTTTGAGGAATCATTGGTAAGTCAAACTGCTGGGGTTGCATTACATAGTAACTTTAAATCCCATGTGGATTTGCTCAGGACCGACTACAGAGACCGGTCTGCTAAGTTACAGTTATGCGTGGGTGTTCTATTAAATCAGAGATATTTTTCATAATCAGTGTTCTTTGCTACTCCACCTTTTAACAGATGTCCCTACTTCCAAAACGGCGTCGTTTCCTCAACTTTGGTCCCCCGAGATGGAGAGAACACACTCAGGCCCTCAACCGGCCCAGTCCAGTCTGAGAAAGCCTTCTTTTAACCTGTCTGTATTTGGAAATTCCTCCAATGTGAGTATATGTGGATTTGTCCACCGACATACTGAAAGAGAGAGAAGTCTGGCATAATGCCGAGTATTTTGGTGTGTACGGGTTTTATGTTGGTCTGTGCTTTTTTCTAAAGCAGTGACCCACTTGGACATGTCTACACAACTACTATTTTTTCTTAGGTTATACAAAAACTTTTGATTAATCCTAATATTATAATTCCATGTCTCTTGTAGTCGTCATTAAACAGCACATTACTAAACACCAGCCAGCTGGGAGATTCACCCTTCTACCCCGGGAAGACCATGTACGGTGGGGCAGCTGCAGTCAGGACCTCCCGTGGTCGCCCTGGAACACCGTACCAGGTGAGCCAGTGAGAACAGCACAGTCCAGGAGGCTGAGACTTGTGTGTTCAGATTCAAACAGCATCTCATGTTAGAATATTGTCAGCTAGCACATTTGGTGTGACACATTATATTCCGTCTACATGTGCATTAAACGTTGTGGCTGTTAAGTTGAGCCACACTGACGTCATGTGTGTCTGAATGTGAGTCTAGTGTGAATGTTATTCCTTTAATTGGAGACTAAATTAGCTCATCCGATCTGCAGGCCCCAGTGAGGAGACAGATCAAGGCCAAGCCTGCTGGGGCTCAACCCTGTGGGGTGACCAGCGCCACAGCCAGACGCATCCTTCAGTCCTTGGAGCGAATGTCGAGCCCCCTGGCTGTGAGTTTACACACACATACACATCATTGTAATTTCCTCTCTTCAAACGTTGAAGGGTCGTACGTCTACCTGGAAGTGACGTAGTTAGACTTTTAACATTTGGCCAATGCGCTTGTAAGTGACACAATTTTTCTTCTGCAGGATGCCAGGAGAATCCCAGCAGCAGCAGCAGCCTCATCCCCGCTGTCAGCAGTAAGAGCTTTCAATATATTTACATTTGTTGTAAGCATTGGTTTGCATACAATGTGCATTCTGAATGTCCTTTAAAATATAAAAAATCTAAACCTTTTTTTATTCGTCCAACAGTGCAGTAGTTTTCTGACATGGGTTTTTATTTTGCAGTCAATGGATGGCGCAAATCTAGATGTTTCACAGTCAAAAAGGAAACGTGTAAGTACAGATTTTGAACCTAGTGAGAATATTCTCTTTTGCCAGACTTCTCAAAAATGTGTTTGCGTGCAGCTGTCCACGTTGAGCTTTATTATTGATCTCATGAAATGTGTCACGTATGTCCCACAGGGACTTAAAACATACTCTTTATCGCCCAGTGTATTGTATCTGAATATCGAACGTTGAAACCCAGCAGCACTTGTTGTGGTTTGTCCTTCTGTCACTTCCCGTCCCACCGTCTGTTGGCCTCCTTTACACCAGTTAACAGGATTCTCTTTGCTTGGACACAGTTGTTTGCCTCTCTGTCGGTTGTTCTCCGCAAGTGCTGAAGAGCACCAGAAGCTTGCGTGTGTGTCTGTGTGTGTGTTAAGTTTGTTGTTAAATCGTGCCAACTCTGGATTGAAGTTGTCCTCAGTGATAACTGTCAGACATTCCTATCTGCGACAGCTGCTTTGTCGATCCTAACAATGGTGCATTGACTCTCACAGTTCCATAACAAGAAGGCCATACATGTAATTAAGCCTTTTGAGGGCCAACTGTTGCCTCAGGATTTACTGTGGTAGAAAACCATAAAACCACTCGTAGGCCTACTAACTTTTATTTTTTTTAAGACAATATTGATGATTGGCTGATAAAACATTTCTGACCTGACGCACATTTGAAAAATCAGCTTGGCTCTTGTGTTCTGAGACAGTTTCCTTTTAAGACAAAACCTTTATCAAACAAATATAGACAGAAAATGCAGCGCTCTTGTTCATATTTACCACTTTTTCTTTAATTCAGATGGATTCCAGCCTTCCGCCTGTGCAGAAGCTGGTGGTTCCGGTTGCAGCGTTGGTGTCAGGAAACCGCTCTGTGTCCTTCAGGCCGACCTTAACTCCTGGAGGAGTGAGCCGAACTCTTGACAGGACCCCCAGAGAGACGGTCAGAAAGAGTGCTGAGTCATATTACACCATTACATTGTCCCTTATAACCCGATGCTACATTTATTGTTGTTTTACTCCCTTAGCCTAAGAGACAATCACCGCAACTTCCCGAAGCTACCCCGGGTCCGTCTAAAAGGTAAAACGGGGTTGCTCTAATGCACAAATTTAGACTTGACTAAGCGAAAGGGGCAGTAAAACTTTCCCCTCTTTACTTTTGTTAGGGATTTAAGCAGCTTTCCGAAACCCTAACACTTTCCAAACTTGCTGCTCAATGCCTGACTGCTCTCTAAAGGTTGTTTTATTAAATTTAACTTATGTTGCTGTCTACCCTTTGACTACCAGCACAATGATTCCCAGTGGCCCGGTCTATCCTCTGTCCAGCACGCCTGCAGCCAGCAGCGTGAGCTCCGGAGGGGGCAAGATGAAGAGGGAGAGGACCAGTACACGGCCTTCCTCTAAGCGCTCTGAAGAGGACGAGGTATTTGCATCGAACATTATGCATATTTAACTTATTTAGCAATATTATTATGGTGTTGGTGCTTTTATGCCGGGGCAATATTGGATGCATTTTTATGGCCATGCCAGGAGAAAGGTCATTAATCCAGATTGTGTTCCTTGATGCATACAGATCGACTTAGAACACAGGTTCATCTCATTTCACTAGTCTGAAAGACGCAGTTCAGTTCAGAAATGGCAGACACTGATGCTCCCCCTTTGTTCTGACTCTAGGTGGCTGAGGTACTGGACCTACCAGCAATATCTCTTCCCATCAGCACCTCTGCCTTGCCAAGCTTCAGCTTCTCTCCTCTTCCCCCGCTCGCCACCACCAACAGCGCAGCTCCCAACCTCACGCCTGTGACTCCCGCTAAGGAAGAGGTCACAAATAAGGTCAGTCTTACAATGGTCTTGTTTTGTATCACCAGTGCTCTTAACGTAAGCAAAGTCATTTTTGCAATTGACCTTCTTCTCTTTTTTTTTTCAGGAGCCACCAACGATCTCTACACCTCCCTGTGTACCCTTTACTTTTTCCTCCCCTATTGTCAAAGCAACTGCTGCTAGTCCTCCCGCCTTTTCCCCCTCAGTAAGTAAATGGTTTCTGTCAATGTTTAGTCATTGATTAACTTCACATCCAGTTACAAACCAAAACAATGATATTATTTGTTATTTTCTGTTTGTAGGCTGGATTCACTTTTAGTGCACCCGTAGCAAAGTTAGGACCCTCCATGTCAAATGGGAAGCTGTCCTCTCCCATAGTTGCAGCATGTAAGATTATTTTTGTACAATCGCCATGACGCACAATTTTTGCATTTCTCGAGACGATCTGGGTTTGATCTTTTGTGTTTTCATGTCTTCCGCAGTGAAGTCGGCAACCAGCAAAAGTCCAGAAGATTTTGACGGGCTTTTCAAGCCAGCTAAGGCCCTGAAGCAGGGCAGTGTGTTGGATCTTCTCAAGGCGCCAGGTAGGAATTATTAACTCGTCACACACTCACAGTATTTGTTCTGCATCGTTTGCTTCACCAGGTCGCTCACCGTTTCAATCGTGTCCCCATCTAGGCTTTGCTTCTCCTGTTGCGCGCACTTCTCCAGGCCCAGACGTTGCTCTGCTGCAGACCTCCACACACACCACAGCCCCCTGTTCCTCCTCCTCCTCCACCACCACCAACACCTCCCTCTCTTCAAAAGGGTTTAGCGATGTGTTCAAAGCCCCACCAGGCTGGAGTTGTGATGTCTGCATGGTGCAGAACAAGCCGTCAGAGACCAAATGTGCTTGCTGTATGGCCCCCCAGCCCTCGTCATCCAAATCTATGGACATTACACCTTCAGCGACCACCTCGGTTGGGCTTGAGAGCAGCAGCACGAACACCAGCTCCACCACTACAACGAGCGCAGGTTTTGGCGCAATGTTCGCCAAACCAGCAGGAACATGGGAGTGTGATACATGCCTGGTCCTAAACAAACCCGACGCAGTGAAGTGTGTGGCCTGTGAAACGGCCAAACCTGGGACAGGGCTTAAACCCTCACTGACTCTTCCTTCTGCCTTCTCAGCTGTTAAGACTGTGTCCCCGCCTACAGCCCCCGTTTCTACAGTGTTCATCGGATTTGGAGACAAGTTCAAAAAACCCGAGGGTGCATGGGAATGTGACACGTGTATGGTAGAAAACAAGGCGGAGAATACAAAGTGTGTGGCCTGCATGAGCGCTAAACCAGGTAATGACACGTGTAGATTGTGATAATGTTTGTATTTGAGATTCAAAAACCTTAGGTTTGGCACTTTGTTGTTGTTGTTAAGGGTGGAATTGAATTAACTGCCAATGATTTCAAGGCCTCTTAAATATAAACTGTCAGTTTTATTAAAGCATCTGTTTCCTCTCATCTTCACAACAGGAGCCTCAGCGGGCGCCTCTTCGTCAGCCAGCAGTGCTCCAGTGTTTGGGTTGGGAGATGCGTTCAAGATGCCAGAGGGTGCCTGGGAGTGCGAGGTCTGTTTTGTACAGAATAAGGCGGCTGATGTCCAGTGTGTCGCCTGTCAGGGAGTCAAACCCGGAGCCAAAGTGGAACCCAAAGGTAACCGCCGTTAACTCAAAGTAACGTGTGTTTTACAATTTCCTAAAAATCTTTAGTCTGCCTCCATATTGGATAACCTACAAAAGAAATGCAGCCCAAGTGTTTGGTTTGTTACCTTTTGCTTTGTACTTAATCGACACACTTTTAAACTTTTGTTTATACTTTATTTCTCTTAAGGTTTTGGTTTGTCATCTGGCGGGACTTCAACCTCTAATTCTGGAGGTTTTAAGTTTGGTGCACCAGACAGTACATCGGGATCGGGATCTGTAGGTTTCAAGTTTGGAGGCTCCTTGACAGAGTCGTCCTCTTCATCGTCCGATGGATTCAAATTTGGAGTCCCGTTTGGAAGCTCCTCATCAGAAACAACTTCTAAAGACACTACTGCCTCGTCAGGGTTCAAATTTGGCAGCTCATCTGAGGGCTTTAAATTTGGGACTGCCTCTAGTGATGATAAAAAGTCTGACCAATCCGCTGCAGGTTCTGGGTTTAAGTTTGGAGCAAGCGGTGGAATAGCATTCGGAATTGGCTCATCCAGCGCAGACGGTAACTCCTCTAAGGGCGGCTTCACCTTTGGACTCTCAAAACCAGAAGAGAAAACCCCTGACACCACCACCAACCCACCCCTTAGTTTCACTCCTCCTGCTGCCTCGCAGGAGAAAGGTGAGGGTGCTGGATCATCAAATGACGCCACATCCACGACCAACACCACCATCGGCTCGGTATTTGGGAGTTTAGCGAGCGCCGCACAACAGGGTGGCTCTGCTTTTGGATCCTTACAAACGGACAAAGAGTCAGCTGCTCCCACGTTTACGTTTGGAAAGCAAGAGGAAAAGAAAGAAGCCGCAGCAGCCGTCTCGTCGGCTCAGTCGGCCTTCCTCTTTGGTGCCGCTAATAAAGATGCAGATGCTGCACCACCAGCAGCGGCCAACACGGGAGGCTTTTCCTTTAGCAAGCCCAGTGCGCCAACAGAACAAACTCCTCCCGCCTACAACTTTGGCAAGGCGGCAGACCAGAGCGAAACGTCTGCTGCAGAGGCCCCGAAGCCCTCTTTTAGCTTTGGACAAAGTGCTGCAGGTGAGTGAGAGCTATTGTGGGAATGGATTTGTGGAACATCCAGTTTTGTAACCAGAGGAGTTTAGTTTTACCAAACTAATTGCTGAGATCTGGTTGACAACATCTGCGGCAGGCCTTTTATTTCCACTGAGGAATCCTTGAAGGCCTCCAACCCCAACTGCTCAAGTGGAGCTTCTCAATAATAGGTTTTGACGGGGATTTTCTAAAAACTAAGAGCACTTTTTCCTCAGTAAACTTCCATGAATAAAAAGAAAGGGGGGAAAATGTAATGTAAATGAAAGGTGAAGACTTGTGTCCTTACCCATTTTATTCTGCACAAACAATGCGCTTAAAGTATAGTTAGATCAATTTTGACCAAAACTAACGTTCCAACTATTGTAAAAGCGTTTCAACAAAACTGTAAAGATGACTTAAGTGGTTTAGTATTGCACTTCATATAGCCATCATACGACTGAGTGGTATGTTCTCTCTATTGTCCTGACAGATTCTTCTACTGCAACAAAACCAGCGTTTTCCTTCATGGCCGGTAATCCCGCCAACGCCACCACTTCGTCATCCACCACCTCGACGCCAAGTCTGTTCGGCACCACCAACAGCATCAACACCAGCTCCGCTCAAGCCCCCGCTCCGAGCGGCTTCATGTTCGGTCAATCCGCCGCAGCGCCCGGTGACGCTCCTCCGGCCAAAGCCTTCGTCTTCGGCCAGAGTCGGGACAGCCAGGTGCCCGCGCCGCCAGCTGCTCCTCTGAACTCTACGCCCGCTCCATCCCCAGCTCAGCCGTTTATCTTTGGTGCTCCCACCACTGCAGCCGCTCCTGCTGCCGCCGCCGCTGCCGCTCCATCTTTCGGCTTTGGAGCAATCGCACCCACCGCTACCTCGACTTCAGGTCCGTATTCGCTCGCGGTGGATTCTTTCCAGTGATGAGTATCATCAGGATGTTCTGTTTTGGACTGGAGGCACACCAATGAACCATTTTCATTCAATTGCATTCATTCATTGCATTGAATGTTTCTTTAGCATGTATATATCTTCAATCTTTTCTTTTTCACGAACAGTTCCCTCTGCCCCATTTGCATTCAACCCGGCCCCCTCTGCTGGCTTCGGGGCCAATCAGAATTCTTCATTCGGTTCCACCTTTGGGTCCCCCTTCACGGCCACACCTTCCCAGCCCCCGGCCTTTGGGGCCAAATCCAACACTACGCCGGTCTTTGGACAGCAGACACCCTCCACACCTGTCTTTAGGGCGGCTGCTAATTCTGCACAAGGTGGGTGACAGAATTAAAAAAAAAATCCATTTTGCCTTCAGGTTCTCTGTGGTGCTAAAGGCTCCGGATCCTTGCATTAGAAAATATACTCGTCACCACTTCAAAGATGTAAGCGTGCCACATTTCCTCTCAGGTGGAGGCTTTCAGTTTGGAGGAGCCAGTGCATTTGGAGCCACAAACAACGCCTCGGCAGGAGTGTTTACTTTTGGAGCAGGAGGGGCACCATCTCCTGGCCCCCCTGCAAACACCTCCATCGCACCACAGTCAGGACCGCCTGGGGGTGGATTTAATTTTTCACAACCCCCAGCATTTAATATTGGGTACGTTGTCTTTCCTTGGTTTGCAATATTTGTACAATTTCCATAGTAGTGGTACTTTTTATTAGAGGTCTTCATTAAACAATCAGTGTTTCCTGTGTTTTTCAAACTCCAGTAACACTCTTAGCATGAGATCTATGTCAAATATGCTGCGTCAATACTTAGTGTGATGTCGTTTGCTCTTCCAGGTCAGCAAAAACCTTCACCGCCGCACCTGCTGGGCAGCAAACGATTGCCGGGCGCAAGATCAAGACAGCGGTGCGACGCAGAAAGTAGAGCCACGTGGACTCGACCACAATGAAGACTTGACTTTGACGTGACCGAAACCTAAATAAAGTCCTGCGAGGTCTCAGCTAGACGAACACTGAAGTTACTTGGCCGAGGCTCATGGCCACTCTGTGGTCGGGCTGGACAGGCGGGCTGGTTTTAGCCGCAGGCTGAGCGGATCATTCAGAGGTTTTGTGAGAACTGTAGACTGAACAACGACAGACTTTCAAAAAGAACTATCAAGCAAAAAAAAAAAACTGCTCGACATGATGAAACAAGACCGTCATATCAATATTTTCAATACCGGCAAATGTCTGCTACACTTTAGGCATCACTTTTTGAAAGAAAACTGCAAATCTGGAGAGTTGAGAGTATACACAAAATTCTATTAATTAGTATGGGGGATCAGGTTGTGTACTGCGATACGCAGACAGGAGCTGTGCAGCAAATCTCCAGGGGTCATCCTAAAAACGATTGAGACTGCTCCTCTTAAAAGGATCCAAGGAGCCGTTGGAGATGTGGCCGCGGTGTCGGTGCGGCGTGCTGTATGTACAGGGATGAGCGTGTAAACTTTGTGGTGAATGCAGCGTGCTTGTTTTTCGTTTATTTTTTTCCCCCTCTTATGTACAGACTTGAGGTGTGTTTGGGTTATTTGTACCCAAACTGAGGTTGCGTGTCGACGTGCGTATGAAAACTGAACGTCAGAGTTGTGGGGGCCGCTCGCTAGCTTTGCCACAGGGGAGTGAGCAAATGAATGTTTAAAACAATAACAAGGAGGAGGCGGGGGTGGGGAAAACGTATCCGTGCGGCGTGGATGGCGGACCGGGCCAGAGGCCTCACACCCTAGTTCAACTCTTTTAGGTCTTTGTAAATGCATAGTTCCCAAACTGGCATCTTTTAGTTCTTTGACCTCTGGTTCCCTCCACTACTTTGCTTTTGTGCCGTCTCTCTCCCGTTTCCTCCTCCAGTCCTTATACTCTCCCTTTACCTCTCTTTATCTCTTTCTCTTAATTGGCCTTTGAATATTATTATAAAACCTTGTAAATAGTGATTTCTTTTTTCTTTTTATCTGTGAAGTTGATTTTTTTTTTTTTTTTGTGTGTGTGTGTTAAATCCGCATTATTGTCTTTAGGATTTATGTAAATTCCTATATTCAAAGTTGCCCGAATCCATTTAAAAGGAGCTTAAATGCAATTGGATAGCCTTTGATGACTAAAGGTATATTGGCTTTTCTGATCCACTTTTGTTTGGACCAAAACCAGTATTGTACAAAGTATTAAGTATATATTTTTCTATTGCGTGTTTAAATGGACGAGGGTGACTTTGGATGATAAGGAAATCAGTTTAATTTTAAAGCCATGATTATTACTGGATGAGTGATAAAAATTGAAACCATGGGTAATTACCATCAATAAAACTATAAAAATAATTAATTCTATTGTGGTTGATCTTTTCATACAGAACCCAAAGTGCATATTAGATCCTTATCAGAGTTACGTATTAACCAAATATGACACCGAAGTCATTATTTAAACGGTGAATTATAAATATCTGATCAGTATTTAGTGTGTCTACATAGAGGTGAATTTGAAAATTAAATGTTTAAATAATAAAAATTCAAGGATGTTTTTGTTCATAAAATGGACCTTTCAGCCTAATGCAACAGTTTGGCAATAAATTCTACCATCATGAATGTTTTACTGTTCAGCTTTTGCTGAAACTGTTCTATAGATTTGATCAATAAACTGGTAGTTGGATTTTTTGTGTTTTCCCTTCAGCTGGCCTCTTTTGGGATTTAAATACATCACATCAATGACAATGTTCATCTTTGTTGAAGCTGTATTTAGCCACGTTAATGTGTTTAATATTTTCTGAAACGGACAAATGTCCCTATATCTAAATACTTGTATTCCGCAGAGAATCCATGACGTTCTGTATTCTGTATTTATGCAAATGTTTTGATTTATTTGACTTCATTTAAAAAGACCAAATGTAGTAAGTGCATCTGTTCAGTTTGTATGGTCTTGTTATTTAGGCTTACCTGCTTCATGTCAAACGTTCAGTTCATTTGGCAGAATCATAGGGGCAAAATCGGGGTCTTTGTTTTCTTTATAACATCGTCGGCGTTCTTTGTCTTAACCGCCAGGCGACGTCGTGCGCTGAAAGAGGACCAGTCGATGAGGCCGGAGGTCAGACTCTCTCTGCCCGCCCTGACGACCTATAAAATCCCGCTGAGCTGCAGACCGCAGCTCCAGAGCAACCGACTGCTGAATCTCGGCGATGACGTCGCACCGGTAATAAAGTTCACCCGATCATCATTTCATGTTTTCACAGGAAATATTTCAGTGGTTACATTATTTGCAAAGTGAGCGTAAAGAAAATCGATCTGTAGGATTTATAGAATACGTTTGTGCTTTCCGAGTGCATTTACTTGTGCGATGTCTGCGCTTCTTGTTTTCATAGGTCCCCTCCTCCGCGCTGTTCACCATGAGGCATCTCGGCTCTCGTCATAACGAGGTCAGCCGGTGGCAAGCCCAGATATTTGAAAGCATCGGGAAAGTGGACTTCGAAATCACTGCTGTGGAGCAGGTACTGAAAACATTTCATGACTTGAAGATGCGGAACAGGAGAGTAGGGGAGGGTTGAGGAGTAATCCCTCATCATCTCGGTCGTTCGATAGTGGGGTTAAGGGATGAAATGACCGATCAGACAAGGTACATATAAAACGTGGTGGGTCAGATCAAGAACTGCGATTCCTAACTGCAGCAGGCAACCCAGCGCCTGGACATCCTCGACCAGAGACCCAGACAGGAGCTCTGCCTGGACCAGGTGAGTTACTCTTCAAACTTGAAATGTTTGCAGTCAGAAGCACAGAAATGTGTCTAATTACCTTTCAATTCTCACATGGCATTATGATGGCATCAACGTTTGACTGTTCCTTCTCCTTCAGGCCTTCTTCACCCTCAGACTGGAGAAACATGACCTGGCAGACATGGCAGCTGGACTTCTCTCAGTACTTAAGAACTCTCACTAAGTACAAACTGTGTCCCTGGCCTGCCGCTTAATGTCCTATTCTTTTAGATTCTTTGACCAGATTCTTTATAACATCTATGCATGTTAAACCTTATTTGCAGGCAGGAACTTGAGTGCAAACACAAGACCATGATGACCCTGCAGGACCACATTGACAAAAATGTTTCTACCATTGGGAAGGTGCAGAAGTGCCAGGAACTGCATCAAAGTTTCCTTCCTGCTCTCGACCGCGCGGTTGTCTTTGCCAACAAGCCCGTGCCGTGCCCAGGCCGGTCCAATGCTTACCCCCATCTGCAGTAGAGGATTTTGTCCCTTGTGTCGTGTCAAAATGTAATAAAATATCTGTATGTAAAATGACATTGGCTTCTCTTGAATCAGTCTTTGCTTCTCCTAGCTTGAGGCCCCTATGATTACAGGTGGTTTTGTGCTTTAGGAGCATTTTCCTAAACAAAGAAAACAGCGTTGGATTTTCAGCTGAAACATAATGATATCAACTGTTTAGTCAATGCAAGAAAGAAGATAATATATTGTTTAAGGACCATTTTATTAATGGATATTCCAGTATGTTTCAATACATTTGTTCAGTATAATATGTATTCAGTAGTTCACTGAATTTCTGGGATTGGTAGTTTCAAATGTTTGGAATATGAATTTATCCTGGGAAATCAAAACTGAAGGGTGTCCTGTCATTGTTAAATATAACACACGTACATTTTTGAGAATGTTTAGTGGTAAAAGGTCTTTGTTTGACATCGGACTCTGGTTTCAGAATCACGGGTCTAAGTGTGAACAAAGCGTCTTGACCTGACTCACCTGCAGCTTTTTCCCGCGTGTCCCCTCTGGCGGGGTCATATTTAACCGGCCCGTAGCAACGCCATGTTACCATGGAGACGGCCTGTCTGTCTCTGTCTATGTGTGTGTGAGTGAGTGAAGGAATCCAACGGTCACTACACAGAGTAAAAAACCCACCGAGGTGTAATTAAAACGGACATTTATTTATCGTCTTGCCCTCGGCACTTTGAGGTGAACATGGGATGCAACTTCTCGTCGAACACCGTGGTGCGAACGTTGACACCGGAAGCGAAGGGAGACGAGGTACGTTGGGCTCCATCTCACCACCACGAAAATGACGAGAGTTAGTTAAAAGTGCCGTATCGTCTTCAGCAGGATCCGACAAACGTATTTGCGGTGGCCCCGAAGTGCAAAACACAACAGCAAATAGGAAAACACAACGACATTAACTTGTTACGCAAAGGGCAGGGCATTCTACCACGAAGCAGAGGACGGACCCTTCTGATTGGACAGACGGACTGTCTGTCTTTTAACCCTCTTAATCCGAAACATTTCGCCGGCAACGGAAAGTGACGTGGAGGATTGAAATTACCGTGACTCCTTAATTATTTGCACAATCGGATTTTGAAATCTGAGAAATGCCGTTTTCTAGATATTCTGTCAATCAATAAATCAGTGGGGGGACTCAGAGGCTGTGATGAGGGGGGCAGCAGAAAGTCACGGAGATATGGCGATGTTTCACGAGTGTCTTAAAAGTGTCCTACTAGTGTTTCACCATTGTTTTACCGGTGTTTTGTTGTTCAATTTAGGTGTTGTAAATAAAAGGTGGGGGGGGGGGGGGGCGCCCCGGACGTTACGGCCGGGGGACACCCCGGACACTCGGGGGGGGGAAGGGGGGGAGAGGGCTACCGCGGGAACCTACGGCCGACACGGCTATGGAAAAAGAGCCCGGGGACAAAGTTTAAATACTTTTTCGAAGTGAAAGTAGCAAATCAGTCTTTAAATACCTTCTAAAACTCCAGGATATTGTGAGCAAAATGTACTTAGTAACACAAGTAAAGGTGCTCAATATGCAAATCGATTCCCTTTATTGCATTTTATTATTCCATATTAGCTAATGTTATTCAATTGCCCTCTTTAGACATTACATTATATAAAGATCTTTGTTGAAGATGGGTCAGGGTCTACCGTTTAAAACCTCTTACATCGTTCATATAATCTATTGAAAACATTACCATAATATATATTTGTATCAATAATAATCTGCATATTTGTGTTACGCCTCGGAATTTTCACCTTTGAAACATGTACAGGTATATGGTCATATGAAATGTGCGGATTTTAATTCTATAACTGGTCCACATACTTTACTTGTGACACTGTTGGTTACTTTGATCTATCAATTGCATCACATAATACAATAGGGACATTTTTCTAGAGCTACTGTGTTCATGACAATGTGTAAACACAAAGATGCCACCATAACGACTTCATTCATTTCCATGTGGGAATGGGGCCCGGTATGTTTCTGCATTTCGTACTGTGCCTCTCTGCTGTCAGGATGAAGCAGGAAGTAAAGTGGGTGTCCGTGGAGACTCCGCCGTGTCAAAGGTCACCACGGAGAGCGGGGTGGTGATGGACAACAGGGACATCCATGAGCTTCCTGGAGCGGTGCTCAGAAACCTCACTCCTCCGACATCCTCGGATGTCGGAGAAAGCGACGGGGACGGAATTACACAAGACGGTGACTGATCTGAATAAAACCAATTGTCTGGTGCGTGTTGCCAGGATCTCCGAAGTGTTTTTATTTTTGTCTGTCCCCCAGGAATACCACAGCAGGAGAGCACACTGCAGGAGCGACCACAGACGAGGGAGATCCTGGAGGAGCTGCTGCACCAAAGCATCATACCATTGAGACAAGCCAGGGCTCATGAGGCCTATAGCATAGTGGCGAGTACCTGGTGCACACTGATATTGTTGGATTGAAATCAACTGGTCTACAGCTGATTCGAAATCCAATCCATTCCGTTTAAGTGGATATCCATTTATTTACCTGTAATATTAAGGTGTTTTATCATCTCCCTCCACTGTGAATTTGTGTGCTTGTTTGTGGCAACGTGTCAGCTTGATGACCGGGAGGGGGTCAGGCCAAAGCCGCCCGTCAGACTGGAGTCCCTGAAGCCCAAGAAGGTGCAAAGTGTCACCGACATTGAGGAGAAGATACGACTCGCTGGGGATAGACGCAAGGTACGGCGTGTTTGTTTGTGTGTCATCGCGTACCTGTGCTCGTTCTTGAGCATAGGTGACTCATTTGCTCCCTCAATATATGTCCCAGTTAAAGCAAGACAAGCTCAAGATGCGTTTGAGGAAGATGTCGGCCCATGTTCGGAGCCAGGCTCCCACCGCCATCACAGAGGAGGGCGAGGAAACAGACCTCATTCCTGTGGAGCCGCTACAGTTACCTCCCACCCAGAACCCCCTTGGTCCCCACAGCCAAATAACACGGGAGGAGGCCGACGGTGGGGAATAACTGGCAGACGTAAAGAGTAAATTGTATTTGAATGAATTAGTTTGAAGTAAGCTGTGATTGACTATGGATGAAACTAGGCCAATGTAGATGCAAATTGTTTGTGTTTTAATGAAAAAGCACTTGTTGTTCTTCAGCGAACAGCGTTGTAGCTCAAAAAAGAAGCGCAAAGGAATATGAGGGGTTTCTTTCCAAATTATTATAACGTACCTCAGTGAAGCTCTATTAAATATGAACAATACTTCTTGCCAACGTACCAAATAAATATAATTGAGATTTTATTAGACTTTAATTTAAAAGTATGATACTTTTGAGCCTTTTTGCACGTGAAGGTTGTACCTGTTCTGATGGACACACGATGGCGCTGTTTTAGTGGTTTAAAGTCACATCACATTCTAGTAAATTAATTATCAGCAAGAGGTTTTGGCTACATGTGGAATATAAATATGTAATGTGAAATTGTCATTGATTAATAAAGTTGTATGCATACGTTTTTATGAATGTGTGTATAAAACTGAATGAAAGTGCATTAACCATTTTCACTTTTATATAAATTTTTCAGTTGAGGGTTGTTGAGCACGACCTTGGGACTGTGTTGAGGCTATTCAGCTGTTCCAGTGACCTTTGGCCTTTAGCTCTTTTCCTTTGACAGGTGTGCGTACTGCAGCCAAACGGACAAAGTCACCGATATTTGCAGCCTTTGTCTTGCCTTTTTTTTAAATGTAGCTGACAGCAAAGATTGCAAAAAGAAAAGCTGGGGATTAATCCTGACACATGATTACTACACGTGACACGGAGTATTTCTGAAGATTATTGGAAATTAAGCATCATTAAAGCTTTGAATGGGCCCTCAGCCTGTTATTGTAGGATTTTGACTTGTCAGCATGCTGCACATGAACAGAAAATAACAATTGGACGCAACCTGACCGGATCCCCTTTGTTGAGCCTGGGAAACTTGACACTGGTCCCCTTTTTCAGGACTGCACTCGGACTTTGAAGCGCGTGTGCCTGCATGAATAAAATAGTGAGAGCAACAGAGACGACGCAGAAAGAACCTCCTTCGGGTTGCATTTGGATGTGACACTTCTACTTGTGTTTTTCACAGCAAATATGCAGCGCAATGATGCGCTCAATGCGTCAGTCAAGTCACCGTATTCCGTGGTCACATTTTGACATGTCGGCCGCAGGCATGGAGGCAGGCAGAGCCGCCATGAATGATTAATAGCACGTCGGCCTCTCACGTTACCGGGTTGGGTTATCGGATGATGCTTTTCTAATCATTGATGAGCAGAAGACTCTTGATTGGATTAATCTCCGACTTGAGTCTCTCCGAGTACAATAGCTGCGTGTTGCCTGATTTAATTATTAAAATGTGATCTTCTTTTAGAGATAGCAAGGCTGTTTCTTCATAATGACCCCAAAAGACACAGACGTGTCAATTAAATTTGCTTAAAGAAAATTTCAATTAATAACAGAAGTCGTGTTGAGACTATTTCATTGGAGGATGTCGGATGTGTTTTTTCAGACCTGTTATAGGTTCATTGGGTCGATTCCGTTATGACCTCATAGTGGAGGAGCCATTGAAAACACAGTTGGCACGAGGCCTCATAGCTGTCAGCGTGGGCTCAGAAACTTGCCAAAACTCTGTCAACCCCCAACAAGTGGACTGTCTATCTTGAAGAATGACTCCTTCCAGCTGCGCCTCAAAGCTGCACCTGTCTGTCTGTCTCCTGCTGCTGTGTGTGTCTGTGTGTCTGCTGGGAGACGTCATCCACGCCAGCCTGTAGAGACAACACCACTTATTTCACCAGAGAGAGAAAACATGAAAAAATCCATCAAATGTTTATTTAAAATGAGAAAAAAAAACTTTAATCCAAATTTTTATTATTTTAATTTACTGCAAGTCCCCGCTGAGCTTATCATCAGTGTGGTTTGGCCTGGTAGGTTCAGGTGGAGGGTCTGTTTTCTTTGTGAGAGGGAGCTCCAGTGTTCCGCGCCGCAGGTTGAGCCAGCTGTTTGCGCGCGCTGGTGGGCGGCGCAGAGATGGACTGGACGTTGGGTGGAGTTTGGAGCAGCGCTTTTAGGAATGGGTCCCGAACCTATTTAGTTAGACAGCAGAGTTACCAAGAAGAGCTCGAAACACCTGATGGTCTCTGTGGGACGATCCGCTCCATATAACTCTCCTCTCAACTGTCGGAAGATAAATCTACCTCCAGGGTCACTTTTTGTCGTTTTTTGTGTCTCTTCTCTTCTTACAGAGCCGGCTGATCTCTATTTCTCTGTCTCTTTCTCTCTCTCTTCATCCAAATAATTACTGATAAGGAGACATTGCACTATTATTATTTTTTTTGTTCCTATTTATTGTATTTTGCACTAACGATGCACACCACGCAAAAGGACACGACCTACACGAAGATTTTTGTCGGGGGTCTACCCTACCACACCACGGATTCAAGTCTCAGGAAATATTTTGAGGTGTTCGGTGAGATTGAAGAAGCCGTGGTCATTACCGACAGACAGACTGGCAAGTCGAGGGGTTATGGATTCGTAAGTATATCTCGACTAAATACATCGCTGTCAGTTTTACCCGAAAGGAACTTTTACGCATGTGGGAACGATCCTGCCGTGACGCGTCTGTGTAAAAATCGGCTGTTGCTGTCTTTCACAACGTCACGGCTAACATTGCTTTAACTGCAGTCATGGGGTGTTTATGTATTGATAAGAAGTCCCTGGTTAAATTCGTCATTGGCCTCTGTGGCAATCTTGCGCACGGACTTGTTGCGCATTGGTATGCGCTTTCCCTGGTACGTCTGGAAGTGAGCTGCTCTCAAATTGACAGCTCCAACGGGCTGCCAGAAACTCACAGTGATGTGTTAATGTCCCAGGGCGGGTTGTCTAGCACTGCAACACAAGTTTCATCACCCAAAAGCTGTTTACCGAGGGAAATATGTTACACGCGGTTGTTTTAGGATTGACGGACAAAACACATTTCAGACCCACCGGCAGCCCAATGCTCCACTCAGCCATTCAAATGTAACAGAAGAGGGATCTTCAGCGTTTTCAGCAACCATTTAATATGTGGTTGAATATCTTTGGCACATATTGCAGAGCTCTGCACAAATATCTACTTATGTTTGTATGTGGAAACTCCCACTTTAACTAAAATCCTACCACAATAGTTTTGCATTCTTCATCCTCTTCTGTATTTTCCCATGTAAAATGCTTTTGTCCAAGTCGGTGAGGTTGATGAAAGAATATCAAAAGAAGCAACATGTTGGCGATACTGAAGCTCTGAGAGGAGCGATTAAGTCTGTGAAGGGAGTGACAAGCGAGCCACGTTCAGTCAGTCCTCTCCCCATCACTGAGGTTAGTTTCGACACATCCACACGAGCGTGTTTGTGCACGTGTGCTGACAAATAGTCACTGCCGTTCACAACGGCCTCGTGGGGCGTGATGGACTCAGACAGACGAGTAACATGCGGACACACCTGTTTAGTATGTTTTCTGTCTTTGTTACAAACAGCATTAACTAAGTAAGTGGAAACAGATCTTGAGTTAACCACATATGTTTCTCATGCTTTTACTCCTGTTGCAGGTGACGATGGCGGACCGCTCGGCTGCAGACCGGGCCTGCAAGGACCCCAACCCAATCATTGACGGCAGGAAGGCCAACGTCAACCTGGCCTACCTGGGGGCCAAGCCTCGGGTGATGCAGCCAGGTGAAAACAGTCAGATCAGAATCAAAAGCAATACACAACACGTCTCTGTATTTTATCTCCTCAACAAGCCAGAGAGACGCGTTGGACGTGTGCAGAGTCGTTTGTTAAAGAACAGAATTTACAGATGAATAAATCAGACCTCGTGTTATTCAACATAGCAAGTGTGTTTGTTTGGGATCACTAAGTGAGGAGTGGACCTGAGTGGAACTCAGTTTTTTTTTATAGATTCTGTCTCTTCTGCCTCTTCTATTATTTTTTACATCATGTCTTCTGTTCTGCAGGCTTTACCTTTGGTGTTCCCCAAATTCACCCTGCGTTCATCCAAAGGCCTTACGGGTGAGTACGGAGTGGTCTGTATTCCAGAGGAATGTTGGGATGTGCACACTGCCTTGAACAATTTAAACATGTTTTAATTCCTCTCTCAGTTTAATGTGTAATGATTTATGCGTAATGATCCGTCTCATTTATCATTTATTTATCTTTTTATCCCTTTTCTCCCCCATCAATGATTAAAGGTGGAGAATAAGTTGAATGTATTATTTTTCTTTATCACTGTCTACCAGTCTAACGGCCAGTTAAATGGCCTTTTATAGGTTTACCTGTTTATGTGTTTGTGTGTGTGCGTGCGTGCAGAGTGGACAATGATGGAAACTTTCTGCCTGACTCAATGTTATCTATCTTTCTCTGGTCCGACAGGCTCGCTCGCGGTTAAGCTAAGTGTGCTGGTTTGTGACATAATCACAGATCAGAGAAGGAAAATACCCGTAGACTCAAACAAACACAAACAAGCTCTCGACATGGTGATTATAGATGCATGTATGTGGGTTTTGACCTGTTTTCTATTTTATTTGAATAGAACTTAGCGCTTTGTGTGCGGTTATGAAGTGGTGTTGTTAGCTAAATCGTGTGCTATCTCACTTTGATGACAAAAAAAGAAGCTGGATTGATTGAATCTTTGGGGTGTCTTTTTACGTTTTCTGTGGACGCGTGTTAACCCCTCACAAAAAAGGCAACTTTTAAAAATATTTTTTTTGCTTTAGCTTGGCGTTGCCCTGTTTTGTCTAACAGGATGTGCTATTTCATGTTTATTCTGGCTGTCTGGTTGAAGTGAGACGTGAATCGTCTGTGTCCCCCCCCCCTTCATTTCTCACACGATTTCCCCCAACGTAACAAAAACCATCACTGCTCGCGTGTGCTAAAGGTTTCTCATGTTAACACAGCAGCAACAAATCCCAAGTGTGTCTCTTTGCCATACGGCTGCTGGTCCACTCTGTCAACTCTTCCCTGTCTCCCAATGACTTTGTCTTTGCTCATATCTACTCGACAAAGGCTTTTGGTGTCATAGCACCATTTTACTATCAGAAATATCAATGTGGTTGTCTTTATGAGTGAATGTCGTGCCAAAATGTGTAATTATGTGCGTACATGTCTGGTTGCATCGGTACATGTGAGTATGTGCTCCTTTTGTGTGTGTGTGTGTGTCTTTGTCCGCGCACATAGTCCCAAAGTCTCCAACGTGACACAAACAAATCTCTCTGTCTTTCTCGTTAAGGAAAACAAGCACATCCATTGTGCCACACAAAGCCGAATGCTGACACTGCATGAAGCTCTGTGTTGTGTGTGTGTTTGTGCGTGGGTGCGTGTGTGTGTGTGTGTGTGTGTGTGTGTGGTGGGGGGAGGGAGGGAGTGTTAGTGAGCTTGTGGGACAATCTCTCTGTCATGTAAGAGCAGACTAGGGGCCATTTAAACAGAACCAGAGGGGAGTTTTTTGGGGCCAAATACAAACCAGCCAGAAGCAAAGGTATATAATGTGTCACTTTAACAGCGAGAAGATAAAACGCGAACGTCTCTCTTGTTTCTAACCGCCCTCACACATCTTCAAACCGACAACCGGTTTCAAACAAGCAGGTTTCAAACTTAAAACGTTTAAAACCTTGTCCGCGCTTACAGAACCGCCATCGTGTCTGAGTAGCTTTGTATGTGTTGTTTATGACTTGTCATAATATCTGAACTCCGTTGAGCATCTGTGTAAAAGCAGGACAGGTGCTGCCACCTCTCATGCTTTCCTGACGCAAACACACACAACCACTGAGCACGAACCTACACACACACACCACACAAACATCAGGCTGCCCCCAGCAGACCGCTCACGAAGGCAGAGAACCTTTATTTAGCCATGAACTGTAATGACTGCTGGGTCGCGGGAACGCTGCATTCCAGTAAAGACACACACGCACAGAACAAGTCGTAGCACTATAGCTTCCAGCATGGCTTCATAAACTGCTACTCGCTTAGAGTGTTGTTGATTTCCTCATCTGATGAGTGCCTGCGGGTAAAATAAGTTGATTTATTTCATTACAGGCCACGTTGGATGGGTCAGACAGAGGTTTGCTTCCCATGGCTCGAACCGCAGCTCATGCTATATGAGCGCAAGGCTACCCGACTATCCCATTAATAAAGTAGTAGTGGAACAGCTTGTACAATCCCCAAAATGCATTCAACTTAGAGTTAGATTAAGAGAGACTTCTTTTAAATGTTAGAATAGTTATCTGAGCTGGAACGTCTCCAGTAAATCACATGAAGTAGCAGCTGTTAATAGTTGCTACTAACTTTGGGTGGAATTCAAGCTGTTTCTTTAATACTAATTATGCAGTTTTTAAAAAAGTACAATGTGGCAGAATCAGTCTTTTTTTAAATAAATACATCATACATTCTTCCCTATCAAAACCTTGTCTTAGACGTTGTCCAGCAAGTTAAATTTGTTAAAAACTTGTTGCAAATGATTTCTACCATCATCATGTATTGAATTGAAAGTAGAAAAAGCAGATGCATCATTAAGCAGTAAAAGTACTTTGAACCTTATCAGTAATTCTCATAGTTTAATTTTACTTGTGAGGAACAGATAACAATTCAATTAAATTTACAAATTTTATTTTGTATAACCCAAAATCTCAAATTACAAATTTGCCTTTACAGTCTGTACACATGCGACATCCTCTGTCCCAAAACCCTCACATCGGCACAGGAAAAACTCATTGCGAATAATTGCGAGTAGTAAGCCAGATGTACGGCAGGACCACTGCAGGGACCGCCACAAACCGATAGGACCACCATCCACAGAAGTCTGTGGGGAGGGAGAGCGCAAGACTTTAGGAAAGTAAAAATAACTGTTTGAATAATTTAAGGTATAATGTTCTCGTACTAAGTAGTTGCCTTAAACCAGTACCCAGATAGTGTCATGTGACTGTGTAACTATGAGAGTTGCCTTTGCTACTGGTGTTTGACAAAATAGGCTAATATAAGCTTTTTATTACATATTAGACAATGGCCCTCTAGCATGTCACTCACATCTAGAATGAAGAGTTTCCTCCTGTCTGCTGCTGGTGAATAATTTGGCGATTTGACTTTGACTTCAGATAATAGAAGGAAACATCTCTCCACTGTTTTCTGAGGGAGTTTTACAGATGACGTCATCTGAATTCATCTTGGAAACCTGCCTTACCCTGCTGAGTTTCATTAGTGGTAGTTTCAATGGGGAGCTTTAGTATCACATGATGATAAAATGCTCTTTCTGGAGATTTGAAAAAAATCTATATTTTCAATGCTGACGTTTTGTTCAGAAATGATTCCAACCCGTAGATGTGGTTAACGTTGACCCCTGACCTTTACGTCGGTAAAGGCCACACCAGCCCTCTAGTTTCAGTTAATACCCTCCCTCTTCTCTTTCTTTGGTGTCTTTTCATTGGATTGATTGTGCTGGTCTTGTAATCAGTTTAGTGGAGATAGACTCTGTCACATATTTCTTCCTCTCTGAAGCCTGGCTGCTGTTTTGTTTTTCATGTTTTTCCCCTGGCTCACTTTTTTTTGGTTGCGATGTGGATTGGATTGGATAATGGAGTGCTCACTATAGGGTTGCCACTATAGATCCTGCCTTCTAACCTGTAACATGTCTTTCTCATTCTCATTCCTTTCTTTTTTACCCCATCCAGAGTCAAAAAGGTTGCCACCTGATGTTCATTCATGCAGATTATTGATTCTTATTGATCTTTGATGTTCTCTCAACAGATTTCTGAGCACATATCAGTTAATGTAGTTTTAACAAACATCAAATTGTTTCTGTCAAGCCGAATGCCTCTCATCTATCTTAATTAAAGTGAGATTGAATATGTGTAAGTGGAGGGAGGTGGTGTTTTTTAGGACATCACAGATTGTCGTTGGAAGCAATTAGAATAAAAAAAACAGTCAAATCAGTCAAATTTGACAGTTTACTACTCATTGCTATACATTTTCAAAGCTCCCCTCACACTTGCTGTCCGAGTGGCCAGGCCCTATGGAGTCTGGGGGAGGGGGTTTAAGGCCATGTCACGAAGGGCAGAATGTGCTCATTGTTCATAATTGTTTATTTAATCGAAACGTCCCTCTGGGTACGAAGCCTAGTCCCGGCTCCCCCTGCTGCCTCCCCGGCTCTTTGTCCAGACACAGAATGGGAAATGGCCAGCAGCGTCCCTTTTTCAAAACTGTCCAGCTGTCAAAGTGGCAGTGACATTTTCACAATGCCTCCCTGGGCTCATCTCCTCTGTCCGCACCCCCACCCCCGGGACTGTAAGCCTCCCTGTCCTCCCCACCCATTAGCCCTTCAGCAAGCAGGGGGACGCCACCAGAGGCCAAATACACATGTGACGGGACAAACCAGCTGCAGCTTTCTGATCCTTAACTTTTTCCTTTCATCTCACCTCCCTCTCTGGCTCTCTGTAGTCCTGCCTCCACATCCACAAATTCAAAACTGACCAAAAAAAGAAAAACAAAACCGGCCAATACCAGCATCCCGTCTTCCAAATATAAAGGGAATTTTTCATAAATTTCAGAGCCCTTAAACACCTCTCGGTGTTCAAAGTTGTGTTCCCCTCACAGTCTTCTTTTCACAGTGTGATTTCTATTTTGGCAACCCTATAATGTTCTAATCCCTACTAGCAGGCATTTCCTTGGTGTTCTTGACTGGTGGATTGGACTGGGGCTCAGTGGTGGGTGGTGGGAGGGCGCTGGGCCGCAGTGTGATGCAGTTGGGTTTGGGTTTTAGGGTGGATGCTGTTACTCACAAACTGGCTGAATGTAACCTGTCGTATGTGTGTGTTTGTTTCACAGCATACCGGCCCACTATGTGTACCCTCAGGCCTTCGTTCAGCCTAGTATGGTCATCCCTCACGTGCAACCTACAGCTGCTGCACCCGCCACTGCCTCCTCCCCGTACATCGACTACACTGGAGCTGCCTACGCGCAGTATTCTGCCGCCGCAGCCAGCGCCGCAGCCGCCGCCGCCGCATATGAGCATTATCCCTACGCTGCCTCCCCTGCTGCCGCGGGCTACATGGCTGCCGGGTACGGCTACGCAGTCCAGCAGCCTTTAGCCGCAGCTGCCCCGGGCTCAGCCGCCGCTGCAGCCGCAGCCTTCGGTCAGTACCAGCCTCAGCAGCTGCAAGCCGACCGCATGCAATAGCAGCCACCGCAACCACTGGACATGCAGAGAGAGAAGGCCCACCGTCGGCCACGGCTCATTGGTCTTGAGAAGGAGCAGCGACAGAAAAGGAAGAGGGAGTGGCCTTGAAAGTGGGCGTGTCAGCAACGTGGAGGCAGAGTAGCTTTAAAAAGGTGATGATGGTGGTGGTGATGATGATGATGGTGGTGAGGTGGAAACCTTTGACAATAACTTTCCAACTTGCTGTGCTTCAACCAAAAAACAAGAAAATGAAAAAAAGTCACAGAACAAATAATGGAAAGTGATATACTATTTTTGTTGTTGTTATTATTATTATCCTTACTATTATCATTGTGGTAGAGTACTTATTTCTAGAGAAGAAAAAAAGGAACTAATCCCAGAGGTTGGTATAGGTGTTAAACTAAGCCTTTAAGTCCTATTGCTGTCTTCAACGTTAGTTTAGAACTTTTTTTTTCACTTGTGGTTTTCCACGAGTGATTTCAGTTATTTGATGCCCTCATAACATTTATATTTATTATTGTTATTATTACATATTGGGGGCTGTTTTTGTTCTTTATGTCATTTTAAGTGCATTTTTTTCTGATAATCAGGGAAATGGATCCGTTTCCAACGTGTTAGCTATTACTGTGTGACCTCTGTCAGGAAGGAGTTGTATCTCGTTGTGTCACACATATTTGAAGAACTACCTTTTTATCTTCCTGATGCTGAATGTCCCTTTTTTACTTTGTGTCTCGACCTCTTGACCTATGCAAAGCAAACCCCACCAGACAAAAAAACTAAGAAAAGCAGCGAAAAAACTGAAAATGTCATCAACTCTGACTTGATTCTTGACTAAAGGGGGACTTTAGAAAACAAAACAGACGCACTGACAAAAGGAGAGAGGTTACAAACGGCTCCAGACAATGAAAAACACAAAATCAGTTGCTTTTTCACACGTTTTAGTCACACAGACACACGGGATCCAGAGCTGCACACATAGCAGTCAAAGACAAAGGCAGCACAGTTGTGTTTCTCTGTGGTTCTGGGATGGAGGGAAAGAAAGAGCGAGAGGGAGCAGCTGCTGGTGGGGGTGGACGGAGCCGCTCCAGCACCACACAGACGGATCACTCTGGAAAGAACGCATCACTTGTGCTCGTTTGTTGAGCTGTCACATTTTAATCCTCGGCCGGGCCCATTTGGGAACCGACTTCACACCTCCCACCCAACACGGAGCCCCCGCGGCACAGCCCCCCACCCCCACACCTCCCTCTCCTCCCGCCGCCCCCCCCAACCCCACCCACCACAGTCAAGCAGTCCTGCAGCTGTCAGCACTTCCACCTTTGTGGTGCTGGAGTCTGGTGCCAGGTACACACTCAACAACACACGCACACACATTATCACCAAAGCCACCGCAACAACTAGCCTGCCTCGTGTCTGTCAAGATCACCATGTAAGTTTCAGAGGGCGGGGTTTGAATGTTTGACATTATGTTGGTCTGTGTGCCTTACATTTTTACTGCTATTTAAGAGAAAAAATAAGAAAAAAAAGAGAGAAATCTACTATTTAAAATATTTATTTTTGAGGGTTGACTATGTTGATGCTCTGAGAGTAGAGACTTAGTTGTGGTACTGTATAAATAATATTATTATGTACTCATCTCAAGGCATATATAAGTTATTGATTAGTGTAGTTCTAATATTATTATTATTAACATACTCAACCAAAAATGTAATTGTAGGAGTAATTTAAGATACTGTTATGTGCACTGTACTTTTATTTTTTATCTTTTGGATTCTTTAGAACATGACATTAAGTATTAGCTATGCCTTTTGTAGGGGAGAAAAGTTATTTAAATGCAGGCCTCTTAGCATGCAGATTGTACTCCGCCTCTTCTGTGTTTAGATGAGAGGAAAGAAATAATAATTTTCACAAAAAAAACAAGCAGAAATGCTGCTTTCTCCACTAGAATGTATAGTTGTTGCTAAGGGTTCAGTAGCTGTGCTTCTTTTGCTTAAAATCATCAGATGGGCTATTTTACACTGTTGGGAATTTTTATACTTGAACTATTTCTTACAAGGGAAATATGAAAAATAAATGTTAAAAAAACTTTTTAAGGAAGCTTTTCATTGTCACTGGATGAAGGCATGTGAAGTGTTTCTGTTTAAATGCAAAGGTCTTGTTGATATTAAAACATTTATTTTAGAATTTCAACACCATTTACTTAAAATTGGAATAAAATGTTCTATATTTAAAAAGCTCAGTGGTGCGTCTTTTGATAAAAAGTGCAATTAAACTGAGGTTTCAGGAGCTGTTCGATCACATTTATGTGATCTGCCTCCATATGTAGCTTTTCATCCTTCTATACATCAACTCATCAATGAAAATAATATGTACTTTGTTCCGTGCTATGTATGGAGTTGTTCAATATTAAATAAACACAAAATACTTTGTGATTAATTAATAGTCACACTAATTATTTGTGTAAAATATTGAAGTGAACTAAGTAAAAGACAATTACACAAAACTATACAAACCTAACCCATCATTATACAATGTTATTTCACCATTCCTACTTTCAAAATCAAATATTTCATTTGATATCATTCTGATTTCATTACAGACGTTTTCATTTCACACAATGCCAGCGACCTGATTGGTTGGCTAGCGTAGTTGTGGGCTCTGATCATTACAAAGTGGACCAAATGATATCCATTGTTAGCCAGCTGTTTGCCCGTCTTTTTGCGCTATGTAGTGTTGAGTTGTAAGTCTTCATCTGAGGAACATCTTTAAAATCAAGACATGCCAGAATTAACGATGAAACATCCAGCTAACGTTAGCAGGTGTCGCTAACGCGGCCTTCTGACAATCTAAGCTCACGTCCCACTTCAGCAGATGTTAGTTAGCCATCAATATGGGTTGCATGAAGAGCCTTGTTGAGCAAGCTTGATTATTGCCTCAGTGTACTTTTGAGTATGAAGAACATTAGACTGCACGATCTACTTTGACATTGACCAACTTGCTAAATCAGGTAGTCTTTGTTGAGCTTGGGAGCAAGAGATCCTAATAAAAGCTCATCCTTTGAAACACTTCCATTACGGTCACACCCACAGCTTACAATGATGCATCTGACACACAATAAAGTCTCTCGGGACTCAGTATATCAATGATTCATCCAATCTCTAATCAATAAGTCATGTTGTAAAGACTGCACTGCCCTGTTTTCGCAGTATTTAACTCGGCTCAGGGAGTATGTTGGTCCCCGGTGAAACATGAAACTGTTGATCATGACACAACATGGACGCCAAGGCCCTAAGGGTGGCATCTTCATTGCATCGGATCGCTTGATAAAACAAAATAAAGCTATTATTCTATTGCACTGATGATGTAGAGCTGCAAGAGAGTGCTGACAGGAACCAAAGGCACCCCGAGATAAGTTTATGAATATAATCAGAATCATAAATAAAACCATGAGCTAAATTTAAAAAAGCTACAACTTTGTTGCAGTGTTACTTGTTAATAAGGTACATTACACAACAGAAACAGCTAATTAAGGATAGCCTTGTTGCCAAGGTTATAAGGAGGTAACAATGTACAAAATGCACACAAAATGAGCAAAGACACAATCGTGTCGCATGGCGGGTAGCCTCCAGGGTTTTTTGGCAACAGTTAAAATTGACATCTCTGCGCAACAAATTTTGTACAATTTTTGAAGAAATAGACCAACCACAGAACCTTGTCAAAGTGCAACGGGCCTTTTAAAAACTGGATAACTGAATAACTTGTTCTGTGACAAAACATGTTGGCGTTATTGAAGTGTGTGTCCTACATTAAGCCCTCATCATCCAGCATGTCAGAACTGGCCTACTTTGACCTACATCAGCAGATGGTAAATGATGAGGTTTTGCAGGGGGTTTCCAGGTTTCGGGGGTCAGGCCTTAGCTCCCCGGATGAAGATGATGAAGACTTTTCCCTGTTGAGTTCAGGTCCATTCCCTCCAGACCCCCCCCCCCCCCCCCTCCTGCAGGCTTCGCCGCGGCGTCAACATCTCTCGCCTATTTATAGCAAGCTCTGTCCGAAGCTGCCACGTTGCCTGCCGGGTAAAGTGCTTGTCTTTCCCGGGAGGAGCTCCTGCGGCACTGAGTCACGGTGCTCGTCTCCGCTCGCCGTGCGGCTCCCACGTCCCGCCGGGTCCGTGCAGCTGGGTGAGCGCGCGGGGTTGCACATCTGTAGACGCTCGCCGAGCAACGGAGGTTGGTGTGGAGGGGAGGGTGGGGGGGGGGGGCAAAGTTTTTTCTCCACTGTCACGCGCTTTTGTGCACATTTGAAAGCCCACAGGGTGGAGGGGAGGCGATGGTGTGTTAAACATCACCTCCACCCGCTCTTAACACTTAACGCTGCGTCGTCGACGTTGTTGTTGTTGTTGTTTTTTGCCTTTAACCTCGTTTGTGCGGTGTGTGGCGTTGAGCGTCAGATTTGAGGGGCGGTGGGGTCCTGTCAGCATGCCAGCAGTAAGCCGTGTTTTATTACGAGGCGTCATCTTTGGCTCGTGAGCGTGTCCGCGGGACGAGCACCTGTAGTCCGCCGACAGCGTGACGCTGATATGGATCATATGCGACATAAACTGTCCATGTGTGTCAAACCTCAACTGGAGGTCCACGTAGTTGTTATATAGGCTTTTATTCCCTTCGTGTTGAAACGTTGACGGACAAACTATGGTGAAACTCAACTTTTTTTTTTTTTAATACAACACAACTGCTCAGAAGAAATGCATGAAATAAAACGCAACTCTGCTGATGAAGACCACGTGACACGATTGAAACGTCCCAGACCGCTGCTGAATGGACCCAACTTGTCCCATTGGTGATGCTACAGACCTTTAAATGTACCGCTGTAGCATAAAGATGGATATACGTTGGTCTACTTGTACAGTGGACTAGACCTTGAGACCTACATTAGGTTATTCGTTACATTTCATTATACCTTACAGCGGGCTCATAGCAGCAGGCTGCGGACCGATATAGCCCCAAAGATCAGATACCAGGCCAGCGGGTTCACCAGACGCAGGCGGGTCACAGTGAAGTCAGCGATATCTTTCCACGGCTGGAACAAGTGTGGTTTCTCAGCTGTTGGTTGGGATCTGTATGTGGCCCACCTGTCTGCTGGGACAGAGGGAGGAATGTGTTCACTTGGGTTCTACTAATGTCTACTTCATTCAACAGAAATGCATCCGTAGAATAATCACCCTGACTACAACACTTTGTTGTTGGACGGACGTTGTACAGTGTTTGTAAGCCATTAATGGTTTGAAACCACTTTCCTGGGATTGGCTGACTGTATTAAGTGAAAATAAAAAAACTAATGAACTACTACTAATGTATTTATTCAGAATGGGTTAATAAGGGTTCTTACAATAATCAATCCAATCTGTGGATGTAAATATTATCAATTTGTTGATAAGAAGATGTGTGTCATTTCAGATACGGTGCTGCACTTTCCCAATTCAAACAATACTCACTCTAAAACGTGCATAGAGGGCATATAAAAGATGTGTCAAACATTCTATATTCATACGTTTATTCAAACTCAAGAGGTGAACCTGACCCACTCAATACAAGCAAATCTCTTGTAGCAGATGTTGCTCCATATCTGACTTGTGGCGCACAATCAGCCGAGATTGAGCTCTCCAGGTTTCGGACTGCTGTGAACCCGGAGGGGCAGAAATAGCAGCTGAGTCCTGCGACTGTCATCTGGCACGGCTGAGAGGTTTCTCCACAGAGATGACTCGACGATACCCATCGGGACATGTCTAATGCTCGTAGCACGTAATTACGAGACATCATTTACGCCACAAAAAAAAAAAGAAGATTACAGACAGGGAAAAGTATGCCGTCTCGCAGCCATGTTCATGTGATGCAAACAGCCTCCTGTTGTGTTTTTATGGCTCATTTGGGAAGCGACTAAAACGGAATGCAGCTCACGCCATTGGATTGTTTGTTGCACAGGAAGGTAGCAGGTGTCAGATTAGGAAGTGTGTGTTACCTAGCAGTAGTTTGCGTAAACATGCATAGGGTAGCTGTATTGAATTACACTGTGTTGGCTAATGGCCTGCATTGCCTCATGGCGAGGCATATGGCTGCTCAGTGTGAATGGAGGAGATACGATGTGTTTCAGTGGCATTCGGTTACGACTGGAGGTTCATCTCATTGTGGGGAGATAAGCTCGACAATACTGTCAGCACATTGCAGCAGAGTCTGGGTACAGTCTGTGTAATCGTGTCTGTTGAATGTCCAATTTAAGTTACATAGGTTATTTGTGTTGATATGTGGAAAAGGGGAATATCCAGGATCATTGATCATTGACCTTTTACCTGAGACATCTATAGCATCTACTATTAAATCAAGAAATAGACATTTTCCATTTCAATTCCTCCATTGAGATTATTATTATGAAACATTTTTGTTACCTTCCTTTCCCACGTAATTAAATGAAGTCAGGTTTAGTCATTTTAACAATGTCAAAATGTTTTTTTACACTTTTTTATCAGAAAGTCTTTGCTTGTCAACCAAGACAGAGCAAATTATGTCATTAAAAACTGGAACTGAATTAAGATTACAACTCTGTTTTATAAATGTTGTACATTATGATTCTTACATAATCATTTGATCCTTTATTTCATTTCATTTTCATCGAAACAAAAAACCCATTGGTTCTACTTAAAGAGACTTGAGTTTCAACAGGCATTTTTTAAAGTTTTCTACGTTCCACTGCACTCAATTCTTTCTTTCCTCTCTGCATGGCTCCAGCCTCTGTCCTTTCTTAATCTAATTGTCTGATACATTCATGTGTTCACGGCAGAGGTGGCAGAGCGCCAGATGGCGTGAACAGAGGCCGCACTTCATTGGCCACATTTAGTTTCTCTCTGCAGTGACATGTGCCAGCTATTTGAGAACGTGGGGGGGGGGCACGCCGTGGGAACTTTAAGCAGCAATTAAGCCCTCACAAGTTATCCTCTGCTCAGGACCCAGTGCTCATCTCTTATCTCCCCGTTCAGAGGGGGGAAACACTTTTTATCGTGCGATCAATGAAGTGAACCAACGTACTGTATCACAAAACAAATACCTACGATTAGAAAGCTCACAGCTGGAGAAAACCACTCTTTTGTTTCCAGGTCTGTCACCATGGAAGGATTGGTGGAGCGGCTGGAGCGAGCTGTGACTCGCCTGGAGAAGATGTCCGTCACGATGCAGGCGGCCAGCGGCATCGCTAACGGCAACTGTGCCAACGGCATTGATGGAGGCGAGTCTATGCCTCAATCAATACGTAGTACCACAGCGCGCTGTGGCAAGGCAATGGATGAAATGAAGTGAAAGCGCAACTGAGAGCAGTCGTTTCTCTGTGTTTCTCCAGGTTCGTCTGAGTGTGTGGAGGCCTTTGACATCCTACTAAGAGGTCCGTTGTCAGAGTACCTGAACTGCAGCCGTGCCATAGGAAGGGAGGTGGAGAAACATGTGGGTTGCGTTTGATTTATTCACTGAAGGTTCTCTAAATACTTCCTTAATCTTACTGTCCAGCTTCCAAAATCCAGAATGCACTCATTTCACGTACTTCGGTCAGTGTGGAATACTACTGTGTCAAATCAAAGCAAACAAAACAAGATCTATCCCGTAAAAGTCCCCCAACTTAATGGAAGAGAAGTACTACTTTGTGAAGTACCTGTTTAACTCTTAGTGTAACCCCAGACGGTGGCCTCAGTTTGAATTTTCTTTTGGTTAATTACTTGTACTTGCAATATAAAGGTGAATTGTTCACAGGATTTAGCCCAAATCGTCTCTAAAGGTGCACAGATACCAGTGCAGCAACGAGTGCAGTCTGCCCGTGCCCACTTTTATTGAAGTTATGAACAAACATGTATTGTCCTGCTTAAGATCCAGCTTACATTGGTACTGAATAGTGATGCTTGTGTATGGGAGGGTCATGATCCTCTACAAAGCCAAGAACGGGAGTACGGCTACACTTTGACCACACTTTCATTCATCAAAAAACACCGGTGGACCACCTTTTCCTATTTGGTAATGACTTCGTGGTCAGTTGGCAATAATAGCACTGTTATGTGCTTTAATAAATCCAGAACAGAGGAGTAAAGACAGGCAGAGAGAAATCACAGCTAATTGTCAAAAAATTCCTCTTGTATTTCTTCCTTTGTACCTTGACAGAAGACCTCTACCTCCATGTAACATGTAACGTCCCTGAACGGGGTGAGAAGGAGGGGGAGTGCGTGAGCGAGAGCCAGAGGTAGTTTCTTTAAGTTTGCAGAGCTCCTTTTAAGGACAAAGCCTCCCTGGTGGTTCCCTTGGCCCGCGACTGAAGGTCTCAAACACACAGGACACAGCTGGTGGGGACAAAACCAAGCTGTGTGCGTCTGTGTGTGTGTGCGTGTTATTAAGCTTTATTTTCATCCCTAAGACACATTAATTGTCGGCCTAGATTTCAAACATGAGAGAGTAAAACTTGCAAAACTTTTTTTTTCATTGCACTGTAACATTGTCTTTACAAGTATACATAATATGGTTGCATTCTGCTTCTTACACTCCATGTATTATAACACTAACCTGTTTCACTTTGGTTCTTTATGACCGTCAGGCGGACATGGTCAACAACGCACTGCAGGATCAGAGAGCTTTTCTCAAGATGGCCGTCACGCACCAGGAACCTGCGCAGGTACTGCTGCAAATTCACTCAAAAGGGAACCTGATATGTCAGGTTTATATCAGTGTTCAACCTCTGATGACATAATTCATGATAAATAAAATCATTGAAACTATATTCCAAAGTAACATTTATTTATGATACGTTTCCTTTAATATCTGAGGTATGCATTACTGTAACTAAATCAAAGAATGTCACATAATGGTTTATTAGCAACAGAAATGGAAATGTGTCAAACTTCATGTCCTTAATGTGGTGGAAATTGGTTTCATTACAACCCAACTGAACGTGGTGAAAATGATGAGTGATGATTTTAATGTGACTTGATCATCACGATTAGCTGCTGCCAGCTTTCACTCAACTGCAGCAGGTGACGCTCAGTGCAACTCTCACAACACTGCGTTCCAAACCGCATCCAACGTTTCCCATCTAACATAGAGAGCGCCGTGTCGGCCTGTGTCCCCCCCTCTTGTGTTCCCCAGCAGACCGGGCTGTTCACAGAGGGATTACGCTGATCTTTGACTAAGAAAACGCCAATACAACACATTCCCAACATGATCACGTATAGAGACGGGGGAGGCGGGGGGGGACTGACTTTGTTGCGAGAGAGAGAGAGAGAGAGAGAGAGAGAGCTGATATGATATCATCGCATTGGCCTTCTGTTTGTATTGCGTGTGTGTGTTACAGGGCTGGTAGAGCCCACCAGGAAGTGATTACTCCCTATCTGTTAGGTCATTGGTCAAGACGCTGTGAAAAGAGCATTCAGTGATTGTCAGAAATGCAAACAAGGAAGTAGTGAGTGTTTTACAGATAGACGGATTGACCCAAGAGAGTGGAGACTTCTGCATCACTGTTGGCCAAATAAACACAGAACAAGGCCCAGAAAACAAGATGAAACAGATGTCATGTGCCCTTTCCAAGAATTAAATTATCCTAGAGTTCATCTCTTGAATGTTTCAAACCCCAAAGTCTACTTTCTGTCCATCTGTTAATCTAAATTGGATGGATGGAGACTATTAGTCAAGTGACAACATCAACTACTTTGAATTTAACTTGGACTCAACTGCTCTGAGACTTAAAAAGCAAAAAAGAAGACATTAGCGAATGCGAGGCGTTCAAGGTCAACAACACATCATGTTTATTACTAAAAAGCATGATTAAAATAATCCCTCCTGAGAAAACTCATTGCCCTGTAGAGGCTTGTGGTGCTGATCCTCAGTTCTCTATTCACAGTCAACATAACCCATTAACCCTTCAATGCACACACACACACACACACACACACACACACACACACACACACACACACACACACACACAACCATCAGTGCAACCCCTGTCCTGAAAAGCCTTCACAAACACACATCTGTTGACCTCACTCATTCATGTCTATATCTGTATTCCGCAATGCAGATCAGGCATATGAGGAAAAGTGTGTGTGGCCAGTGCCCCTCCTGTTTACACACACACACACACACACACACACGCACACACAGATAACAAACCTCTGGCCTTTCTCTGCGGTGCAGCCTCTGTTGTGCTCTCTGACTTTTTATGGGCATGTTCTATATTTGAGCCTGTGAGTGTGTGTGTGCGTTTGTGTGTGAGTGTGTGTGTGTGTGTGTGTGTGAGAGTGTGTGTGAGAAAGAGAAAGTTAGAGTGAAAATAAAGTACGCCTCGCTCTCATGTGACCTCAAGTTGGCCTGTTAGCTTTGTGTGTCTGGCAGTTCAGACACAATGTAGACTTGCGCGGCTACGGTCGTCCTCCCATTGTCGGCCTCCGCGCTGCACCTTTGATCCGCTGCTTGTTTAGGAAGTCAACGCTCGGACGCTGTGCTTCAAATAATTTGAGCCGATGTTTTTGAACCTTTTGTCGGCTCATTCTCTGTATGTCTGAGTCTGTGTCCCTGCCTGCGGTGACGTCTTATCCATGCAGTCACATGGAAGTCATATAAGTCATATATTTGCATTTAGAAATATTCATTTTTTGGGGACAGTGAGATTCACGTCATTCTGTTAATCTAAGTCCAGAAATGTCAGAAGTCAATGTGAGCAATCACGTCAGAAGTTTGTGACTTTAAGGAGTTGCTTTAGTTCAGTTTTATATTTCAATTATCCTGTCTTTGTGATAAGTGCTTCATGAAGCTTGCCGCCCAATTTTTTACTATTTTGCTTCCAGCAGGAAGAAACGTTTAATCGTTTGGATTAAAACCATGAAATACAACATGTTAGTTTGTCAGTTTCAGAGGCTGTTTCTCCTTGTTTATCTCCTTTATCGATGCTAAGCTGAGAGTGGTTTCCCAATCAGGATCTAGGAATTAATTCACTATTGTAGCTTCTCTGAAGCTGGCAAATTGCTGAAGGGAAAACATGGAGAAGTGATTCCTAGTTTGGATTTGATGCCAGTGTGTAATCTTGCCAGACTATTTTCAGGTTACAGTGCACTTGGGAATACATCTATATTTGTGTCTCTTCTCACTGAGCAGCATGATTGAGTGAGGGGAAGTCCAGTGACTCACAGAATACAGTCCTACTCTCAGTAGGAGCCATGACCTGTTGTGGTTGTGCGATGTAGAAAGAGACAGGTAGTTGTAATGGACGCCATCAGATGGCAGACAATGTGTCTTTATTAATTGTCCCATGTAGTGCTGAAACTATCATTTTATTTATCTGTTAGTTGAATCTGCAGATATTTTTTATTAAGATTTAATTATTATTTTATTGTGTATCAAAGCAAACTGAATATTTCATGGTCATGGTTCAAATTTGTCTGGATTTTCTCACATTTTATATATAATAAATATATAGATAATGGAATATATTAATTCAAAATGAATACTCTTCTGTATAATCAGTAAATTAAATACTTTTTATTCGTTACCTCAAATCACCCCCATCTTCCATCTGTACTCAGTAAACCCAGTGCACAAGTATGGTAGCTGCTCTGGAGAGGGGGGACATATTGCTTTGAATCTCCTCGCACACATATTAGCTGGATTTAGAGCAGGGAAAGGAGTGTCTACCTCAGCTTATGGAGATCATGTGCAAATCATTGGAAGAAGAATTTGTCGGGGATAAAAACGAGAACATCTTCTTCTTCTGTTACTTTGCACGCAGGCGCATGAGGCGTATTTTCATATACAGCACAGCGTCCCACCGTGAGTTCCATACAAAGAATACACCTAAATGTTTAAACACTCGCCGTGGCACACAAATGGAGTAAACCCAACACTACACAGCTAGAGATACTTTACCTCACATCAGGTTACCGACATACACTTGGCTTATCTTGATGCTACTTCAGTAACAGAGCGTGTTCTGCGGCTTCTCATCTGAATGGAGAAACACTCGTGTCACATTAACAGTAAATGTTTCCCATAGCAGCTGTTTCACTGCAGATCAGAATGAGAAAACTGCAGCAGCAATCCCCCAAATGAAACATTGTGTTCCTGGATCTATGTGTGCGGGTGCATGTGTGATAGGTAAACTGTAAACACTGGAGGAGCAGTATGCCTTACAAGGCCAGAGGGATCTCCCCATCAAGCGAGGAATGTTTCAGGAACGAGGCGACGGGGAGGGCAGCTGGGAGCTGGGAGACGGGCTATACTGTAGCTGAGACCTGGAAGATCCAATGGAAAAACGCTCCGGCTAATAAAATCAGTTGCTGTCCTGTAGCCTAGTTCAGGAATTACTGAGACCCGTCTGCGTATGGTTGGGAGGGGAGACAACGTTGGGGTTGTAAAAACTAAAGCATCTAAACTATGTTGAAGGAGAAAGAGGCCGTTGTGTTTTGCTAAAGAAGTTATCCAACTGGTGTTCTTGTTCCCGGGGCTTTTTGTGATTTGATTTAAATCCGCCGTGTTGTTTAGTCCGAGTTTCCCACCGCTCCACCTTTTTCTTTCATCTCGCCCACTCCTCTCCCGCTGACATCTCCTTCTGCATCCTTCTGCTCGTTCTAATGACTCCCTCGTTCTTCCTGTGCAGGCGGAGTTGCACGACCTGCTGAAGCCGATCTCGGATCACATCCAGAGAATCCAGAGCTTCCGCGAACGAAACCGCGGCAGCAGCCTCTTCAACCACCTGTCAGCAGTCAGCGAGAGCATCCCCGCTCTCGGCTGGGTGGCCGTGGTAAGGAAGGAGTGCAAATACACACACACACAAATAGAAAGAGGAAAGCACATTTAAGAAGTTTCAGCCTATGAAAACCAACAAAAATCACATAAAAACATGGAAATAAATGGATGATAGGCACCGAAGTAAACATGTCTAAAAAGTTTTATAATCTAAAGTAAAAGGATCCAATTTTGAAAAATACTAATTGTGAGAAAAACAAAAATCAAAGTTTAAACTTTAAAGGTGCACTTCCACCTCTCAGCGGCACTCAACATGACCGGTGACTTGTAGCTAACAGTGAGCGGGAACCGGCAGCATATAAACTCAGCATACTACGTTTTAAATCCAGTATCCTCCCATCACTCTGTTTCTCGTCAGACTAAAACATTGTTCTGTGTTGAGGGATGATTATAATTTAGATTAAGAAGCTTTTCCACTTGAGTACGTAAAGAAAACCCCTCGTGAGCAGGCTCTGGTCAGTGTTCGTGGCTGTCAGGAAGGCACTTTTCCCTTCTTGATGACCTCTTCTGTGTTTTGCTCTTAAATGAAGACAAATGCTTCTGATGGACACAAGCTTTTTTTTTTAAAAAGACCGTATCAGAAGCTTTTGACCTCACAGTGCCTCGGCCACAATGACAGTGAGTCGCTTCTAATTAGCTTTCATGCCTCTCAGAGTCAGAAGCCGGGTCCGTATGTGAAGGAGATGAACGATGCTGCAACCTTCTACACCAACAGAGTGCTGAAGGACTACAAGGAAACGTAAGTCTTTCAAATTCAGTCACAACCATAACAGCAATGTTTCATTTACTGCGGATGATAAATCCTTTTCTTTACTGCTGACACTTTTAATATAGTAACTATAAAGTAAACATGCAGACTTGTGTAATCCATCACTGGGAACGTTAAGTTTCTGTTCTTTTTTTGACGATATCGCAATATTAAAAAACGAAATCAATTATCCTGAGACCAAAAAGAACAGTTTCTGTTCTTACCTTTCATGGTCCAACAAATAAAAGAAAGTGCATTATTCCAGAAAGTTGCATTCAAATAAATCGCAATGACAAAGAAAGTTTCCAGTGAATCACTTCATTTTTCATGATCTTCTGCTTCAATCCGTCCTTTCGTCCCCTTCTCCTGCACTCCCTCATTTTGCTGCGTCAAGGCTAACGGCTTATCCCATCTTCCTTTTTGTTTTTATCTGACCGTCACGTCTCTCACCAACCTCCACAGCGACAGGCGTCACGTAGACTGGGTGCGCGCTTACCTTTCAATCTGGGCCGAGATGCAGTCCTTCATCAAGCAGCACCACACTACAGGACTGGTGTGGAGCAAGAGTGTGAGTACAGATACTTTTGCCTCTAAAAGTTAAAAAACACTTGCCATGCATTACTCCTGTAACAACTTGTTTATAATAATATCTGTATTTTCATCTAGTTTCCATTCACAGGCCGTGGTATTTTTACATCAGAGCTCAGATTAACTCCTGCTATTTGCGAACACTTCCATTTTTAGTTATGCAGCAGCCAGTTACATAAATCACTGCAGAGAGCATGAATGAATGAATGAGCTTCTCTCCGGTAGTTGCACCCTGCGGTGCTCCACAGAGCTCCCAAAACCTCCGTCACTCCCACACACACTTCTGTTTACGGATGTCAGCTCTGGGACTCCTCTGCACTCACACTCACTAGATCCCGGAGATTGTGAAGGTCCGCCACCAAATCCTTCCACACACACTTTCTTCTGGTTAGCTTGAGGGGTTTCTCATCTTTTTCAGTCATGCTGCAATTTCCCCCTTGAAGGAACAATTTTACATTTTAGGAAATACTCCTCTTTTATTTTGTATAAGTTGATTTAGATTTTGCTGTACAGCAGTGTAAAGTTTCACCTCACCGCCGTCATTTTCCCCAGAACTTTAAACTGCTCCTTTAACATCAGATGATCAGATCAAAACCTCAGGTGAAGCTAATGCTCAACAGCTGTGCATGCATTAAGCAACTTGAGAGCTTGCAGACGCTGTTCGTGTGTCAGCTGTTGTCCCCGATGTGAAACGACAGAGCTGAAGTGTGTGTGTGTGTGTGTGTGTGTCTGTGTGTGTGTGTGTACGTACGTACGTACAAGGACGGGAGTGTGTGGTACCAACAGGTGGTCCTCGGGGTTCACTTGAATGGAGGTTTTCTTCACAGAAACACCCCGACAAAGAGTCTGTGTGCACATACAGCCTGCGCCGTAACCTAAACTGCAGGGCTGGTCCCCCTTTAAAGCAGCCGTCATCTGCTGATCAGATAGAGGTTTGGTGACACGCTTCTCCTCCAACATGCACAGGCTGGCATATGGAGGTGGCTTTACAACCACACACACTCACACACACAAACACACATTGCTAATCCCGTTAGCTCATGTGCTTCCGATCAGGCCTATGGCGAGAAGGAATTTTGAAAACTAGACTGGAATCAAGATTATCCTTGTTTATTTTTACACTTTGTGCCACTGAGTAGATAATGTGAGTCCTCTCTGAGCTCCCGTAGGCCGCTGATCAGTGAAGTACAGTCTGGATGAGAAAACTTTGTGAAAATTGTCCATCACAGCTTCACTTCATATCTCAAGGTTAAGTCTTCAAATAGCTAACTACTAACAACTCACATTCCAGAACCCTAAATTATAAATAACCAAAAGAGAAGCAGCAGATTCTCACATTTTAGAATCCGTATCCAGTGAATATTTGGCATTTTAGCTTTAAAAATTACATCAATGATCAACCGATTATCAAAATAGTTGCCAATTCATTTTCGGTTAATTGGGACCAAAAGTCCCTCATAATAAAAAAAAAAGATAGAAATTTCCTCAAACAAAAATGCAGTCTACTTCAGACAAACCGATAGACCCGAACACAAACAAACACACAAGCAGCCACGAACACAAAGAAGCAGTCAGACGGTTTTACAGCCATGCATGAACACGCACATGCTGCTTCTAATCCAGTGGCATGCGCTGAGCCGGTTAGTGTAACAGGTCCGCATTGTTCAGCAGTGATATTCACGACACATGTGCCTCCAGTCAAAGATCATGTCGGCTCAGCTGTACTCAGACGCGCGGAAAGTGACAGTTGAACTGCTGTGATAGGTGTGTGTGTGTGTGTGTCCGGCAGCTGTGCAAGGTCCTCAGACTGTGTGTGTTTGTGTGTGTGTGTGCCTGTGCTTCTGTTCATCGTATTAGTCAGTAGGTGGCCGTGCACTTTACACAGCTCATCAGATAAACCAAAGCTGCTGTTCATTACAGACACGTCGAGGTGGACTTGAGATGAACAGAACACTGATTATAGATAGACAATTGTTAAAGACTTTTCAAAGCCATACTATTTTAAATTCTAGCAAATATCTAATTTTCCAAAGAGAACAAACATTTCAGGTAGATTCATCTTTGTCAAATAATGCATGATATGTCTATAATATTTCACGTTGTGAAAACATCAATAAGCTTCAATAAAGAGCATTCATTTATATATATAAACGCAGTATATATATATTCGTTCTGACGGTTCCGACTGTATCGATCGTAAAGCTGCTTAAAGGCAAATAAAAGTTTTTCCTAATTATCTCTTGGCACTTGGCAGCAAAGTTTTTTCCTCATCTCCATGTGTGCAGGACAGAATAACCAAAGAGCAGCGTGAAGACATTTCTTGTGCCGTACTCCCCCTGCTGGAGAGATGTGGTATCCACAAGAGAACTGTGTGGTCTCTATCTGACATTTTCCTTGTTCTACCGTCCAGGGCCCCATCGCTCCTCCTCTCTTTGCCCGCCCCAGTGCTCCCTCCTGTCCTCCTCCGCCTCCTCCCCCCGGACCTCCTCCGGTCTTCACTGACCATGACTCCCAGCCTCAGGCGGACAGAGCGGCGGCCCAACACTCTGAACTTTTTGCCCAGCTCAACCAGGGCATGGACATCACTAAAGGTGGGTTGGATGAAGGGACATACTGTAGCTCCCGTTGATGACTCGTAGATCATTAAATGAATAGAGAACATTTAGTGGTTTCCCTGCGGGTGCATGTGTCATTTCCCCTCACGTCTTCCACCTGAAGGTCTGAAGCATGTGTCGGATGAAAAGAAGACCCACAAGAACCCCAATCTGCGTTCGCATGCAACCGCGACCAAAACCAAGTCCCCAGGCACCGTGAACTCGCCCAGGGCAGCGGTCCAGAAAAAAAAACCTCTGCTGGAGCTCGAGGGGAAAAAATGGAGGGTGGTATGTGAAATGTCTACTTTCTCTTTAACCGATAATTCCCAAATCTGGTGGAAATTCTTGTTTTATCAACTGAACTGTTCCATTGTGGTTGCAGGAGAACTTTGAGCAGAAACACGACCTGGCGATTGAGGAGACGGAGCTCAAACAAGTGGTCTACGTTTTTGGCTGCAACAACTCCACACTGCAGATAAAGGGAAAGATAAACTCCATCATCATAGGTGAGCGGACGGAAGATAGACTGAGATGTTTTAAGTCAGAATTTCTGATTCTGACCGTCTTAATGTGGGTTGAATCCCTCCAGACAACTGCAAGAAGCTGGGTTTGGTTTTTGAGAATGTCGTTGGGATTGTGGAGATCATCAACTCCAAAGGAATCCAGTTACAGGTGAGAAAAACATTTACCGAACATATCGGCTGCAAAGGACTCAAGGGTCAGTTATCTATCTGGTATATAAACATATATCTAAAATCCGGAGGATTTTTGGGCCTTTGAACGTCATTTGAATCAGTCGTTTCTTGTTTTTTTAAATTCGGTGCAAACTGCGCCACACAAGTAAATACAAGATGTCCTTCTACAGGTGTTGGGAACAGTTCCCACCATTTCCATCAACACGACGGAGGGCTGCCAGGTCTACCTCAGCAAGGACTCCCTCCACTGTGACATCGTCAGTGCCAAGAGCTCTGAGATGAACGTGCTGATTCCACAAGATGAGGAATATGTGAGTGTCTGGGATAAGGACACTGTTGTCTCTGAAGATGCGTTAAGCCAGTTGTCCTAAGAATCTTTCCTGTGTGTAGTTGTTGTTTCACAGTTGCATTCACGGTTAGTTTCCCGGTTATTCTACAGAGGGAGTATCCGGTACCGGAGCAGTTCAAGACCGTTTGGGACGGCTCTAAACTGGTGACAGAGCCTACTGAAATCGCAGGCTGACGAGGCTTCATCTCCATCACCACCGGGATGCCATTGATTTTTTTTTTTTTTAGGATCCGAGATATAAAAGAGATTACTGCTTAACTTTTGGTCCAGCTTTTGTTCCTGTATTGTGACTTCATGTCTCTCTAGCACTTTGGAACTGTTCTGATTATTTAGAACCGGTGAGTAAGTTAATAAAAACACATCCCCACAGCACGAATGGACATCTCAGGTTGTGAGTCCCAAAAAAGAAAGAAAGACCTTTTTACCCTTCTTAGATTTCTGTTATATACTAATAAAGGGATCTATGTAATAATATGTAACCGTTCAAATACAATCAATTATATTACAGAATGCTACTCACTGTACTTAATCAATATTTACGGTATGAGTAAAAGCATAATTTGGACCACAGCATAACATGCACACATGACATTAAGTGGTCAGGCAGACAAAAATAACTTAGTATATTTCCATTCAGTGAAGTGTATCTTAGCAATGTCGTATGTGTCATGTAATTTTGATGCACCTAATGAAGAAGATATGCCCCACTGCTCACTATGTTCTGCATCAACGGCATCAATGTCAGTCTTGCTTGTGTTTGTATTGTAAAATCAATCAGGTCAGATGAATTTAACAGTGTTGGATTCTATATCAGTTAATTCAACTTGAAATAATTAACCAATTAAAGAACTAACTGTAGAAATAACCTTCCCACTTGAGCACTTACTAGCCTCTTCACTACTTGGTACTAAGATGTAGCACATGGCACCACTATAAGATAAAGAAGATAGTAAACACTACTAATGCTTTATAAAACTTTTAATTAACATGGAAGCAAATTGATTTAATTGTGTCATAATTTTTCAAATAAAATCGAAACTCTCCGTTCTTGATTTTTGCAAAGGGGAGCAGCTACTTGAAAGACATCAGCATCATAAAGACCAGAATGAGAAAAAAAGTAGTCAATAAAAAAATACACGTGCAACACCAGGAAAGACTATACAGATATAATGAAAATATTTCCAGTTTGAAAGTAGCTTAATATCAAGTCATTGAGAGAAAGAAGACATTTCCGTTAATAAGTGATTTCAAACTCTGGTTGCATGGATGAGATATTCATTATCACACCCACACTATGAAAGCATGAAGGTTTCAACGTCTCCTTTTAGTGTTTGATTACAGTATTTCCCTGAGAGTCTTGAGTAAAGAGCATCTCGTCTTCTTCATCGTCCTCAACAAGAGATTTGTAAGCGCTCGTTCTAACCATCACAGAGCTCATGTTACTCTTATTTTTGAGTGGACTCCGAGCTTGCAGCTCTCTGTGTGCAATCACCCTGAAGCCTTCAGAGTCCTGTGTGAACAACATGGCCAGACTGTCCTCATCGGCCGCTCTGCCGGATCCCCTCGGTGCCGTTTTCTTTACAGGAGAGCTGCTCGGCTTTGTCCAATTGAAATGTGACTCAAGGCTCTCATCTTTATCAGCGCCTTTACGCATGCACAACGGAACATATTTTTGAGGCGATGCATTTTTGGGGTCTGTACATATATGGTCTGAAAGTGGTTCGATATGAAAGAGAGTTGAGTGCTTTCTTGGGGACTTAAAGGACGAAAACCTTTTGTTTTCTTTCTCTTGATCCGTTTGAGAAGAATGAAACTGTTCAAAGGATTCTTGAGTCGAGGTCCTAGCTTCCACATTAATCTCAATACCAAAAGTGTCGTCACTTTGTAGACTCTTAAGGAAAGCTGGTTCAGAGTCACAAACATTCTCCGCCAACATGTTTTTTTGCCTTTTTACAGGCAGGTAGAATTCACCTTCAGAATATTGGCTACAGGTGAGCAATGGGTCCTGACTCCATGCCTGTGGGGGTTGACTATCACATGGCAATGAGAAGGCTGCAATTAACCTCCTCTTACTCTGTGGTGGATTTATATCCTCTATTTGCTCTTCGGCTGCCTGCCACAGTGCTGCTTCACTCTCAGGCAGATTTTCCATTTTCGCCTCATGATTCACTCCAGGCACAGAGTTGTAAAACTCAGACATTTCAAGTCTTCGCTTTGTCCCGAGTGCTGCAGGTGTGGGTGAGGTTACGACATCTGTGGCCGAGGTAGATGATGGAGAATGCTGCACTGGATCCATGTTTGGCACTTTGGAATTAGACATCTGTTTGAGAACTTTAGGCAGAAGATATTTTTAAAGCATTATTTAAAGAAATAGGGAGACATTTCCAATGTATACATTCAGCAAGTAAATGGTTTACTGCAGCTTAATCAGGCTGACTGATTCAGCATAATAGGATTTTTTGCAACGTACCTCTGTCCCGAGGTGCAAAAAAAGTTGATATAGAGCTCTGTTTGGTCTTTGGCATCTCCATTTTGGTCTGGGTGAAATTGAGTGCCACAGCCAAACTGTATCCTCCGCCTCCAGCAAAGGGATTCAGCTGTTTAGAGATGGGACGGGCAAGTCGTTTCTAGAAAAAAAAAAGAAAAAAAATCAGCCATGAAGGTTGAAATGTGATCCTACTAAGACACTGAAGTGCAACAAAACTGAGGAAATTTGAACTTTCAAGATGATTTCCTGTAATCGGTATTATTAACATCTGCTTTGAACAAGTTATTAAATGTAATAATTCACTGCTTTATGACATTTAATAAAATAGCCATTCAGTCAGATATTAAATAAAGTTTCCACAATCACCTGTTTAGCTCTTCCTTTCAGTTGCACAGTATCCAGCCAAACACCACATTCCTCTTGAGCAGAGGTCTGCAGTGACGGTTTAGAGGTCTTCATAGCCGAGTGCGAAGAACAGATCTGTAAAACATACAATAATATTTGTGCGTAGGATAATGTTGTTTTTTCTATAATACCTACACTGCAAGATTGATCAAAAGGCAATTTTTCAAACCTATAATTAAAATGGACTAACATTAATTCAACTAACAGAATCAACGGTTGTTAAATTTCAATTTCAATTGTCTTGAGCGACATGCAGCTCACTAAAAGTGCCGTTTCTAGGTGACTTTCCTCGTCGTTATCTAATTCACATCATGAGTAACGTTAGTCGACAAACTAAATCAGATAACTGCTTGTTGACTAGCTAACGTTAACTTTAGTTAGCCATTAGCCAATTTCGTCAACAGCTAACGATGTGTTACTTAATGCACCTAATTATGATATATCAGAACTGGCCTCATGAAATTGTACAGGAATACTTTAGCTTATCTTTAAAAACTCTTAACTAAATTTACCTTCTTCAGAAATTCGGTCCCGATACCGTTTGAGTCTGGCGCCTTGACGATAGACTACCGTAGATGTTGCCTGACTGACAATGATGTGATTGAGCCTTTAAATGCGTTATTTACTGCAACAACCTCTTTAAAATGGGTGATTAACAGAGTTGCAACGTTTAATGATACATTAGCGTTACTTATGTTAATATGCCAGTATTAATCTCAAAGGTTATTCATTTTAGTGAGGCACAACGGCCACCTAATATTTTGACGTCTGCGGGTCCTCACGGGAGGGAGTGTTTACATAGTCGTCACAGCTGTTTCCCGGAAGGTAGGGGAAATGTATTTTAATTTCGTCTATTAAACACCGATATTGAACAATTCTGTGGGTGTTCTCCACGTCACCGGGGTTATGATTACTAATACAAACTTTAGTGTTCGCAAACGGCTACCTATATCGCCGAGTTATAGTAAGGCATAAAGGGATTGATTGATAGCTAGCCTCAACAGCTAACGTTAACTTTGGGCTAGCTAGTCTGGCAAAACAAGAAATCGAAGGCTTCGGTAGGCTGAAGGGTTTTCTCTAATTCTCCGTGAATCACCAACTTCTTTGATTCCATTGTAAGATTGGTAATCTTTTAACTTTTGTTTCGTGTTAGCTGGCAGGTCTTAAACAGATTTCTAAAGCATTGCATATCAGTTTTAACAACAAGGCCTACAAGTATCACATTTAAATGGTTTGCATTGTTCTTACGTAGGTTGGCAAATACCTTAACGTACATAAGTACGTTTCTGTATGTATAACGTTACAATTTACTCGAATGGGGTGTACCACCGTCTACGTAATTTTGTTGGCTCAGTTGTCAGGACAGAATAAATTAACTTCAATGTCTCGCACCCAAACCCGAGTGCTTTACCGCACCTAAACAGGTTAAATGTATCTGGTAGCCTCAGAGAATGGTTGTTGTAATGATTAAAAGGAACAAAGGCGCGTCTCTTATGCCTTAAACAATGGCAATGACAATACAATTGTGCCGATGCTGGTCTTTCTTACAGGTTGATGTCTGACTTCATAAACGTTTTTATTTATTCATTTCTATGCTATTGCAGGCCTTGCCCGCACCCCAGAGTCTGGTGCATTATAACACACCTATAATACCAAAAAGAAGAATGTCTTCTTCACCATCTTTGGCTTTGTCACACCATTATTACCGTCATTACCGTCGTTAGTCAGTTATTAAAAAACATGTAACTTAAATCTTTTTCAGATCAAGTTTGGATATATCTGCATCATGTTTCATGGTATACCAGTTACAGGAGGTGTGGGAGGAGGTAAACCTTTTTAATATGTCTAATTTATTTAAATTAGGTATTACAACTATTCAATTATCCTCATTTCAACAGTAAATTATAGTTAATGTCACTGTCATTTTTTTCCTCCACAGCTCCGGCCAATAAACCTGAGTTATATGAGGTAAATGAAAATACTTTCGTATGCCTATATTTAGGTTTAGCCAACAGGATTTGTAATATAACCTAAATAAACTGTATTTTAATATACATATTTACATATGATATTCCCCTTATTATCTGTTGTAAAACGTTCCTACAAAAATCTTGTCTTTTCAGGAGGTTAAATTATACAAGAATGCAAGAGAACGAGAGAAGTAAGTGTGTGACATACATTACCAAGTACAAGCCTGTTACAAACCTAGGAACTAAGGCATTCATAATGTTGTTGTTGTTGTAACATATCATTATTCATCCTTTTTATGAAGGTATGACAACATGGCAGAGTTGTTTGCTGTTGTCAAGACCCTTCAGGCCCTTGAGAAGGCTTACATCAAAGACTGCGTGACACCAAATGAGTGAGTTATACTTGAGTTGCAGTCTGTGTTTAAAAGACAGAACATTCCTTCTGTTACTTTGCTTGTATATTTTTTAATTAATGTGCTGGACTTGTGGGTTTCAGGTACACTGCTTCCTGTTCCAGGCTGCTGGTTCAGTATAAGGCTGCTTTCAAACAGGTGCAGGGCTCTGATGTGGGGTCCATCGACGATTTCTGCCGAAAATACAGAGTGAGTTATTTTTTAGAGTGCAGAATAATTTATAAACTACTTTACTTTGAACATTTTCCACAAATTAGCAGTAAAAATTTTCTACTGGTTAGTTTTTCTTAGTAAGGATGCTACTTCTGTCCTTTTGTTTCCTAGCTCGACTGCCCACTAGCCATGGAAAGGATTAAGGAGGATCGGCCAATCACCATCAAAGATGACAAAGGAAACCTCAACCGCTGCATTGCAGATATAGTTTCTGTGCGCCTCTTTTTTTTTCTCTCCAACATATAAGAGTGTGTCTGCCAGAATCTAAAGTTGTAATTGTTTATAAAATGATATAGTATTCAGTTTAAGTGGTTTCACTTGATTTGGCTCATCCTGTGGTCAGTCATTGAAGAAGGTGAATGGGCATTCCCAGCTGTATTCACTGAAATTGTGGTTGTGGCAAAGACTGTTGCCTGCAGTGAAAAAAAATCTATATGAATGTATGTATATATATATATATATATATATATATATATATATATATTTATTTATTATTATTATTTGTCGGTGCTTCAGGAAGTTTTTAAGTATGTGTGAGCACTCACTGTTCGTCATTGTTTCTTTCAGCTCTTCATAACTGTGATGGACAAGCTGAGACTGGAGATCAGGGCCATGGATGAGGTAAAGAAAATAAAATAAAAAAGGTCAAACAAAATCAGACGAATTCTTTGAACTGTTTTAAATGATTATTTTCTATTGGTCCAGATCCAGCCAGACCTGAGGGAATTGATGGAAACCATGAACAGAATGAGCAACATGCCTCCAGACTCAGAGGCTAATGACAAAGTCAGCCTTTGGTTAGTATCACTAATTCAAAGAATCTTTATGTGTGTATTTACATTACATTATGTGATATGGCTCTGAAATTGATACTCTGTCATCCAAAGGAGCAGAATTTATGGTTAATGGGCAACAGGTTGACACTAATAGTAGGATTATAATGACTGAAGGTTAATTAGTACTACTAATTCAAATAGTAAATATACACTTATAATTGTTATATGTTATTTTCTCCATAGAATTACAAATGGTCATTTCCTTTAATATACTTTTTATTATGAAATTTAAAGAGTTGCTTGACTGTTTTTCACTCTGATCGTCAGTACTGCTAGATATACATCATTATGTGAAAAGTTTTGCCATTAATGTTATCTATCTTTTTTTATTCATTTATTTTTAATTCTCACCAGGTTGACCACCCTCAGCAGCATGTCGGCCTCTGACGAGTTGGATGATAACCAGGTGCGCCAGATGCTGTTTGATCTTGAGTCGGCCTACAACGCCTTCAACCGCTTCCTCCACTCTTCCTGAAGCATTCGTCCACCATTGATCCATCTGTCTGAAATTCGGACTCTAATATCTATTAAGTTATAAAAAGAAACTCTACTTTTTCCTTCTGGTTATTGGTGGATTTATATCTGTGCAGGTTTTTTGTCTCATATCAACCAAGGTCTTACCTATCTAATTTCCTACTTCGGTTTTGCAGTGCACAACAAACTGGCATGATACAATTATATTGGCCAAAGTCAACACTTTGCCCATAGGTTGCTGCAGGCAGGGTTTTGTATTTGGAAGATTAGATTGTTTTTCTCTTTGGTGCCCTAATTATATTACATACCTGCCACTTGGGGCCATATAAACACATTTTGCTCCATGTAACAGTTTTATATCATGTTATTACTAAAGAATCCTGCAATAGTTTTTTCGGATAGTGTAAAAGTGGACTGTTGGGAAATGAACGCAGTTGATAGTTTTAAGATTCAACTGCACAAGAATTTGATAGGGAAATTTGTGTTAACATAATTCTTTAGTTAGGGGAGCACATTGCAATTTATCATTGTAAATAAGTTTAAATGAGCATGTAACTTTTTAGAAATAAAGGTGAAAAAAAATGTGTGATCAAATTTATTTGACCCAAGAATAGAATCAAAACGCAACCATGTTTCGACTTCTGTTTATGCTGTCTTTCCCGATGAATTGTGTATCTGCTAAGCACCCTTTTGCTCTATGACAAGATTCATTTGTTGTAAAAGTAACCTTTGACCACTCATCCCACTATGTTACAAATATCTGGTCAATGAGAAGTCACTTGGAAAAGTATCAACTGCAGGTTAATTGCCTGCCCCGAATACCAAATTGCACTGACTGTTAGAATATAAGTCTATAAGTGCTATTATTGTGCTCAGCCAACAATATGGTCTTTGACCTTGTAACAACCCAGTAATGCAAACAATAGCTCATGTCAAGACCAATGCATTTTATATTACTTTACTGAAGATCATGATACTGTCAACAAGTCAAAGCCCATTTGTTGAAGGCCAAGATATCTGAAAAGACTAACAAAAAATGTGTGCCTTTATAACTTAAGGCAGTAAGCAGGTCAGTGCAGAACAAATATGTAGTTATCCATACGATTAGAAGGAACAGACTTACTTAGTTCAGTTCTATTCTGATCTTTCTTTACCTCCAAAGCTGATATGGGTCCCAGTCTAAAAAGTGAAAAACACCTTTAAGTTAAAAATAAACTGATAAATTAGCTACAGGGACATTTGACTAATAAGGAACCCAACCTCTGCAGGTGTATCCCCAGTCTGGTCAGTAAAACGAGATCTTAACCATTCTAATTTCTGTACTTGCTTGGTCGGACTGCTCCCTATTTCTTCCGTGCTATAAAACCTATAGAATATCAGTTGAAAAAAAAGAGGAACTTCTTTTGATTGGGAGTATTTGGATGGAGGCCAGGAAATACAAATATGTGCAATTACAGAGGAAGCACACCCATATGTCTGATCTCCCTGACAACACGGTGATGTCCGCCACTGAAGCCGTGAAGCTGCGGCTCCTTTAAGAACCAGGCGGCAGCGTTATTTGTTGCCAGGACGACCAGCAACGACAAAACTCAGGCTTCGACAGATTGTGGCAGCCAGCAGTGTGGGAATATCGAAACGTGTAGTGAGAACAGCTCGGCAAACAACAGCCGATTTTATACAGTTGGAGGTGTATTTTTTCATTCTCTAAATGTATTTATAACGGACCACCTATGCAGGCGATCTAACGTTAGATGGTGTGTTGCTCGGCGTTGCCGGATAGGATTCAAGCTGCAGAAAGGATCGCGCTGCCACGCACGTTTTTTACTGCGCGTTGACGAAATTATCGTTCAATTTGAAGCTGCATTTATGACGGACGTCGCTCCGCTATTTAGTCATTTCTACCAAGGGTTTTAGCTGTTTTCCGGAATTCGAAAACCGCTGATCTCTTTCAGAAACCATTCAACGGGCACGGTGAGGCTTTCTGCTTGAGCAGGGGAACGCATGCACGATTTTAAACAAAAATACCAAAATGAGCAAAAGATCAACAAATGTGCCTGAAGTGGAGGACCACATTTCTCTGAAGTATGAAATCAAGAAGAGACTTGGTAAAGGGGTGAGTGACCGTTTTGTATTTTAATCAACTAGATATCATTTCTGCCCCTTTGACTCGAATTGCACTTGCACAACTTCTGTAAGTTACTCAACAGTTTTTCGTTTGAAAAAAACACCCCTATTTACATCAATCTCTTAAACAGTCAACATTAATGTACAGACAAAGAGCTCTCTGTCTGTACATTTATGTCGACTACCTCCTTAAGCCCCCTCTGCACTGAAATTGCTGAAATTACCCAGACTTAATGCCCTAAATACCAGTGATGTAGCAAGGTTTTTTTATTTACTCTGGCAGGACAAACTCTATCCTTGCAGATCAGCTGATGTGTGAGGACACTTGGTCCCTTTTAGAGTCTACACCACACTGTGTCATCTGCCACAGCACTTCCATGGTTTCTTTCCATGAAACGTCCACAGAGGCTCACAAATTGCGGCTTTGTTTGCAATGGCCAGGTGGGCGTCATAATGGCTAAATAGAAACTGTGGGCTTGTGACTGTTATACTGCTGCTTAACCTGTTTACAGTTGGTGAAGGCCTCCTTCGTAGTCATAATGAGCAGCAACAGGCTAATGCTAATAGGCTTTAGAGGGCCATAACATGCTGTTACAACAGCAGACATTGCTACATTGTTGCTGCTGAATAAACTGTGTTTTGAAAACTAATTCCTGACTCAAGTTGTCGATTACGACAAAAAAACGACCTGATTCACACCCGGGCTGTGTGAATCTGATCCATGCTGCTCTGATGCTCCACCTCACCGCGGCCTATGTTATGCTTCACCTTCACCGTCCTCACCGCGAGCTACTATTGAGGACACAGAGATCATGTCTTCACCTTTTCCTTTATGGTGCAATAGTAAACATTTTGGCTAATTGAAAAAGCAGGTACCAATGTTTTGGTGTCCTTGGAGCAGTGTTTCTCGTGCTAAATGTAATGTACAACAATTAACTATGTTAAATGATTCCAAAAAAGATAGGGGAATAGAAAACCTAAAATGATTAGAACATTTAGCTGAATTTCACATCTGTATTAGAGCAGCTGCATGGACTTATGACCACTTTTTTCTCTCACAGGCTTATGGCATCGTATGGAAAGCAGTTGACAGACAGACAGGTGAGATTGTGGCTGTGAAGAAGATCTTTGATGCCTTCAGGAACAGGACGGATGCCCAGGTGTGTGCTTTGTGTGTTTGCTATAAGTACCAATAACCTAAGTCATTATTGGAACCTGTGTTAACTTTATACAAGTAATATTGTGTAGCAAATTAGTTTAAAAACCTTTTTCTGATAATTGTCCTGCAGTAAATTTGCCTTTTCCATAGAAGGACAATTTGGCTAATGACTACACTGTTTGAGAGGCTTGTGTGTATAGTTAATGGCCGCGTGTGTCGCTTGCAGATTACTAATTGTAATTTTCTTTCCTTTCGCAGCGCACATTCAGGGAAATCATGTTCCTCCAGGTGACAATAATAGTTGTGTTCTCAGCCCCATTTCTTCACATTTGCTTCCCTCTATATCTGTCTTTGTCCAGTCTCTTTCATAGTACACAAACCATTTGGGACTCTTTATTGTAAACACAGACTGCTGTGTCTGAGATACAGTTCCTTACTCTTGAGTTAGCGAATGATTGCCTATTGATTGCCGCAAAAGCGTGCCTCCACAACAAAATGAAAATTCCTTTTATGCTCTTTTCTATGAACACCTTTACAGGTAAATAGCTGCCTTATTAAATGCAGCTACGGCAGTTCCTCCCCCCCTGCTCTCACACACAATGTTTATTGATTTATGAACATGCTCCAAAGGTTTCTGAACCGATTTGGCAGCTCTCCGGTTAGCTGTGTGAAAACCATTGAGCAACCCAACTGGCACAGTGTGTTTAAAAAATGGACAGTAACAAACTTCTACTTTATTATTATCTGTGAGGAGATTGACCATGCAACAATGTACCTGTCTAACATTGCTTTACATCAACACATTCCTGTTTAACTCTTAATCTTCTGACCTACATTCCTATGACTGTAAACTACCTCTGGCCCCTAATCTGCTGTTGTAATCTTCCAGTGAAATTCCAGTGTTATGGGCATGGGATTTATAGTGACCATTATGTAATATCAGTATGGATCTTTCCCCTGTTGTTTACACAACCTTTACACCTGGCAGATACGGTGGCAGTAGCCCTGCCTTTCTATCTGCAGTTTCTATTACTAAAAATAAAAATTCTGTGTTCAGGAGTTTGGAGATCATCCCAACATTGTCAAGCTTCTAAATGTCGTGAGAGCTCAAAATGATAAAGACATATACCTCGTCTTTGAATATATGGGTGAGTGCTGCACGTTCTTTTGTAGAAAAACAAAGCTTCAAACAATGATAGTTAAACAGCTCTGACATCAGCATGGTGACGATTTATGCTGCATTGGTTTTAAGCAGTTTAACTTGAAAAAGCACTGATGCACTGAAAAAGCTGGCTGCACCATCTTTATTGCTGATTCCACAGATTGACTAATCCATGACTGTACACCAGAATCTAGCACACACTGCCACTGTTTCTTTCTGGGACTTGATTGAAATCATTGTGAGATTAGGGAAGGTCATGTGTTCTATACCTCAATGCCAAAATCACCAATAACAGATGGCCATTTACAGTTTAATCTTTGGTAGATGTCACTGTGACAGTCATATTCTCACACATTTGTTCCAGATACCGACCTGCATGCAGTGATAAAGAAAGGCACCCTACTGAAGGACATCCACAAACGCTATGTGATGTACCAGCTCCTCAAAGCCATCAAATACCTGCATTCAGGAAATGTCATTCACAGGGACCAGAAGGTACGTCATGTGTTCATTATTAAGCCTTATCCGTTTCTGAGAATTCCAAGTATATGTTTTGGAAAAAGAAAGGAGGAACGAAATCAAACTAAACTACCGGCATTGTATCTGTACCTTTATGGTATCACATGTCAATGATTTCCGTTCATCTTATCATTGCGCCTTACTTTCTCAACTATTCAGTGTTTGGTTTTTGATTTCACAAGTTCAAGTTGAGCTCTTCAAATTGCTTGATTTTGTCGACTAACAGTCCAAAACCTAAAACGTTTCAGTCTATGCTGATGGAAAACCCACAACACGTCTTAATTGTTACAGATCTAATGTCCAAATACTGTTTCAAATGTTCAAAATCATTTACACCTGCACACCCGCATTCCTAGAGAGTAGAATTTCTCTTCTATTCGGCGTCTGTCCATTCCTCATGCTATTTGTTTTCACACCTTACACAAGTTGCTCAATTTGACCTCTCTGTAGATAAGTGAAAGCCAAACTATTATTGTCCCTGTGAAGTGTTTCTCTTGTCTGTGTTTCCCACAGCCGTCCAATGTGCTGCTGGACACTGACTGTGTAGTCAAGCTGTGTGATTTCGGCTTGGCCAGATCCCTCAATCAGATCCAAGAGGACAGCGGGAATCCAGCACTGACAGAGTACGTGGCGACGCGGTGGTACCGAGCTCCTGAGATCCTGCTGGGATCCACAAGGTATCAGCCGGGATCTGTGCCACATGTTCTTGTTGTGCTTTTTTCTTCAATAATAAAGCAGGTGACATTAAAACGTTTGAATTCAAGGGGAAAAACCCTTCTGTGGAAAGTAAGTGATGCGTGTTTTAGACTGTAAGAGGTGTACATCTTGTCTGAAGGTACACTAAAGGTGTGGATATGTGGAGCCTCGGCTGTATCCTCGGAGAGATGCTGCTGGGAAAAGCCCTGTTTCCCGGGACATCCACCATCAATCAAGTAGAGAAGATCATCAGTGCCATACCACACCCCAGCGCCGATGGTGATTGAAGAACTCCAGATTAAATTAATTTAGACAACTCACGCATTACTTTCAGTAATGGGCGATTACTACTAAAATGTGATTCAATTTTCAGATGTTATCGCAATCAAGTCTGAATATGGATCCTCTGTCATTCAGAGAATGTTACTAAAGTAAGAAAACTTTGTCCTATGTCTGAAAATCCTACCGTACAAAGCATGTTAACAATGAAATTATTTTAAATATTTTATATGTGCAGCCTACTTGTAAATATAAATAAACAATGCATATTTTTATTTTCACTCAGTCAGCTCAGATGGATTGCTTTCTATGTAAACACAGTGTGTGCATAGTTGATGCTGATGCTTCACCTCTTTCTGACCTTGTGAGTCCTGGCAGAAAGTGAGTTTTGTGAGTGGTTATGACAAATGTCCTCCCCTCCACTGGGAAGTGGAGGTGATGGTGGGGCTGATTACAGTTCCCGATCAGAGAGACAGGCCAGTAACTATTGTGGAGAGGAAGTGACAAAAAAGTATTGATACTATTTATCTTTTGCTTTTGTCATTCTGTTACAGTAGTGGAGTACTAAATATCCAAAGTAGCCTTTGAAACACCTCCTTTCCTTCCTTCACCAGACCACGGGTGCCTTTTGAGGAACTTCTCCAGGCCTCTTCGCCTCCTGATGCTCTGGACCTGTTGAGAGGTTTACTAGTTTTCAACCCAGACAAGCGGCTGACTGCTGAGCAAGCTCTGCAACACCCATATGTAGCCAGGTATTTTTTATCAAAAATTTAAACTAATTAATTGAGTGGCAAAAGTCTCCTTTAACAGTAAAATGAATATAAACTGCATAGTTAGAAGTTTATAGAGATGAATATGCAGTAAATGATGGCATTTTAGTTCCATTAGATCTGATGTACCCATATTTGTGTTTTCTGTCTCTGGAGGTTTCATAATCCAGCCAAGGAGCCCGCTCTTAACTATGACGTGGTGCTAACAGTGGATGATGATGTACAATTATCTGTTGTTCAGTACCGCAACCAACTTTATGAGGTGAAAAAATCTAATCAAATGTTGTCAAACTTATTCTTCAATATTTTAGATAGCAGGAATTACACAATGAAAACAAATTGTCCTCATTACCTTTTAGATGATACTGGAGAAAAGGACTACTCAGGGGGTGCTGCGGCTGATCCAGCCAGAACATGGAGACTGTGTCAGCAGCACTCAGAGGCCTCATGGGAAGGACGAAGTAGAGAAGTGCGCAGTGGCAGTAGATGGGGACAAAGACCGTGAGGGGAAAACGCAACATGAAAAGACTGAAGAGACAAACCACGAGCCTTCACATCTTGCCGTCACTAAACCTGAACCCGCGAACGAGCCTGCTCCTCCTGCAGTTGGGAAGACAAGTCTATTATCCAGCCCTTGTTTTGGAAAACTCACATACAACCCCATCACACATGCCCCAAGTATGTCTGAATTAATTATTTTCCTGAGCCAGGTATCGGAATTCAAAACCTTTTTGGTACTGATTAAAATATGTTCATAACACACAGCCTGAATGTTATATTATTATCACAGTATTATATCACAATGTCTAGGTCTATAGAATATTTGAAGAAAACGTTTGGAGACAAAAACAATAGTAAATGCTTTCAGTTGAATTTATAGCTTTATGTATTGCACGTTTTGTCTCTACTTTTTAGGTGAATGATACAATTAAAGTGGGTTCGTAGGGAGGTGGAAAGAGTGTCTTTAATTGTACATAAAATTATTTGAGAGGCACTGGATTATTTACATTATCAGATTTAGATCAATGTGGTACAAATATTTTAAAACATGAACACCAATATCAACAACAACAAATCTGAACCAAACAACACAGCCACATGCATTTTACATAAATCTCTCAAACACTGTATCTAACCACACTGTCTCAGGTAGCAAACTAAAACCCCTTTGTTTTCCTCAGATGGTTTTGTTAAAAGTCCAGTTGGTCCTCCTCATTACTACTCCTCTGCTGCAGCCAGCAGGAAACTAATGGGACAGACCAGTAATGGAGGTGTAACAACATCACCAACAGAGGGCGCCCACACTAACGTAGTAAGCAATACACCTCAGTCTAATTCCTCTTCAGTTTCATTTTCTCAAGCTGTGACCTTGTTTCATTTGCACATTCTCTTCTCTCCTACTCACGATGTTACTGTGGCTTGGCCGTTAAGTTGCTCTGTGCTTGTCCCCACCTTCACCAGTCAATGGACCAGATTCTCCAGCGCGGTCGCTCAGCCCCTGGGGCCCATAACCGCTCTTTCTCCTTGACCCTAAACCAAACCCAGAGCAATCCGCTGGTTCGCAAGGATGAGCTTTCCCTGACCTCTGGGCTATGTGTCACATCTGCACGCCTGGTGGGTACGCCACATCTCAGGTCGTCTAAAATATAACTCGATGCCCGGATGCAAAACAAAAGATATATGCATATTTTTAAGCTGGATGGCTTGTTTAAATTTGGTTTTATTTCCATGTAGAACCAGCGTTCCAACTCTCAGGTTCGGGAGGCTCGGCCCCCGACACGGTTCAGCAAGAAGGTATTTCAGAGTAACTGTAACGTGGCAGCTGCAGGCGACCCGCGAGCCAAACTTGGCAGCTATTCTCAGGCCTACGGTACCATCAACAAAACGGATCTGGACAACCTGCTTCGAAGCCGACCTTACAACCAGTAAGCTCTGCCGTGTCAGCGGTAACAAAGGGGCCGAACGAACACACGCGAGATTTGTCTTTGACAGGAATGTTAGACATGAGGCAAGCTGACAGTGAACTCGTTTATGTTGATTGTGTTCATGGAGATATGACTGTTGCTATTGATCCACTCAGCAAAAATTCTAACAAGGCTTGATTATCAACCCGACCAAAAAAAACTAAACTAAACTAATTATCACAGACAATAGGGGCCCGATGAATACTTTTTACCTTGGGTCCACAGGGTCACACCAGACATGATTTTTCATGTTTATCTGTGTTGCTAATGTGTTTCAGGCTAATGGTTTATGCACATGATAATTCTAAAATATGCATATTGTTGTTTGAATTGATTATGCAATAATGAATTGTTTTAATGTGAATGCAGCAGCAGTAAGCCTTGTTCCGATGTACAGAAAGAAAAAACATTAGTCTGTTGGTTATCTACCATGTTTAACATGGATGACTGTAATATACCACCAATGTTTGATAATAAACTGAGCTGAAAATGCTTTGATCCTTAAATACTTTGACCTCTTTGAGCTTCAAACTTGTATAAATATTACCTACAATTTATGGTAATTGGAAGTTTAGAGGTAAAACTCTCTTTGGAGAACTGCTAATAACATCTGAGACATGTCAAGGGGCCTCAAGCAGACACTGCTTTTTGTAAGAGGTCACAAGCCAAAAAGCCTGGAAACCACTGGTGTAGTTTTAAACAATGCTTGTATTTATAAGCTTATCATGTGAGCTTTCAACTTTTGACATTAATGGATTTAAGGTCTCGAACCAGGAAGTTGAAATGTGAAGTGAAAGTGTGCAGTAATAAATGATAGGATGGAATAAGTACTTTTTTTTTATCAACTCTTTAGTTTTATTTTGAATATAAGGATAGGCAGTAGAGAGTAGAAATACTCTGTAAGTAAAAGTATTGCATTAAAAATAGCCTTTACAAAAGGTACAAATAATATCCAAATTACTCAGAAAGGCCCGTTTCCAGAAAAAAACAATATACAATTGGGTAATAGTTGATGCATTAGTGTCACTTAAATGTCACAGTTGATCAATGAGGTTATTTTAAAAATATGTTTTAGTATATACTTATACTTAATGTATTAATTGTACCTATACAGAACATAAACTGCACATTCTATTTATCTCTCTCATATGACCCTAACGAAAAGCACTGCGTCATTATAGCGGGAGCGAATGTACGCGGTGTCCGTTTGTGTAACGGAGTTTCCCAGACACCACGTGACCGCTTCGTTTGGCGTCGTCAGAGGCTCGAGAGACTCAGCTCGGTTGTTCAGTCCGAGTCCAGCGACCAGGAGGAGGGAGAGGCAGAGCTAATGTGGGCAGCCGCTGTCAACTAAACACGTTAACGGTACGTGGCTTTGGACTCTGCTGGGTCCACGTTGCTTGTGTGTGTGTGTGTTTAATACGTCGAGGCGGTTGGATTAACGCGGTGAAATACGCCGGTTTGTGCTGCTAGCCAGCGAGGCTGTCGTTAGCAACGGTCAGCATCTCGCCCGTCGCCAACTGTCACGTGACGTAACGTCAAGCGGCAAATCGACACAAACAGATGGCGTTAGCATAACGCTGCGTTTACAGCGAGATAGCCGCAGTGAGTCACAGTGGTAATCAACGCAGAGCGCCGTTAAACTTTATCCTAAAAAACAGAAGAAAATACTCTTTGATCAAACATGGCGAACGGGGGATGCCGTACACCTACCGCCCAACGCTAATCACTCACCGTTTATCCATGTGTCGTGCACAATGGCGGTGCTGCAAGCCTCGGGAAAACATTTGTGAGTTTGCTGTTGAAGTAACGGAAAGAGATGCTCTCGGTGCCGCAGTGTTGGTCTGCGGTCGTGGGGCCCGACGTCGGATGGAGGTGCGCCACGACAACGAGGCTCACTGTGTATTCATGTGTCTGTTGGAGCTTTCTGGTGTCAGCCTTTAAACAACATAAATAACGTTATATGTGTAACATAATATCCTCTTTTTTAGTCCAGGGTGGTCTAAAAGTGGCGTCCCTGTTGCATTTCGGTGTGTTTATAAGTCACTATGCATTGCATGCAATTCATATAACGTCGTGTGGTGGTTTTCAGCTGTGAATGATTATATTTTTGTTTCTTTGTAAAAAAAAAGTCCCAACATTCATTCTTTCAAGGTTTGTGAGTTGTGAGTATTTACTCCTCTTGTTTTAAATATTTGTAGACCTTATTTATTTAAAAGTTTCTATGATCAATTGAATAGCTGTTTGAGTAATGACCTTAATGACCTTGCTTTAGAAAATAGTGACGGACATTCCACACTGTATTCTGACATCTAGTAGAACCAACAAATGAATGATAAATAAATACATTATATAATATATTTTAATTACAGTCATTTATATTTCATACTGTACTAAGAAGTACTGTGCAATAATAAGGTAACGTCATAGCCGGTCTTGGTCCTAACACTTAAATCTAGTTATGATATATTTAATTCCATGTCATGAAATTGATATGTATGATTAACTGCTTAGTTAATAAATCAAGAGATTAATCATTTCATTTATTTTAAAATAAAAATGCATTATTAACTACAGTTGCAGCTTCTTTCCTCTGATGAATGTTATTGTATCTTAACATATTTGGGACTGTTGGTGGAAGACACCACCATCGGCTGTGATGGCCTCTGACAATGTTCTCACATTTTACTGACCAAATTAAATATATTGATTAATCAAGAATGTAGTAGCCGTAGTATTGTAGTTTCATTATACACTATACCCAAAGAAATAAATACAGTTATGATAAGTGTGTTTTGCTTTAACTTCTGTTTGGTTGGATTTAGACTTTTACGGATCAGTTGGTTTGTAATGGCGAAAAAGGAAAAATAACAATGAGGTAATTTGCTTTCGCCGTACTCTTCAACTGCCAATGGTTTCCCTCTGTAAAGAGTGAATCACTAATATAAGATACTTTTGAGAAGTAGCATTTCTCTCCAGTTATAACAACATCATTTACATTGCACCAACAAGAAAATGTTATACTTCTAATAATCCTTAATATTTTGAACTGAACAACTTTGTTACAACAGGATAAACTGGTGTTAAACCAATTCATGTTCATTTTGTAAATTTTTTTTTTTAAAGAATAAACGAGAAGTCATCCACCATGGTTGCCGGATGTTACCTCACTCTGCTGATCCACCTAAAGTTCAGCCAACTGCCACAAGGCGCGGTGTCGGTATGGTTTGACATAGCAATTGCTGCTGACTCAGCACGGTGAAAAAATCTCGCCTGAGAGCTTCATCGGTTGTCAGCGACTCAGTGGGGGATTTATCTACCAGGTGGTCTAAATGGAGTTTTAATAAAGGCGCTTCAAGGATTTAGATTAAAATCATCTTTCTGTTGTTGATAAAGTGTTTGAAACAACCACATGGGACTTTGTTAAGCGCAAAATGAGTCAGTCATTATGTGACTGTGAAACAACATCACTTATTCTTTGAAATAAGCTCATTTTAACCAGGCACCAGACATTTCAGCACTCAGACCTCCGTATGGGCCCCACTGCTTGTTGTGCTTGTTCCTGTTAGCACTGGATTTCCTCGTGTTGCTTTGACGTGCGCATAGGATGGTGTATGTGGGTTAGTCGAGGTATTGTGTTAGCTTAATTGTGTGACACAACATGACTCTCTGGCTGGCCCACTGAACCCCACCCCAACCCACCCGAATTCCCCTCACGATGGCTATCAGCAGAATTCAGAGATAGTGGCGCTGTTTTTATCCATCTAGCCTAAGAGGATTTGAAATGACCCACGTAATGCTCGGAGAGCTGTACATAAACCTATTCACGCTTCTCAAAAATAACTGTATTGACAGGCTTCACTTTTGCCACAGACATGGAAGTGAAACCGTTGTGGTTGTTGAACTATTTTTGTGGGTTGAATTGAGTGGCTGCCAGGCAGGGCACTGACTTTTGATGTTTTTAAATCAAGTACTTTTTAAACAATTACAGCTTTAATAAAATCACAACGAGCATGTGTTTTTGCAACACATTATAAACCAGACTGTAACTGGCGTGATGTACAAGTACCCTGAGAACAGTATGTTTCTTCTATCAATAAGATTCTTTCACATGTGATTTCAGCCTCATATCCCAGCACTGACAAGGAGCGCCAATCCTCTCCTGTCCAGAGCTACAAACCTAAATGCTTTACATGGACGTTGGACAGGGAGGGATCACATGCTTTGACTATATGTGTGTCACATGATTAGTTATGGACTTATGTGTTATTCAGTTACATTTCCGGGTTTCCTCAGACCACCGATGTCCTGTCCTGTGTGACACGAGTGAATAAAACCTTAGTTGTGTTACAGAATTACTGTCTAGGATGTTTGTCATTTCATGTTAGGGGACTGATCATTTATAACAAAACTATATTGAACACAGAGCAAACATTTCAACGATAGATTGCTGCACTCAGTGTGCTGTATGCCGCCCTTACACAACCATTGTTGTCCGGAAAGCCGGCAGGGATTTGGCTCCTCAGATAATAATTGTAATCTATTATGATCTCAATGGAGACTGTCTGTGTAAAGCAGAGACAGCCATGTTTGTCTACAGTGTCTCATTGCACTGTCCCAGTGATCCACAGACCGATCATGTGGACACACACCAGACTCTGCATGCGTTTACCAGGGAGAATTGGAGCAGTGTTGCATAACGCTTACCGCGCGCGTGGCCTAGAAAGGGAGAGAAAGATGGAGGGAGTACGAGAAACGGTAAGCTTGATTTCTAACATTCTAATCTGGCACTGAGTGGGTATTTCTTTTCTCATATATATTCTATATTTGTTTGTGGTATGTGTGAAAGAAATAGCATCATGAGAACTGAGGGTGTGTTTTCTCGTGTATGCATTGTCATGTATTATTTATACAGCTGCACTGTGGCTGTAGTTCACACAGCAGTGTTCTACCACCGTGTGCAGTGTTTCCGCTGCAGACTCAAGCTTTCACTTTATATTCAGCAATTAGATGAATGGCTTTTGGCTCCCACCCTGCTGGCAGAGAGTTACAGGTCTTTGGTATGAAACCTGCATAGTACATTCCAAAGCACTATTCAACCTTGTGCATCGGACGTCACTTGCGGAAGGATTTCTGTTTTCTAGCGTGCATTCCCGTGGGAGGGACACTGCGGTAATGGTCATTATGTCAGGCCTCTTCCGGAAGCAAAGCAGATTAATGATACGTTTTGTTACCAAGGTACCACCTTCGTTGATGGGAATAATGTCGGCACAGGCGGGGAACAGACTTTGCCGTCTCCTCAATTTCTCCGTCCATTGCTGTACTTTCTACGCTGGCTAAATCAATGTTGTTAGTGTTGGTGATTGACAGATTGATGTATGAATAAAGCCTGTCATCTCTGGTTCAAGTTTCCACTGAGAGGAAGTGGATTCACAGCTCTAAAAAAAGATCCACCACATCTGTGGTCAAACCGTTATTTAAGAAGTTTCACAGACATGTAACAATGACAATGACATACTTACTCAAAATAATATCCTCCACGAAATGCTTAATATTCAAAGTCACTTTTTGGGCAAAAAGGTTAAACATCAACTATCTGAAAGTGTTCAAAACGAGGACAAAAAGTGTACGTTTGACTTGACATACATTTTTAAATGTCCACTTTAGTTGTATTCTTCGTTTTGATCTCCCTGATTCGTTTCAAGGCCTTGATTTGCAGCCAGGTGTGTTTCCTCCCCTGTGACCGCGCTCTCTTACCGGACTAGTGAGCTCTCCTCTACTGCAGGCGTAAAGGTCCTTTGGTGACTCTTCTCTTTTTGTACTTTCAGCTTTTTCCTGATCCCTCACAGCCTAGTTTTCTCACTTAGAGGCCCTGTATTCCTCAGAGGTTTCAGCGTCAATATCAGTTCTTTTCATGTTTGTCCACAACAGCACCATATGAAGACCAATCACATTTTGATGTATATCTGCCAAGTAAATACAATGTATATTGTAGGGGAAATTACTCAATCCACAAAAGGAATGTAAAAAGGCTGGATGTTAATTCATGAGAGAGAATGAACCTCTGTTCTCGTTTTGCTGCATCATGGTTTGATTGCAGGTCACCTTTTCAATCAGGGATATGCAGCACTTGTCTCTTTGCCAGTTTGGCCTGCACACTGAACCGTCATTACTTTTTCTCTGCTGACCTCTGAGACACTTGAGAGGTAATAAAGATGTTGACCTTGTAGGAATATTCATACTGAAACATACTTCTTGCCTGTGTAATGTACTCTATGCATATGTTCTTTTTAGGTGAGCTAATCCTAAATTGACTTTCTCCTCATCTCATAGATTGTTCTAGTAGCAGAGTGAGCCATCGGCCACATCATGTCCCAGGATAAGAGTGGATATCCTATTATGGGTGAGAGCAACCCGCTTCACAACAACGTCTATGGACCCCCTCAGCCGGGTTTCGGCATGCCCCCTCCCAACTACAGCCAAGCCCCCGGGGAGCCGTACCCCCCGGCAACCGGATACGGACAGCCAGGCTACCCCCAGGCAGGACCGGGCTTCGCCCCTGGTCCCTACCCTCAGATGCCTTATGCTCAGATGCCCTACCCACAGGGACCCTACCCACAGGGACCCTACCCCCAGGGGCCTTATCAGCAAGGACACCCGCAGCAAGGCTTTCCCGTTGACCCGATGGGTGAGTGGTGAAACCAAAGATGTGAGGCTTTAATGATCACACGTTGGTCCCTTCCTAGGCCACTTTGTTCTTTTGTTATTGGATACTCGAGTGTTAATCAAAGGCGATAAACCATGACACAACCAAAAAGTTAGCACATCATGTCACGTCTCTCTGCTAATATGAATATGCATATATCTGTCTCAGTTCAGTTAAAGTAACCAGTTTGAGAGGATTTTTTCCAGCGTTTGGATTTAGAAACTAAAGGCCTGTGAATGTTTGAAGAACTGTAAAAATGATTCTGATCAACATGAAAAGCTCTGTTGCAGTTTAGCTCAGTCTCATCACAGACAGCTGGTCAATCAGTGAGATCAATACTACCAGTATATCAGAGTTTTCCCAAAACACCACAGACACGTGTCCATTTATTTTGCCTGGCTTTTTTGGCAGTTGTTTAACAGAGAGCAGTGCACACCACATGTGAAAGGTTGATAACAAAACAAACCGATGGGCTGTTTTTTGTTGTTCCTTAGCTCCTACCGGCAGTCCTGGTTACCATGGCGAGGGGCCTCCATCTTACTACGACAATGAGGAGTTCAGTGACTCTGGCTTTGAGGACAAGACCATCAGACAAGCGTTCATCAGAAAAGTAGGCTCTTGACCATGTGGAAAAGATTAAATGCGTCAGATAAAGAGGGAAAAGTTAGAAGAATACAGGAAATATTAAAGAAAAAAAGCCACCATAACATCATTTCTTATCTCTCCCCTCAATCCTCCTGGCAGGTCTTCATGGTTCTCACGGTGCAGCTGCTTGTCACTTTCTCGTTTGTTGCTGTCTTCACCTTCGTCGATGAGGCCAAGTACTTTGTGCGGCGCAACCCGTGGACATACTATGTGTCCTATGCAGTCTTCTTCGTGTCTCTGATCGTCCTCAGCTGTTGTGGAGACTTCCGCCGCAAACATCCCTGGAACTTGGTCGCACTGGTAACAACTCGCCCTAAAGACAAATCCCCAAAAATGATGGATTAGCCATGTTGAAATAAATGACATCCAAACACAATTGTAGACCAGAGTGAGGAGCTTTGTATGAGCCCTTGAGTCAGTCTGAGTACCACTTGATGAATACGGTGCACCTTCGTATTCTGCAGTTTCAACTTTGATCAGTTGAGAAGCACAAAAAGATTTTCATCTGGAAATTAAACTATTCAAGTATGTGTGTGTGATGTGGCTTTAAGTCAGATAAATTCATCAGTCAGTCTTTAATATTCCAAACATCTACACTAAAGGCCGTGCAGATTGGTATGTTGTATTCTTTTAACAAACCGTCCGTGAATCTAGGACATCTAAAGTGTCTCATAAGTGATGTTGATTTCTTGTACGTATTTTCTGTGTTTTGCAGTCCATTCTGACCCTGAGTCTCTCCTACATGGTGGGCATGATTGCCAGCTTCTATGACACAGAGACTGTCATCATGGCCGTGGGCATCACTGCAGTCGTCTGCTTCACGGTCGTGCTCTTCTCGCTACAGGTCAGCACACACAAACAGCTGTTTTAATAAGTGTATTTAAATGTCTAAAGAATCAGATTTTCTGATTCAGTCTTGAGAAGAAAAATAAACTTTTAATCACGATGAATCGCGATTAATGAATTTCATAAGGTAAGGAGGGTTTAAAATGTGTTGAACTAAATTGAACTGAATTGAAACTTTTTTCTCATGTTTTCCAACGTCTTGTCTTCACAGAGCAAGTATGACTTCACTTCCTGTCGGGGCGTGCTGTTCGTTTGCCTGATCGTGCTGTTGCTCTTCGCCTTTCTCTGCATCTTCATCCGCCACAGGATCCTACACATCGTTTATGCCTCACTGGGGGCCCTGCTCTTCACTTGCGTAAGTTTCACACTGACACACAACTTCTCACAGTAAAATATGTGGGTTCTTGCCTCTATTTCGATCAGTTGGATGTCATTCCTAAGGAAAGGCTGTTCAATTCGTCAAAGGTAAATTCTCCAGTTGTGAGTTGATATTCGTGAAGCAATGGCGTCGAGGCGTCTGAATACAGTTCCCATTGGCATACAGATGATGTCCAGGGAACTTTAGTCTGCTCAATAATGGATAATTAGATCTGCATTATGTTTAAGGGGAAGGAATAAGATGTTTGCTTAGCAAGAGGAACTTGGGACATTAACTTTATTGTTAGAATCTGTGATCAAAACAGTTGTGAAAGGACATGAATGTTTTATTATACAGAGCCTGTGTTTTGGGTCGACACAAGAGGAAGACAACTCCATGAAGACTATTATTCAGTCAGATGAAAGAAGATGCAGAAGATGTCATAGGACAATTCTATATAGTATTCTATTAAGTATACATTTCACTATTGACCTTTAATATACTGCTCCATACTAGATGGGAAAGATTGCTTCTCATGGTGTCACCAACACAATCCAGTGTGACACCCAGGTTGTCTCAAAGCATATAAATAATATATATAAGCATATATATGTAGCATATATGTAACAGAACTCAATGCTATGAGTGACCTGTGAAAGTAATTAAATGGGTGGACCAATGAGATAGAAGTTCAAAGTAGTTTCTGATATTGGGAGGAAGGATTTTATTGCCCTGGGTGTTTTTGTTATTGAATTCAAATATATGTTGTAAAAGTTCAGCCAGGTTCAACTTTTTTGACAACCCTGCTTTTTTTGTGTGAGCCGTCTGCATGAGCACCCCCACTGCATGGATTACTGGTCCCATTCAAATGACAAAAGGCGCTTCGTTCTTTTATGCACTACTGTTGTCTCTAAACATCTTTCAAAATGACTAATTCCATCCTTATTTGCTCAATTCAGTTTTTGGCTGTGGACACTCAGCTCCTCCTCGGCAACAAGAAGCTGGCTCTGAGTCCAGAGGAGTACATTTTTGCTGCCCTCAACCTCTACACTGACATCGTCAACATTTTCCTCTACATCCTGGCTATTGTGGGACGCTCCCGCGAATGAGGATGCCCCTTGAAAAGAATACGTGGGAAAATTCCTCCCTTTTATTGTGAAATGTTGCTAACACGCTCTCTAACTCCTTCAGCCTTTTCCCATCTTTATTTCCTCTCCTATTGCACATACTTTTTTTCAACAGTCAGTTATGCTGTGAAACAGGTGCAGCCTGTCTTAAAATCCTACTGAGAGGGAAACTACTTATTTAACGGTCTTTCATTTTCCTCAATCCGACCAATGCGCTCGCTGTAACTGTGCTTCTACTAACACAGATGTCAACATTATGGCTACAGTACCTCATTCATACGTTACAAAATCTGTTATCCTGTGAATGCACGGCACTCAGCTTCGCCTTACTGCAAAAATTAAACAGAAAATGAGTGGGGGAGGTATGTAAAAGCGCCCATTATGGATGCAGACCAGCTTTCCTTGAAAAGAGCTTAGTGCTAGAAATGCCCTCCTCTTTCAGGCTAGAGCTCTCGGAGGAATCCCTCTGTCTCGCCTGTTGCAGCTGTAAATAGTTGAGTGTATAACTGTGTATAATACTTCGCCCCTCCATACCCCGGATGTTTTGCTTTGGGCTAAAATCTTGCCTCGTACACCAACTAAAATCCTTTTAAGGCAAAATAATGAAAATACATATTGGATGTGAAAAACATGAACATACTTTTTTATTTATAAAAGATATATTCTTACGGAATGTCATTGTGTTTTGAAATGATTTATATTGTTCTAAACTGAGATGTCCGCTTCTTATTTACTGTCCTTCATTCATTTATTCTCATATGTTCATTAACGTGAAGTGAACATTTTGTGCTGTATGTGTTTTTTTTTATTATTACTTCAACTTTTGTTCACATTAGTTGTATTGGAATTACTGCACACTTCCTCAACCAAGCTTATCCAACTTTCAGGACTTCAGAGTTCTACCGCTATTATAAAGCAGCCGGACGACAAACTTATATTTATTGAGCTTGATTTAGATAACAGGGTTGCTTTGAGGTTGCTTTTAAGATGATATTAAGGAAGACACCTGCTAATGCTGTTGTTTGGAAATTTACAAAGACTTTTTCACTTAAAGTGATTGTGAAACCATTTGTATACTTATTATACTCATAGGCTAAAGGAATTGATATGCACTGGAAGCCACCATTCTCACTGCATGTAAAAACACACAATTGATTTTTCACCTCTTGCATGACCCTCTCATTTGCATGTGCTGGTAATGCACAATATGCAGGTATTCCTGTTTCGGAGAGACACGCTGTTGTTTGGCAGCCCTGTTAACCTTTTTTCAACTCTTGTGTTTGTGTCTAACTGATATGTAGGTGTACATAGAACTCCTTAGTGGATTGATGTGTATAGGTAAAGTAATTTGGGGACTTTGTAGGTCTGTTTGCATATATTTGCATTAAATTGAAGTGGAGCCACATTCCTCAACATTGCGGTTGGCTTTTCATTAAAACTGATAAATTGTAAAAGGTGCTGGATAGCATTGGTTCATTTACCTGATCCACTCTGGTGAAGATTTTTTTTTTCTGATAAAAGTAAACTGGTTGTGTTCTTGATTTTAGATATAGCCTATTAAATCAACATAGCCAATATTAACAATTGATTTAGCTGATCATAAAGTAAGCTGCCGTACAAATCCCAAAGAGACACGTTATGTTATTTTTTTGCCATTGCATGTGTTACAGCCAAAGAGCTGAGACTTTATTTTTGTCAATTCTAGAATGCTCCAAACATTTTGTTTGTGTTTGACCAAAAATCAGATGGCAGGAGTTCAATATCAAGTTTTTTTAAATTTGCAAATGTAAAATACAAACAGAATTATATCTTTATTATATATTTACCATGAAGGATGAAATGGGAAATAATTAATTATTCCTTGCTTATAAAACATTTGTAGACAGGCAGTCATTGTTCTTCTAGCCACTGGGGACAGCAAGTCCATACAACTTTACATTTCAACCATTTCCATTATAGTTGACCGAAGCGATGGATACCGGCAGCCTGCGCATGAGCCCACTTCTAAGCGCACGCACGTTTGGCGCCAAACGTCGTCTTCCTCCTTTTGCACACGTCCCGCTCCCTTCGTCCCGGACTTGGAAAGTCATATAGGAGACTTCTGCCATCTTGATATTTAAGCAGAAGATTTCGTTGGCTGAGTAAATATGAGCGAACAGGAAGGTTGGACGGCATAAATTTAAGTTATACTATAGTGACTTATGTATAACTATAACAAATCATCAACATGACGTTAGGCAGGTTGTTATGTGGTGGATTGGTTATCCAGTTGTGGCTGGCAAACGTGAGAAAGAGCTAACCGTTAGCTAACGTTGACTTTAATTGTTAATAAAACCCAATGTGCAATTGTAATGACTAATGCAGAGTTGTAAGACAGGGACTTACTGGTCAGTATCATCCTCCACAGCTGACTAATCTTTCAAATATAACAGTTAAGTGTGTGTTATTGCAATAGTGTTTAAGCCATTAATGTTGTAAAAGGAAATAAAGTTTGCAATACCACTAATCCAGTTAATGTTAATGGTTAACGTTAGCTAAAAAAAATCTGCTGACAGCTAACGTTAATGAATAATATGAAGCTGCAAAGAGTAAACTTGCAAGTTCACTTTAATCCGGCCAACAGTTTATTTGCAATCCTGTAACTTTAGCTGACCGTGGACGCCTGGTGATGCATATTTAAATTACTTTACATGGAGTGACACCGTTAGCTAAGTTAGCTGTCATTAGCTCACGGTGGTAACACATTATCGGGGACAATAACTTTCCACTAATTTTATATTAACATTTCTTTTATTGAACAGGACTCGACATTGAAGACGTTAATGTTAAACTCCTGAAAGAATGTACAGTTTTACAAAGCACTCAACAAATTATTCTTGATAATCCCAAATCAAGGTTGATATGGTGTGTTTGTATGTCGTGCTATCAGGTGGAGAAACGCCGGAGTGCAAAGTTGAACACTTGATGGGCAAATTAAGAAGGCTGCAACAAGGTTAGTGTTGGACTGACAGGGTTTTATAATACACGTTATGTGCACAGTGTATGCCATAAATTACCCAGTAAGAGCTAGCGCAATTCGTGGCACTGGCAACCCGCCGAGGCACTTCCTGTTGCAGGTTGCGGTGCCGCGGTGAATCGTGGCAACTGCCTCGACACTGCGGCACTTGCCACGATTTCACGAGGCAGTTGCCACGAATTCGAGGCAGTTGCCACGAATTCGAGGCAGTTGCCACGAAGTCGAGACACTTGCCACGACTTCGAGACACTTGCCACGATTTCACGAGGCAGTTGCCACGAAGTCGAGACACTTGCCACGACTTCGAGACACTTGCCACGATTTCACGAGGCAGTTGCCACGAAGTCGAGACACTTGCCACGACTTCGAGGCAATTGACGCGGCTTCACGACAGCTACCGCGACTTTGCCGCAGTGGTGCCTCGACGGTTGCCGTTTTTACGACAGCTGCCTCGACTTTGCGCCAGACAGTTGCCGTTTTATTTCCCAAATATGTTATATGTTTGTTTTATAATTTGCCAATATGTGATAATACAATACTGCCTTTAAAAGTACTAGTGTTGGTAGTTATTGTTGTACCTTGCTTAATCTTATAAGAAGCAGGCGAGGCGTGAAATACGTTTCATGAACTTTTAATGTCAACTAGCACAGTCCGCTGTAATGCTACCCGGGGTCTGTCGCGCTCCGCACTGCGCATGTCCCTCAGCACTGACTAGGGAATGCTGGGTGATGGAGTTCTTTACCTTAACAGTAACCAGTAACATCTAGTAACATCACAGTTATTATTAACTATTAACTATTATTATTATTCCTGCCCAGTGCAATAACACAATAAATCATCCCATGCTAAATAATGACAATAATAACCCTGTACTGCTGTGATGTTGCTGCTCTTTCCTCTTCCTCTTTTACAAATTATTATTATTGTCTCTTTTGGAAGGTTATTCTTTTGTTTGAGTTTATTTAATTTAATTTAATGATTGAATATTTCTATCTTATTATATTGTATATAATGTGACATTATGTTTATCTTTATATTCTATTTTCTTCCCTGTACATGCTGCTGTGATATCAACATTTCCCTCTTGAGGGATCAATAAAGTATCTATCTATCTATTGTTTTAGTAATAAAAAGCCAGTAAGTGATACAACGGCTTCCCATTTTAGTGCAGCTAAGCGAATATGGACTAAGATCACTTGCCGCCCTGGTTACAATCTCTACTTTGAGAACTAATCAATGGGTATGTGATTTATATGAACAAACAATAACACTGGGTGGGTGCCATCAAGACGTGTCTAAAATTGAATAATAGGAGTTACCAGTATTTTCATTTAAATTAATGTTGACTACAATTGTTGACAAAAGAATTTGCCCGAGCTAGATTGTGTGCATGACTGTTTTTAGATATCCAGTGATTGCACAAAAGCTGCTGGATTAAAGTATTAACCTTATTCTATATTGTTTCATGACCAGGCAACAGACAGTACCTTCATGATGGATGTTCCGTAAAAGGAAAAATGAAATTTTTTTAATTATATTTATTTCCTTTTGACTATATTTGTTGTGCTTGTGAAGAAGCGACCACCCAAACGCAAGGGAACGTAAAGTGTTTTAATGAACACAAACACAAACAGAAGAATACGGGCGTTTGGCCGGCAACGGTGAAGCCCAGTGAGCAGAGAACGAGGTCCAGGCCGAGGGAGAGCGCACCAGACAGCTGTCAGCTCACGTCAAACCGGAAGCTGTGTAAAGCAGAGGTTAGCCACGCTACGTTAACAGCCGTGGCGCCTCTCCCTTAAACTCCCGCTACGTTAACAGCGGTGGCACCTCTCCCTTAAACTCCGGCTCCCTTAACAGCCGTGGCACCTCTCCCTTAAACTCCCGCTACGTTAACAGCCGTGGCACCTCTCCCTTAAACTCCCGCTACGTTAACAGCGGTGGCACCTCTCCCTTAAACTCCGGCTCCCTTAACAGCCGTGGCACCTCTCCCTTAAACTCCGGCTCCCTTAACAGCCGTGGCACCTCTCCCTTAAACTCCGGCTCCCTTAACAGCCGTGGCACCTCTCCCTTAAACTCCGGCTCCCTTAACAGCCGTGGCACCTCTCCCTTAAACTCCCGCTACGTTAACAGCCGTGGCACCTCTCCCTTAAACTCCCGGTACCTCTATCAGCCGATGCACCGCTCCCTTTTGTCGTTGCATGCCTCCGTTAGGTCGTGGCAAGACTCCCTTAACTCGAGGTACCGCTGGAGGTACCTCTCTCGACCGATGAACCGGTCCCTGAATTCGTGGTACCGCTCGAGGTACCTCACTCAGCCGAGGCAACAGGCGAGGCAGTTGCCGTAAACTCGAGGCAGCTGCCACGATTCGCCGCGGCACCGCAACCTGCAACAGGAAGTGCCTCAGCGAGTTGCCGGTGCCACAATTTGCGCTAGCCCTCTCTCAAATTACTTCACATAAAGGTTAACATTAAGTAGTTGTTAGTTGACAAGGAGGGTAACGTTAACTGTTTAGGTCTGTTCTGACCCAATAGCGACATCTTTCGGAGAAAATGAGTTTTGTTTTACGTTAGTTACAAATTATACACTTCCTTCTTAAATGTAAATCTTTCTGCATGGGACATTTAGATTGAATTGGTACTTTATTTGTAACGTAGAGTAACACATTTCAGTCACGCGAAAGGTACAACGTGAAATCAAGCGAAGTCACTGCCGCGTCCTTCCGTCTTCGTTTTGAAATGTTTTCATATCGGCACTTATGGTCTTAATAAATATACGTCTAAGTAATGTTTCATGTCATATTATTAATTTTATGTCCTGTAATCCATTACATTTGCTGCGTACATTTAAAATTGTAATCACGAAAACGGTACGTGGATCGACATCTTGACATGTTGTTCGTCTTTGTGTAGTTCTACTTCCGCATCCGGTCGTAAATCGTGTGGACTTTTTCTTGAATTACACTATCATAAAGTGTTAAACGAGCAGTGGGTTGCATGTAGCTTCTCTTATCGAGGTAAACGCATTATTCACTATAAAGAGTTATTCAACACAAGGGTCTGGAATTGATGGAAAGCTTCGTAAACGTGCACCAATCAGAGAGCTGCTTGTGCCTTCTGTATGCTAATTAACACGCGACTCCCGTTCGATTTAACTGAAATAAGAGCCTACAGAACCATAATCGTAATGTGGTGAGAGTAAACGTCTAAGTTTAAACAAAACACGGTAAACTACATGTAAAAAGTGAAAGCTAAACACAACCTTCAGAACATCAAACCGTGAGTGAGAACACTGCACACAATGACCATACCGGTTCGTACGCCTGTTAAACGCCATCTTCAGTGAGGTACATCCTTACCTGTTACTCCCTACCAAGGAGTATCAGAGCATGATGAATGGGGAATCATGAGATATGATTAATATCTCCGTCTTTTAGGGAAAGCAACACCCTACTAGATCCATTCTGATTTACAATGTTAAATAAAATGAATATCGGCATTAGCTCTGCAACTCATCTTAATGTAATGGCTCTTTTGTATTGAGCTTATGGCAGGTTTATGATAAATGATGTCATTATGTTAGTTCACGTAGCCCTAATTATTAATTGAACTGAAATAATTGCTCACAGTTACAACCACTCTCGTTATGGGTTCTGATCAAAGGTCAGAAGGTTAAACTACAAGTAAAAAGTATTCAGCTGAATACAACCATCAGGCACACCCGCAGTAAGAGTGCTGTATCTACTGATCATAGAGGTTCTGTCACTATCTACGTGTTATCTTCAGTGAGGTACATCCTTACCTGTTACTCCCTACCAAGGAGTATCAGAGCATGATGAATGGGGAATCATGAGATATGATTAATATCTCTGTCTTTTAGGGAAAGCAACACCCTACTAGATCCATTCTGATTTACAATGTTAAGTAAAAGGAATATAGACATTAGCTCCACAACTCATCTTAATGTAATGGCTCTCTTCTATATTGAGGTTTTCCTGCATGTGTTTGATAAATGACGCCACTATGTTAGTTCACATAGCCCTGATTTTCAATTGAACTGAAATAATTGCTCATGGTTACAACCACTCTCGTTATGGGTTCAGATCAAAGGTCAGAAGATTAAACTACAAGTAAAAAGTATTCAGCTGAATACAACCATTAGACACACCCGCGAGTAAGACTGCTGTACCTACTGATCATAGAGGTTCTGTCACTGTCTACGTGTTATCTTCAGTGAGGTACATCCTTACCTGTTACTCCCTACCAAGGAGTATCAGATCATGATGAATGGGGAACCATGAGATATGATTAATATCTCCGTCTTTTAGGGAAAGCAACACCCTATTAGATCCATTCTGATCTTCTATGTTAAGGCTAAGTTTGGAATGCTCCCATTAATTTTATATCCTCTAAATGGATGAAATGGCATGAGGAACAACACTATGACATCAGAGTGATGTACATTATCATTGTTGAGTGACAGTATCGCTATGACATTTGACTAATACCCTTCTTATAGGGATAAGCAATACCCTATTAGATCTATTCTGATTCTCTCAAGTTAATTATTACATTGAATTCACTAATAAGGTATCCTGTGTTACAGGTGAATATATCCAAATTTAGAATAGCGGTAAAGTTTGTTCTGTCATATTATAGAGTGAGAGCCAATTAACACACATCTTCTTTTAGATTAAACCGAGATATTATCTTATTGAACAATAATATTAAAAGGTTAGGATTAAGGGGCTGCATTTGAAGAAAAGATGGTAAACTACATATAAAAAGTTGAACACAACCTTTAGAACATCAAACCGCGAGTGAGACCGCTGCTTATACTGATCATAGTGGTTCTTACGCTAACTATATGCCATCTTCAGTGAGGTACATCCTTACCTGTTACTCCCTACCAAGGAGTATCAGATGATGATGATGATGATGAATGGGGAATCATGAGATATGATTAATATCTCCGTCTTTTAGGGAAAGCAACACCCTACTAGATCCATTCTGATTTAGAATGTTAAATAAAAGGAATATAGACATTATCTCCACAACTTGTCTAAATATAATGGCTCTCTTTTGTATTGAGTTAAAGGCAGGTTTTCCTCCATGCGTTTGACAAATGACGCCACTATGTTAGTTCGCATAGCCCTGATTTTCAATTGAACTGAAATAATGCTCATAGTTACAACCACTCTCGTTATGGGTTCAGATCAAAGGTCAGAAGATGAAACTACAAGTAAAAAGTATTCAGCTGAATACAACCATTAGACACACCCGCGAGTAAGACTGCTGTACCTACTGATCATAGAGGTTCTTTCACTATCTACGTGTTATCTTCAGTGAGGTGCATCCTTACCTGTTACTCCCTACCAAGGAGTATCAGATCATGATGAATGGGGAATCATGAGATATGATTAAAATCTCCATCTTATAGGGAAAGCAACACCCTATTAGATCCATTCTGATCTTCTATGTTAAGGCTAAGTTTGGAATGCTACTAAAATGCATTATCCTGTAAATGGATAAAATAGCACAAGGAATAACACTGTGACATCAGAGTGATGTACATTATGATCATTGCTTCAAAATATGTTCAATACTTTAAATCACACTTTTCTGTTTCAGGTAAAAAAGCCCTGGAAGAAGGAATAGAAAAGATGATGTCTGTCAAGGACGTTTTGCAGAACGAGCTGACAACTTGTAAGATACTTAATCAGTTATATATGTTATTTTTTTAATCACATATAGCACTCTTAAAGACATTTGTATATTCATAAATGTTTACTGTTGTAAATTCTAACTCTGCACTGTTGTTTTGACAGTACAAACTGAAGCTTACAAACTGGAAGGAATCCTTAAAGAAAAGGAAGGTACTGAAAAATAAATGTATAATTGATTTTCGATGCCACGCAAAGTTCATCAGTATTTGATCTGCTGTTAAGACATAAACAAAAATGAATGATCGACGAGCCGTGGTGTTTGTTTCCAGAGTTGTGCAGGAAGCTGCAGTTTCAGTGTGAGGACGTTGACAGGTGAGTTCCATACTAACCAGATAATAAATATGATAAATATTTCTCCAAATGAGTTCGCTCGAAATAAATTAAATAGTTTTATGTTCTTCGTTTTGTGAGACCTCATTTGTTTGTTCGACATGTATAACACTAGATGGCAGCAACGTGTCAGAATCCTCAACATTTTTACCTTGTGGTCCAAAGTCATATCTTTCCTGTATTTTAGATTTACTGTGACATGTTGGATTGAAGTCCTTCCATTGGTACTGCATATAAACACATTTTTCATTTCTTGCTCAATTTTCTATTTATATATCAGTAAGTAATTTTGAAACTTTTTTATTTTAAAATTAGACTCCACGTTTACTCAGGTAACACAAACAAGAAATGTTTGTGATTCCACTCTAGATATAAAGATTTTTAATGATTTGTTCTCTTGCCTATATTGACCTCGCACAAGGGAACCCCGTTTCACGTACGTGGCTATCTGAGTTAGCCGGATAATTTTCAGGATAAGATTACATAGATCAGATTACATAGACCCGGCTTTTCTGTTCTCTTCCTCGTTGATGAAGAAGCGACATCAGCTGGATTTACTATTATTATTTTATAGGGAAATAGTTCTTTGAGATCGCAGAGATCCGTTATCACATCACAATGACTTCCTGTACGAGCGCTATCGATGCCGACAAGGAATCATTTATGTACAAGACCTCGAGCCGTACTCAGTGAACAACGCATGCTGCAGCCGAGCATCGACTGTACCACAGACTGTACCACAGACTGTACCACAGACCGTACAGTTGTTTGATGTTTTGACAAGTGTCAGCGATGCAGAGAACATCTGGAAAGGCTGTTCGTAAAGATGTTCCATGTTTCACTGCATAAAATGTTTGGACTTGCACACATGTCAAACTCCTAGTTCTATATGGTCATCTACACATACATGTATATACCCATATATATGATACATAAGCACTTACAGTACATATATCCTCATAACTATTACTTTGCATAAATGAGATACTCTTTGGGCTTGTTTTTATCTACTTGTTCTGCAAGAGATAATTATTTTCGCTAGCAAGATCTCATTCAATGATGCCTTCCATTAACCACACCAAACTACAAGTTGTAATGTAAGTGAGCCAGTTAGCCCGAGAGGCTAATTCCCATCTGCTGTCCCTGGCCAGATGTTTTTAAAGCAGCCTAAAATCTCAAAAGGAAATGGAATTAAAACTTGTTGCAAAACAATATTTTGCCATGCTTCTTGTCTGACCTTAGCAGCGGTGGCCCAGTTATATTTTGCCATCATTATTCAATTCAATTCAGTTTATTTTCTATTGCCCAAAATTGCAAAATTTCCCCAGAGGGCTTTACAGTCTGTACACATGCAACATCTCCTAGCCAGAAAAGCTCACATCGGCACAGGAATAACTCACCCCAAAAAGAAAAACCCTAAGAGAGAACAGCAGCAGAGTGGGATCCCTCTCCCAGGATGTACACGCTGCAATGGCTGTCATGTCTACAGAATAAATAAGGTAAAAGATGTACAGTATGTTCAATTCCTACGATGGGAAAGATTCAAATATACATATTATGGTATTGAACTATCATATGCATTCATGATCACCTCCTGCTTGTCAGTGGCGGGAAAAAGAGACTCTTCCTTTGACTTTATTTGCCGTTGTCCTGTTAGCGAATCATGGTTAAGGTGATCGATGCTCCCCCCTTTTGAGGTAGGACCCCCAATTATCCTGATGACTGACGTCTGTTTCGAATTAATGAGACTGAGCCTTTGAGAAACCCGGATAGCCTGACATCAACCATCGGGTTGACTTGAACTGGCTAATAGGACATTTGTTGAACCACGTACGAGGAACGGGGCCCAGCTCTACTTTGCACACAAGTTTAGGTGAAAGGAAGGTTCCGGTGGAAGTGTTTACATTTGTATGGTGGTTAGTGATGCTTTCATGTGTTTTCTGCAGGTATTTGAAGCAGAACAAGAAAATCGAGGAACAGCTGGATAAGTACCGATGTGAAATCCAGGAATTGACGCTTAAACACCGAAAGCAGCGGTACTTATTAGAAATGCAGATCAAATTTCCTTGTAAATGTTAATGACATTTTTTTATAACGCCGGCTTTGTTTTTGCAGTATGAAGTTTGAAAACCAACTTTTCCAACTGATAGAGCAGCACAAGAATCTGCACTCTCTCTATGTAAGTTTGTTAGCTTTGTATAAAAATAACATGGGCATCTTTATTTTTTACCAACACCTCTAAAACAGAATCATGGCACACAATGTGGATTCTGCTATTGACTCATAACATACAAATTGTTACTTATAGACCCCAGAAAGGCTCCCAGAGGAAATAGCCAGTGCTGAGAATACAAAAAGTCAGCTGCTGTTAGCTGGTGAGTAGCCTCGAGTGATTTACGCCCATTCTTCTGCAAGCAATAAAACATCGATTCATGAACATGAAAGTATGTAGTGTTTCTTTTTCTTTACCCAACCCCTCTCCATCGGTCTTCTTCTGTAATTCCAACAGAACAGATGAAGTTGGCCCAGCTGCACCGTCTCAACGAGGAGCTCGTCGAGATGGAGAAACAGATATCAGAGTGAGAGTATTGTTTGGGTATTTCGTAGAATCCTACTCCTACATTTCCTCCACAGTTCGCTTTAATCTCAGAACCTGAATCCTCCCAAATTTTGGCTTTGGGGTTGCATCAGTTCAGAGGATGCAGCATCCCGCTGAACCCGGTTCTGTGAGGCATTGGAGAAATCTGCAATATTTTCCATTTTGTGGTAGATTGTGTTCAATTGCAGCAGTACCGACCTGTACGCATATGTTCCTGTGTTCATCTTAGTTACATGTTGTGTATTTGTTAAATAAAAGGAAATAGTACAACCATTCAATACAATATACTTGCATACTGTATAAATGTACACACAGCCAGATTCAACTTAATGTTTAAAGATATTTAATGAAAGACATTTTTGCAGAGTTTCAAATACAATTTAATACTATCCGAGGTCTCATAAAACAACAACACATTGACCTTGTGCAATGAATTTCCCCCCACATAATGCCAATTGGTTTTTACAGACCCCATACTTACACATCAATTAAAATAAACCCAAGGCACTTTGAACGTACAATGACGATTGTCCACATCCTTTTGCTATGTAGATTATTAACAAGCCCCTTTTGAAATAAATGTACATTATAATCTCGTATAGAAAACAGTGTAACCCCTGAAGTGTCAACATGGTGATCGTCCCTTACGTACTGTCGAAAACACATTGAACGGTTTGAATCCCTCTCGAACAGCCTGGAAACGGTTGTGTGATTGAAGCTCTGTTGCACTGGTATTTACCGAGCAACAACGGTGTTATCAGCTGTGTGTAGGGCGTAGGACTCAGGAGCTAAGGGACTTACGTAAGGCAGCAGGCGGTGCTTCTTCCTCCCTTTACAGGTCATGACTAATTTAAAAGTGAGAAGTCAAAGAAACCAAACTGGGGCACATTCTTTAGTCCAATCTGTCTTTACTTACACAAAACTAGCACACTTTTATTTAGAACCCCACTCCGCCCACCACTAGGGACTGTATGTCCCTCTCTGAATGTTTTTTGACATCTTCCACCCTGAGAAGTAGGTTCACAACCCCCATGCACGACACAAAGGCATGCGACCCTCTGCTTTAACATCACAATTATACATTTCTGATTTTCTTCTACCGTTTCTTTCATTAACTATGATCTCATATATTTGCCTTTAAATTCTCAACCTTTATCAATTCTTGGTCTGATTTTATAACTCTTAATCTTCTTATCTTTGATATCCATTCTAGGTTAATAAGTGTCCCCTCTGGCACACAGTGAATCCACATTCACTTTCAAACAATTACCAGCATTGCACAACAATGGCGTTGTAAGTTGTTTTTTCAAAGACATGGATCAATTTTCTTTCCCGCAGGTGGGTTGCGTACAGTCTTGCTTTCAGTGTCTCTAACTCCCTCAGCCACGTTCATACAAGTTGAGTTTGGGGTGAATCGCCCTACCTTTATTTCCATTTAGTAGAACATTAGCCGGCGTGCAGTCTCAGTCACCATATACGGTCAAAGTCATACCAGATCTTGGCACGCAGGCACATTCCAGACCCAATGACTTTGGGTTGTTTTTAGCATTTTCATCTATTGTCTTTCAAGTTTTATTGCTTCTTGTTAAAATCCATGTGAGGCAGCAAAGTCGAGCCGCAGAGGATCTTCGGTTGTGGTGTTGGCACATACGGGCAATGGGTCTTTTTGATCATCTGGCACAGAAAGTCTCCATTTAAAAAGGTGGCCCTCCACCTTTCGTTATCCCAAGTTATTCCCCATCTGTTGACAGAACAACAGGGATAAAGTTTAATGAAACAGTGTATGAGCCCCCACATTAGAGGCCTTTCCCTCCTTCTTTCTACTGTCACCATTATGAGGGTATATTTAAGCAGTCTACCACTAAATATGAAAAAAATGTTATTTAAAATATAACAACCATAAAGTTGTACTAGACTTCTAAAAAAATCAATGAAAATGATATTGTTCACCAATATTTATTTTCAAAAGTGAAAACAAACACTGTCAACATTAATTTGTAATTATTTTGGAATAAACACTAGTTCAATTACACAAATAACACTATTATTTTTTAAATTATGTAGGCAATCTTAAATATGGAAACCTATTAACACAATGTATTCACATTTGAATGACGTATTTCCACTTTCAAACCATAATAAGGAATTCAGAAATGTTGTTGTGCAAACATATCTAATAATGTTTATAGCTCAGAAAGTTATCCTATTCATACAAGTGTACTGTATCCTGCTGTACCTGATTAACTCAACAATTCAGGATTTATATTTGAGCTTTTTGATTTAAATAATACGCGTCGTAATTGCACTAGTTCTTTAAACCTAGCGTTCTCTTTCCCAACCACACTGCGAACATCCTGTTCAGTGATACACTACCTCAAAGCGGCTGTAGACCTTCTTTTCCTTCCTCATACTCTCCATCCTCTTCAGTAACCCCTCCCGCTCCTGGACGTTGGCGTGTGGATTCAAGAAACGACTCTTTCTGATGGAGTTTTGTCCCTCCAGCCCCTTCTCCCCGCCGTCACCATCCCGGTCCCCTCCCGGCTCTTCTCGCTCCAGTCGGTTCTTCTGGCTGTTGGCTGAGATCTGCTCCAGAATGACTTTGGTGTCATCTCGCAGGTTGCTGCTGTAGAGGACGGAGCTGCTCTGGCCCTGGTATCGAGATGGGCCCGACGCGCCAGTCAATGTCTTGTGATTGGCTGAAGTTTGGTCCGTTGCTGATGAACTTGGCTTTTTGCTGGAATCGTCAGTGGCCTCTCTGACGGTGCTTATGCTCCTGTCGTCCCCGGAAGATTTCTTTTCTTTGTCCTTGGGCCCCAGGAATCCCTTTAGCCTCTGAGTTTGCTTCTTTAAGAAGTCCAGTGTCTTCCCCTCACCCTTCCCTTCACCAAGCGTATTGATGGATGTGCTAGATCCCATTACATTGTGCAGTCCTTCCCTGGATTCGTCATGTGTCGAAGTTGAAGAACTATGAGAGCGGCTCTTTTTCAGTTCACTCTTTTCTGCATCCGTCGCGTCTGTGGTCAAAATCTCTTCACCGCAGGAACGACGAGGATTAAAGGGTTTGATCTTTAACGGATCCCTCCTAAATAGCTTAGGTGAAGGGAGGGGCTTTAGAGACTTGAACATGTCCTTCTTTGGAACCTCAGGTGCACTTTCCTCTTTAGGTGGTTGAGTTGTCTCCGAAGGTCGCAGGTGGCTCGGCTTGCCGATTATGGGTGGTTTTGAGGAACTAATTGAAGATCTGCGAGTGAGCTCCATCAGTTTTGCAGAGATGTCCATCTTCTTCGGTTCAGGCTCTGCTGAGCTAACAGAGGCAGCTGGGATCGTAGTTTTTAGGGGAGGTTTATCGGAAAGGTCTGGCTTTTTTTCAGCAGGCTCTGTGGCTTTAAGCGAGGACTCGACCTCCATTTTTGAGGCTTTTCTTTTTTCATTCAGGTCTTTGAAATACTGCAGTCTATTGGCTGGGTCATTTATATTCATCTTCTTTCCCTCTTCGTTCGTTTTCTGAGGTTCTTCTTTTGCTTCAATCTTCAATTGAATCTCCTGTTCCTCTTGCCGTCGCTCTCTTTCCTCTTTTTCTTTCTGCCTCTCCCTTTCTTCATCCTTCTCTTTTGCCCTTTCTTTCTCTTTCTCCTTCTCCTTTTCTTCTGCCTTCTTTCTCCACTCGAAGGGCTCACGAGGCAATTGCCGTCTCTTCTCCAGGATCTGGGCCACAATCGAGGAAGTGCGCACTGTGTCCAGCACTTCGTCTTCCTCTGTTGCTGCTTTTAGGCCGAGGCTACCACTGTGCATCTCTACTTTGGAAGATGAGAATATGAGCGAGGAACGCAGGCGAGAGCTACGCTGAAGGAGTGGGTTAACACGTGTACGGAATGAATCGTGTTTGGACAGGAGATCTGGTTTATCCTTCACCTTTACCTCTACACCCACCTCCCTTCCTGCAACCCTTTCTGTTTCTCTCTCCTGTTCCCTCTCAGCCTCCTTGGCTTTTTTGTCCAGTGCAAATGATTTATAGTCACTAACTATTTTGGTTGGGCCATAGTCTTTGTTGTTGCCCTCGGGTAAGTTGGGCTTTCCATACCGCGGCCTAATGGTATCTGGTCTGGGTTTTGGGGGAACATCTGGTGGCTCCCTTGTTCCAAAGCGAAGAGCCAAATGTTCAGTGGCAGTTTGCTGCTGAGAGGGTGGAAGATCTTCAAACGCATCAGGCCCCAAAGGTTGAGTCAGACCTTCCTCTCCAGTGTCCTCATAAGCGCTTAGATAAGATTGGATTCTCCAACTCCTCATGCCTTGCCTAGCACCGTCATCTTCATCATGCTCTTGATCTGATGGTTTGGTAGGTTTCTTCTCCGGCGGATGGGGCTGCGTGGGTGAAGTCAGGCAGGCATATGCCTGACCAATGGTTCCCCTTTTACTGGAAGAATCGCCTCCATACCTCCTAGCCAATGGAGGTGCCAGGTGTCCCTCAGATCCTCTCAAGTCCTCAGAGGACAAGAAGCCATAGTTTCCTTGTGGTGGCTCTCTATCTGAGCGATAGCTTGAATTTGAATACTGGTCAATGGGGAGTGGTGAAGGACGACCTCGAAGTCTGTCATGGTGTCCTTGGCCAGATCCCGGCCCGGGCCCTTCATTGTAGTAATGGCTACTTTGGGTCTGCTCCCTGTAAGGAAAATATACTGGTTTATAATGATTTGATTATACATATATTGTGATGTGTACTTGTGATAGTTCTGGATAATTCAAATTCCAAACAGTCAAAGCTATTTAAGGTTAAGCTACCTTTGAAAATGGGTCTCATCCAGATTATTCATGACTCTTTGCCTCATATACTGCCTCGAAGATGAGTAGTTTTCCTGGGTCCCCTCTGCATAGCTGTGCCTGTTGTAGGCGGTGTTACTCATCTCCATTTGTCTGGAAACCAAGGACTTCCCCTGCTCCATGTATGACTGCTGAAGACGAAACTGTTGCTGGGAATATTTTCCGATTGTAATTCCTGGACCAGGTTCAATGGTGTGACGAAATGGATCGGCCCTTTGGAAAGGAAGCGCGGGGTTACGATCGGGGTCTGCATAGGGGTAGGCAGCTGGAAGCTCAGGCTGCCTGCGGTAACCTACGTGGTTACGCAAAGACTGGGTCCTCTTCAGACCGTACTGGCTGCCCAAGTAACTGCTGGTGCTGCTGGAGTCAGATGGGGCAAGTGCTCTGTTGAATGGGTCAATGACTAGAGGCTCTGACTGAGCAAAGAGAATGCGAAACTCTTCATCAAAGGAGCTGACCAGCTCTCCAAGGAAGAGGTGGGCGATGCAGCGGTGGATCTTCTCAAAGGACCACATGAAACTGTAAGAAAATAAGAAAGAAAAGTGCAGGCAAATAAAGTCATTACATTTTGAGTGTGAATGGCTAGGGAGTCTTGAGAATTATATTAAGAGATAATGAATACAATTGAATGGCTCACCTGTAGTTGCCACTGAGTACAGCTTTGCAGTCAGCAAGTAGGAAACGATCCTTCACCTGCCCCTTAAATGATTTCCCGGTGCAGGAATAATAGGTTATTCCTGCTACAGTTCTCACCCGCACCATCTGTCAAAACGAATTCCAATCATGTCAATAACCGATGCAAACCTTGGTAGAAATCACGTGTTATAAACAACTAAGAAACACAATCAATGCCAATGGATAGCCAAACTGAAGGCCTGATATTTAGAGGAAAAGTGAAGGCAAACTCACAGGATGCATGTCCAAGTTGACTTTGCAGTTGACGACCATAGAAACAAAGTGATGGGCTTCCTGCTCATCCAGCAGAATGTAAACTGGAATGTGGCGGGCAGCTGCTTCCAGAAGATCCGCAAAAATGTCAACATCTGTGAACGTGTCCATCACCACAGCAATAACCTGAAGCAGAAGAGCAAGTACACAAGAAAACGTGTTACATCATTCAATGAAGTACTCAATGAGGACATCTCTCCCTCGTTCCTCACTCAACCTCATTGGGTAACAAAATACACTAAGCCTATTTCAGGGCACATGTACAATTACAACTGATTCTCAAACTAAGAAATGAGTCTACATGGGAATGTCACTGCACTCAGTGTATCAGCAATTAAATACACATTAATCTTTGCTAAAGTTACACTTCAAACAAGGTGTAGAAAGACAAGATGTCTTTTCTTTCATGTGCATGTTAAAACACTTTTATGGAGAGTCACACTTGTAAATTGTGTCACAGATGTTAAAGAGATGTTTTCCCTGAACAAAAAGACAAATGGAGGCAGAATAACCACACTGCCCACCACACCAAAAGGGGAATTATATGTGTATATGTGAAATATGTGAATTATAGTTTAAATCAAGCCAAAGGCCAATGAGGTAAAATTGTTTCTGAAAGGGAGTGTTTTTGAAGTTGACATTGGCAGATAAAAAGTCAGATTAAACTAAGAATGATATAGGTATAGCAATACCTACACATACACTAGTCACTGCCAGCCCTTTTTTTATTCAGGAGATACAGTTTGATTTGAACTGTACATACTGATAAGACAGAGCAAGAGGATACTTGTTAGTAACAAATGGTGTGTTAAATAATGACAGAGGTGTTTCCCACCTTTCCACTTTTAGACTACCCATGAAAAGTATGGTATGTGCTTCGTGGACCAAAGCATACATGGACAGATTTGTTGTCGTACACTGAATAAGTGTGTGTTAATGACCGTGAGAGACTTTGATCTCAGAATCAGATGCTGCTTTTGTCAGTAATGACAGCTGAAAGCAAACAGGACATGCCAGTTTAACTACAGTTCACCCTCCCTTTTTTCTTACTTGGCGTGCATTCTTGATGAGTCTCCTGGCCTGCATCTTGATGCTTGGCATGTCTGGGTCGGGAGGGTTGACCAGAGCAGTGACCTCCGTGGGCCCCATGAAGCTTTGCTGTGGCAGCGGCCAGCCCAGGTCCAGCCCCGGGGCGTCCATGTCGGACTGCATGGGCCAGTATGTGTCGGAGGAGCCATCGACATCCTGACCTGCCTCGTGGTACGTCAGCTCTGGGACACCGGATGTCTGGCTGGGCGTATGGATTGTTGACTTGATAAATTCAATTTCTGTCTGGGACAGAAAACTGACCAAGTCTTCTTTCTGGAGGAACTCAAAGTAACCCTGGTGTAACAGGAGACACACCAAAATTCATTAAACCAATGCGTCTTTTTAAATATTTATTGGTTTGAAGTACAATTTCATAACTGGCGTTTTACCTGTATGTCATTTTCTATCAGAGCATCAACAGCTAGGCGGTACTCCTCACGGTAATGAGGGCACAGGTAGTTTGGGTCGAGGGGGTTATCACCGACCGATGAACTCTGAGATCGGTGTGCCATGGTTGGAGAAGGAGTAAGGGGTCAAAGGTCAGGGCTCGGGCGAGGAGATGTACCTCCTCGCGAGGAACGTGTACCTGTGCGGAAGAGTCAGAAAAGAAAACGTCAGTGGTGGATAGTTATGTTGGTAAATTAAAAGAGATGCACAATGCTATTAACACAAACAAATTTGATCATTACAGGTGTTTTAATAAACTCAAAGACAGGTACACAAAACTATATTCAGGGGTGAAGTCACAATTCTTATGTAGTTGCAACCAAACAACACAGCACTCCTGCGTCTGTCTTATACAATACTCGTAATCCAACCAAATATTCCACTGGCCGTTGAGAGAAAGAACGCGTAGTGTAAGGATACACAAGAAGACAGACAGAGTCTATTGTTGCAGAAGCAGGAGCTTGCACGGGGAGTTTAACAAGTACACTTTTCCCATTAACACACCTTTGGCGGCACACAATACAACATAGTTATATTCCAGCAGACGGTGAAAGTTTTTAACGTTTTTCTCTTTTTTTTTCCAGCCAAACGGCACCTTTCTTAATTCACGAGGCAATTTAATGTAGTTGAAGAGAGAAATCAACAACTCAATTATAAGTGGGTTTGGACCTTATGTTTCGATGATTCATGTTTATGGTTGCCATTGATATTATACAGAGAACTGATTGTTCACTCAAACTCAATCTGCCTTGTGAGAAAACTACATAACAACAAGTCATGTAACTCACAATGGGAGTATGAGAATAGGACACTCAAGTAAGTGAGAGGGAGGAGGAAGAAAGGCATTTGGAGGTGTATGGACAGGTTCTCTCATCTCTCGGCTCAGTGAATCCTCATGCCGGTGAGTCACACTTCATGTCGCTACTCGGAACTCATGCTGAAAAATTCAGTCGCAGCAACCGAATTGACATGTGAGAGGATGACGACGCTATTTGTTATTCCATGACTGACCAAATTTAAGGTAGTGCTGGGAAAATTTTCAATTACAAAATTGTGAAAGTGCAAATGTTTTGTTGAGAAAGAGAAGACGGAGAAGTTTAAGAATTACTTTATAGATCCACCGATTTTAACAGCCCAGTTCGATATTCTTCACATTATTTGTGTGCGGAGGAATCTATTCATCTCCCTCTTACAGTCCAAAAAATACAATACGCTCAGTTTGAAAAACAAGATGGATTGAAGGTAAAGACAACAAAACTTAGAAATAATAAAAACGGTATAATAATAATTATGACTGCAATTGTTTTTATTATCAATTCATCTGCAGATTAAATTAATGTGTATTTGTTTAAATAATTTTTAGTTGATCATCAAAAACGATCCTGTTTATTCTTTTCAGTAATCAAAAGTAAATGACTCCAATCCTTAAGGCCGACGGTGTACCCGGTACTGACAGAAGCACCATCAGCCGAGCCAACCAGGACTCACTTCACCCCGAGGGCTTCACACGGGAACTAGTATGTTCAAGTACGGTTAAACACGTAGACATTAAATCTAAGCACTCTGCATTTGTCCCTCCTGAACACGTGGTCAATACAGGAAGTGTTTCTGACTGTTGATACATCACCACGGAGATGGACAATCTTAGGGACTGTGCATGTTGACAGCAGGTGCATGATCAATAAGGGTGTGTGAGGCTTGTGGCCTCAGCGAGTGGGTGTCGATGTTTTGTTAGGTTGAACCTGCTGTTGAAGTGCGCTACGTGTTTTCTGTCAACTTGTTTGCACACTTCAGAGATCGGTGATGGCGGCAAAAGGCCCCAAGTCCTAACCAGTAAGAGAAGCTGGCCTACTCAGAGGCCTGGTGAGTCACTGGGCAGCTCGGCCTTTTCTAGCCTGGGGATAACTTGCAACATGCTGCTCTCTGATGATTCATCTGCTGGCAAAATGGCTGACGTCCAGACATCTCCTGACGCAGTTGGAGCCGTGGACGTTGGCCCTCTGCGGTGGGCTGTTCCCATTTAAAAGTTCCATAGCGGGCAGCTTGACTCACGCACCGCTTTCATTGAACGTTTTTTACGCCTGCCCAGTTTCCAATGTGGACGAATCTCAACTCCTTTTACTTGTTCTGTTCATTGTTTCAAGGAGTGTTGCCTGATGTTTTTAATTATGAATTATGCCGAGGCAGCAGTAGAGAACATACCTGAGGGCTTGTGATAACAGCAATGAGCTGAGAGGTGTGCACCTGGCTGTTCCCCTCGTCATATTCAAATCTCAGAAAAGCTGGCAGCCCTGTGCGGCAACACAACAACCGCCAAACAATGACAGTGCTTTTCAAATCATTAAAACGTTGAACTTACTGCATTCCCTTTCCGCTGCAAGAATAACTAGAGACTTTCAATTATTGTTATTTGTATCTTTTCTTTTACTGTGGAAAATGATGAGGAAGATTACCACTAAACGCAAAATATAGCCACTCGTAAAAAACTGATCAAAGCAGAAAAAAAACTGGCTGATGATTAAAATAGTGAACCGGTGAAAATCCACCCTGAGGTTAATGTGACATAAGTATGTGACTACAGAGCAAAGTGGCACTAAAGGGAGCCTGTGACCTTCTCACTCGCCCTGGTGACCTCTAACGAAGCAACAGAAGAATAACACAATGTAAGAAGCATGGAGGACTTTCTCCACCTTGCCTGGCTGACCGGTGGGATATTCAAACCACGTCTGCCTTGTTGTTATAACTACAGCGAGCACCAAACCGAGGACAGCGACACGATGATAGGGATCTTTCTCCCTCTTTCCTTTCTCTCTGTTCTTCCCTTCGTCAAAGCTTTCTGTTTGCTCCACAAGGACAAACCTGCCCTAAATGCACCGCAGACAAATCCAGTTTAAAACATAAACCACCACAGGGCGGGCGGGCGGCAACCCGCTGCAGCACTTCGAAGCTGATGAAACCCCATTTTCTCATGTATCCAATGTTTGCTCACCAACTGTGTAAACGGCTCATTCGCCGCATTCCGACCATCAGAAGAGGGAGATAAATATCAAGCGAGGAGCTGAGGGGAGGGGAAAAGGTTATCTGCCTCAACATGTGAATATAAGAAACGAGCCTCAGGGCTCCCAAAAGTGTTTTCTGTTTTTTTCTCACTTTTCTCTCACACTGCACGTACGCATGCATATGAACACTCCTCACTAAACAAACGCCATGATTGATCCGGCGTGGCTCCTCGGTTGGTTCATTACTTTCAGCCATTTGGTTTAAATGGGGTAAGAGTTGAATACCATAAAACAAGTTTGAAGGGAAGAGCCACTAATCTCCTGGTGCCCCTGTCAGAACCTTTCAGTGCCACTTCAGGTTAACGCACACAAACATCAAGCTGAATGCAAACACAGAGCACCACTTGTCTTTCTGCGTATCATCACACTTGTTGAAATGACTGTGGAAAGTCACACAAAAGACAGCACAAGGTCAGTTGAATGTATACTGCATCTAAGGATGAATGGCAGCAGATATCCTCCCTTATACTGGCTGTATCTTACAGAGCAGCTCTGCTAGAAAAACAGGTCCACTGCAGTTCTCCGCGTCTGTTCCACCTCCATTAATGTGCGCGGCGCTCTTGGGTGTAGAAATCCAACAACAAAAGCTTAGAAATGCTTCTACTTTGCATCTCATCTCCCCAGGAAGCGCACTATTGCTCATACATGTTTTACAATGACAGACAATGGCCCCTTGTAACCTTTACAATGCAAACACAGCCACGAATGGGATGTAGCCTTGGTCATACTGCTAGTGTGACAATATGAAATCTATAATAAGAATCACACGTCCAGAGACTTGCCACAAAAACAGGACAGGCACTAGAAACCTTTACCCCAAAATTATAAACACATGTTGGACTATTCCTATGCAGTGAGTCACGGTGCGTGCATCAATAGATGCGTGTTTGGAACAAAGCTGTAAAACATATATAATATGAGCCTATAGATTGAGGCCTACGACATGAAGACGTGTGAAGGGTGTCTTGCTTGCTCAATACAAAGGCGAGAACCTTCTATTATCTCATCCATACCTCTAAATTAGAGGGATGTCAAGTTAGCCTCATGACGACCTGCAATCCATGCATGGCGTTATGCAACCAATGCATTGAACATGCTTGTAAAAGTGTCTCTGCCTTTTCAATATGTATTGTATTTGTCTCCTCTAGGCCGTGCAATACAGTTCAAAGGGCAGCAGTTAGTCAGTGTCAGACAAGTTGGGGCCTTCTGTCTGCTCAGGCTATATAATAACAATACTGTTCAGGTTTTGCAATGACGGGTCCTCTGTGAACCTCAGGCTGCCGGTGGGAAGAGCCACTGATCACCTGTCTGATTCACTGATGTATGTATATATAATAGACTGGCACACAGGACATATCCCACCAGGATGGGACACAGTACAATAGATTTAAAACTAGCATACAGTTAGAGCATAATAGAATAGGATCTGTCCCTACATAGAGCAAGAAAAAGCTACAATGGAATAGAACCGGACAGAGCAAAAGCACGGTATAATACGAATAGCACGGATATGGTATAAGAGAACATAATAGGATTCACAAACCGGACACATTGCAATATAATAGCCTCTCTGTACATATTGTCCCTTTGCTCCCCCCCATCTGCAGTCCGGTCCGTACCTCCTAACTTCGCAGCAGCGCTCCGTCTCCTCGCTTCTCGCTCGGTATTCCTCACATTGGCCAACAACTCCTCCCCAAAAAAAACTAACAAAAAAAAAACCCTCGACGTGCACAACCTCCGCTGCCCAACCAGCCAGGACAAGCGGGGGACCACGGAAGGCCTCGGGCGGGTGTGGGGGGGGGGGGGACCGGACTCCCGGGGACCGGGCTGCTCGCTTCACGCTGCGGGGCGTAATCCTCCGGAGCCTCGGCCTCACGGGGAACCGATCAGCGGGTCTGAATGAGGAAGGAGACGCGGCTCCCGGCTCTTCCTCCCGTGTGACTCCTCCCAACAAAACACACACACACAAAAAACCGTTGATCGCTAGAAACAGAAAGACCATTGGAAGCGGACTGCACACAGGCACTTCAAAAAGAAAAAAGCGTGGGCCTTTATGTCGCTGCTGCAGATTTGGGCTTTATTCGCCTTTGTGAAGTAGAAGTTGATCCAAAGCCTGATTTTTCTTTAGGACTTTGTTTCAACTGTCTTACTTTCAAATTCCCTCTTTTGCACTTACTCTTACTGACTTCTTTACAAAGTTCTGCATTTGTTCTGTTTTGTTTTGCCACCTTATATTGTCTTTGTCACATTGAATCAGTCCTGCAGGTTCCCTTTCTATGAATTCTTCTGCAGACTTCAGTACTCAGTTTGTCCTTCTTTAACATGGAAAGCACAGCATTATAAAGGCCGTTAAGCCACAGTGCAGGTATAAACAGACACAGTGTCTATGTATCATCTGTAGTATATAATGGATTTGGACAATTGTTTTCAGGTCAATGAAAAAGGTTAATATGTCGATGATACATTTTTTGGCATGACCAAATTAATTACACCATTTATTGATTGTGCAATATCGACTAGTAACTACTAATTATTTACTTTTAACTTATTTTATGTAAGATTATATCTGTGTGTCACTCACTTGCTCTCAAATACACCAGGAACCATGACATTAGCAAAAGGCACATTACAGGTAAAAGTCCATGCCACCGTGTGCTTGCGTGTGCACACTTTGTGTGAGTCGTCCTTTGTCCTAAAACGTGTCTGCGAGACAGAACGCGCCTTGTTTCACTGCCCTCTGATAGAAACGCACTCATGAATATTGTTGTGTGTTCAGTCCTGCTGGAAGGTGTGGGTCCTGTTTGAACGCGCCAATGTGCTCGCGAGCTGTTACTCACTCAAAGGAGCCGTATTTGACATGTTTCCCATGTTCCAAATGAATGCAAATGTGCAACTCTCAGCTTGACAGTGATATTAAATGAGAGTTGGGTTTTTGCATACAAGTGAGAGGTTATTACAAGTAGACGTTCCACCTCCATTAATGTGTGACCAGTGGCAGCGGAGTAGTCTGATCACATGACCACGCCCTGATAACACCCATGAGCAGGTATCCTGGCGCTGAAACGATGGGTGCGCCCGTTCTACGGAATGTGCTTAAGGCATCTTACCACACCCAACATTTTCCTCCCCCCCCTTCCTCTCTCTCTATCTCTCTATCACCCTCCTCCCTCTATGACTCACCTGGCGGCCATTGAACAGGTGTACAGGTACGGGCAGAATCCAGACAGCATCTAAATCCTGGCATGTATCTCAACCTGGCTTGCAGAGGGCGATTTGAATTCCAACAAGATTTATTGTGGCTGTTCAGAGTCCAATGTTGACCATTTAAATATACACGGGGCACAAACACAAGCCAGAAACCCCCGCAAGCCAAAAGAGTTTTAGTGTATCTTTCTAATAAACTTGGTTTATCATGATAGATGTAGACTGTAACTTTGTTGTCACAGCGAGATGAGAGATGGGAGACAAAAGCACAACAGCTCTGCGGAAAGCGGAGTAGCCCAGTGGATCGGGAGTCACTCAACACCACCCGTTACCAGGTCTTTACTATTATCTCACTTCATTCTCAGACCGCGCATTGTGGTTTTGTGTCCGATTTTGGTGCAATTATACAGTCTAATGTATAGCCGTTGTCTCAGAGCGGATTTAATCCCATTTACTTGGATCAACTGGAATTTTCTCCGGCAGGTTAATACAAAGAGGTCAGTCTGTGAGTCTGCTCTTGTCTTGTCCCCCCGGAGCCTGCGTCTCCGAGGCCCCGAGCTTTCCCAGCATGCTTTTCTCACGCTGTAATGTCACACCTGAGTATAAGGTGACTCCCTGGAGCCCGGGGCTCTGAGGTCATCTTTACACCACAGTGCCGGGAGGAAAGGGGAACACACGTCCCCTCCAGCGCTGTACAGTGTACGGCTGGCTTTGTATGTATGCGTGTGCGGCGGTGTTGGCGGTGTTGTGTGTAGTTGATATGTCATGCTAATGAGACAACACTTACTTACCATTACCACCATCCATATAATTATATTTTAAATTTAGTTTCTTCAGTCTGCATCATGTGCAGAACCTGCAAATGAACACTTCTCAAGAGAGTAAAACAGGGTGTGAGGTGTGTGCGTGTGTGTGTGCGTGCATGCATGCATGTGTGTGAGTGTTACTAGAAAATCAAAGTACTTTCGCAGTAAGACGTTACAGCAGATAACACCCAATTACTGATAAATTAGATTTTAATTATTTTATCCTGTCAGATGTGTGTGTGTGTGTGTTCGTTCTTTGACCTGAAGTCGATACCTCATCAGTTTTTACTACCGGGCGGGGCATCACCGGGAACCATGAACTGCTCAGGTACAAAGAAAGTCCCGCACTGTGCACACGGTTTTCATTGCAGTAAGTATGTGTGTGGGTGTGTGTGTGGTCTGACAGCATCACTACACACTTGCGACATATGTTGTCAATCTGGTGCGATTACATCCACTGAAATGACGGCAATCATTATTGAGGAAACATAACTTAGCAGACAGGAGACAAAGACGAGAGTAAACACGGAGGAGCTTCATCAAACCAGCTGGACTCCATCACGCTGCCTCGACCACTCCTAAAGAACAACAAACTTGAGAGGCAACAAATATTTCATGAGCACGTGAACAAATATCATTCTTTGTGAGATAAAAAATAAAATAATTTGCACCACGCTCTGACACAATGCAGGTTTTCCAACTTTATTTTTAACTTCACCTGACAGGACAACTGTGCTCAGGGACATGAAGGAGTAGTCTCGGTATTTACATAAAGTTGATACATCAAGAAAGCAATTTATTATGTACTGAAATAGGTTTAGGTGTGGAAAGAACCTTCAGAGTTGCAGAAAGAGGTAAAGAACTGATTCACCGTCTTTCAAAGGGACTTTGATAAGTGTTTGCACCAATAACAAGGCTTCCAATTTCCAAAAATGCAAAGACGTATCTTTAAAGAAGGAGCAAAAGATCAACAGGCAGACGGAACTGATAGAAGCGTAAATTAGTCTGCAGACAGAACAGGCTAAAGTTAAGACAGCATAACATGTTTAGGTGCAGTTTTAGGTATTAATTAAATACATCTATTAATGTCACAGATTCATATCAATATTTTTCCCTGACACGACTCGTCTGTGAAAGCATATTCAATCACTGTAAATTCAATGGAAAACGAATGTAACTCGCCCACTTCTGGGACCCAGCCAGAGGTTTGTGGGGAATCCCTTGAGTGCTTAAAAGACTTGTTTCCACTGCTTCCGACCTCTGCTGCACTGCAATTAGAGTCCACCTCGGTTTGTGGCGCGTGTGGAACCAGCCAGCTGCCCGATGCTGCCCCCTGCTGAGCCGAGCAGAACCGGACTAACAACGTTAATGTAAATCCAACTATTACAGCAAATGATACAACTCATGGACGGACACGCCGATCTCCTCGTGGTATAAGCATGAGGAAATCTGAAAATGTGATGAGGACAATTAGAAATCGTTGTTTGGATAAATTGTTCAGATAATGTGAAACCACCCGGAATAGAAAAACAACACAGAACATAATGAGCTCTAAATCCGATTTGATCCAACATTCATCTTGGGTAAAGGGGCAAATGGGGTAATGGGGTTTCATACATGATGCAATGCGTGTGTAAACACTAATTCACAGGGTTGAGCACGCTGACATAAAAATCCCCTATCACGTGTTTCTGCACCACGCAAAGTGGCCCTGAGCTGAGCGACGAGATGGAAATCGAAACTGTGCCCGTAAGTTTCGTTTTCCTGATATCAGATGCTGCTGCTGTTGATAAATACGGAGACAGTCTACGCAGCGACATTCGCAAGTCGACCATCGTTTCATCGCACTGCAAGAGCATCTCATCACCGAACAGAATGAGCAGACCAACAGGTAACATATCATCTATTTTGTGTTTAATACGTTAATGTTCTGTGTGATTTGCTAATTAGCAATATTTGTTTTGATGAATTTGACCTAGCCTGAGCCCTTTGTTTCCCTTTAATTTCCTTTTACCTTCTGAGGGCTTGTTTCCCGTAATGTGACACCGTGGCTTTTGTTTGACTTTCCATGCAGACTGGGTTCCTTCCTTGTGGATGGAGACCTTTCAGAATTTGCTGGCCGATGAGCTGGAGTATGAAGACCGGTGGAACCTCAACTTTGGCTACCAACTCACAAACGATCTCACAAACAATGAGAGAAAGAAAGGCTGGAAGATCTTCATCGAGTGTGTACACGGAAAGTATGTACTATTTGTATTACATATTCTCAAATAATCGAGATGTATAACTTTAAACTCATGGACATTCTGGTTAAGGAACATAAAACTAGCTGTGAAAACTGTTGAGAGTTTCTGTTGTAAATTGGCTGAATGTGGAGCAGGCGGACTTGTTGTGCTTTCTGTAATCGGATGACAGATTCTGCATTTTTATGTAGAAGCTGGAGGCAAGCGGACAAGATTTTCTTGTTGTGTGCTTCTTTGTCTGAGTAGTAGGCCTACTAATTATGGTGCCTGAAAAGAATGCATGATATGGTTAAACCAACAAAGTTATGGGAAGACCTTTTTTATTTAGTTTAGTTTATCAGCCAAGTTTTCAAAGTTTCTGTTTATCACAAAAAAGACAAATTCCTTCCGAATCTGAATCAGATTCTGATAACGGCGCTGAGGTAGAATCATACTAACCCGAAAAAGCTCTGACTAGTATATTTTGTTTTCTCACTGGCCACAGTTTCCAGTGTTCATCTTGCCGCAAGACCTGGTCCTCAGCACGGGTGACGCTGTTGTTCCGCTACATACTGCGAGGGACGAGGGGGTCGGTGACCATGAGGCCTTTTGGACAGATCTGCCGCAGTTGCCAAGACGATCAGTTTGAACTCCCTGGTTTTTCCGAGGAACACGTGGAAAACGCCTTACTCAGACTGTTTGCCAAAATCCGGAAGAACTGCTACGGAGAGGACACCGGCGAAGACCATGTTGGCGATTCAGGAGACAGCGAGGTGAAAACCAAACCGCATGAGAAGGCCTTGTGTCAGGCCTGCAGAGATGGCATCTGCTGTCAGGACGAGGAGGAGGAGGAGGAGGACGACGACGACAATTAGAAGAGTGTGGTTGTCTGAGTGAAAGAGAAAGGGAGGCAGAGGGGTGACAGTAAAAGGCTGGCAGGGGCTGCGCAGATGGGCTGGGGTGTTCGTTTTTGGTTTGAATGTGTTTTGGTATTTTAAAGTGGTCCAATTTTTGTGTGTATTTTTTTGTTGTTGTTTATGTTGTCATTTATGTCTCTTTTGGGGAGTTTTTCCTGTGCCGATGTGTTTCGGGACAGAGGATGTCGTATGTGTACAGAGTGTAAAGCCCTCTGAAGGAAATTTGTAATTTGTGTTTTCGGGCTATACAAAATAAAATGAATTGAATTGAATTGAACAATGTTCTTTTTTTAGCATCAGCACCAATAACACATTCACTCTTGTAAATATATAAACTCTAAGTTTTTTATTCATGTCAACATGTGTAGCTTTGTTGTTCAAATTCCTGTAACTATTTGAACTATCATGTAGCTTGTATTCTGTAATAGGTGGCTGTCACCAATATAAATCTATCTTTTTAACAAAAAAAATAAATATATATGTACATCATCTGTATACAAACATAAGCATTATTATTATTATTACTTATTTAGTGTCTATTTACACAACTTACCTGTTACAACAGCTTAAACATAAGTTTTGGAAAAGGTCACAAAATAATAACAACGTTTCACCAAACAACCCCAGACAACCGACCAATCAGGTGGCAGCTTTCCGTATGACAGCTGGTTCCGAGCATGCGCACTGCGCTTTTCTCTCTGGCAGCCACAACAACACTGAAGCGATCCAGCCAGTCTCGCCCCTCCGCTCTCCCAGCACAGCAGCAGCAGCGGCGGCATCGTCGTCCCCGCCGGGTCCGGTGGCAGCGAGGATGGTTCAGTGGAAAAGCAGCCGGAGATGCGAACCACAGTGACGAGATAATAATGGCCCTCTATGTACGTAAGTTCCCGAACCCACGACCGGTGACCAAGTGAGACGACCGTGTAAGTCAAAACGGCGCAGGTTTGATGTTGTCCCAAGCTAACGCTAACCGGAGAGAGGCTAGCGTTCGGTAACGGCGCACGGGGAGGCTGCTTTTGGGTGTTCTCGTCTACACCCGAGGCGGAAAATGTTAACATTTTCGAGGTAAAGCGCCCCCCCCCCCCGCTCCCCCTATTAACGTACCGCTCGCTTCCCGGTCGTGTTCGCCGCTCGCGCGGGCTGTCAGCGCGCGGAAACAAAGGACTTTAACGGAGGGGCCGCGTGGACAGAAACACGCCGAGAGGAGTCGAGCTTGTTGTTTTCGTTGCTTCACGCTGACACACTTCTACGCGGTCCAACCTGAGTACGGAGCCTGTTGACGGTGACCGGGCTAAATGTCGGTTAGTGCCGAGGGGCTGTCGAAGGGAGGACTGCAGCTGCCGTCCCACCGGACCTCATCCTCACCAGTTCGATGTCTCTGTCTCTTTTTTGTGCTTAAAGCCCCGCTTGTCAGTTCATTCAGAAACCTGCCGAGATTCGCCACCCGAGTGCGGTGAGACTTTACGTCACCACACGACAGCGCGTCATGATAACGGTGAAGGCGCCGCGGGGGGTTCGTGTTTGTTTATATACACGATATAACGTTACCCAGTGAGCATGTTTTGGTTGAAAGGACGTTTAAAAGACGTCTATGCCCGACGTTGCAAAATGGTTTAAAAGTGAAAGTTGTTTCAACGTCTATTCGTAGACGTTGAAAAGACCACATTTCAACGTGATTTTTTATACGGTAATATTTCGTCTTCTCTTGTATGCTATATCAGTATTTTAGAGGTTTAAAAAGAAACTACGTCCACATTTGTAAGTTTACCACCGGTATTATAAATCACGTTGAAATACGTGAACGTCTTTTCAACTTTCACTTTTAAACCATTTTGCAACGTCGGGCATAGACGTCGTTTAAACGTCTTTTCAACCAAAAAATGCTCACTGGGACGTGTTTACAAGTAATGTTTGAAACTGCCCGCATTATTATGTCTTAAAAACCTCATGTTAACAACACGCAGTCCAATTTCAACCATATTTCAACGTTGAAATCACGTCTTGTGCTCACTGGGTAGTAACGGAGCAGTAAAGGCAGATTTGACAGCGGAGGTTCTGGCAGGTAGGACGGACGTGATTCATGTAATTCTACGCTTAGTCGAAGCTGTAGATCTTCACATAACGTTAGCTGAGATGTTTATTAGTGCAATATGAATATCTTGATATGATTGAGCACCTTTGAATAAATGATCATTTTAAGCATGAATGTTCTAATCTTGTGTGTAAAGAAGAGCACAAAGACAATCACATCCTCATAACTTCTGATTTGCTCATAAAACTTTGATGGCAAGCTGGATTCTTAAAAAGAACCCAGTCTGACTTTTGTCAGCAGGAATCATCTGACAAAGGTTTCCAGACAACATTTATGCGTTTGTGCTTCTGGAATTCATCAGTCGCTAAGCCTTAATTATCACATTACCTACAATGAGGAGTAGCATATGTTGTGGAGGCCTGCTCTGTGGAGACCTGTGGTACGAGTGTTACTCACAATTGTTCATTCTCAAAAACACAATAGACAAACAAACATTTGTTCCCGGCTTACTCTCCGGCTAATAAGTGCGAGGGTCCGTTTAACAAGCAGTGGACACTTCCTCAGGCCCCACCACCACCACTGAGCACTTTTGTAATGGTTGATAATTGAACTGTCACTTCCCAGCACAAACCTTGCGTTGCCTGGAATTCCAAACTTCCTCCATGTCCAGACTTCCTGTCCTTATTTAGTATGAGACACAGAGGGCGAGCGAGCGAGCGCGAGACTGGGACACACAGAGGAGTGAAGTGAACTGGAAGTAAACCAGTGTGCACAAAACAGAGAGCCAAACAGACACACTGACCTAATAACTATAGTAACCCCCCCCCCCACACACCCACCTCCACCCCTTTCTATCGGCCCCACCATCCCTTCTGATACAAACACACGGTCCAGTCTACTGCATCGTTGGAGCGGAACTTGAAAAGATGTTGTCTGTAGCTTCTGCGCGGCCCACATGCCTCCTTCTGTCGCTGCGTGGAAACGGCAGGTAGACGGAGTCTATTCGGATGTTCCAGAACTCGGACAGCCAGCGGCCAACTGTGGCTAAAAGAGGCTCTTTGTCGGGGCCCAGACAGATGGCCATAGAATGAAGACTGTAATGATAGGCCCAACGGCCACACACACACTCACTCGCACACACACTCCGCTCATTACAGGCTGTAATGAGTGGACAAATTGTGTGCGTCCGAGGGAGGACATGGAAAAGATGAGGAAGGAAATGAATCAGAACACAGCGATTTGAGAGCGACTTGAGATCCTACAGGAGGTTAATCAGCTGTTGCCGGTGAGGGTAAAGTCGGTTGTAGCTGCTGTTCTTGTGGTTCTTTGCCTGAGGGCCTGCGAGGATAAGTACATCAGTTTTTTGATCTACGATATTAAGTGCTGCAAATGGTTCTCACATCTCCAGTAGCAAACCACTATATACTATTGTATGCAAATGTTGGCTGTGGCCAGGGGTGCTAATGTTAAACATGTCTTTCGTCAAATCAATAGCTTGGTTATTACTAACCTCCCCTGTCTTTCTCTACCTGCTTTTATCATTATCTCTTTCTCGTGTCTTCCTTCTACCGCTCCTTTCGCCCTTCCATTTCCGGCGAGAAAACATTGTCGCCACGGCACGTCAGCCAATCGATTGTCTGTTGTTTTTTTTATACTCTCACCAGCCCTTTCCCCGTGCTCATTCTAATCATTTCCTCTCTTTCCTCTAATCAATATCTCTCTCTCTCTCTCTCTCTCTCTCTCTTTTACTTTCAGAGCAGGAGAACACTTAACCATGTTGCTCTGAGTTAGGAAGAGGAGGAGGAGCGGAGAGGCAGACGGGCATCTCCCTTTTGGTGGTCCTTTTGCAAACTTGAAGCGATGGGTAACACAGCCACCAAGTTCCGCAAGGCCCTGGTGGGTGGCGACGAGGCCCTGGCCTGGCAGCTGTACGAGGGGAACCCTCAGTTCAGGGACGGCCTTGACCCGAATGCATCGTACGGAGAGCAGTACCAGCACAACACGCCGCTGCACTACGTCTGCCGCCACGCCATGACGCGTCTGCTCAGGTAACAAAAAGTAGAAGATTTTGTCGAGAATGTCAGAGATGAGAGACCAACAATCATTTTTGAAGCAGCTATCAAATACGACTACAGAGAAATTTATGCAAGCGAGTCGTGTTAAACGGGACGTCGGCCCCGAGAGGCTTCAGAGAATCCCCCTTTTCAAAATTGTGTTTTTATGGCAAGAACCGTGACTTTTTGTTTTCCGAAGGTACGTGACGTATACGCTGTCATCCTATGTTAATGATGTCACAGGCCAACAATTACGTTGACACATGCCAGACAAAGGAAAAGCACATTAGCACGAAGAACACTGGCAGTCAGACGCAATTAGACCCACACAGACCGCAATTAACAAAACTGCAAACAACAGCCTCCAGAAGGAGCGATCACCAGAAAAAGCAACTGAGCTTTCCGAAGTGAGCAAGAAAATGGGCACTCTGCCAAGTTTGTACACTAAGCCTGTTAAAACCGCTGTACAATGGCCTTCTGTAATTCTGGATAAACTTTGATTGCGTCTGAGAAAATAACTCTTGTGTTCTCTGTCTCTCAATTTAGACTTTTACCAGAAATGCTGCGTTGCAAATTTCTGGTGTTGCGCTTAAAAAGCTTGAAAGCAGAAAGAGTTGCAAAAAACAGTACTACGTTGCACTGGAACTTAATGAACATAATATATATACTTGCCTGAACCAGGTGTAAGCCGCTCCCCCTTGAAATAATGTTTTAAGCAAAACAATCTAAAAAAAATAGAAAGCAAGACGCCAGTTAGTCTTTTTACCCCCTGCAGAGATAATCAGACAGCTGATCCAGTGATTCGATACCCTCACCTCCTCCTGCTCGCACTCTTCCTCTCTCCTGCCCCTTCTTTCCATGATTACGGGTCAGGGTCAGAGGAAGCCGTTTAAAAAGGCAAGTTAATTATCTGTGCATCTGCTTCAAGCATGTGCATCTGTGTTTAGAGGAGTCGGGTGGGGGGTTTGTGACTCCACAACTGCTTAATGTGTCCCGGTCTGTGAACGTGAATATAACACACTTAACACATACTTGGTGTGCTATTTGGGTCCTTTGCTGCTTACCTATAATGGGCCAGAGAGGCGTGCTGAACGCACACTCTGCTCCAGATAAGCATCAGAGGAAATGCCGCTTTGTTCCAACGTTTGGATACAGGCGGGCGGATAGACAACCAACAAATCTCAGACAAAAACAAAAAGAAGACTCATGGAGAACAATCGTGGGCCGGTACATTCAGAATCGGTTTTCTGATCATTTTTAACATATGCCCCATGGCTCGCATCTAGTTGTCCCCTCGGAACGGATCGGATAGTAATCCATGAGATGTGCAAAACTAATGCTGGGAAAATGGGTGCAGTTAAGGAAGTGTAACGCGTCCTGCCTATCAACTGAGAACGCAGTCTAAGAAACTCATAAATGAGATGTATATGTAAACGTATGGCAACTCCCTCTGGTCTAAGTCTTCAAGCCACAAGACAGGTTCTGTTTTTTTTTCGGCTTTTGATATTTCCATGTGAATTATTACATTGGTCTTAAGGTTTGGACCGCTTTGGTGCTCGACAATATCAGCAAAACATGTGATGTCCCCATGCTGGTTATTTCTAGTACACAGATATTAGGACTATCCATCTGAAACCCGGGGCGTTGCACATGTATAAGTGTCGATGTAGGGGGGGGATTGGTTTGTAGTTAAGGGCATAATGAGTGATTGTTGCTGAACGGTTGATTCAGCAGTGAGCTGTCATTAGGGGGGAACTTCAGGGGCTCGTGGCTGAACGGATGAGAAGGTCAAAAGTGGAAGTGCTGCAAGGCTGCACAATATGGAAACATCAATTTCTTCTGCAAAAGGAGCAGAGATGAAGTTTTTTAAAAAGTTTTTTTATGTATATATTGAATCAATGGAAGTTCCCAAACAATATATCTATTATTTCCTTCTTCTTTTCAATCACTTCTCAGGCCTCCATGTTCTCCTTCCTCCACATCTATCTGTCTCTCGCATATAGGCTTCATGGTTCTCTCTCTTCGCCCTCTTATTTGAAGCCTCCTTTTAATGTTGCCGTTCCTCCTGAACTCCGTTTTGTCCTCATTCTTTCTTCTACTTGTCCAGGGCCTTCCTGTTCAGTAAAGAGGGGAACCTCAACAAGCGCAATGTGCACAACGAGACCTGCCTCCACGTGCTGTGCCAAGGCCCGCAGATCCTGCTGCTGCCAGAGGGAGCGCTGTCGCCGCGACTGGCCCGACCGCAGAGGGACGAGCAGCGCCGAGCCGACTCCCTGCAGGTACAAGCACGTGACCACGCGGGTTTTGAACTTACACGCCGGCGTGACATTTCTTTCTCTCTTTTTTGCGTCAACCTGGCTGAGACGTGGAAATAATGCAGAGTGTTTCTTTTTGTGGACTCCTTCTCTGGCCGCCAGATGAGCCTCAGCTGGACCGGTGCCAGGCTGGAGGGAGGCCAGTACGAAAAGGCCAATGTCAACGCCACCGACAACCACCACAGCACCTGTCTGCACTATGCTGCGGCTGCAGGCATGAAGAGCTGTGTGGAGGTGAGAGAACGTGTGTGGACCCCTATGGAAGTAAAACCTTGAGTTTGGAGGAGCTTTCTGCCCTGTAGGGCAGATCGGTCTTTTGTGATTGGATTTCACAGCCGGTGAAATCTGAGGACAGCGTTATGCCAGTGCCCGCATTAAGAGAGTCTGGTTTGTGTTTCATTACTGTCGGATTTCAAGTAGTGCTTCCTGCCTGGTTTTTCAAGGTTTTACAGCTTCTGAATTAGGAACAAAATCCACTTCCTGAAATGAAAGAAAATTGAGCTCAACCCAGATATTATGCTTTAAGATATAAAGTAAGAGCACATTTATCTTCATCTCCTCCCCTCTTCCATCTTTTATTCATCTCCATTTAGCTAAACTGCTTCTTGTTGTTTTTTTCCAGCTTCTTTCACATGTTACTGTGCATCACCATGTACAGTATTTTCTGCATTTCTGCCGTCACGTCTTCTCCTTTGTCCCCTTCCTCCCGTTTTCTCTTTGTCTGCTCCACTCGCTCGCCCCTCTCGCTTCCTTTGTTCTCTTTTGTTGCACTTCAATTTCTTGTTCTTCCCCGTTATCCATTTCTCCTTTTCTCTCCTCCCCGTAGCTGCTAATCCAGAGCGATGCAGACCTTTTTGTGGAGGACGAGGACAAGTTGACGCCATGTGACCACGCCGAGCGGCATCACCACACCGAGCTGGCCCTCAGCCTGGAGTCACAGATGGTTTTCTCCTCCTCTTCAGCTCAGCAGTCAAACACGGACGCTCATGGTGAAACCAACCTGCGGCAGTACAAAGAGGTGAGACCACAGTTATGACATCGGGGGGTTTCATTCATGCTGGACATTGAAGTGTTTATGCTTTTTATATACATGCTTCCGCCTTAAAATGGCCATTTGTAAATGTACCCACATTCTATGGAGATCCTAAAATAGCAATCATTAACAAAACAATATAAATTATTAAATTAATCTATTGAAAAAGCCTAAAAAACAAAACTATTCTCTATGTCTGGTTCAGCCACTTTGTCAATATTAGCACTAATTCCCAAACAGCAATTTTTACCAAAATCTTACTGTTTAGGAATCAGGAAACAGTTATTGCCAAAATATGTCAAACATACAAGGAATTTGTCTTGGCGGTTGGTGCGTGTTTAAGTAAAAACTCAAAAAATATGAATAATAATTGCTACTGTTTTTTAGTTGGAAATGGTAGAATTTTTATATGATTATTTAGATATCTTCCATGCGGGTTGGTTGGTGATATGATATCACTTCGCCATGCAGATTCTCATATCTTTTAATCTCTAAATTTCTCCAAATCTCCATTTGCATTTACAGATGCAGATCTTTTATATAATATATACCATATATTCCCCTCTTCTCTCCTAAAATATTAACCAAGTTACACTGCTTTTTGTTTAGTAACACAAGCAGTGTTTTTCAGCATTGTCAGGAAGTTAAACAGAGGGCAACGGCAAAGATTTACAGCAGCGTCTGCTGCCAACTGGCAGCACTTTGATCTCTTTTCATACTGCCAAATCTTTACTAATACCTAATCTCTCTTTCCCACCACCACCACCAACCCCCGCCACTGCAGCCGCCAACCCTGACCTTTTCATTCTTTTCAAATTATCTTTTTTCACTTCCTTAAGGAAGAAATTTACTTTCACTGTTACTAATTTTCTCTTTCACTTCCCTCATCATCTTCTCTACCTCCCAAACTTTTCAGCCTTATGAGGGACTGAAACTTCAGGACCTGCGCAGGCTGAAAGACATGCTGATCGTGGAGACGGCAGACATGCTGCAAGCCCCCCTCTTCACTGCCGAGGCCCTGCTCCGAGCACACGGTACGTGGAAACTGACCTCTGTGAGACCTGCACAAACCCTGGCAGTGCTGCGGTTGCAATATTCAGAGAGAATTGCATACGTACTCCCTGCCTCTAAAGTAACAAGTTGCTTTGGATAAAAGCGTCAGCTAAATGACATTTAATGTAATGTAATGTAAAGGTGTGATTACTCTCTCTTTTTCTCCTCCTCTCCCTCCAGACTGGGACAGAGAAAAGCTTCTGGAAGCCTGGATGTCGGACGCTGAGGGTTGCTGCCAGCGCTCAGGTGTGACCATGCCCACCCCACCACCCAGCGGGTACAATGCCTGGGACACCCTGCCCTCACCTCGCACCCCAAGGACCCCACGCTCACCACTCACGCTTACCCTCACCTCCCCGACCGACAGCTGCCTCACACCTGGAGAGGAGAGCCTGGCTTCGGTGAGACGCACCCAGTGATGACTTTAAAATTGCTGTAATGGTGTTTTAAATGAACTCGTAAAAGGGGCAGAAAAACGATTTCTAAACCTACTTATGTACAGTAAATAGAAGGAATTAGTTGGTTAACTTAAAGTCTCATCCATCCATCTTCTATACAGCTTATCCTAAGAGTGTTGCGGGCGGACTTGTAAAGCTATTTAAAATGTATTTTCTATTTGTTTAATTTTTATTTGTCTAATCTTATCAGAGCAACGGAGGTCATCGGCGAGCTTTTAAAGCAATGACTCTTTTCTATACTATCTGTTGTTGCACATAAGCTTTAGTGTCTCCGCTGTTGCTGCGGGTGTAATTACACACCTGACAGACATATTATATTACTTTACATGATGACCTGTAAACATTGCTGTTTTTTTCCTTTTACTGTGTATGAGTATTATGTCAATGTACAAAAAAGTGTTCAATCTCCAGTTGATGTATTTAGTCATGTGTATCACTAGGATATCATTTAGTTCAACATAATTTAGTGTCAGGGCCACGTCTGAATAATTTACCTTCTGTCTCGCTGCAGTGTGGGATCTGTCTCTGCTCCATCTCAGTGTTTGAGGATCCAGTGGAGGTGTCCTGTGGACACGAGTTCTGCAGGGCGTGCTGGGAAGGGTAAGGACCTGTGTGTGTAAATGTTCCTGCTTACTTCAGTGTGTTTTAGCAGTTATGGATTATTGATTAATAATGTTTGTATTTGCGTGTTTCTTAGGTTCCTCAATGTAAAGATTCAGGAGGGTGATGCGCACAATATCTTCTGCCCGGCCTATGAGTGCTACCAGCTGGTGCCGGTGCACGTGATAGAAAGTGTAGTTTCCAGGGAGATGGACCAGAGATATCTACAGTTCGACATCAAGGTAGAAATGAACATTCATACTGATATTGATTGATTGATGTCATTGAGGCTCACCACAGCTTAAGAAATTATTTTCATCCATCCTACATTTATTTTGTGTGTTTGCCCCATCATCTCCTGCCTGCACATTCCCTATCCTCTGTGTTCTCTTCTTCCTTCTATGTGCTCCATATTTAATTTGAGTCCCATCTTTCTCTCTCTCTCTCTCTCTCTCTCTCTCTCTCCTTCCCTGTTGCAGGCGTTTGTGGAGAACAATCCTGCCATCCGATGGTGTCCTGCAGCACGTTGTGAGCGGGCGGTGCGGCTCACCCGACCAGGCCCCGGGGACAGTGACCCCCACAGTTTCCCCCTGCTGCCCTCCCCAGCCGTTGATTGTGGCAAAGGTCACCTCTTCTGCTGGTACACGTCATTATTCATTCATGGCTTCCTACACATATTTCAACACAACAGGTGAAGGAGGCCTCATTGCTGTTGACCTGGAAACGTATGCAGGCAATGATCAGAAATGTCTTCTGTGCCTTTTTCTTTCTCTTCCCTTTTTGCTTCCGTTTCTAGGAATTGTCGTTGATTGTCACAACGCTTTGGCCACACTTTGTTCACCGTTTAACACCCTCCCTATCTGCAGGGAGTGCCTTGGCGAGGCCCATGAGCCATGTGACTGTCAGATGTGGAGGAACTGGCTCCAGAAAGTTACAGAGATGAAGCCTGAGGAGTGTAAGTCTGTCTTTGTGTTGTTAGTGTTTTAATTGGGATTATTTTAGCAGCACCTCAGTAAACTGACGCCACAACAAGGCAGTTAACAGCAGCTGTCAGACGGCCTACCGGGATCTGTCTAATATATTCTTATAACATAGTGGCTGGTGTTAAGGTCATGGATATTTGTGTGTCGTGTTGGGTGTATCTGCAGGGCAGGTGCCGAGGTCTCTAATTTGTGTGCGCACCTGCATTTGTTTGTGTGCTTTCCACAGTGGCAGGTGTGAGTGATGACTATGAGGATGCTGCTAACTGCCTATGGCTGTTGACCAACTCAAAACCATGTGCCAACTGCAAGTCGCCTATTCAGAAGAATGAGGGATGCAACCATATGCAGTGTGCTAAGGTATACCATTTATCTCTCCGTCAGCTGTGTGTCACGATGTGCTGGTAACGGACATTAACTTCTATGCTTTCATTTCATTGTTTACTCTGTCTGTGTGTGCAGTGCAAGTATGACTTCTGTTGGATATGTCTGGAGGAGTGGAAGAAGCACAGCTCATCAACAGGAGGCTACTATCGCTGTACTCGCTATGAGGTCATCCAACAGCTGGAGGAGCAGTCCAAGGAGATGACTGTGGAGGTATTGACACACATCTAAAAGATCACGCGCAAGTTTTCTCTAATAGAAACATGCATAAAAAATATATTGATACTACACACATTTCCACTGGCGAGAACTACGCCATAACTTGTCAGATGATGCATTATTGAAGCACATGTTGATGTGTTCTGCAGCATTTAATGTGTTTCCATACACAAAACACACACACACAAGCTATTTGAGTGAAATCAAGTTGTTTTTGTTACAGGCAGAAAAGAAGCACAAAAGTTTTCAGGAGCTGGATCGTTTCATGCACTATTATTCTCGCTTCAAAAACCATGAACATAGTTATAAGGTAATACACTTATTACACATATTTAAATCAATTCAAAGCTGAGTTTCCATGATAGATTCGTTACAATCTGATGATCATTTAATATTGGACATGTGTATTTTCTCCTCTTGTCCGTTAGTTGGAGCAGAAATTACTAAAAACAGCCAAAGAGAAGATGGAGCAGCTCAGCAGAGCCTTCATTTGCAGTACGTCGCTGTTGTATGATACAGGGTGGCTGAGCCTTTTGTTCCCATCATAATTCATTAGTCCAATCTGCATTGTAATGCTGGCTTGTTTTGTCCAGGGGAAGGAACTCCTCCGGACACGCGTTTCATCGAGGACGGTGTGAGTGAGCTGTTGAAGACACGACGCGTCCTAAAGTGCTCTTACCCATACGGCTTTTTCCTGCAGCAAGGCAGCACCCAAAAGGAGATATTTGAACTAATGCAGGTATGATGCACATTCAGGACGACAAGTCCCTGCAGCGATCCCTATGGACCCATTAGGCCACAGGACGGCTAAACTGGTTAGGACAAACAACTTAGTGGCAATCTGACCGTTTTATATTTCTAATACTAGATGATGGGTGCTAAATTACATGTTAACCGGATCACAAATATTCTCAGATATTTACTGAAATTCAACCAGTAGTTGTTGCAATGGTGTACTCACTTATTCATTAACTGTACATTTTAATTTAATATTCCTCAGAAATGTTCTCCTCAACATACCACACATTACGGTGTTGGAGCAGTTTGTAATATGCATGTTTCATGTATTAGAATGTGGGTGCAAAGATGAATAAAATGAAGGGAGTTGCATTTGTAGTTTGTATTGTTGTATACAAGATTATACTACAGATAATCATAATTTAGCCCACTAAATGTTGATGTTTTCTTCTGGTCATACAGAATAATAAGTTTGTTATCATTATTGAGGCTATTGGATGGTATCTCCAAGCTGAGTGAGTTCAAAAGTCCACCCATGTCTTATTTTAATAGTACAAGTTTAATGAGTTTATTAAATTTCCTGTCTGTGTACAGATAGGAGGTAACGTGCTTGTTTTGTATCTCCTCAGACCGACCTGGAGATGGTTGTGGAGGACCTGGCCCAGAAGGTCAACCGGCCGTACCTGAGGACTCCTTGCCACAAGATAACTAGTGCAGCACGTCTGGTGCAGCAGAAGAGGCAAGAATTCCTGGCATCAGTGGCCCGAGGTGTGGCGCCCAACGATTCTCCCGATCCGCCCCGCCGAAGGTAACGACACACTCTCTAACGTTTGCCCAGTCATCCTCCCACTGGCACAGACAAAGTAAAATTGGAACATTTCTAAACCGGAAATGTAAATTAAAGTCAGCCATCACGTGCAAGACTAAGCAAACAGTCTTGTGTTTGTTTCAGTTACCCAGGAGGATCATGGGACTGGGAGTACCTTGGCTTCGCCTCCCCTGAGGTAAACTGTGACACCGTACACAAAAAAACTTTTCCCTAAACCTGCACTTGGTGACCTGCTTCAGCATGAGGTTATCTAAATGCATGTCTACGGCTGCGGCTGACTTAGCTTACTCATGTGTGTTAAGATGGGGAGTCGTCACTCTGTACTGGGAGCAAGAGATCCGAGAGAGAGACAGTCACAGGTAATGCGCTATAGTTTCTGCAGTCCTCTGTGCTGAACGTTGTGCACCTATTTGATACAAAATAGAATTGCAACACAGCTTTAAATGGATTTTTTTTAGTAACACAGCTTTAATTACTCTTTCCAGGATTATGCTGACATCCAGTACCGTCGCAGACACCGACCACGGCGCAGAGGAGATATGCTGAGTCTGCACAACCTCAGAAGCAGCAGCAACACACCAGAGACCAGTAGGAGGAGTGACAACGCAGGTTGGGGAAAAGGCTTTACTATAGTATACAATGACCACAAAAAGCATTATAAAGAAGTGGTTTATTTTATAGCATGGGGCATTTTGGAAATTAACTGTATAGGTTTCACTGTATAGGTTGAATTGTCTCCTGGATCCTAATCCAGCTACATCTTATACACTTACATATTTTCTCTTCTCTTCACATCAGACGACCAGAAATAGGTTTTGAAGTTATTGCCCCATGGAGCTGGTTTAATTGACGCACATAGAACATTGATCCGTGGAAACAATTTCTAATCAAACACCACAAAGCAGTGCTTGTTTTAATGGGATATTTTGTGTACCAGAAAATCCAGAGAGGATTGAGGGCCGCAGGAGAGTGCTGGGCTTGCTGGATGAAGACGATCCGAACATCCTGCTGGCCATCCAGCTGTCCCTTCAGGAGTCTCGCAGAGAGCGAGACCTAGAGGGAGGGACGGAGGGGAGAGTGGAGCTGGACCGTGGACCTGACAGAGGACAGCAGAGGATGCGGAGAACCTCGGGGGACGCGGGTGATGTTACTTTGCAGTCTCTAAACACCGACTGTCCTCCAGGAGCCAGAGGCTCCTCCTTCCCCGCTGCTCTCCAGAAGCCCCCTCGACCCCCTAACAGGACAGACTCCACCTCTCAGCCTCCCATGTCAAACCCTCTCCCGCTCCCGCCACCCCCTCCCTCCCTCAGTGCGGAACTGCTGGAGCTGGGAGACAGCCTTATGAAACTGGGGAGCATAACCGCTCCTTATGACCTAGACACACACACGCAGGAGCAGCTGTGCTCTCACCATGCATACAACCACAGTACACACACCCCTCCTTACACCATCGAACCTACTTACAGCGACTTCAGACCGGAACAAAACCCACAAACTACTCCATACGCGCTTGACCATGTTACCATTACTGATCCCAGTTATGGCCACTCCAGTGGTTATTTGTCCGAGGCTGAACACGCTGCCTCTTGCTCACTTGAACGCACCCAAGACCCGGCTCACTCTGGTTCACGTAACCGGGAGCACGGGACCCCGTGTGACGGCACCCCGCGACCGGACATCTCCTACAACGCCGAACACGGCGGCTCGTACACTCAGACCGCTGCCTACGCTCTCAAACACCCGCCCAAATCAGAGCCCCAGCCCCTCGCCCAGTTGTGCCTCCCGTCTCCAGAGCTAGAGCCGGAGCTGCTGCTCTCACCGGTGATCCCCCCGGGGGGGGCTTTCACCCCCAGTCTGGAGCCCCTGGACCCAACAGCCAGTGCCCAGCTGCTGGACAACATCATGGCCTGGTTCAACAACAACATTAACCCCCAGAACAACCCCCAGAGCCTGGCGCTCATCCCCTCCCCACCCACCACAGAAACGGACTCCTCTCCTGACACACACACTGAGACTGAGTCAGAGAGCCAGACCTCCAGGGGCACGACCCCCGCCCTGCTCTGGCAGCCCCTGGAGGGCGAGCCAGAGGCTGGCGGTGGGTCGGCGAGCCCCCGCCGAGGCGCGGAGGGCCTGAAGACGTCGAGGCCCAGCACTCTGGAGCTAGAGAAGAGAGCGGACGCCGAGGAGGGTGCGGACGCAGGGTGCGTGTCTGAACTGTCGCTGGACGAAGCGCACGCGCACTCGTGTTCGCACTCGTGTTCGCACTCGTGTTCGCACTCGCAATGTGGAAACAGTCCCGCACACACTGCCGCAGACACAGAGAGAGACCTGGACCTCATCCTTCAGCTAGAGGGAGAACAGTCTTCTGTGGAGTGGGAGGAACAAGTACACCTGGTGTGACAGCAACATTACGATGTGGAGTGAGAACGATAATAATGATAAGAGAGAAGTGAAAGAAGGAAGAAAATCTTTGGAGTGCTTACTGTATGTATTATACTGCATTTACAGGACACAAAACCCTGGGGATTGTGTCCAGTAAAGATGATGTCATACGCAGACGCAAGTGCTTTTGTCTGCTCAAAAAATGAAATATTTGAAGTACATCAATGGAATGCTACTGATTTCATAACACATAAAATGCTGCACATGTTTTTGTTTCCTTACCTGTATTTGTGTTGCCCAGGATGAAGTTTTGGTGCTGAACTCCAAACCCGCCTCACTTTTTAGTTAACACGCCGACCCGACCGCAAGCTCCCTGGAGCCAAATATGCTAACTGTAACCTGGGAGCTTGTTCAGCGTACTGTACAATCACATGGGCCTAATTCAGATTTTTGGACCTTTGTGCACACTGTGCCTGTTTTGTTAGAGAGCAGACACGCTACGGAGGATTTCTTTTGGCAGGCCGCAAACAACGGCAATATGCTTGTCTGCTCAGTGAACGTCACGCTAGCGCAACGTGCCATCTGGGGATTTAATGACGGCTATAATTATTTTGTAAAACGCCAGCGATCACGTAAGAGATCTAATCTTGTCCCTCTACACGAGGAGGTCGGAGGTCAGAATTCAGCATCAAGCATTCTTGTTGTGAGGGGGGGGATTGCAGTATTTTACACCTGCTTTGGCTCAGTTTTGTCATTGTGCAAAACCCTTCCACCCAAAATGCCTTTATAATAATATAATGTTTGCCTCGAATTTATGGAATACATAACATCTTTAGCAAAAGATGTATCCAGCTACATTTCACATTGCTGCATTTGAATCACATTTCAAAACAAATGGATTTTATTAAATGCCATCAAAGAGAAATGAATGCTAGAAGTAAGTATTTGAACATTCAGTCTTCAGATACTTTTGTGTGAAAAGGGAAAATGTTATCATCCATCAATTTGTCAGTTGGTACATTGACAACTGAGCCAAATCAATCAATACTTTATATGAAAATTCATTTTGTTTGCTTATCACTTTATCATCTATATTCCACTACTGATGGCTAGTGCAGTGTGCTGTTTGATAGATGAGAGCTGGGTTGGGGTTTATTGTAGTTTATCCTCTTCTATTTCTATTATTTGTATAGAACTGTTTTTTCAGTTTAGACCAGAGTTGTTGGGTCTGTGTGCCTTTTTTGTTTCAATCATATTTGTCTATGTTTTGGTATTTATTACTGTCATCGCTTTTATACATGCAAATCAAAGTTGTCTTTGAGGATTAATGGAGAACACACTACTTTGGCGGTTGCCATATACTGAGGTTCTTGATGCACGTTGGTATTATTTGTCCTCACACCACAGGTTTATAATATTTTATTGTATCCCCTGAGAAAAGCTGAATTGCAGATAAGTGAAATAAATTTGTTAATTATTTACACTTTACACACTTGTTTCCACTATAATTACGTTTTATATCCATGTTGTTTGAATGTGGCCTTTGATTTTCTCGAAAATGCGATTCAGCACTCTTTTTATCTTTAAACTTAATTTCCCAACTGGAATGTTTACAAGATAATTAAGCACTGCCTGTTGTGTTGAGATATGATCTGGTGCTGCTGGGAGTGAAATCATAATAATGGAGTGTGTTTATATTCATACTTTCATGCCAATCCAACAAATGTTGAGATATCCTAATTAAGTTGAAATCTGTGTGTCTGCATTAAATGTGCCAATTATGCAGAATGTGATTTGAGAAAGCGCATCACGTACGATCGAATATTAAATTTATTTAAAGTCCGGGTGCTCCACTGAAGTGACAAAACCCCTAAAATAACCATGTTTTCTTTCTGTATTCAACATTAAACTGTGAAGGCGCTAGACAAGTTGTTAGGTGCTGATGGAGACATTTCATGAGGCCTGCTGAGCTTGTGTGACCTATAAACATTTCAGACATTGGTTGTTAAATTATTCCTTAAGAAATATTTACTTTAGTTAACTATAGGATATGAAACAAGAATCTGGACTCCTTTTAATTTGCACAGGCATGCTGTGTTGCACTAATCAGGTGGATGGGCAAGATGTGGAAGGATGATTAGTGTTCTTTTATTATTTCCTTGTCTTGATTTAGAATTTGATTTATGGTGTCATGGGAATGGTCCTGTATAATATGGTAGACCATATATCATATTTTAATGATCCCTCATAAAACCACTTGAGAATAATAGAAAAATGAAATTGCACTAGCATAGATTATACTTGATACATTCCCAGTCGATCCATAAGAAGGGTTTGATGTGTGGCCAAAACTGTAAAGGAAAGTGTCAGTGCAAAGTTTTCTCTCAATAAAAACAACTGAAAGATTGTCACTACAAGATTTTTGAATGGTAAATACTGCCTTCAATTAGAAAAATTAGAAAAGATATTATGCAGTTTTACTGCGTAATACAATTTTAAAAAACTTCAATTCATTAGAGTCATAGTTAATGGTTTGTAACACCGACTGTGGCAAGTTCAACTAGCTGCAGCAAAAAAAGCTCTGTGTTACTTTTGTGTTTAATTTGTGCTTGTAGGCGTTGCAGTTTTTATCTGCCCAAACTGGCATTGTCATGGAAATGTTATATCTATAAGTCAAGATGTTAACTCTATACCTTCATTGTAAAATGAAAAAAAACATTTAAACAAACCCTCAAACAGAAAACTGCCGCTTTCTTTTTTTTCTAAATATGAATTGCACAGGGACGTGTTTACTGATTGCCCCCTATTTCTACGATGTTATAACGTTTTTAAAAGCGTACATGTTGTGAATAATTGTATTAATAAAAGGCCAAACCAGTGTCGTCCGTACGGGATTCCGTCGTCCTTCTCATACGGTTGTTCGACGCATAGAAACATCTAAAGGCTTTTTTTATGTCTATATGGTTGAACGCTCCTCCGTTAGGGGGCGTGGAACTCGAACGTCCTCTTTGCGGTCGCTCATTTGATGACGTAGATTTAGCGCGACTGAAAACGTAAAGCTTACAACAGCGGCCTGTGTTGTTTCACTCGACCGTTGTAATTTTTGTCTCCTGTGGAGGATTGTCTCTACATTCTGCCATCATCATGAAACTAGTCAGGTAAGTGGATGTTAAAAGTCACATTTTGTGAAATTTTGCGATGTGGCGCGATGAAACACCTCGATGCTGATGGATGGATTTAGATATTAAACGGAGAGACTGATGAGGCGGGAAGCGGTGATCGTAATGAATGGAGGCTCTCCGGAGTTACAATGGTCAAGCAGCAGGCTCTGAAATAACATATACCAACAGACATTTGGTGTTAATCCTTATGATTTACCTTTTATACGTGATAGTCGCACTGTTTACTAATTAGCTAACTTAACGAATAACCCAACACTAATTCTAGCTAGCGTTAGTTACCTCATAGGCCCCGTCCGTATCTGTTCAGTGCAGTTAGCGTTAATACATTCAGCGACAGGATTTAAAATAAAGTTGATGTGGAATTAAATAAATCATGTTTAGTAAATGAACATCCCTTCTCAGGTCTAATGCACGCGGGTTTGACGTGTTAAAGTTGACCACAGAGCAGCGTTACATTTTTGTTTTGGTGCTGAATGCTTCACAGTCGGTAGCTAACTGTGGCTAGGTAACGTTTGCTAGCCTGACTTGCACTCTTTGGTATACACGATGTAAACGGTTCTTTTTAAATTGTGAAAACGTGTTTTATAGAACGGCTTGTTCTAACTGTGACGTTGATCATCCGCATTCAGGTTTTTGATGAAACTCAGCCATGAGACTGTGACCATTGAACTGAAGAATGGCACCCAGGTCCATGGCACCATCACAGGTGAGAAATGCACAGGAATCTTTAAAGTGTTTACTAGTTCGGATGTGAGCATTACATTTGCTATTAGGCAGCAAATAGCCAGTTCATGAAGTCCGCCTAACTGAAGCAGGCTAGTCTTAAGTAAAACCATGTCTTCATTTAGGTCGTAATCTTGTTTTATTATATAATGGATGAATTTCTGTAAGTTAGTTCTGAATCAACTGAGTGGTCATTTCTTGGAGTGAACATTTCCTCCACACTGTAAACACCTAGAAGTCATTCCACTTCTGGTGATGTCTCCTTTTCAAAAATAATCAAGTGTTAATAAATATTATCAATGGCGTAATACGACCGCCACAAAGCTTCAGTAACTGATTTCCAGTATTTAGTTGAACTTGTCACACACTTATCACACAAGATTGGAGTTTTTGAAATGTCAGTGTGGATTACAAGCACAAACTGCTAGAATATTTTAGCATTCATAGTGTCTATATACCACAACTCACTAGGGCTGCAACTAAAGATTATTTTTATTGACCCAATTATTCCTCATATCAAATTAAAATAATGAGTCAATGTTGGAATTTGAACTGCAAATGTATTTGAGTAACAAGTTCATACAAATGTAATAATCATAATAAATTAAAATAATACAAATTAAATTGCAAATATTCTTTTAAAAGTAATACCAAACACCAACGCAAGTGACAGGCATGTTGAGGATGTTCTGACAAGACTCCAGCCACCCGAGGGGTGCGTGAGCCTCACTTCAGGATAAACTCGTCCACACACCTTTGCTTAGTACTAAAAGAGACGCATGCATATATCGTGTATTATGTTAGAGTAGATCTTCCGTAATTGTGCTTGTACTGATAATTCATTGTACTGATTTACTACATTGCATTTAACATAACTGAAATGGCATTACCAAGCATCCTCCATGAGACCGAAGCGTAAACTTTTTACGTTAATGAGGATAACGTTACTACAACTTACCCATCAGGAGAAGGCTCAGCATGCTTGCGTTTTAAATCATTGCCGTAGTGCTGCTGTGAAATGCCATTTCTGTTTAGCAGATGCTGCATTTTACTGTTTGGTTTGGTGATGACATACTGACTTTTGAAAGTCTCGTTTTCACTTTTCTTGGCTCTCCCATGTTCCGTTCAACGCCAGTCTTCTTCTTTGACTTGGTGCATGTAAGCAATGGAAGTGATGCTGCCCCCAGCCCTTCCTATAGTGCACTGCAGTAAAAGTCACCAGTAGATCTGATTTTTCTTAATAATATACAGTGTGTTGCAGCTCTATAACTCACTGGCCTTATTTAAATGTTTAATTTAACAGCCTTTTATGAGAATGAACAATGGCATGTTTGTTTTCAAGCTTGTTTTAAAAAACAAAATCCCTTTGACGTTTTTTGTAGGTGTCGATGTGAGTATGAACACCCACCTGAAGGCGGTAAAAATGACCCTGAAAAATCGGGAGCCCACTCAGCTGGAATCGCTGAGTATTCGTGGCAACAATATTCGGTACTTCATCCTCCCGGACAGCCTCCCACTGGACACCTTGCTGGTTGACATCGAACCCAAGGTCAAGTCCAAGAAGAGAGAAGCAGGTGAGAAAAGTTAAATCATTGAGGTGTACAGCAGCGGGAGAACCATAGATATGGCGTTGTTGTTTTGGCAGAGATGTATCATTACTAGATCTGCACAATAAGAGGAAAAATGCAATGCGCAATAACTTTTGAATTGAGGAAAATAAACCAGCATTGGAAGTATGTGCACATTTCACACAAGTCTGCATTTATCTTTAAATACAGACCTGGATGAGAATTTTTATATTTCAAATATAGCCTGACAAAATGCTTCTAGGTCATCACAAATAATTTGTTCACATTCCTAAAAAATAACAATACTTGGTAGTTAGATGATGGTAGAGTGAGGCACAGAGGTATCAGTTGGTATCGGGCGTTCCTTCTGTTGATCGCTGGATTTTAAGATGCATTTCAAACGAGGCTAAACAGACCACTACAGACAGCTTAGGTCGGCGCTTGTACTGCACAGTGTAGCATTGGTTATTTATATTATATTCTCAGAATAAGGTGCTTGGTAGTCTGCACCAAGAAGGTGATCATTTCAATAGTCCAGCCTCTGCTGGCATATCTTTTTATTGGGTCGAGCGGGATTTTGTATCCTTGTCAGAAAGATTATTCAAGCGTTGCTGACTGTCACTCGTGTCTTCTCAGTGGCTGGACGCGGACGAGGCAGAGGAAGAGGCCGCGGTAGAGGAAGAGGACGAGGTCGGGGCGGCCCGAGGAGATGATCACCATGCTGTACATTTTTTGGCCGCCACCCCACTGTTTGTTCAGAAGAAAGATTTTGTGACTTTCAATGGTTTTTTTTGTTCAATTTCCTTTTTTCTTATTTTGTACATTAAAATCCCTGTGAGGATAAAGTGACTCTTTGTATTATTGCTGCATTGCTAATGGGGTTTGTTTTGTTATTCAATCACATCATTCCCCTGACATTGTATTTGTGTTATGTGGCGGAATAAAGTACCATTGTCTTGAACGGTTTCCCCTAGTGCCAAAGAAAGACATTCAACATGAACTGACGTGAGCCACGTGGTAATTTAATAATACGTCGTAATAATCTATCCATCCATCAATCTTCAAACCGCTTATCCTGCACACAAGGTCGCGGGGGGAGAGTCAATCCCAGCCAACTTCGGGCGAGACCACGTGGTAATGCGTATATGTTATATACCTAATTTGAAACATGGTATCTAAATGTCAAGTTAAAAGCTTAACGCTACTAATTTCCCTCCAATTAGCACAGTATAACGTGTACTTGCAGTTTGGTAAGAAGCCTTATTTTTTTTACATTACATTACATGTCATTTAGCGGACGCTTTTATCCAAAGCGACGTACAATAAGTGCATTCAACCATAGGGGTACAAACTCAGGAGAACAAGAAACAAGAAAGTGCAATTTCCTCAAATAAGCCAATTTACAATTTGCTATAGATGAGTAACGTTACAAGTACAATTTATGTGCTACAATTTGTTAGTCTTTAGTCGAGGTAGAGTCTGAAGAGGTGTGTCTTTAGTTTGTGGCGGAAGATGTGAAGGCTTTCTGCGGTCCTGATGTCTTCAGAGAGCTCGTTCCACCATTTAGGAGCAAGGACAGCAAAGAGTCGAGATCTAGTCGAGTGTTTTGCTCTCAGTGAGGGAGGGACGAGTAGTTTTGCAGATGCAGAGCGGAGAGTGCGGGTTGGGATGTAGGGTTTGACCATGTCCTGGATGTAAGCTGGACCCGATCCATTCACAGCATGGTACGTGAGCACCAATGTTTAGAACTGGATGCGGGCGGCCACCGGTAGCCAGTGAGGAGAGCGGAGGAGTGGAGTAGTGTGGGAGAATTTCGGAAGGTTGAAGACCAGTCGAGCTGCTGCATTCTGAATGAGCTGCAGAGGTCGAATGGCGGTGGCAGGGAGACCAGCCAGGAAAGAGTTGCAGTAGTCCAGGCGGGAGATGACAAGATCATTTCCTAACCTATATTGGAAACACTCCAGTTTGGAATTATTTAAATTGCCGTCTATGAATGATGTGTAACCTAATTACTGGCGATATAAACGATCCCTAATTAGGTTGTTTACAACATTTGATTCTTCCTGGAACATCAATTTGAGTTGCTGTGGGTTGTTTTGTTGACACTAAAGCACAAGTGGTAACGCTGGCGAGATGTTCGGGAAATGACACTATTGGCACTTGATAAAAGTGCCAAACAAACGATTGCAATGTGAAAACACTAACTCCTAACCCTCTAAGTGACATGTCAATAAGTAACTCACGCTCAAATCATGAGCGTTCATATTGCAAAGCAATTAACTTTTACACTCTACCTTTGGGGCGATCCTGAAAAGAAAATTTGCATTTAAAATGAGTTTGCTATGATTTATCCATATTCACAGCAGTTGCTATTTGAAGTTGATACGCGTCTTGGTAAATTAGTAACGAATCTGCCGACGGAGGCAGAGCAACTGCTGATGTGACGGTAACAAATTGGTGAGGGAAAGTCAGTTTGAGAACCATTTGGGACGTAACCGCGGTCCGTCTGGTGCTCGACGGTCAACACGCGTTTCATGATCTCTTCAGACTCCAAAATTTATTTGTATAGAAATACGTCAAAAGTCAGTTGCTGAATATCGAGTTGAGCGTCGCTCCTTCTGGATACAGAAAGATGTCCATCAGTGCCAACGGTCGCTTCATGTACTTCGCTTTTGGAAGTAATTTGTTAAAGGAAAGACTGCAGATGGCAAACCCCTCTGCGACATTTCACACTACCGGACGACTAAAGGTAAGTAAATTTTGTATTAGATTAACTTCATTTTGCTTAGTGTATTTATTACCTTGTCCTGAGGATAATTTGCAGTGATACATTCATTTTGTAACGATTAGTCTGCGAAATCCAGGGGGTATCCTCGCGGCAATGATTTCAGTGCTGCTTGCATTAACGTCAGTAATGTTGATTGAAGGGAATCTATTTAAGCATGCCGTTTTCTAATTATTCCTATAGCGACCCCGTTAACCATCATCTTTCAGCCTAAAAACCGTATGGTTGTCGAAGTTACGGAAGCTGTGAAAATAGGCAGAGGACGCGGAGTTAGCTGTCCGGGTCGATGCCTAACTGCAAATAAAACAATTGTTTTCGTGTTTTTTTTGTAGCTAATAATTCAAAGGCAACGTATTCCTTTGCTGTTAACATATACAATACATGTGATGTATTTTCTTCAAAGTAGATTCGGATGAATCGCGCATGTTTTCGAAAGAAAATTCGGCATTCACGAGGACAGCTAAGTCCGTGTCCTCTTCCTACTCCCAACAGCCGTCGTAACCACGACAATGGGGGAGTGGGCTGACAGTCTGCGGGTAACACGGTCGCTCGATGAACCGAAACACTTGTGTCACATAAGGCCCTTTAAAGTGACTGTTAGTTTAGTCCTAATTACTTCCGGGCCCCCCGGCGTGGCACGCAAGTGACTCCGTCCAGTATTTCCTCACAGCCCACCCGCCTCCATCATTGGCTTTATCACCAACTGTAACAACAGCGAGCTCTGGTTCAAAAAACGCACGCTGACTCATCGCTGCTCACAGCTCTTTGTCCTTTTATCCCCCCGTGTGCTGCGTGTGCGCAGGACCACGAGTTAAGCTTCGGTCTGTGTGAGACTATTCAGAACAACATTTGGCACGGCGGAGTGGCCACCATTGTCCCGTGTCCAGGGGCCGATGTGTGGGGGGTAATTTGGACTCTGAGCAGCGAGGACCTCCCGAGGCTGGACAAGTGAGACACACAAACGCAGCTGTTCACTCGCTGTTTGTCCCCTCATTTAACGCCTGCTTTTTGTTGTTGTCCTCAGGCAGGAAGGGGTGAGTGTTGGAATATACTCTCCACTGGAGGTTTCAGTGGAGACCGATAAAGGACTCATATTCTGCAGGACTTATGAGATGAACAACTTCCACGCCTGCCCTCCCTCTCCTCAGTACAAACAGGTGTGTGTGTGTGTGTGTGTGTGTGTCTTTTAACAGAGACAACTGGCCTGCTCTTGTGCCAATGCTACATCCACGTCATGCCATGAATCCAACTTTCCACTTTACGTAACGTCTTTGTGACTAAATGAAAATGTTGATTGGAACTGCTCTTTCTGATTGAAGGTGGTGTGTCTGGGTGCAGAGCGGAATGGTCTCCCGGTGGAGTACCTGAAGAAGCTGGAGGCCATTCAAACCAACAACTACAGCGGCCCTTCGGTGCTTGATAACATCAGAATAGACATGAATTAGAGCGATATATAGTTCATATTCCTGAATGTGGAAACACCAGTTGACGTTCACCTCATTTTAGTGGCCGTTTTGTGAACATCAGGAGCAAAAATGGAAAATAAAAAATACTTAAGACAAAAAAGAATTGAGAAACCCCGTTTTCGAATGTAAATTAGCAGCGCCGCGTGGCGAGGAGTAGTTAGTGCATGAGTACAATGAGACTGACTGTGCCCAAAATATAAACACATCTTGTCTTTTATTTCAAGCTGTATAAATAAAAGACGTTACTGATGTTATTTAGTTATACATAAGAGGAAATGTCCTCAGGGTCCATTAATACAGCTTAATTTAATGTTATGAAATAAAAAACATTGACATGAAATTCACATAAAAGGAATCCACTAAATTTGATGCAACACAGTGGCCTTGAACAGAATGATCATTTGCACCCCTTCTAGCAATTTCAATCCTCAACAAAATACAAGTCTAGTACAAAAGAACTGCGCTCCGTAGAGCAAAATATTTATGGTGTCCACCCAATAACTTATTTTGTTGGATCTCTAGGGAAAATTTCCTCAAATCTATGCAAACTTTCATAATGGCACAAATCAGTTTTATCTGACAAACTCATGAAAGCAACATGGTCAGAAATATATAATCCTTAACTTCTTAAATGGAGAATTCATGACCCCTTAAATATTTGGTTTCAGAAAACTGCAACGGAGATGGTGAGCGAGAAACATTTTCAATCCCAAATGTAACCATGGTAAAAACAAAAAAACACACATAGGTCCAAATATGCAAGACAAAATAATATTTTAAAACGGAAAAGCACAATATAGTAATAAACCGAGCGTGGACGTGTAAACTAAATTTCTGATAGTGGGAGACAAGCAGTGATGTAGGAATTTAAATTACAAATAGGGGTGAAAAAAAAACAAAAAAGCAGCTATTAAGAGCAAGTCAGTGCTTCAGTTGAAGTCAGTAGCCATTTGTAAATAAGATATTGTAACCAGATAGGAATTGTTGCAGCTCACCAGTGAGACACCTTTGTATTTCACAGACAATTCTGGATCTTTATTATATTCTCTGTATTTGTGTTATAAAGGATAGGGACCACAGATAACCTACTGAAGTGAAAGAAAGCGCCATTAACGTGGGCTACATTAAGAGACTGCGCTCTATTACAGGTACCGCGCATGTCCGTAATGTGACGTATGCACTGCGTGGTTCTCTAGTGTATGATCGCGTCAAACTATCTAGGTCGTTTTGCTGTTAATTAGGGATATTTTCACAGGTTTCAGACTTATTCCATCTGCTCCACCGGCTCGCCGTCGGTAGCTTTCTCGTTTCCGCTCTCATCCATCGGCTGTGGTTCGTCCTCGTCGCTCTCCGCCTGCTCCGAGGCCTCGGCGGGCCGCTGTTCGGGGATTATGAGATTGTGCTCGACTTTGCTCAGTTCTGTCATGTTGAAGCCGAGGAATATGGCGGCCTTGCTGCTCCTGAGGCTCTTCATGCACTTACTGCGCTTCCTGCTGAAGTGGCCCGCCAACTCCACCTTTGTGAGGGACAACCTCTTGCACAGCTCGTCGGTCTCTGTCCGGTTTGCGTAGGGGTTCAGGTTGAAGTACTTGGATAGGAAGTCCTTGCGGCTCTCGCCGCCGCGGCACTCGGCCGAGTTGGGCTCCAGCAGCAGCTTCACCGCGGGGTCCAGCTGAAGCACAATGGGTGCCGGTGCCACTGGAGCCGGTGCCGGTGATGGCGGCAGCGGCGCCGCCGCCGGCCGCAGCTTGTCCTGCTCGCGCTTCCTGCGAATGGCCGCCTTTTGTTCCCGCTCACGTTTGTTGGTCGCCATCACCTGCATCCACGCAGCCTCCAGCCTCTTCTTCGACATCAGCTGCGCTTCCGTCTCGGGACGAGTTGTTGTTGCTGCTGTTGCTGCTGCTGCTGCTGCGGCAGCGGCAGGGGGCGCGGCCGGTGCAGCCTGAATCACCCGAGCTGGAGCCAGAGCCTGGTTCATGGTCATACCCGGTGACATTTGGAGAAAGTAGAGGGGCTGCGTAAACTGCTGAACGGGTTTCTGCGGCTGTGGCGGCGCCACCGCCGCTTTGTCTGGCTGTGGTTGTTTCGGGGAACAACGGCAGCGCTGAATGTGCAGCATCACCGCCTGCTGGGTGACCTTGCCCGTGTACACGCCGTTGCAGTATATGCACTTGAAGGCCTCTGTTTTGAGGATAGCGTGAATGGTGGGTGCCACTAAATGCTTTTGCTTCAGGTGCTGCAGGTGCTCGGTCTCACTCTGAAACTTCTCGTCACAGAAGGGACAATACGCGCTGTTGATTTTTGCCGTCGCCGTGCAGATGTCCGGCTGGCTGCTGGGCTGCAACTTAATGAAGATCAGGTCGAGGGAATTTGTGACCAGTGCCAGGTTGACCTCGGTCTCTCCCAAGACCTCTTTTGGTGCGGTGGTGTGGACGTCGAAGTAAGGAAACAGGATTCCTCCAATACCTTTAGAGTAGACCCTGTACTTCTGCCTCAGAAAATCACAGTATGTCTTGCTTGTGGGATTGTGCTGCTTTACATGCTCAACTAGCTGCTTGATGGAAAAGAACAAAGCGGAGCAGTACAAACAATTTAGGCCATGCAGAAGGTGTTGGAAGACGCTTTTTTCTGAGAGTAGAATTTTGCACGTGAGGCATTTGACAGTCTTGTCCGGCATTTTTCTCAGGAAAGCTGCTTGTGCCGCCACACTTTCTGACTTGGACGCGTTAGATTTTTGCTGGTGAGCGACCTCTGTGTGCACATCAAAGACGTTGGAGGGGAAAAGTTCATTGCAGAGGGGACAGGTAATCCATTTCTTAGTTGGCGGGGCGGAGTTCTTTGTTTGCTCAACAGCCTTGAGAGGAGAACTTGAGCTCTGGGAGGCCGGCATTGCTACTTGCAGCGGAGCAAACGTGTAAGTGGGCATGCCATTCATCTTGTTGCCAGTCGGGATCAAGTGACTAAGCAGGGACTGTGAGGTCAGCATGGTACCTTGCAGGGCGACTTGTTTCGTTGGTGCATTTCGCGTGTCTGCGGCTGGCTTCGATACGCCCGCCACGTTGGCCCGCAGTCCCGACGAGAAAACAATTTGCTGCTGTTGTGCTGGAGGTGAAACCAGAGCCATAGGCGCCGGTTTCAGAGACACGTTGGACATCGTAGGCAGCTGCACCATAGACCCCGGCCCCTGAGGCAAAGCACCTCGGAGGGCTATCGTGGCACCAGGCTGGAGCAGACCTTTGGCCTCAGCACTAGCTAGTTGAACTAGCGCCGACGCTTGAGGGGGCAGAAACGCCTGGTTGGTTCCGGGTGCACAGATAAGAGTCGCACTGTTTGTTCTTCCTAACTGCTGTAAGGCCACCATAGTCCCAGCAGGTTGGCCATTACTCGGTAGAACCATGGACTTACTGTTGAAAATTTGAGGCTGCTGCGGTTTAGGAGCAATGTTTGGGAACGTCACAAACACGCCGCTCCCATTGGGCGCCGCTTTAACTGTCAAGTTCTTGTTCTCGTGAATCAGACTCTGCACTTGGGTGCTGACCGGGTAATGCGACGGCTCCACCAGCATGTGATGCAACATTTGGTCGAGGTTTCCAGTGTTCACCTTGCACACCTTGCAGCAGTAGACCTTCACAGATGTAGTCCCTTGAAGGAGGAATCTGTAACCGATATACCGTTCTGCTACACTGTCCAGGTGCTTAAGGATGATGTGCTTCTTCATCGTGAAGATAGAGGGTGCCGGAAAGCCACATTTCCGACACTGATACCGCTCATTTCCGCGATGGGCGGGTTGAGGCCCTTCCCTCTGCGGTTGTATGTAGGTGGCATGGAAGAACAGCATGTGCTTCTTGAGAGACTTGGGGTGTCCGATGTAGAGGCACTTAGAACAGGGTGCCAGGGCGCAGAACGACTGCAGGTATCCATGGCAACGAGAGATGTGGCTCCTGAAGTTGTAGATGTTTTGCGAGGAGTACTTGCACATGCTGCAGCACAGAGATCGAGACCTATAAGGCCACTGAATAGAAAAAGAAACAAATGTAAAATTTTCAGTTGGTGCCAAGTGTGTAACATTAATACCAAGCTGCACACCTTAATCAAAATGGAATTATTATTCCATTTTAAATAGGACATTGTAATACACAAAGCAGGTACGGGTTAACAAACAGGTTAGTAACATTTTTTATTATGTGACAATACCATTGTCAAGCTAGCAAATGATCATCCAAAAGTGTCATTCACCTTTTTCTGTAGTCTGACATTGTATCCATCTGTGATATCGACCCAGGCGGTTTCCTGAAACACCTCGTCTTCATCGGAGTCTTTCTCAGTCTTTTCATTCAGATCCTGCCAGTAAACAACACACAGAAAACAAGTGCTTTTTGAGTAACAACTCCATAACGTATCTCCATAACGTATATTGTGGTTCATTTGTGGCGAAAATAAAGTCCTTCCTGTTCCCAGGAGAATCAATTTAGGGAACTAATCCAATCAGTATCTTTTTCCACTCTGTAAGACGCGTGCACTCAAATTGATTGATAGTTGACACCTGTACTGTATATTGAGTGCGTCATCCCCAAGATTTTAGTTGTAAACATCCCATAAGCTAGTAAGCTAGTAATGAAATATTGAAAAAAATTCAAAATGAAATATTTGTAAAATACCAAATTCATTTCTCCAGTATTACCAGATACCCCATGTTTTGAATACTATTTTTGTTGTGATGATTTTTTTCCCCATAGAAACGGTGATGATGGACATAAATCATCACAACACAATAAGCACTGTATTTGTAACTTAAGTGCCCCTTTTTCAAGTAATTCACAATAAGTTAATATATGTATACACACACACACACACATACACAGACATTATATTTTAGACAATCTTATATTAATTAATTACACTTATATACTATCTTTAGATCTTTCAAATCTTACGAGCAATTCCCAGTTGTCGTCAAAGACCAAACGTACCTTCAGCAGGTTCTGACAGTCTTCGAGGCCGATCTCACCAAGGATATTTTTCACCGCCTTGCGCGCCTTTCGGATCTTCTCAATATTTCCAACTGGACACTGATACATTATTCCTCTGAAGCCTTGTAGAAGAAGAAAAAAAAGCAGCTTTAAATCTTAGCATCTTCCATAAAATGTATGTACTCTGATATATATTCTCTGTTGCAAATAGATCCAGTCAGAAGGTTTTTTGGTAAAATAAGTCATTTTCCCTTTTAGCTGCAGCTCCATGCAGTGAATTAGCAAATGTTTATGTTGTTATGTTATGTTTATTTTAAATGGCACAAAGAAAAATGAATTACATACTGGAAAGAATGGCAGCAACAAAAGACTAACAAATTCTAGCACTTAAATTGTACTTGTAACGTCACTCATCTATAGCAAATTGTAAATTGGCTTATTTGAGGAAATTGCACTTTCTTGTTTCTTGTTCTTCTGAGTTTGTACCCCTAAGGTTGAATGCACTTATTGTAAGTCGCTGTGGATAAAAGCGTCAGCTAAATGACATGTAATGTAACAAACGAAAGGTCAACTTATTCTGTTAAAGAGTTAGTACAGTTATAAATAACTTACTACTATTTATACTTACTGCTAGTATTATACAATTTGCACAATGAATAGAATGATAGACATACTGTAGGATGAATAAAGTACACGAAGTTACAGGATAACACAAAAACATCATAACCGTTAACTTACTGTGCAACAGCTGATTTTCACAATTCCACACGTCAGTCTCTGCGTGAATAATAATAACGATTCAATTGTTGGCCATTTCTGAAGGGAAACAAACAAATAAAACGTATTCAAGCGAGTTAAATGCGTGTTTATTTAAACAAAAACAACCACGGCATCCCCGCTGCCGCTGCGCAGTCTCCCGGACGCGTTAGAAAGCTGCCGGCGGCCACGCAGCTCCTCCCTGCACGAGGACGCCACACAGCCGCGCCGCGGACACTCACCTCGTCCGTGTCAGTTGACGTCGGTCGTCGCCGTGCCGCCTCCTCCCGACCGGGCCGACGTGTCTCCACTTCCAACGGCCCCCCAGCTGCGTGTGCGTGCGTGCGTGCGGTGTGTGTGCGCGTGTGTGCGTGCGTCGGGGAGCTGCGTTTGCTGGCACGAGCGCTGCTCACAGGTACCCGTCCGGAAGCAGCATCCTCCGTCAACACGCGCTCGCCGCTTTCTGTAGAGCTGTGGTCAAAAACGCGCAAGGTGACGTTTGCTAAACCCCCGTCCAGAGGCAGGCTCCTTTTGGTGAGCTTTTGTCCCTTTCTTCCCCTTATTGAAGGAAAAAAATGGCGCTCATGTTCAGGATCTGACGTAGTCGTTTCTATTTGCATACAGCCCAAGCTGACCAATGGGAGGCTTCTCAGCACAAAACCAGAATACCTTTGTATTCTTTAACCGGGACTGTCAGACAAAGTTCCGAGGGCTCCATGTGATTTTGTTTTATATGTCTGTTTGTGAATTACTTGTAATATTTGACTCCTTTTTTGTAGTCCTCTATTCTACAACTGATAGCTAGGTTGGGGGCGTGGCCAATGCGACTCCCACTGGCAGTCAGGTGGTACAAGTCCAATGCTAACCAATGAGCTGTCGAGGAAATGAGCTAAATGGGTGGATCTTTTCATATGACGTCATATCATGCTACTTTTTTCAGCCAGTGATATAGGACCACCATTTTGATGGTGGAGTAAGTGGGTCTGATTGGTCAGATGCTCTTTAGCTAGCATAGCATAAGGTTTAAGGAGTTTTAAAATATTTTAAAGAATTACAATAAAATCAAATTGGCTAGCTACCATCGCATTTTAACGTAGCTAATAGCTAAACTTAATTTAGTACACGTTCTGCTAAGAGTCGATACTTTTGAGCAAACGGATTGAAGCTACTTGTTGTCTGTGTTACGGCCTACCAATAACTCTTTGTGAAGAAAGGTCAGTTCATCAGAGCAACAATGATGATAGTCCAGTCTAAGGCTTCTTTGTGGCGCGTTCGTAACCTTCAATTTCTTCCATTACCAATCTTTTGTATAAATCCTGGACCATTGAATAATTTTATTAGCTATTCTTTTAGTATCACTTGATGTCGTCATGTAAATACAAAGCTATATCTGTACAAACATGCTGTAATTTCTCATTACAATTATCTATCAAAAATCTACACTTGAAATATTTTCCGATGTTAAAGTGATGTAACAACTTCATTTACATTTTGACCAACAAGATTATTATCTACCATTGTGCACTCTTGTCAGACAATGTAAACCAGGATGATCAAATTATCTGTGGAACCAGAAGAACAACACGAGGGAGTTGGATGGCATTATCTCTTGATCCAAGATGGAGAAGAAAAGGGATTTTTTCCATTGTAGTTTAGATTCCCTCTCTTCAAACTAGGTTATGTTACTGATCTGATCAACCACTTGGAGTTCATTCATGCCCGCCCAGTCATAGATAATCAAGCCTGTGATTTAAGATGCTCCTTAAGTCATTTCAAATCTACCCTGTCACTGTTGTGACCTTGGAATTTTGTGTGTTCTTGACACAATAATTGTTTTATTTGGTATCATGGCCAACATGACCATTCCTTCTATTTATCCTCTACTCACTTAATGTAAACTCCCCACTCATCTATCCATCTTATTTTGTGTCATCTAATTAACATTTCATCTCTTGTAATAAACACGTTGACACAAGACACTTAATTACAGCTTTATTGGCTCCTCCTAGAGTAATGTTTGAGCTGGGACCCTTGCATACCACACCAAGGAAATATTTCTGTGGCTGTAATTCCTTTGAAGCAGAGGCTATCAATAGTTTCAAATTCCAAGTGCACATCAATCTGCCCTTGGTATTTTAATGAGGTTGAAGCTCGGGGTAAAGGTACCTACTCAATATTCAGTATTTATATTATTCAAAAACCAGCATCATCAGGAATCATTATTACTTGTGCACTGCTGTCTTGTCTATTGTCACATTGTCTACTGTCGCGCACCAACCGCCAAGACAAATTCCTTGTATGTTTGGCATATTTTGGTAATAAATGTTTCCTGATTCCTGATGTGGATTTCCAGTTCAAAAACTCTTTAATGAGTGAATTTTAGACGTTCTGGTTGGTTAGAAGGCTTCAGAAGCATATACAAACATATACTGATATAGTAAAAGTATTATGGTTAAGACATATTTTAGAACCCTTCATCACTGGACTGTAATAAAATCAGCTTTTAATTAAGTCCAAGTCGGTTTACTTTTAAGAAAAGTTCAGACATTTTTAAAGATTTTCTGGCATAAGATGATACTGTACTGTGCATCCTCTGATCGGAGCTGATTTATTTCTCATTTGGACAGCTGATACTTCATCAAACCACATTGAAATACTTTAGCTACTATTACGATGAATTGGCTATAAAGAACATCTCATTCTGTAATGCAACATATTAAGCCTAAGCTGCGCTAAATTTGTATTGAATTGTTTCCAGGACATTGAAATGCTGTGCAATCAGAATATACGCCGGATGAGATCATACCAGGTCCAAAACATGTTTTTTATGATAATGTTGGCCAGTTAAGTAAAGAACTTGTGTACGAGTCTACAACGGTTTGTTGCACCAAAAATCACACATACACAAGATCAGTGATTTCAATCAGAAATGTATTAAATTAATCACTTTCATTACTTAAACAAGCACAATTTACAGTCAAAAACAGGCTATGGTCCATTAGTGCCTTAGACAAGCAAGTAATTAATACATTAGTCATTTATAACACACAAGGGCAGGATTCTTTAAAAACTGCAGTTCAGTAACAACACATTTTATTTTATCAGACATGAGACATTTAGCTGTACAAGAGACTATGCATCGTGTCCCTCATAACTTAAGAGAGGCATGAGGAAGTTTATCATTTGTTGTGTGCACTGCCTCAGAGAGGTCTGCGTACAGCTAGTATGCCTTTTGTGTGAGAGCCGGACAAATAGGTCCGCATCTGCCACCTACAGATTGTTTAAGTTTGAGAAATAGCCGCTTTGCAGCTTTTTCAGATCCTGTAAAAAAAGAAACCAGGACCATCCCATGACGAGACACCAATGTGAAGATCTGAAAAATCAGAGCTCTGGTGCTAAATGTCACAGTACTTATTTAACCTACAAAAGATTGTGTGCATTTATAACCAGATTAACCTGTCTCTATTAGAGGCAAGAGGTGCATTAAGGTGTATGCAGCTTCTCTGTATTCAAGTTACAGCTCAACTGAGAGAGAATATCCCACAGCTATTACTTCATGCCTTTCGAGTAAAGGGGAAACCACTGAGGTCACAAATGGCCATCACAGGACACTTAATTCATGTAGCGTTAAAAAACACATAAATATCTCGTCCGAAAAACACTGTTAGTTGGTCCACAGTATAATGCCTGGGCAAAACACATAAAAATCTTTAAATTTGCTCCAGTATTATCTGAGTCCAATAAATAAAAATGCATTGAGGTGAGCTGCATTAAAGAAACCGGTTACATCAGTCGTAATTTCATTTAGACTTTGCAAAGTGAAGTATTGAATCTACACATGGCAAGGATTATTTCAAACACTTCCAAAATGATCCACGAACAAAATGTATTGGTGTTGAACAGACACAGGATTTACACGACTGTCAAAAGGTGATCATTAGAGAACATGAAATAAATCAATTGTACATTTTGCAAACTGATTGATTTGGGAAACAAACTACCCAAAACATGTGGGAGGAAGGAGGGGGCGGGGAGGAGGGAGTTGGGTGGTGGGGTCACAATCTCCGAAGAGTCGTCCATTTGTTGCATATCATCATATGAGCAGGAGTTCTTTTGACTGACAGATTTTTTTGATTTGAGATGTCGAATAACCAATTCTTTGGGTAGGTAGAAAAAAAACAAACTCAAATTCCTGGAAGAAATCAAAGGACACAGTTTTTTTTCCCCCGCGGTGGCTGGAATGCGGAGCACATGGAGACCCTTGTCCCAAACAACTCGCTGACCCCTTTTTTCCCCACATGGTGACAGCGGAGGCTAAGGGGGTCTGTGCAGTGTTGCACGGGACTGAGGCAGAGAGTAGTTTACCGGACCATGGAGAAATTCTTCACAGCACTGTCCAGTGCCACACCGGCCTCCTGCATCTCGTACCTGTGGGCAACACCGAGCATCAAAATGAGTTTCTTGTAGCTGTAACATATTCTTCGTACATTAGTATTTGTGGTGAACCTTCCCTGGGTAACTCACTGCATGCCCTCACTGAGAGCAAAACACTTGACAAGATCACAACTGTTGGTTGTCCTGGGTCCGAAATGGTGGAACGAGCTCTCTGACGACATCAGGACTGCGCCTTCACATCCTCCGCCGCAAACTAAACACACCTCTTCAGACACTACCTTGACTAAAACAACTAACAAATCGCAGCGCTTAAATCGTACTTGTAATGGCTCTCATCTATAGGAAGTTGTAAATCGGCTTATTTGATGAAATTGTACTTTCTTGTGCTTTTGTGCCTGTATTCTTATGGTAAGTCGCTTTGGATAAAAGCATCAGCTTAATGTAATGTAACGTAAGGTAAGCTCACCAGTCACAAGTGGAGACAGTGTAGTAGACAGGCAGCTGGGGGGAGCTGGAGAGGCAGCTGAACTCCTCCAGGCCACACACTCCCATGTTGGAGAAGCAGAGCCAGTCTCCCACACTGAGCTCAGGCAGCAGGCAGCGCTCTACCACCTGGTCCAGCTGGTCCAGTGACGGGCCCCACAGGCTGCTGGGAAACACCTCCTCCTCGGCACACAGCACGTGCTGGAAAGAGGAAGCGATCAGAAATGTCACTTAAAAAGACTTAAAGTGTCACAGTAAAGGTCATCTCTACTACGTGTGTTGGATCATACTTGTCATGTGAAGAGGAAGATATGGTAAATGCAATAACTTTATTAGTTTGCCACTGAAGGAATGATTTGCAGTAGAATTCAAAAATAACTGATCATCATTTGCGAACTGTATTCCTGTTGTTAATGAAATATCTTGAGATCCCAAACATGCCCATCGGCCAGCAAGCCAGCTTAAATTGGCCATTATCAACAGTCCATTAGCATAAGGGGTTCTGATCCCATGGGCAGTAGTCGGTTGGTGAACCGCGGTTTGTTTTGTTGCCAATAATCTATTGGACACTATGTTGAAGTACGTCAGTCTTCAGATAGGTCGATATGATTTGATAAATATATGATCCATCTTCCTTAAACACTCATGAAGCACGACCGCCTTTCCTCATTCGACTGGTTCTGGTGTCAGACTCTTCATTCAGCCCTGAATGGGGTTGACTCTCTTGGGTGGAGGCCTACTAACCTTGTGCACTGACGGTGCAGCGATGCAGTTTCCCAGCAGCTTGCGGCTAAATGGGCCATAAACACCCTCATTCATGTAGTACAGGAACTCTGTGTCTTCATTGTTCACACCTGTGTAAATTAAGAGCTGTCAGAATTATAAAACACAACGTATTTTTCGGCAATGGAGGACAAGACCATGTTCTCTTCCCTCAAACCAAATGTATTAAATGTCTTTTAATACATTTGATTTGATAATCTGCAGATTTTCGCAGTCAGAGTACAGAGACGAATGCATAAGAAGGAAGTGAACTACACAGGACAAAGACAACCTGAGAGACTTTAGTAACTCACCTTGAGTGAGGCTGTCCCAGTGACGATTCATCACCTTTTTGCCGATGACGTTCACAGCCAGGCTGAAAGCAGAGGCCACGTAGAAGCTGCCTGGCTGGGCCAACACTTGCACGCCAGACATTGGGGGGAAGTAAGCGTCCAGCAGCGGCCTCACTGCAGACTCTACCTGCACACACAATTACAGCAAATCGGCATTCAGAGAGTCTTTCCAAACAAAAACAAGTGATCGCAAAGCTGAAAGCCATACGTTTGTTCACGCTGTCAGTGAGAAGCAACTGCTGAGATGTTAAATAGAGCATCACAACTTATAACTTACACCAGCATCTTACGGTGTTTTCAATAACACTAAAGTAGCCCGAAACAGTGAAATCTATCCAAGTGTTGTAGTTTGTTTGTGTTTCGGGCCTCTTCTTCGTGGAACATGTTTGCCGTACCTGGTTGAGCTGACCCTCCGAGCCAGTAAATCCCCCACCAATGTCCAGGATGTTCATGTTAAAGCCCAGATCCACCTAGACAGAAACAATCAGCTGTTACCCTTATTGGGAAAAAAAAGTACACCGATAAAGGCATTCAGGAATCAGAAAGTCTTTTTAATTCCGGCACAATAATCATTAACGCCTGTGTGTTTTTGTGTAAGTACTCACCCCCATGTCAAACACACAGCGGGCATCTGACAGTGCATGGGTGTAGGCCTGTTGCAGGTCTTGGCAGGAGCTGGGGATGTGAAAAGTCACTCCCACCACCTGGACACCGAGCTCCTTAGCCGCTTCCAGCAGGTGCCGGCAGCTCTTCAGAGAAAAGCCAAAGGCCATGCTGGTTTCAGCTGCGTGGGACTCGGTGTTCAACTGCAGCAACAATCTACAAGATACGAAAAGGGAACATCAGCCAGCGATCAAAACGTGAATGAAAACATCACATCTAGACAAAGTAATTATGTTTGGACGCAAAAAATGACTTTCCCAACCGTACATACACAAGAATGTAAAAGTAGTCAAAGAGATTTGCTCCTGGATTTGATCACTTACTTTGCACCAGGGTGCAGGCGTGAAATCTTGGACAACTCAGCCTCATTTTCGCACACAAGATGTTGGATGTTGTTCTTGGCTGCATGCTTGATGTGTGCCAGCTGCTTGCAAACGCCTGACAGAATGATGTTTTCTGGTGGCACGCCGTGGTCCAGCACCAGGCTTACTTCAGTCTGCAGGATGGGGGGGATTCATGTTATATTAGATGAGATATTAACACAACAAGTTGTGAAAGCTCCCTCAAAACATCCAAAAGGGTACCAAGTGTGTTACACAGGTTAGAAGGAGAACAGTCATCCACTTGCCTAGTAATCAATTGAGAGCTAGTAATGTCATTTCCCCAAAATGCAGAGTATGATTTGGTTTATAGTTTGAAAAACAGAAACAAAGCTACCCAAATGTGATTCTTTAAAGTGTCATGCCTACCTTGTTGGCACAAATGAAGCCCAGGCCCAAGGAAGCCAGCACCTCGATGACTGCAGGGCTGCTGTTGCACTTGACCGGGTAGTAGGGCTGCAGCCGCGGCGCTGCACTCTGCCAGCAGACATGCTGCCGCATCAGGGCACCGAGGTCTCCCACCACAAATGCACTCTTCTCCACCTTGGAACATAAGGAGGTGAAGGCTGCACTGAGTAAAAATAGCAACTGGTCAAACCAGTAAAATCACAACGAACATCGGTGGCACACACTGATTGATAATGACAGCATCATTAAAGCTATTTGAAGCATTTTAGAATTTCACGTCACCACAACCTGAAGCCATTAAAAGACATGCGAGTAGAACTGACCAGGGTCTGCTCACAGATGTGTCCGTCAATGATATCTTCAAGGGTCACTCCTCCCTCCAGGAGTTCAATGATGTAGCTGGGTTTGTCAACGAGTCCTTTCATCTCAACCGTATTCCGCTAAGCCAACATTCATAAAGAACAGATAAGCAAGTCAAGGGGTCACGACTGAGCCAATTGGGTCCTGCCGGTATGCAACGGACTGGAAAAAGAGAGGAGAGAGGGAAAAACACATCAACACATTAACCTTTAATTACAGCATTAGACCAGGGACATTAAATAGGGCTAATGATTTTCTACCTGAATGCATTTCCATATTTATGACCAACAGCTACACTTTATAAAATAAGTCTGGAGTCTATTTTTGTTTGTTCTATCCCCCCTCTGCTTTTCCTCTTCTTCTTGTAAATATGTAAAAAAGGCACATACTTCATTGAGCTTCTACCTAAACCCATCGCCTATCTCCAAAAATATTTCCCTCACGCCGGAATTTGTAAGCCAAAAAGTTCCAGCCAGAACACAATGCTCCCGGACTTTGTTACCAGAGTAGGCATGTTATACGTAAGCGAGCATGTGTACAAGAGACAGTGAGTCACTCACATGGACAAGTCAGGAGATGGACCTGTCCCTCTATCAGCTAGGATCCCAAGGTGGCTCAGCGTTGAAGTCAAAGTGCTCTCGGTAGAGAGCCGCCCCTAGGCCCCCTGGGTAGCGCTCATACACCTGTGCAGAGACAGGGAAGCCCTGTGGGGGGGCAGACACACATCATGTTTAGATATCAATACATACCACAAACTCGATCACGTGAAATGCAAGGTCCTCGTCTTATGTCATCAAATCTACAAGCTTTCCCGCGATTATCTTTAGATTCACATTGAAATAGAGTAAATAGTGTCTCAGCGCACCGTTCAGTCTGTCCATTAATAAAACTCGCGTATGTTGTGGTAACGCAAAATAGCCACATAACTTGACAAAATGTTGATATTTATATTACGTTGCGTCCCCAAAAAACAAACATACAAGAAGCCCTACACCGTAGTCGTTATTAATGTCTGTACTTGGCAGGGCAGGTGTGTTTAACACGGGTAAGCTGAAGGCGAGGAGACGCCTGAGAGCGGCTAATGCTCGCGCTGTTAGCCGCCGAGAGCCCGTCGGGGGAAGAAGCTCACGTTAGCGCTGTATTCTGTTAATAACAGCCTCGTAAACACCAACACCGGCACAGAACTGCGAAACACTCTGGGCTATGGGGCCAATGACACATGCTATTTACTTATATCCTTAAACGTAGATTATTACATCCACAAAACCCGCAATTCAATGAATCGGTCCGTCCTGTGAGGCTAGAAGGCAGAAAGAGCAGCCCGCCATGTTACGTCCGCCTGCTGAATCTAAGAAACTCAACCGAAGTATTACGCGTTACTTACGTGAGATAACGGCAAGAAGGTTTCGGAAAATCGTCTTCTCTTTTTCGGCGGAATTTTTAAAGAGTAGTGGGCACAGCGATATAAGAAAGAAAGAGGGCGTTTTTTGCCATATGTTTGGATGAGGGACGGACGGCCGTTAAGCAGCGTCTTCTCTATGGGTTGATGGGTGGAGGATGACTGAAGCCCAACACAGGAAGTGGGAAGAGAAGTGAACTGCCGTGGGCGGGGCCCAACCTGCAGCTCCACCAATGAGCTCGCTGTATTTTTAAACAGCTACCAAATATGTACTTCCGGGCTCCTTACGAGCCGCCGTGGGCCTGTCATGTTTTTTTTTAGGTTACATAACCATAAACTTCCCGTGGACGGCCACTCGTTTCAGTCAATCATTCCAAGACGCTTGCTCTAGCGTTCAGAGAGAGAGTGGAGAGTTATGTTTTAATGTATGCGTTAGCACTGCATTTTATAAATGTATTATATGTTTAAACAAATTTTAACACCACTGAGCATTCTTTTGGCCTTCACAGAAACTTTCAGGGCAATTGCTTTTATTCTTCTTTCCGTCTCTCTGAGAATACAAAAGCATGGCATTGTTTTAAATGACACGCTTAATTCTCAGACTCATGTACCCTTTCATCCACATCTTTATACAGTATCTGGTACACATTAAATAAAGGCATGATTTCATTTTCATCTCTCATTATTTTTTCAGAGAGCATTTATGAGCATTGGAAACAGTGAGCAAGGAAGTCTGTGTGTCAAAAGCCTTCTAATTACAACAAACAAACCTTTACTACACAGGACTAAAAATACAAAATATGCACCTGTCTAGTAGATATTTGACTTGTCTGCATTAATCTGGGGGATCCTTAAGATTTGAGAACTGTACGAATATTTTGTTGTTCAGGTCTGACAAAAAACAACTTTGTCACCGTTATAATTTAATGTTTTGTGCTATTCAGTTTGATGGGGAAATATTTAAAATGAGAAATGAATCTCATAAGGCATGTTGGTCAGGAGTTGGACAAACATCTCAATCTCAGAATCTCAACCTGCCGCGATCTTAGTCGCATGACTTGTATTGCTGTGACACTGGAGCAACAACTTGCATTTCTGTAGCGGTTTGGCTGTACGGCGGCTGTTATCTTGGTTTTATGACAGATAATCTGAGAGACACTGTGTTCACAAAACAATGTGGCCTAGAAAACTATGAAGCCTAAACAAAAGGGAAAGTCCTATGAAAGCTCTCCAACTGATATTTTGAAGAGCTGGCTAGCTTTTTTTTATAGAAACAAGGCCACTTAACTAAATGTATGAATTCATGCAATACAATCATGCTCATCGGCATCAGGTACATTTTACGAAAATAGACAATCAATTTGGGCTTTACGGTTCATGTACAATATATAAATTAGTTAAAATACTAACAGGGATTTTGCATTATTTCTATTGGATTATGACTGCAAGGTTAAAGTCAAATCAGAATAAAAGGAAAATTTAAAGCCGTTTATATGGGCTATTTCCTTTAATATATTCAACAATGCAAAATCGTTTGAAGTAAAGTAAGAAGATAAAGTTAACTAAGTCAACTATGCGCTCCAAGGTCCACGACAGAGTCCATGGGGAGAGGAGGAAATTAAATGTTATGCTACAGTTCTGCCGAGTTCAGTTAACGGCCTTGACTTGACAGCAAGAATAAAATGTACAGATGGCTGCATTCATAATCAATTCACAATACCCCACCATAGAATTCCAAAATGATTACGTTTTCCAAACTATGAATTAGTCATTGTAAGGAATGGTTGAGTAGCTCGGCAGTTACATCCAACAGTATCAACTCCTATTGGTATCTGACAAATAACAAGAGAACATCAATAAAGAAAAGCCCAAAACATTTTGTCAACATATTGGGATCCAGGAAGGTGCCGACTATTGAACTATGAAACTATTAAACTATGATCAACTATTATTTCTTAATTTTAAATTATCCTCCATTGTACACATGCTGTTTACACTAGGCCTATTTAACAGCACGCATCCGGACTGGTTGTAAATACCATTAATTGTATTATTTACACAAGTGGTTTTGATTATCTCACTTTGGCATGTTTTCCACGAAAAACAGCTATTCTTTGAAAAAGTGTCTGCTGATATACCATCCTGTTTAAACCGGAAATATTGTTATACTGTAATGATTGGGTTCAGTCAAAAAATTCAACATTTGCCAGGCTCCTGTATAATAGTGGTATAGCAATGCTAACACTTGACACGTTAACATTTAAATTCATAATGATAGACATAGATTATTGAGAAATCCAAATCAGCTGAGTCCCTTCATGATCATTAAATCTGCATAAAGGCAGTCTACTATAAGTAATGCATTAGGTAAATTGTACCAGAGGAAAGCGACATTGAATTATGATTGAACGTTCAAAACAAACACACATGCTGCCTTTAATGATAATTTAATGATTATTAAAAATACTATAATAACGCTTTAATCAAAGCAGCTTAAAATAATCAAGATTTGATTAAACAAAGTGTAGAGCAAGTAATCAAATAACATTCGGGAATACTTGTGTTAATAATATGAACCAAACAAATTAAGTGTCAGAAAAAAAGGTTTTCTGGTTTCCATCCCCCTGCTTCTGTGCAGGTTTAACAGGAGCATCTACAACCAAAAACTGCCATCCCTTGCATACATGTACTAGAAATACTAGCATGTTTTGGAATGGCAGAGGCTTCTTATAAATAGTTAATATACTCACATAAAGTATTATCCAGACCAACTGTTGATTCATCACTTTTATTTTCTTTATCACTTGGACATTCCAACAATCAGATGACGTTACTCTTTTGGCTTACTCAATGTATACAGGAACAGTTACGGTCTGTGCATATATATACATTTTAATGAACTGAAATAAAGAAAATCCCGGTTATCATGCCTTCGACCACTTAACAGCTAATATTTCCGTTTTTTATGTCCGGACATTGAATCTTACACGGGTTTGATGGTCACGTGATGGCCGTGCGTCTGCGCACCACCGCTGCGCAGACGCACAACGACTGTCCCGATCAGCTGACTGCGACTGAGACGCGATGTTGACGTGCCTTTGAGTCGAAAAAACGGTTATTATCTGCGCTATGAACGGGAAACTCACTCTGTCGAACTGAATCTCACCGCGTCGACCAAACTCTAAAGCACACGGACGTCAAAGGTGAGCACGGAAATGTCCCGACGAATGACGTCGTGAGAGACCGCGATGCAAAACCAGCTCGTTTCGGTGGTGCGCTAGCAGCGCATTTCACAGGCACGAATCGGGTGCAAATATACGTCGATTTTGAAATGTGAGAATGTCACCGGACCGGTCCAACGCAAAGAGCAGCAGCCCGCAGTCACGTGCTGTTCGTGGTTGTTTAGTTGAGAGGAGGATCAGCGTTTAGTCCGCTTTTGAAACTGATCACATGACACTCAATAAGCAGACACGGGGGCCAGTCTCTGCTACGCTTTACTATCGCAATCTGCCAGTGTCTTGATTATATACGCATTATGTACGTATACGAGCATTTCATGTTGGAATCATGGGGTCGCGTGAGGACGTTATGGAATCAGAAGTTAAATAGAGGTTAAAAGAGGAACATCTTCTTAAAATGGCTGTGATTCATGATATTCACACATCCGTCCTCTGACTCTATGGTGGTGGAAAAATACTCGTACCCTTTACTCGAGCAAAGGCAGTTATAGCATGTGAAAATACTGTTAACTGTAAAGGTACCACAGTAATATGCAAAATAAACTTGAAGTTGCCATCATGCAAAGTTAATGTATCATGTAAATCATATTATTAAGATTAAGCAAGATTTTAAACAATGCCCACAATGGCTCAATGCACTTAAAGCTTTAATATCTAGCATGTTGTAAATTATCTGAATAGTAATAATTCAGATACGCTGAATGATCTTTACTGTCTCATGGTGCACATCATCATCATCCCAATTCTCTTCCTACTCTCCCTCCTCCTCAGGGAGGTCACAGTCCACCACAGACCAGCGGCCCTGGCACCGTTGCCAGAGCTCTACTGAGCTACTACTGTCTTCTCCTTTTGTCCTCAGTGACTTCATCAAACACATACATCCAAGCGGACAGCCCCTTCCACCCACAGCCATGACAGAATTCTGGTTGATCTCCGCTCCGGGGGAGAAGACGTGCCAGCAGACCTGGGACAAGCTGATGGTGGCCACCACACGCACCAACAACCTCTCTGCCAACAACAAGTTCAACATCCCCGATCTCAAGGTCAAACGCAGCATAGCATAGAGCAAAATATTCCACTTTCAAGTAGCCTCCTGGAGTTTTTTTGTTCATATTTGTGTGTGTTTTGCCTCTTAACAGGTGGGAACGCTGGATGTCCTGGTGGGTCTGTCCGATGAACTGGCCAAACTAGACACTTTTGTGGAAAGGTAAACTTCTGTGTGTTACAACCGAGCTGGAAGAGGTCGTAAAATATGTTAGTGAGCAGGAGACAATTGTTCACTTAACCAAAAAACACCTTTTTAGTTCAGTTCTGCCTGTTGCCATTTGTTGCTTCTCTCGTGTTTATTCCCCGCGTTGCGTTTCAGTGTGGTGAAGAAGGTCGCTCAGTACATGGCCGACGTCCTGGAGGACAGTCGAGACAAAGTCCAGGAGAACCTTCTCGCCAATGGAGGTAAATGCTGTTTTCTCACTTAAACCTTTGTCAGGTGCGAACAGACAGCAGAACAAAGTTGTTTTGCAAATCAAGGCATTATAGGTGCATCTATGATCAAATGCACAATCATGAAGCCTGAGTAATGCGGATGACTTCGATCTGTTCCACAGTGGACCTGGTCACCTACATCACCAGATTCCAGTGGGACATGGCTAAGTACCCCATCAAACAGTCACTGAAAAACATCTCTGAGATCATCTCCAAGGTAAAAGATTCCTGTGATCCAGTCGTAGTTATTATCCATCAAATGTTTTGTGCGGAAAATGATCCTAGGGGAAGTAATGATTGTATCTGTCTATACTCGTATATCATATATTTATCATAGTTGTTTGTATTACTCCTCTTATTGTTATTGTTAGCAAGCGAGTCAGATAGACAACGACCTGAAGGCCAGAGCTTCCGCGTACAACAACCTGAAGGGAAACCTGCAAAATTTGGAGAGGAAGAATGCGTGAGTTATAAAGTTATAATAGCTTGTGTTGTCTATCATTTCCTTGCGTTGATTAAAGCCAATCGCTGTGGAACTTCTTTAGCTGCATTACAATTAGTTAGGTTGTACTCTCTTTGGTTGTTTTCCATGGGTCATTGGTAAATGTAGTACTCTTGTAACATTTACCTTCATGACGGCATGTGTAAATGTCCTCCTTGTCCTACACACAGCAGTTACAAACACAAATCACAGACAATCTGTTTCTGTTTCCTCCATAACATTAACCTCAACTGCCTTAACAATATATATATTTGACACATCAGCCTCTCTGAGCTTCCCTGATTTCCTGCTGTAGCTTAAAATGTTTCCAAAATGTAGATGGATAACTTTTGGAAGTCTTTTTACTTGTCACACCTTCAACTCTAAGGAGGACAAGATTGAAATATAAAAAATTGCTTTTTTACATGTGTACAAACATTGTTAATACAAATATTTGTCTGGCTCCATGAGAAAGATTCAAGTCGCTCGCGTAACTGAACTGCATGTGTCATCCTTTTAGAGGGAGTTTGTTGACCAGGAGTTTGGCGGACATCGTAAAGAAAGAGGATTTTATCGTGGACTCAGAGTACCTTATTACCATGCTGGTGGTTGTCCAAAAGTAAGTACGCTTACGTCAGTATCTGAATGTGTAATACATGGAGGTATTGTGGAGTAGTTGGTGGTCATTTAAAAACACACCCAGAGAAAATAATTACACTTCAGTCCACTGGTGATGGGAAGAGGCTTCTTCCACCTATTGAGAGGATAGAAATGGTCAAATAGTAAATGGTCAAATTTCAAATGAATTTAGTATTATTATCAGCGTTGTCGTTTGCTTTCCCCCCATAACCAGGACAGGTTATGCAGACTGGCAGAAGACCTATGAGACCCTGGCAGAGATGGTTGTGCCACGCTCCACAAAGTAAGCTACCGTGTTTTCAACAGAATTCTTTAGACTAAATAACTTGCAGGCTAATCAAATTGTCAAAGTGTATTTGTGTTTTTTTTCTTTTTTTTTAAGGAATGTAATACTTTTTTCCTCAATTGTCCCTCGGGCAAAGGCATTAAACCAGGGGTCTCAAACTCGCGGGCCAATTGCGGCCCTCGGGACGATATTTTGTGGCCCCATCCTTAATATGAAAGTGTAATGTTAGTGCGGCCCGCAAGTTTTATACTGTAACCCCACTGTCAGCTGCTGTGTGGGGCATGTTATGATGTTCTGGTTTCCTACTGTGTGCTTGTCCAGTGAACGTGGCATGCATGTGACTGACATGGGGGGCGGGTCGTGTGTGTCGGCCGAGGTGCAGAGAGCAGGAGGGTGAAATTCAGTTTCCTGCCCTCTTTCGCGCAGGTGATCATGTGACTAACCGTTAGCATCGCTCGTTTAATAAAGTTTTCCTTTACGACTCACACTAACAACACGTGAAGCATCTGACGTCACCGACGAGCGTCTCCGTCCATTGCTACGCAGCTTCGATTCACGTAACTTCACGTATGGCCATAAAGGAATTCCACGGTCACATGACCTTAGGTCTCCCCCGCTGAGTTAAAGGAGGACTAGTGTTGTAGTCTCATTCGGACCGATCCCCCAGGGGGGTGTTCAATGACTGCTTTTGAAAGTGAGTGTTAAGTTGTGTTATTGTCGACCATGCCGTTCGGATGCTAGTCTGGCCCGCGTTCAGTTGAAGTGGGCTGCATCTGGCCCGCAGCTGATTTGAGTTTGAGACCCCTGCATTAAACAGTCCTGAAATATGAGATTACGACATGAACAAAGCGGCGTTTTCTGTCCTCTCCTCCAGGCTGCTGTTTGAGGACCACGACAGCGGTCTGTTCAGTGTCACTCTCTTTAGGAAGGCTATCGATGACTTCAAGCACAAGGCCAGAGAAAACAAGTACACATTTTTTTATCTTCTACTTGAGCTCTGTTTTATGTTCTATTCCGCCCCCATCCCCTTGAGAGATCCTAGTTTTGGATTTCAGATTATGTTTCTCTCTTGTGTCTTTTGTAATGATAAAATGTCAGTAAGGCCACCTCATTGTTGTATCACTCGTCATGCTCTGAAAAAAGGCTGCCGTTCTATTATGAGCTCAATTTGCCACCTATTGACACACTCTCTCAATAAGCACAACTGGGATCTGTGTGTAAGTATCATGTGTCTGCATGTGGCCCTTTTTCAGGTGTGCACGTGCACGTTGACCGCTGATTGTTGTGTGTCCTGTCCTAGGTTTACGGTGCGTGATTTCCAGTATAACGAGGAGGAGCTGAAGGCCGACAAAGAAGAGATGACACGTTTGTGCACTGACAAGAAGAAACAGTTTGTACGGCTCCTGTTTTCTGCATATTCAGTAACGGTGGAGAAGGAGGACGTTCCTGGAGCTTTCTTATATTGTGGCTGTAATCTTGCAATATTTCTCACTGTTAATTCACAAGGACGATTTTATTAGATACAACATCCAAAATGGGAATTTCAGCCATGTTCACATGTATACATTCTTTGGTAGAAAATATTAAAATGTTGTCTCCATCCACCCAGGGGCCTTTGGTACGATGGCTGAAAGTGAATTTCAGCGAAGCCTTCATCGCGTGGATTCACATAAAAGCCCTTCGTGTGTTCGTGGAATCAGTTTTAAGGCAAGTGACGACCCAGCAGCCTCCATGAAACCTCAGTCTGCCACCCTTTGCATACATTAAAAATCTATACATTTGCCCTTTTTAATATAATATTTGTTTCTTCTTATTGCCTGTGAAAGATGGACTGAAATCTGCCTCGTGTTTAATAGATATGGACTGCCAGTGAACTTCCAGGCCATGCTGCTGCAGCCCAACAAGAAGAACATGAAGAAGCTGAGAGAGGTGCTCTCCGACCTGTACAAACACCTGGACAGCAGCGCTGCCATCATCGATGTGAGTTCACGCACTCTGTGACAGTTAACTATTGGAGAAAGGCAGGTCCAGCTTTTTGAGCTCCAACGGGTTCCTTAGGACGACTGAGACAGTCCCTTGTGTTTGAGGTCACATCAGGGTGGAGAGACAATCATCCTTTGTGACGTTTGCTTTTGGCCTGAATAAAAAAAATGAAACATAACAATAGTATCATGAAACTCGAATCACTACTTTCTGTAATTAAAGAAAAGATAAAAAAAAATATGGACACAAAAAATGATTTTGTGTGTGTGATAACTTTGTCTCTGTTGTGCCTGTAGGCCGCTATGGACATCCCAGGGCTGAACCTGAGCCAGCAGGAGTACTACCCCTATGTTTACTACAAGATCGACTGCAACTTGCTGGACTTCAAAGTCTAGATACATTTACAGCATCATCTCACTATCTGTTGGGTAGTGTGCCGATGTGCCATGCTCACATCCCCACGCTTTCGTTTATTTCCACCTCGATGTTCCCCGTTTTCGTTGCCATCCTCTTTTCTCTGTGATGCTCCTGGTACATTCCAAGGTCCATATTGAACAAGTCGTTGGACTTCTGTTCAAATGCACTTGACAAATATGGGCCGTGTTCTTTTTTCTCTTCCTCTTTGTACCATGCTCTCCTCTCAGCCTACTTTATTAAAAGAAACACAAACGGTACATATATGGGGAGCAAAATATATGTATGTTAAATATGGTATTTATTTGAAGCCTAAACTCAGTGAATATGGTTTTGTTTGGTTTAGTTTTTGAAAGTGATATGTCTTAGCTCCATGTAAGGAATAACTGTTTACAAGTAGATGTTGCCCGGTGTCCCCCCCCAACTCAAGCTGTTATCCTGTGAGAAGCTGAAACGGATCATTTTACGGTTTCAAGAAGCAGGTTTGCTGATTGTGTGCTCTTATAATTTCTGTATAAGCAGTTTGAGAAAAACCATGACGGGTCTATGTGCAAATACTGTATTGTCAATACAACTGAGAATGACCACATATTTAAAATAAATGTTAAAAATAAATATTCTATGGGAAATATAACTGACTTTGGTCCTTTTTTAAGGAATTGCCATAGGTTTGTAAGTATAAGAAGGAAACCGAATCACTGGATACCATTTTTAAAATCTAAAAATAATATCTGAGAACATACTCCGATATTTGAAGATTTTCTATTGAGTCACGTTTGACGCTGTTGTACTACAGATTGGATCAAGATAGGTTTTTTAAAATATCGTACTTAACAGAAGCTTAAATCCACATGAAAGGAAGTAATTAAGGTTTTACAAAGACCATTCTGCTCTAGAGAGAGGTGAGTTTTGCACCTTTTTTGTGTTCTGTATTTCTCGACTACTAAAAATCTCTCTTTAAACAAGTTATGAGTTGTAGCTTAACATTTATCAATCCATTTGTAGTTTCAACTTTGGCATTGCTAAATTGTGTTCTTTTATATATATTTTTTTACTAGCTGATTAAGAACTGGAGCACCGGGGGGAAAAAATCGTTTTGATTATTTATTTGATTATTTCAATTAATAAAACATTAATTAAGATTGCATTGCTTTCTTTGCATTGATAAATCATGTTCTTGCAGAGGCTTTAACCTGCAACTCGGCGCACATTTGCATGATGACGACGTAGTGGACGTCCCTCGCAGCCTATCAGCGGTCAGAGTGGGTGCACTTGCTGATGACGCAGGTATCTCCGGCGGAGAGCGGCGTCAACATCAGCACCGCAGCCCGACGATGGAGACGGAGCCCCGGATTGAGCCGCAGTAGAGACCCCGGGAGAGGATGCGGCGGCCGGCGTGAGACGACCCCGAGCCGCGTTCAGCCCGCGTCAGCCGCACCTGCCGTGGATGATTGTCCCGATGGGTTGTGGAGGGAGTCGGGCGGACGCGATCATTGAGCCGAGGTACCACGAGAGCTGGACCAGAGAAACGGAATCGACGTGGCTCACCAATACGGACGTGGAGACCTCTCTGCCAGTAGCAAACAGTAAGAGCCCCCGCCTGCGATTTATGGGTTTTCTCTGCATCGTCTCGCACTGCATGTATATAGGCCATATAGGCCACATCACAGTTAGCAACGTGAGAAAACATTGCACACAGGGATCACAAGACCGCTAAATAAACCACTCTGCTGCCAGCTGTCAACTCCTTGTAAAAGCAGTCTTGCATTTATTCTATTGTCTTTGTGTTGTAAGGAGACAAGAATCTACTGGGTTTGATCATCTAAACCCTTAATGTTGTCCAAAGGTAAAGCTCTGGAGGCCAGCCTGAGAGAGAAGAGGATGGTGAACACAGGCACCCAGTGTGGGAAGCAGGCCCTCACCTCCACCAGCTCCAACCACCAGAGGAGACCCAGACGCTCCTTGAGTGATGTAGGTGTCACTGGTAGCAGGTATTGGCAAACAACAACCTCTATCTGTGCACACGCGGGGAGGTTCTACAAGGCCTAAGACCTAGTGTACCTATCCTCTGACATATATGTATCATATGCAGGGTGGGAAATTCCTTCTGAAATTCCTTCTGTCAGGCTGCCAAGTTTTAAATTTAACAATCAGGTGGACATTCCATAAGATTTCTTAATTTTACTTAAGAAGCAATGAAGGCTTTGGGGGGGGACAAACGGCAGATTGATATCTTGTGATTTGAGAACAATGTCATGAAATAAGTTGAGATATAATAAGTTTGCCCAGAATTGCTTGACAAAATGAACAGACCACATTTGCAGGACTGTCTGTTCTCCTTTGTCATTGACGATACTAAATAGTCATTCAAAAGAAGCATTTTAGAGACACATTGGGTCGCTCTAAAAATAAACAATACATTGGTACTTTAGTTGTTATTCACAGATCCTTTAGGGCGGATGATCTAGACCAATGGTTCCCAAACTTGTTCTGTCAGGGCCCACTCTGATGACATAGGAAGATCGTGAGAACGCCCAACGCCCCTCTTCCCCCATCTCGTTCTTACCGCTGTTGAACCACTGATCTAGACTATACAATTCATCAAATGTAAAAATAAGTCATGGTTCCAAACCTACAAAGGATTTATCTGCATTTAATAGAGTATATTTACACTATACAGTATTTTCCTGAATATTGATGTTTGAGAGTCCACTAGCCCGACTTGGCTGCGAGTGCAAACGGTAAACATTGAGAATGAGAAGTTGTGTAAAAATAATCTTCATTTACATGCCTCACAATATCTCTTTTATTAATTCTGTTCTGTCCAATATTCATTGGAAGAGCTGCTGCAAGAGAAACTGTTTGCAGATGTTGTTATGTCCTCTAAATGCAAATTTATTGGCTTTTAATACTCATGAACAGCAATAAAAAGACGGACCGATAATAATGTGCGAAAACTTTTATTAAATACATCTTTGTTAAAAAAAAAAAAAAATTAATTAAAGAAAGATAAATTCCAACACATAAAAAATTACATTTTTATCAACACAGAAACATTGATCGTTGTGTTTTATTAATTTAACGTCACGGGCAAAGCTTCAGTGACTCAGGTTTCAGTAGGCCATTGTCTCTCACTCGCCGTCTGTCCAGTGTGGTGACATTTAAATGATGTGACATTCAAAACTCACACATCACATCTTCCCACAGCAGAGCAGTCGTGAGTCCAAGAGGAGGGCATCAAAAGAGGCAAGTGCGTTGTCTAAGGATGGGCAGCCCGTCAACATCAACAGCAACGGAGACGGCGAACCTGGGAACGTGTGTGATGAGAGATGAAGAAAAGCCAAGCCCCTGTGAGGAAGACGATGGCGGCTGCAGCTTTGAAAAGTTCACCAGAAGACGGGACGGCGATTTACAGACTTGTGCGGATGATGTTTGCTCGTAACTTCACAGGACCTTGACTGTTGATTTGGGTGACTTACGGCGAAAGCACCTGGATAACGTCTCCATCCAAAGATATCGGGATGCTGCATCCTTGTTGTGCCATTGCAAATGCATGCGTGAGCAGAGAGTGCATCACAAAAAGCGGGCACGCTCTCCCCGCCACGCTCTTCTCCCGTGCTTATGGTGCCGGTCAGGGAATGAGTTACTGTGTTAAGCCAATTTGAAAGAAGACGAGAACAGACCGTCCAATATGCACATGATAATCACAGTTTGCACAACAAATGTGTGTGTGTGGGGCCTTCCTTAAGAATTCGCTTCAGTTCTTTGTGCAAGTATATTCCTTTTGTTGTAAATGAAAAACAATGATTATGCTGTTTAACTTCAGTTGATGCTGTACATGATTTTCATTGAAATGACCCTGAAGTGCTGTTTAAAAACTGAGATTTGGAGGATTAATGCTTGAAGGCTGAAGACTGTCTTTTCAAGCCTTCTCAAGATAAAGAAACAATTACACCCGCATGTGCCTACATCCTGATCTGAACTGCTCCTGTTTTCACTTAAAGAGTTTGTTTTATTCGGCATTGTATGTTCTCTTACATTTTCGTTTATGTTATATTATGTTAAATTTTAACATTGTAATTTATTGAACTGGTGAGTCATCTGTGTGGCTTACACTGATCTGCATGTTTAAATCAATCTCAAATTGTTTCAGCATTGGTGAAAAATGTAGATCAAGGAAGGTGATTCAGAAATGGACTTCAGGAGAGGGAGAGTTATGGCCAGCAGATGGTGACATTTACTGGTCTGACCTAATATTTTCTGCTCATGATAACTGTTGCTTGTCGATCCACTGAGACAATAATGTTTGAAAGTGAACAGCCAAACATTTGTGATGGAAAACAACATTTAAACACAAGATTGACCACAGTATTTTCCTTTGAATTAAAATTGTTGTTACTTTCTTAAGTTGTGATATTCAGAAAGATGAGATGTGTAATAATTTTTCTTTACTGCCGAAACAGCAGAATTAATTATCCTCAATCAATAACTTGCTTTATTCTATTTTCTATGATGTAATTGATGGGTTGCCATATCATCTAGATGCATTCTTCCTACTGAATAATTGTTTTTGTATGGATAGCATTAATATGTAAATCATCAAATTGCAAGAAAACAAAAGGAGTTGAGTTCTTATTTATTATATATTTGTCCAAGAGTCCCTAAAAAACATACGCAGGTATAAAAGACAACACGCCATTTATTCCACAGAATAAAATACATCTCTGAATACCACCACAGTCTGTGAGCTCTCACTTCTCTCACAATTATATTATAAATAGTTAATGGTAATCATTTTTAGTAAAAACATGTAATATACCCACATTACTGTGAGCTACATCTCAGTCAACAGGGAATGATATATTGCTGTAAAACTAAAAACGTACAGGTAAATTTCTTTGCCGTAGTAAATTAATATTTGGAGTTTTTAAGATTTTTAAAATAAACTAAATGTACATGTGTCCAACAATCCAACCCATTATATTTACTGATTAAAATGTACCTTTTACCTAAACGTTTGGGGGACTTTTTGACCACACACACCTGGTGGCGGAAGTTCTCCGCCCTACAAAATGACAACTTCCGCTTTCAGTTTAAAGTGATAAGCGAGTCACGCGCAGTGTACACGGCGGGCGCTGGGACCACGCGGAACGTGCTGCGCTGTCAGTTAGCTGTCGCTCACGTTGAAGCTCCTCGTTCCCACCGGAGAGAAAACAGCCGAGTTCAGCCGCTGCGGAGCGGACAGACTCCGCGGGTCTTATACACCTTAATTCATTCCTCACGCGCGAGGTCATTGTCTTTTTTTTTTCTTTCTTTAAATCATGTCGTCATAATGAGGTGAGTATGGCCAAGCGACCGGGGACCGACGACGGGATGTTGACTTCGCCGGCAGTTCTCCGGGACTTCGCGAGTCGATCCGATCTGAGCTCCGGGGACCTGGACATGGACTGCGCCGACGGGGCCGCGGAGGTGTCCCTGGAAGACATCCTGAAGCTGTACAGCCAGCCGATAAACGAGGAGCAGGCCTGGGCGGTGTGTTACCAGTGCTGTCGGACTTTAGCGCAGAAACGCAGGAGAAAAAGCTCCAAGTCAGCCGTTGGTTCGGCCGCCGATTACCCGAGGAGAATCGAGGGACCCGGGGATGTGAGGATCGGGAGAGACGGCGCCGTGAAGCTGCCCTTCGGAGATTGCACAGGTAATCTAAAACCCAGACAATAACTAGCCAATACATCGGGATGCTCTCAAACGCTCCGTCTGGGTTTGAGCAACTGCGCAGCTGGAGCGACAACCGCCGCGTGACGCCTTGTTTTCCATCGCATGTGTCTCGCAGGCCAAACGAACCGAGCATCCCCACAAAGAGGCCGTGTTATTGTGGCCCGTCTGCTTCCAGCCATGTGGGCAATTTGTTTACAGGCGCTCGACGCGGTCATTAAAAATGCATCGCAGATCACCGCATAGCTGAAGGGAGTCAGAGAAAGCTGTATGGGAATTATTCACTGACGGTTTCTGTTCTCACAAGAAGATATCTAATATTTACATCACGCACACGCGGTGGATTGTTGTTGCTTCATTGAAACTGGTGGTTTACTGTTAAAATGACGCTCCTGTATCGACAGTAAACAAAGAACCGTGCACAGCATCTTGGGCCCAGTCCAGAGCAAAGGCATGTCAATAGTAAAATGCTGACAAAACCCCCAAAACAGATGACTCATTGCGGCCAAAATTAACATTATGTGTTGTGGCATTAGAGTAAAGGCACAGATTGCTGGTGGATGAGGGATGCACGCAGCCAAGGGTGGTTTTTAACACCAACGAAACACCTTTTTTAGTCTGATTAAAAATAGCAATTTGCAAGCACATGGGCTGCATGTAGGTAGGAGATCCACTGAATTGCGGATGGGAGTATCCACTTTTACTGGCTGTATTAGACAAAGAGCTACATGTCTGGCCTCCATCGACAGAAACAGGCCCATTATATCAAATAATTCTAGACCGAATGACTTGAACCCCACCGTCTCTTCATATGGTCACGCATACATAGATTTATACCTGAGGATTCAAGCTAGAGCGACTCAGGGCTAAGTAAAAGTATACGTCAGTTCAGGTGTGTCGACAGATGTACAGACTGTTTCCAAATAGCTTTTTAACTGCCTGCCATGAATATGTGCGGGGTCACGTTGGGTGTGGGTAGAGGTGTCGCCATCAGCTCAGCATAGCCTCGAGCACTGAGGTTACATCCCATCCCTCCAGGGAACTTATTAGCCCCCATTCCCCCCCCCCCCTGTTTAGACCTCTCCATACTCCCTCTCTCCCTTGCTTGCCAACCCTTCGGACCAGCGCTCCCTTATCTCAGCATATTGCGCAAACATTACACTCTCAGAATTAACTGTTTCTGCCGTTGCTTCATTCAGTTTTGAAGCTGTTTTAAAAAAAAGCCTAAACGCGATGACCCGACTTCGTCAGTGTGACTGCCGATGAGTTTTTGAGATTATTGGGGAGAGTCCTTTTCCTTCTCTGTGGCTGAGGTATTTTGGGACAGCTCGGCCCCCGTCCTCATTCATATTAGGCCCGGTGATGGGAGAGACGTGAGACCTATTAAGCATTCAGGAACTCTGCGTCCAGTTGCAGAGGGTTCTATCCCAGTAAAAAAAAAAAAAAAGCATTGCTTATGCAATCCACATATGGCCTGTGCATGAGTCAGTGACAAGGTGGCATCACTTGGCCAGCACCCAGACCACCACCACTGAGTCCTTCAGGGCCCTTTCCCTTTCTTATTGCTTGTATCAAGACTGCATGGCGTGTGTATCTTAGCATTGCGTAGAAAACAGAATGAGCAATGCGGAGCCCCAATTTAAGTATTTATTTTTGGCTCGCTTGATGAGAAATGTATACGCTACTCCTGCTGCAGTCGGATCAATTCACACCGAGCATTGGGAGGAATATATTCTCTGCCACTGCGTGTTGCCAAGAGAAGGGCCTGAATGAAGCCTCAAGGCTGCATCCAAATAAGAGGGATGCCTGTTTACCCTGAAGAGTTCCATTGATTCACACCAGTAAAGAGCTTTTTCTTTTGTTGATTTGCTGCATTCAGTATTTTAGCTGGAACGTAATTCATACAGTACATGCGATTGAAGAGGTTTGAGTATTATTTAAGGTCTTTCTTTATTTGGCTTTATGTGAAGCCCCTTTTTTTTCTCAGCAGTTACAGAGGTTGATATTTGACTGAATAGGATAGTCTGGGTGACACCGCAGGCTGCTCCAAATATGCCTCACGGTGACTTAATCACTCCAGGAGAGACGAGGGCCCAGGCAAAGCAATCTCTCCCTGACTGGGACCAACAGAGGACCCAGTGTTACTCAAATGACCGTTGGTGGATGGCCGTTTATTTATTTTTTCCTTCCGTCTGTTGGCTGTAATTCATAGTGGCCTGACTAGAACCGAGCCGAGAAACATGCAGCCACAACGTTCAGAGAAGTGCTGTTTAGATTGAAATGATTTAATCACTGACTCCATGGATTGATGCAACTTATAGTAGCATTCAGAGAGATGACGACTCTGGCCAAAGTGTCCCATTTATACGCAATGACCTAATTTCGCCGTCTGGACAGGTGTCAAAGTCTGCAAATCTATCTCCCTATTTGTACTTTCACCCCAGACGTTTTTTCTTACCGGCGGTTACCGTGTGTTTCAATCGCTGTTCCCCAGTGATTAGCTGTCGGAAGTTGGCGTATGTAATTTTTCAGTATGGGGAAAGAGACCTACTGTGCATACTTTTGACCTCTCGTGATGTGTCTACAGATACTGATGTTTTGGAAATGCTAGTTACAGAACAAGAGATGCGATTGCTTTTTGTTTTCTCTTTTGTATTAAAAGGGAGCGAGAGTTTTCAGGTTTTTCTCGTCCACTTGGTTTGCTGTCACATGTTGTATTGTTTAAAAAAGGCTTAAAGTCTGCATGGACGGTCACGATCAAGGTTAAGGGTTCTTATTATTTGCTTTCTATTTTGAGAGAGGCTTTATTGGTAGAGTGGTAAGTGAAGAGAGGACGGTGTCTTTCACCGGAGTATGAGGGGACGATCATATCGCCATATTCAGCCGCTGGTGGCAGGTTTTGACACCGCAATTTGCTTCAGGCAGTTTGCCTCAGGCAGTGTGCAGTAACTGAATAGATTATGAAGTTATGATGTGAAGTAGTTACGAAGCACCCCCTACATTTAGTCTCTTCAAGTTGAGTATTTGATGTCCTACAACACGGTGTGAGGTGTGTTTTGAAATGTCCTACATAATTCTAAAGCACTTGTACACAAATAATTCAGAAGGTGTGTACACTATAAGTGGCAATGAGTGTAATAACTCTCAATGTTCTGTCATTACAGACAAATACCAGCCGGCTGCAACGTCATTAGAGGTGAGTTTCACATCTGTCTCCTTAATCAAAGAAAGAAAATCTCAGTTATCCGTGTTTGTGGTTTTGTCTGCCTGTCATTCATCATTTAGTGATAACTATTTTTAGCAACTATTTTTACAGCTTTCCCACCGCTGAAAATACTAGTGTGCAATTTGCACCACAAGTAAGCTGGTGTGGCCCCTGTGTTGCCAAATTGTTGACTGAGGAAAAAACATTATGTGGAGCCAATACGAAGAGACCTTTGAAAAGAACATTAACTGGTTATTTCTTGTGAGTTGGATATATGTTTTCATTAGGAAGTGGTAGAAATAATAATAGCCTTGCAGTGTCAATCAAAATGATCATGTAGCGCTGCTCCAGCAACATAAAAATTAATTGTTACCTCCAAATGTATCAGCAAGCATTAGCCTACACCCTTTAAAGTGTTTGTCCCAGCGGTGGAAATGCAGTGAACAATAGAGTGGGAGTGGGTTCTTTGCGACGGGCCCCATCTACTTTGTCCAGCGCCTATTGTGTTTGCTGCACTCTGATGCAAAAGAGGACTTAAAAGAGCGTGACGTCTTTTTGTTCATTAAATGCATTGCTTTCTGTACCATCATACATTCATCGCCAAAAACCACATGACCAGAACATGCGTCTAGTCTCTGTTTGGCTAAGCAAGGTGCACTGTGTAATCCCAGGAGAAGGCTCTCTAATCTTTTATGTACACATCAAGTGCACCGAGAATCTACTGTCAAGTCGTAGCGGTGTGATCATCTTTCATGTTTGCCTTGCAGTTCATGTGATCACAGGCTTTACAGTTGGAAGTAGAAAACCTCTTACTATGATGACAGTTCCGCCTCCTCCTTCTTCTTTTGCTTGTTGATACTGAGTTACTTCTTGCAGCCTTATATTTACTATGAATTATCAGGGTGTGTTTGCCGTGTTGGTTTATTGGAAATTGCAACGGAATCTTGCTCAATGGCTATTTGTGCATCAGCATGATTATCCCACAGAATGGACCACATGGCAAAACTTTGAGGACACGCCATGTTTTAAAAAAAGTGTTTGTTTATTTGTTTTACCCTCATGGATTGAAGCAAAGAGATATTAGCATGTCTTTTGTGTGAGGACTCATTTTGAATCAGTGGCCTAGTCGGTCAGTCCACCATTCTGGTGTTTACTGAAATAATTTGGATGCCATGAAAGTTTTAAGACACTTGTAATCTTCCCTTGAAGACAAAACCTACTATTATTTGCTAATGACCAAATACAGACGGAACTAATGTCATTGCCATTGGCCCCAGAAATCCTTTTTGTTTCGTGTTACTCATCAGACTACGGTTTTGCTTCAGCGTGTGTGTGTGTGTGTGTGTCGTCATGGCGAAATGAGGTCCAGACCTACTTAAGCAGGGACTACCACAGAAATTGTTGTGAGACAAGGCCTCATTTGTGTCTGTCTGTGGACGATTTCGTCAACTTTGCGGGATCACAAAGCCAAAACGTTACTGATGTTGAGATCCATGTGAGGCCCCGGTGTGAAGATGTTGGTGTGGACAACTCGGACCACCCTCTTCACCACCTACTGCTGGACCAGCGGAGCACCTTCTCCAACAGGCTGATCCAGCTCCGCTGTCTCAAGGACAGATCCAGCAAAACATTTCTGCCAACGGCAATAAGACTTTACAGCAGAACACAACATAATACCTCTGGCTAAATTCTTGTTTACTTGAACTACAACACCACTGTCTTAACTTTATTTTCTAATTTAATTTAATTTAATACATATTCAACCGTACATACTTCCTTAACTTAATATGTTTGCTCTGATATTTTATTTTATTGTGTTTACCGTGGATATATTGTGCATTTTTCATTCTCACTTTATTTACTGTACTGCTGCTATTGCACACAAATTTCCCCTTGGGGATTAATAAAGTTTATATCTATCTATCTATCTAAGATGGTAGTGGGCTCAAGCAAAGGCCGCTGGAAAATTTTCAGAACAAACGAAAAAGACTTCATCCTTGCAATTTTTCACAACTGCAATTCTAAAATAACTCGATGAACAACAACCTTGAACTCCTTTGGAACAACTAACTCAATTGGGCCTTAATATATTTTAACTCATTCCATCACACGTTTAGATTTTGGCGAGAAACTTCAATGTTGTTTTGAAGGCAATTTTTGTCTGAAGCCTTGCTGACAATTATAGATCTTGGGAAGAAAATTGAAATTAAGCAAAATGCGATCAGTGCTTTCCTATTGGTGAACATGGTACGGTTTATCCTCACTAAACACAAGCATGTGAACATAATTGTTATGAGCGTGTGAGTTATGAGCGTGTTAGCATTGATGTGATTGAATGTTCTGAACATTAACTGGGACAATGAATTCACTTTGGCTTTTTTCCCTGACCCAATTTTCTAAAGTAAATAAATGTTCCACAATGATCTAAATAGAGACTCACTGTGTGACAGTGTTACCCCCTTTTTTTTAATCGATGACTCACAACATTGCTCTCACACATTTGGACCAAAGTGCATTGTCCCCTATGATGTAGAGCCTGTGTTGGGAAAAACATCAAGATTATCAAGCAAGGTGCCCCTTTTTAAAACCAGTATTACCTCTATGCTGGTCAATTGTAATATTTATGGCTTATATAAATAATTCATAATAATTTAGTCTTACTGACGGTCATTAGTTTGCCAGCGTCGAGGCCTCCCGCCCTCCTTATACAGTCACTGCAATTGATATGAATAACTACAAGTTGGACAACAAGCAAGTGCATATTTTGTGGGTCTGTTGAGTGTGAGTTTTGAGGGCAGACAGTCCGCTGGGGTGACTGGCCTCCAGTTTGATCCCTGTATGCCTGACATATACCAGTGACCTAATTGTTGTAGCCGACTTTTATCCAAATCAATCAATTATTTTTCTTTGTTTCAGCTTCACTTAAAATCCCCATTGCAGCCCCCTGGGGGGTATTCACAGGAATGCAATTTATTGAGTCGTCTGAGTAGTTCTTGCATCAGGGTATTCCATTTATACACAACGGAGAAGAAATCTATATCTTCTGGTCCAGTCAGCCATAAGAAAAGACTTTAATTTCCACTTGTACCACCATACTTTTGTGTACTTTTTAATTAATTAATTTTCTCTGTCAAAGCCAGGTTTGCGTTTTATCGCTGTCATGTGGAGTCTGACATTTTATGTGAAACTTCGCTTTTGCGGCTGATGGGAATATAGATAGATATATAGATACTCAATTGTTTTAAAAGTAATTTCCCTGCATTTTTAGTATCATATTTATTCCACCACAAAAGCCTGTGATGATGACACATAATGTCTGCAATGGGTGTTTGATTCAGAGGGAGTTTTCCTCGGCCCTTTCCAGCTGACTTCACATGTGAATGCAAACTGGACAGATTTTAACGGGGGGGAATAAAAGAAGCAGTCAATGAATAGTGATGCTTCAGACTGGAGGAGGCCAAGCATATGCTCTTGCAGTGGAAGAACTCTAGCTTTAGCTCTTGATTATGTAACCGTCTGTTTTTTGTGATGGCTTTGCAAATGCTGCAGGCTGGTTAGCTGACTGTTTTGTGAACTCAGATGGTCACAGTGTGGAAAGAATTGTCTCAGTTCTGTTGCTGCAGTCTGCAAGAATATTGTGTTAAGGTTTTTCATCAGTTTTCATCAAGCTCACGTGGTTAACAGTGATTTTTGGTTCGTCTTCCCTCCTGGACCTGCCCTGTTCTGCAGAATGTCAGTTTACCCGCTGTGTTAATGTTGTAATACTTACACATGACAACTATTAAAGCTCAATGTAGCCGTATATATTTGTATACAGAATTCTGTGTGCTAAAAGACCTTTCTCCCACGTTTATGTTAAAGAGCACCATTAGTGTTCGCACAAACGCTTCTTTCTTTGCCCGTCTGCGTAGTGGTTGACTCACTAGTTTCTGCATCGTGGTAGCTGAGGTTGCGCTGCTTGTTGAGCCAGTTTATAAAAGGATGTGTATATGCCTATTTTTCAACCTAGTCTTGTTTTTTGTGTTTTACTTTGACTCGCATCAATTAAAATGGCAGTTTATCAAAGCTGGTTAGTGAATTTATCTGATCAGGAGTAGTGATTTGGAATCAATCGCTTATCCAAGAAAGTTCCGCTCAAGACGCCCACAAAATAAACAAGTTTTAGCCTCTTCAGAGACTGCTTGAACGTTTCTGTTCACGTGTGCCCAAATTTAAGCTATTTGGCCCGAAATCTAATCAGATGTGTTTAATTATGTGGCCCGCTTTCTTTATTTGCTGTTTTCATAAGACCAGTCTTTGCAAGGTCAAGTGTACAGCGTGACCCAATTTTAAGTGGAACAACTGCACTTAATTTTGTTGACTGGATACCAAATTTACAGGCCATGTTTTACGGGAAAATAATGGTCAACCTTTGTGAGGATTTCCTTTTTCCGTGTAAATTTGTACAATTTCGATCATTTGACCGCTTAGTTGTTCGTTTAGCTATTTGCGACTACTTCTGCTTATTTTGCGCGAGGTCTCGAAATGGTCATTTGATATGAAGCACAGGAGACAAAGGTTAGCAGTAAAACCAAATTCTCTTCCTGTTTGTTGTTAATTCTCTAGATGTCTGAGACAATCACGTGAAAAGAAGATTCTGAAGTTTACAACAACCCATTTTTGGCAAACATGGGCCTGAATCGCCTCTCTGCCAGGCAGCGATGCCAAACATGACAGCAGCTTGATTATTTGATTTGCTTGTTGAGCCTGACTCATCCCTCTGCCTTTCTTCAGAAATCATTTGAAAATGTCGGCATTTTCCTGTGGTCGGTCAAAGCCACGTCAACAGCTACTGAGGGTTTCTTCCACAGGCGTCCACCTGGCCTGGGTGGAGCCTCGTTTTAATTAGTGGGTTACCGAACATTTCTGCATGCCTGAAACCCAGCAGTGGATTTTCTTCCTGTCTTTCTCCACTGTTTACCACATACGTGTCCTTCCTCCTCGCCTCATTCCTCTGAGTCACAAGTCAGAAAATGCATACCTACTGTTTCTTCTTCTCTAGTTGCCGGCTATCAATTTCACTTTAAGATGCCGGTTTTCCATCCGGTAAAGCCAATGGGGACTTGATGCCATTCTTTAATGTGATATTTTCACAATTTGAGTCAAAGGTTTATATTCATTATTTATCTTCAGGAGTGTCAGAACCAGATTAATGTTGTAGTGTTTTTGGTTAATTATGTGAAACTGAGCGTTTGTGTGCTGTCCTGTTAAAAGTTCATCATTATAAGACATTTTGTGTTTGCATGGAAAATGGATTCAAACAATTGACCAAAGTCTGCACGGTATAGCTAATGTTCCTCAATTTGACATCTAGAATAATGCAATTGCTTGTATTACACAGGAGGATTTCCTCACTTATCATAGATTATAGATTATAGATGTTGGTTTACTATACCAGGCCCAATGCAGCTCCTTCAACCCTGTGGCCCAGGAATGACACTCTGGTGCTCAAGCCGTCCTTAACCTCTCGCCCTCTCCGGCGCATGTTGTCCCACGGCTGGATTATAAAGTTACGTAATGAGACACTAAGGAATAGGATATTTATTTTAGCCCTGGAACAGGATTATAAGCTGCACACAGATGTTTGATAACAGTAAAAGACCATGAAACAAACCGGTTTCCAATAAAACAATCAGGTTAAAAGTTTGTTAGAAAATGTAATTTTAAAAGTTGATAGCAATTTCATTTTGAATGGAATAGTTAGAAAAGAAAGAATAGATAGAATAGAAAAAACAATACAAGATATTGAGGAAAAATGGTGCATTTTAGGAAGATCAATGTAAAAAAAACATTCTATAGGAATGTTCTTGGTGTGTTGAGTCAAACCCAAGGGTGTTGCTTTAGCTCCATTTGTCATGTTGGTTATGAAATGATTTTCCTCTTGTTGCTGCTGTCAATTATCCCAAACCTGCTCAGTCAACACCCTCCCCTTTTGTGTGCTACGCTCCACAGCCAAGTGCACCAGCCCCACCCACATCGACACTGTCGCAAAAGGGAGGTGTCGAAATCAAACAATGCATCTTCATTCCTTTCCGGGATAAAACACACAGCGCAGTAATGACTCACTGCACACTGTGCCTTTAGCTCATTTTATTACGTCAATAAAGCAAATTCAAAAATAGCTGCAAGAATAGATTAGAAGCAGGCAGTTCTTTGCACTGTTAGCAACGTTAGCATTGAGCGGCCAATCGTTGTTTAGAGGCACTAAAAATGCTCCCAATCTTCAATCAACTGAAGTTGAAGGTCCCGAATGGAGTTAAAGATTCAAAGTTTCGTTGACACCTAGCGGTTATTCTCCTTCCCTTTTGTATCTGGCTAAGGAGGAAATGATGATATCCTGAAAGACTGTAGATGTCAATCTTTATTATAATTAATCCCCACTTTTAGTTTTTTTCTGTATAAAGCAAATCATTTATAGGTCTGTAAACTGGATTTTATGTTCCAGTACCCAATAATAATAATAATAATGTACTTTCCCACAGGTCATTGACTCGTTGGGGATCATGATTTACAAAGCTTTGGACTACGGCCTCAAAGAAAACGAGGAGCGTGAACTCAGCCCTCCGTTGGAGCGCCTGATTGACATGATGACAAACGCCGAAAAAAACCAGAGTGACCCCTGTCCTGACGAGGGCTACGAAGCCACAGAGGAGGAAGATGAGGGCGAGGAAGAAGAGGAGAAGGAAGAGGAGCCCGTCTCTGCCACCACCGCCGGGTCCATCTCCAGCATTCGCAGCTATCAGGACCTCATTGCGGTAAGTGGCTGGATTCCAGTTTCCAGTGTTTTCATGAAAGCTTTATTTTAACTTTTAGTTTTTCTGTTAAAAGCTGGTGAAATATACAAAAACCTCAGAGACCGATGATCAGTGCAGATTGCATAATTTCATTGAGATGCAAATTGAGATGTTTTTAAAAAAACGTAAGTTGAATCCTCATAATAACATTTTTAGATTGTCATGGTGCAAAGGAACATGCTGATGAAGACTCGTGATAAAAGTCTTATTATGCACTTCTCTTACAGCAGCAGTGCATCCACATCATGCAGATTTCCCTTATGACCAGTCGTGCTGAAAATTCCCGTAGCTTGTAAATATAAGACCTCACAGCTGTGTAATCCTGCTGGTATTTGGGGGCATATGTTTAGAAACTTTCACAGTCCATCCTATATAATGAAGCCGGTGTATATCATGACCACCACTTCTGTTGTTGCTGTTGTTGTTGTTGTGTGCCTTTCCTTGCCTGACTCCTAATTCCTCCAACAATCGTTCTCTTGATTGTAAACTGCAATATGGTGGCATGACGTATCTGGAGTAGATTACTGCACATTCCTTCACTAGTACTCTGCTGCGCTGTCAGAGGGAGGTTGGATTGATGAGGGATCGGCAAAAGATTGGGGTTAATGAAATATGACAGGACTCGCTTGAGAAAACTCCCACTAAGGTGGAAATAGCGAGACGCTGAATGTGCTGAGTGGCTTTCACTCGTTCCCAGGAGTGGCTCGTCTATAAAACACTGAATCTCCAAACCACGGCCGTCCGTTCAAATATCTAAAACGTGTTTAGCTAACCTACAATAGCGCCTGATACAAATCATTCATTTTGGCATAAACTGTGAAAACAACCGATGCATCTGTATTTGAAGCATGTTCAAAAAGACTCTCTGCTCCGCTGTGTTTTTTACATGTGAATTTCCCTTCAATTACCGAGAGAGACCGTCCCACATTCCCACGGCGAGCCACGCCCTGCGTGAGAAAATTGTCGCCCGTCCGGTTTCTTCCTTTTGAGGAACTGGAGGTGATTCGACTGCTGTGTCATCGCTCTGCCTGATGGCCTTTATCACCCTTACAATCGCTGGCAGATGCCGTGAGGGTCAGATCTTTAAATGACGCTCAGTTGATACTAGTCAGGCAGTGTGCCGCGAAGTGGAAGAACCGGTTCAGAGTTTGTCTGTAGCCACGCCAGACCATACGTCCAGATTTAATTATTGTGCTGTACGGTTAATAGCTAGTGTGAAGCCTACATTATTGACGTCATCCAAATGATTAATAATCATCACTAAGAAGATAATTCACAAAATAAATAAAACACTAGTCACCGGAGTAATAACCAAACTATAAATCTAGTCTCATAATTAATATTCACTCACTAAGAACAAGGGATTTGTTTAAATTTGGACACTTGACTCTGCTTCTTGTCTATTATCACAGTACGTATGCCAAAGGTCATCACAGGAATCCGACGAATGTTCGACGAAGCCAAGCGGAAAAAGTTTACTGGAGATACCATCGTCTTAACCTCTCACTGCTGAGAGTCCGTCCAGGAAATAAAGAATCGAAATAAAGAAATCTGTTCTCACATCTCAGCCCCGGGATCAATGCGTTGTCTGTGGCTGGACCAATCAGATCTCAGGGCTGAGCTTTTTTTCATGCCGTGGTGGGAGCACAACAGCTCTGCAATGAGCAATCCTTACAATGTAATTATCACACACGTGTTCAAGAAATCATTAACACGGCAGTGGAAATTCCTTGACTGAAGCAACCCAAGGGAGGCGGCGATCCCCTTGATGTTTTATCCAGCACCGCTTTGAGGCACATATTTCATACGGACGTTCATATTCCCCCTCTGGTTGGCCAACATTTCATTTCATTTCATAAATGCCCGCTGTGACTGAGCTGCAGTCTTTGTCTGGTTAGTACATTGTATGTACTTCACTGAAAAATGAGTAAAAGTAAAAACAGCTGGAAGTTTTTAAGGGAATAGTGTGTTTCTACACGACCAAATTGTGTATATTTCCATAATTCCATGTATGTTTTTCTTGTTTCAAATGTTAGTGATAAAAAATAATGTATTGCGTTAACTATATAAGACAGTCATAAATAACTCAGTTATACGCATATATTAAAAATATATATGTGTGTATATTAAACTTACGTTATATCTTTTCTCCGTCTATCATTTCCTTTTATAAATAAAAAAACTTCAATAGATTTTATCATATCCCAACTTCACAAAATGCCTCTCCCTCGTGGGGCTTTAGGGGTTTCCGTCTGTATTTAACCCTTTACCCTCCATTCTCTCCTACAGCTATGTTCGTCCCACCTGCCCCACACATCCGACGCCTCCAGTCACTACCAGGCCGTGTGTCGGGCTCTTTATGCGGAGACCAGGGAACTAAAAACCTTTCTGGACAAGATCAAGAATGCCAAAGAGGTAAGCGGACAATGGTGTGTGATTTGCAGGTTATTGATGCATCTGATGAGGATAAGTCTCATTCAAGCGGTAAGTTCATCCACTCACTTTTTTAAAATTTATTTAAACAATTACTTGTTTGGTGAAGTCTCTTCAACCGTGTTTCAGAGATAACTAGTGAACTTTACATTCACATTTTGATTCGAGTGGTTGATTCTTAAAAAGGGGAAAAGAAAATACTACTTGTGCCCAGATACTGCACAAGTACAACATAATGCTTCACAACGTGGTGCTGGTTGACTGTGGATGTCTCTGTATGACCTTCTTGTCCGGCCATTTGAGAACTCGTCCGTGCTTTCACTATTTGGCGAGGCTTAACTGTTCATGGTATGACTTGCTGTCTTTGTCATTTATTTCAGATTTAATCCTGTACTGGAGTATCAGTAGTGGACAATTTTAGTCTGATGGATTCTCTATAGAGCTGCTCAGAGGTGGCATGTTTTAGACTATTTACCAATTGTTCATTTATTTATTATTATAAAGATGTGCTGGAATTTGTTGTATTTAATTTCAGTCACAATTCATCCGTCATTCAGTGCAGTCAGCATGGGAAAAATAAACAAATGCTATTACAGAAATGCAACACTTGAGAAGATGCAGATATTATAGAGACCATGGTTTGGTCTCATCTCAGCAAAGAACTTTAGGGATAAGCTTTTTTTAAAGTTTCATAAACATGTAGTATAGAGCTCATGGGGGAAAACATTTGCCCTTGTCTTTAAAAAAAACGCATAACTAGAAGGTAATTCCAGTACAACTTTGTTTCCTGGTTGAAACGAGATCCTGCCACGTGACCTTGTCTCCACAGCCAGACAGAGTAGCTTTGCCTCAAACTGTGTACTTACTCCATATGTCCCGGCTTTGTCTTCTGCAGAAGGTATCAGTCATGCAAACAACCTTATGTAACAACATGGTTTATAGAATCAAGTTTAACCTTGTTACAGCAATATAGGAAGCTTACAGGAGGGGACCCGGAGGCTACGAGGGCAGCTTCGCACTCCCTGTAGCACTCCATGTCACTGGATACACTAATAAGTAACCATAAACTATCGCACATGCTTACAAATTAGCAGGCTAGTCACTGAGTCTCTCTCAGCTCCTCTCACTGTTGTCTGCTCTGCCCATCCGAAAACGAACCAGTCGTTTTTTGCTGTGAAAGGTGTTCGTGAGCTATAGAAGAGGGTTTAAAAAGGTTAGACGTCGGAGGAATGAGGGTGTTTCAACAGTAAACAAAGGTGTGGATGAAAAGATGTGTTGACGATAAGGAGAAACACGGCAGCAGCAGACAACGCCTTGGGCTTTTCTGTCTTCAGTCTGAAAATAATATTCATCCTAATGTGTATCCGTCGATCATAATGATTGTTCTCAATATCTATACTTTTATGTGGCTGACAACAAGGCGAGCGCTCCTTTACATTGCCCTGTTTGACGTTTGATCTGGTCAACCAGAACGTTCTATAACTAGCTTGTTGTGTGAGGATTCAGCAGGGATGTTTTCTATTTTTCCCCTCTGGTACACCTTCACTATGCGTATGAGACGCATATCACTAATTAACGAGACTCTTTGACCATATGGGCAGCTTGCCAGTGACTTTTCAGCCAACACTATGAATGCAGTGGTACACCTTTTGAATATACGGTGACATGAGAAAACATTTTCATGATTTTTGTTCTGGTTCTCCTGTCTCTTTTCTTGGCTAGAACCTTCGGAAAATGGAAGGTGGGACTCGAGAGCAACCTATCCAAGACCTCGATGAGCTGCAAAATTCAGATTGGGTAAGAGTCTGGCTTTCTAACCGTCAATCACCTCATTTACGGACTGGAATTATCATGACATTTACATTTTTCTTTTTCACCAGGCACGGTTCTGGGTGCAGGTGATGCGAGATTTACGGGATGGTGTTAAATTAAAGAAGGTTCAGGAGCGTCAGTACAACCCATTAGCCATTGAATACCAGCTCACGCCGTACGAAATGCTGATGGACGACATCCGCTCCAAACGCTATAAGCTGCGGAAAGTCATGGTAAGACACAAGTATTTCTATTTAGCCCTTTTCTCCATGTTACAAATAACTAGATATGTATGCATTACAAGTAGATTATTATTTTTTTTTTTTGAAAAAAGATTCATGTTTATACAAACTGTTCAGTAAAAAACAACAACAACATGATCCTCATCAAATTGAACTTTGTCATCCCAGGTCAAAGGAGACATCCCGCCAAGGTTAAAGAAGAGTGCTCATGACATCATTCTTGAATTCATCAGGTCAAGACCCCCTCTCAACCCTGTGAGTACAACATAGTGACCGCCATCTGCAAAGTAACCTTATAGTTTTGGTTTGTACCATATTCATCACACAATATAAAACAATATAAGATGTTTTTCCATCTGTTTTCACACTGGCATTCACAGTACATGCAAAATGACACAGTGTGGATCATGGGTACATAGTTTCACATGCGCATCCATCATCACATGGTGGTATTTTTAACAATAACAAAGGTTAAACTTTTACCAATAGAAGAGTTGGATGACTGAATGCAGTGTATCTCAAATTGGGAGTACTTTGAAGTCCAACAGGGGTACATGCTCATCTTTAGATGATGTTTAAAACAATATTAGTCATGCATAATTCCCAAAGTTGTATAGATAATTTGATAAACCAGGATTCCTATTATCAATGCAATCGTTAACTGCTGAAAACTCAACCCCTGATACAAATGCTATATTATTTTTGCTGGTTAGGAAGATTGAAAATAATTCCATTGGGAAACCATCCCTCTTTTGCCGAGTACTCACTCTGTGTGTTGGTTGTCCTGACAGGTTGCAGCCCGCAAACTGAAACCCCACCCGGTGCGACCGCGGAGCCTCCACGAGCGACTGCTGGAGGGCATCAAAGCTGAAAGGAAACTCCGGCCGGTATCACCGGACATGATCCGCAGAAACCGCCTCGGTAGGCCGCCTGTTTTCATACATAGAAAGGACATCTAAGCAAAAGTCAAATTTGCGAAATTCTTTTCAATGTTTTAAAATCTGTTTGAGAATGTCATGATTACTCATAACAGCCCTCTTCCCATATTGGTCTGGTCACTTAATCAGAATTCAGTGTTGATAACAAGGATCACTTTTGACCGCAGCAGTGAGCCTTGAGCTGTTTCCCCCGAACATCTGCCTACTGCGAGGGGAACCATCGGGCTTGCAAGTTCTGTGGTTCGGACTTAAAAATACAAATCCTGTATGTTACGCGGCCCTTTGATATTAGTTTTGTAAAAGCAAGCAGTGCATGGAGGTGGGTAATCCTTGGGTATGCGGCCGTCATAATTAGCTAATTGTATAATATGATCCGAAACCATTTAAGGCTTTAATCCGATAAAAACAGCAAATATTTTGTCAGTCCGTTCTGTACAGCGCTTCTATGCGGATTACACAAGACTCCTTTTGTAAAGGGATTAGGGACGTAGTGTGTAGCCGTGGTAACAATAATGCATATAGGAGGCTGTAAAGGTTGTTCCTAAACGTAACACAGCTCTGTAATGTAAAGCAATATGTGTTGATCTAACCATCCTTTTTAACTCTCGTGGATCTCTTTCTTTTGCTTCCATTTCCTTACATTCAAACTTGTCTCAGTCATGCGACCTCTTAGCATGTCTTACAGCTTTGACTCATCAGGTAAAGTTTCACGTCACCTCTTGTGTTCCTATTGTTGCACCCTGTGTTTCATTCCAAGCTATTTTAGCTCCTGCTTCTTTCATTTAAACACACACACTTTTTTTTATTGTTTTGTGTTTGTGCTGTATAGGTGTGTGTGTGTGTGTGTGTGTGTGTGTGTGTGCGCGCGGGTGACACACTACGGTTGCCTATACTGTACCTTTTTATTAAAAGATCAGTCAACTGAGCGCAACATGCTCCTTAATGTGAGGTAGAAAAAAAGCGAAGCTGCGCAGCTGTTGTAATCTCTGTTGACAGAGTGCCTTGGATATAGTAGTTAGTCACAGGGGACTGCCGGTGGTCTCGGTGATGAAGGATAGCCACTGAGACGGACCCAGCGGGGGGAGATTACAGATCATCACTCTGCCCCTGCAGCCAATCGGCCCTGCTTGTCACCCTAATCCACTCTCTCTGAGGGATATGACAAATTATATAACGCTGAAAAGTTGAACGGCAGATGACCGTCCAAAAATGTGTCACTGCAGTGTCACAGAATGACCATAATCCAGATGGATGTATAGGAGTCACCTTCAGCACTGTGGCTGCACTCCTTGTCTGCTTCCCCTTCACTTCCCTCTCCCTCCGTGCTTTCCAGCTGTGCACACAACATATGTGAGGGCGCTGCACAGCATCGCCTCAATTAACACCTGACCAAATGCTTGTTGCTGACAAGCAGTCCTCCCTGTGGGACAAGGACGGTTTCGGTATGAAAAATAGGAATATGCGTGCTCCTGCTAATGGGTTATGTTCCCATGACTCCTTTGCAGGTGCAGGGAAAAGCATCAGCACTCCTCAGGAATTGTTTCGCAGCTCAGGTAAAGAAGGGAAAAAAAAGAAGACATTTTCTTTTTTCCTTCATCTAAATGAAATGATTGAAGAGCACATCTGCAATGTGTGCATGTGGTAGATTGTCTTTGTCACCATGTGGCCTGTGTAAATGGACTCCGTGGTATCATAAAGTAACGATTCAAAAACAATAGTGGCATGATGGCCGGCTGTTAAGAGAGGGGGATGATTGATGAGAATTTACTGATCACCGTTAAATTGTATCTTTTCACCCACAGACACCCCTGATGCACCCAGGAAATTGGCTGTCAGCACCCAGTTTCTGGCCAGTGGCTCCCTGCTGGCACCCGATCAAGACTCCGCCCAGCAACTTAGCCAGAGGAAGAGGGTGCTCAAAGCACCCACACTGGCGGAGTTGGACAGCTCCGAATCTGACGTAAGATGTCCCACTCCTATTATCTGTTCTAATAAAACAATCATCACCTGCTGAATTGGATTTCAGTCAAGCGTCCTGAAAAATGTGGATAGTATCCACGTTTCCACAAGAACAAATTGACTAATTTTCATGTATGTAATGTAATGTAATCTTCTGGTTGACAGGAGGATGCCACACAGAGCAGCTCCAGCATGTCCACATCTTTGTCCCCGGTGTCAGTCGCAGAGAAGAAGGGTAAACGCTTACCTGCAACATAATGGAATATATTACGTTCTGTCTAAGTTGTTGTCATAATCCATTTAATTATTTTTTTTTTATCCCATGTGTCCAGTTCCTCCAAAGTTCCTGCCTGTGTCTGCAACCCCACAGCCAAAGGAGCGTCGGTCTCCACAGAGGCGGCACTCAATCGAGAAGGAATCCCCCACAAGTGTCCGGCCTTTTGCACCTCCATCTAGACAGAGCGCCAAGTCTTTGGTATGTAGATTCCAGGAGTTGCCTTTGTTTGATTAATTAACCTTTTAGCACGATCTTATGCACAGATCGTGCTAAATGCACTTAAATCAGGTGGTTAATCTAAGATGGTCAATTATATTCTTCATTGGTATTATTATTATTATTATTATTATTAAGACTATTCTCTTATCAGTCAAAATAGTCAAATTAAAACTCAAGGAGATTCTGCCCAATGAGTATAAGGTGCAGGCATATATGTTAATTGTTAGTAGAACAACAACTTATTAACACTACTATTCGACCAACTCCACCAACACTGGGTACATACACAATATATCTGCCGTCCTGTGACCGGTCATTCGTCTCCTATGAGGTCACTGGTTCTCTGAGTAACTCCGCACTGGTCGTATGATTCCAGTGAGGTTGATGGATATAATTGAAAACACAAGACAGGCCGCTGTATGAAAGGGATTCAGAAGAAATTGGTTCATTCTCACCACTTATTAGTTAAAACGTATCCTTCTGCCAAACCAAGGGCCCTGGTTTAAACCATCAACAGAAAGAACAGTATAAAACCCTGGAGGAGACAGTCTCTAAAAATAAACAATTATTCACTTTTTTGAAGTAGTGAGAGTAGAGATTGAAGTATCAAAAGCTGCACAATAAGTTATTTTACGCGACAATTTAATTATAAAAATAAAACCCTTTTCATAACATGAAGCCATGTTTGTTTATTTGTTTTGCCTTTCACATAAGAGTTGTTTTCATCTAGTAGATTTAAGACACGAGGATCTTTGTTGCACTTCCCCCTCCTTTTCTTGTTCCCATTTTATATAATCAAAATGTTTCTTGCATACCAAAGACTTACTTTCAGTCATTTCCTGTTTTGTATAATGCTGCAGATGATGGCGGATCCCAGGGCCAAGGTAACCTGGTAACCTCCTATACGTCTATCCATCACCATCAACACGGGTTTAGAATTTGTTTTTGGTGTGCGCGTTCGTCCCATTCTCCACAACGAGATATCTCAGGAATGTCTGGAGGAAAATTCTTCAAATGTGACAAACATCCATTTGGACTCGAGGGTGAACGGATTTTATTTTGGCGGTCACGGTGTCCTTGCTGGTTCCACCTGTCTGCAGTCAGACCTAGTAACCGGTAGTGATTATGTAGTCATGAGTTACGAATGCTGCCATTTCATTAAACTCTTCTCGTATCCTCTAATAGATTCACCAAGTGTTGAATTTTAGTTGAAGCTTGTGGAAAACACGGTCCTACCTGTTTAAACGTCCTGTTCCTTCTCTCTGCTGGTCAGGTTGATGCCGCCAGCGGTGCTCAGGGCCCGGTATGTCACTGCTATTGCATATCTTCAGAGGCACATAACACTGTTAGGGGAATTTCAATAGACTGAGTTTAGATGAACGGGACCTTTCTGTTTGTGTGAATGCAGCATTCCGAAAACGTCTGAGAAGGATTAAAGAAGTGCTGATGAGAAATAACTAGGAAATATTTACTACTAATTTCTAAGCCAAGCCAACTGGAGGAGAGTGGCATTAAATAATTGGTGAAGAGCTTCCCTAAGCTTTAACTTTGACATTGGCTCTGCTATAGTGAATTTATTGAATAGGCTACCAGATATGCCACATATCTCCTGGCGACTGCAGCATGCACCCTGTTGGGGGTCCACTTGCAAATTGGAACCATGAAAATGGTTATAAAACAGTCATGTAAAGGGCCGTTGAGTAATGTTGAAAATAAACTCAGTGTTGCAAAAGAGAACCATGCCACAATGAGCTAGATAACTAACTTGGAAAAATAATGAATGCAAGTAAATTGATTTTGGAAGGTGTGGACCACCAGCATGCTGTGCATTTTCTGTCCATTGTCAGTGTCGTATCGGTAGAAGCTTCATTCGAGGTTCCCGGAGAACATACAAGCTCAGTGTTGTCACCTTCACCCTGTCATCGCATGTCTTCTGGTTAAGTGGTGTGCGCTGGGTGTCTCATTGGCAGCAGATACTAACAGTTCTCACGGTTCTGTTAATCTACACATGCACAGGTAGTTTGCTGGGGTTCATTATGCGTGTGTTTGCTACAGGAGGAGTTCCGCTACCCAGTGGAGTGTCTGGCTCTGACGGTGGAGGAGGTGATGCACATCAGGCAGGTTCTGGTCAAGGCCGAGCTGGAGAAGTTTCAGCAGTACAAAGAAATCTACATTTCCCTCAAGAAAGGAAAGGTAGACACCACATCTAGTAGTTTCATTGTCCGAGCGATCGTTTTCCTCAGTCATTTAAATACAACAAATTCCATGTGCTTTCTGTACCTCACGCCGTACTTCCCTTTCTAGGTTTGCTTTTCTTGTCGGACCAAAAGGTTCTCTCTCTTCACCTGGTCCTACACCTGCCAGTTCTGCAAAAGGTAAACTCAGTCAATGTTACCAGAACTAGATAACTGAAAGGGGAACCCCAAGTCTGTTTACTCGCATTGAGCAGTATGACTTACTTTGCTCTGTTGCTGGATTTTTGCAATGTCCCTTTTAGGTTGACCGGCGGCTCATCCAATCACCTGCCAAGTGATCTTTGTGCTTTCTTTATTTCTAAATGTACCAATGACTGCTTAACAGTTGTAGTAGTTTTATTTAACAACCCCCCGGCGTGCTCCTGTATAAGGTGAATCAAGCTTTTTGCGATTCCTCAGGGAAGTTTGGAAAACAAAAAACAATTTGAGGAGTTATCAAAGTGAGGTTCGTAGAACCCTTTATTTAGCCTGCTTCTCACCTCGAAGCACCTTGAATTTCATGTTCAACATAAAGGCTCATTTGTGTCTTCCCCAGGCCGGTGTGTTCCCCGTGCTCCAGAAAGGTACGTGGCTGTTGATTTGAACACACGTTAGAATTTCTTCCCCCTCCATAAACTACATTTAAAAAAAATCTATATTTCTTTTTCTCCTCAGATGCGTCTGCCTTCGAAGCCCTACTCCACCCTCCCCATCTATGCTCTGGGCCCGAGTGCTATGGCTAAAGAAGAGGCAGGTGGAGCGTCGGGCCCTGCGGTGCCAGAGAAGAACCCATTTGGTTCTGCACACAGCCGGAGCAGCCTACGCAGAAGTGTTCACAAGTATGTTGCTGTACGACTCTCATCTCTTTTTACATACTAAGGAAATGCCAAACTCTACGAGGATAAGTCATTATACGTTTTTTGTCCTCAGGTTCTCAAAGCACAGCAGCAGTGATAGCAGCAAAGATGGGCAGTCACAGGATGAGCCTGAGCTGCCCAAGGAGCTAACAGAGGACTGGGTCACCATGGAGATCTGTGTAGACTGCAAAAAGTTCATTACAGAAATCATCACCTCCAGCAAGCGCAGCCTGTGCGTGGCCACCAAACGTGCCCGTCTCAATCGCAAAACCCAATCCTTCTACATGTCGTCGTCCAACTCGGTCAACTTCCGGCCCTCTGAGCGCAGCATCAAGGAGGTGTAGGGGTGGGATCGCCTCTCTTGGAGCACTTTTTTTTTTTTTTAGTCCACTGAATAAAAAAACAAAAAAAAACTCAATGAAGCCAGTCCCTCTCACCCCAAAGTTAAAGGTTCTTGTACCTTACCCTGTCTCAGGAAAAGTTGGCAGGCTATGATTGGTCATGACTGGTCATGACCGTATGGTAGCTGCCAGATAACAAAGGAGAGCCATGTTTCTATTGAAGTCAGTCAAATCGTTTAGATGCAAATGTTGCTATTGTAAACGAGGTAACAGAATGTATATATTTGACATAAACAACGAATCAGAATGCCAAATGCTGCAGTCTTGATAGGTAATCGTCGGCCCCTCACGCATCTTGGTTTTGAATATATTTTCCAGTTCCTGTTTAACTTCTAGCACTCAGGATTAGCAACAGATTGTCTTTTGACAGTTGTAAACACTGTCGGGTCTGTTGGGGTAAACCCTGCCTCTCCTTTTCTTCCAGCAACAGTTATGCTAAATGTAACATAATTCATTTAAAAGTAAGTTTAAATGCATAATTACTGTTTTCTCATGTTGTGGGAATCACGCTTTGGGGCAAGATTAGTCGGTTGTGTTTTAAAAAAAAATTTTTTAGTGGCTTTAGTCATTTTAACGTAAATTAAATTCTGTGCCTGGTGCCATTATGTAATGTCTTTGAATGCTTTTGTAGTTATGGACCTCTTGTACATATGTGTGTTATAAACTCAATGGGGGTATTTTTAGGGTAATCCAAGGTTTTGTCTCTACCCCTTTCCATTTTCCAAGCTGGCCAACAGAAGCACAGACATGTAGGATTATGAATGTACATGCTGTAAATCTTAATTGTTCCAAATTTAATATAAAAGAATGAACTAAGAAGTTATAATTTTATCATGTCATAAGATTTCTGCCTCTTGAGTGTCTTCTGTTGAAATTATTTTCTGACAACTTTAATATTATTACGGTTATGTTTGTCAATGTGATATTTTATTGTATAGTTTATAAACTCTTCAGTGTTAAAATATTCTTCTAAATCGCACTTTTATTGGAACCATTTGTTGTTATACTTGTGTTTCATATCATTAATACAAATTATTAATTGCTTTTCACATCTTGGGAGTCCATAGTGCCAGTTCTTCATGAATGAAAACGTGTGAATGGCTAAAGGTTGTTTGTGAGTTGGACTAATGGCTAAAAACACAGCACTCCATTTAGTTGAATGTAGGCCAGTTTGTAGCTGTCATTGAAAATGCTTCATGAATGTGTTGTCCCTTTCAAAATAACTAACCAGCCTGTTGAATAACGATGCCATGTTCCATAAACCCATACATCTCAGTTTTATTTTTAACCTCTAAGGAATGTATGCATGTTGTACTGTGATCTGTTTCTTTTTATCAAAGAAATTATAATAAAACAGCATCATTCACACTTTGGCTCAATGATCCTGTCCAATGTCATAATTAAAAGATTTACTTTCACAAATGTGCAGTATTGTGTCCGACAGCAGAGGGCAAAATAGACCTGCGCTGGGCTCCTTGTCCTGCGGTCTGGGTGACATCACGTGACTGAAGGTGTGTATTGCAAGCGTTTGATGTTTTTTTTTTTTTCATATTCACTGTGTACCTTTTTACAAAAACCTTTTTTGGAAACACCCCAATTAGTGGGTTCTTTCAAAGAACACAACAATCAGATTTTATACTTGATTGAGATCTTTGAACTAAACATGTCTCAAACAGTTGTTTAAAAAGATGGTAATGGGATGTTACTGATGATTTCAGGCTAGGATTTACATTACTTTCCCCTCTGGATACACCGTAGTATACATTATAGTGGATATTGCTGTAAAGAAAGAGCATGCAAATGTAGTATTTCATTACTTAGATGCTTTTCAAAAATAACCCACAAGATTCACATTGGTAGCTATGCAAATAGTTCTTCTGACCACTATTTGCAAACACACACAACAAATGGGCTTCAAATGAAACGCTATCTCCCACTGATGGGTTAGTAACAGACACTTAAAATAACCTGCCTGTAGGGTGACCCTCACACGCTGGTTTCTATGGACAGCAAGCGAACACACAGTCAATAAACAGACTGCATAGGCTGTGCATTTGGAAGGGGCTCAATAAAAGGCTTCACAGGGTGGTGTTCTGAAATGCTGCTCTGGCTAACTGGCTAAGCATGTGACATCTGACTCAGCTGATGTTACTGCCACAGTCTCTGTTAAACTGTAAAGTTTACGGATGTTTCAACATCCTGCTGGTTGTATCACTTTGGATAGTTTTTGCGTCTTCATAATAATAATAATTATGAGGCATCCAGCCTTACCTCCACACACAAACACATACAGAGAAGAGTATTGTGGGGCATTCAGATTGGCCCTGATAACAAGGAGCCATTTAACGCTGTGACAGTCTGGACTTGCTAATGTGGAGTCTGCTGCTGGTCCCTTTTGATGGCTGGTCCCGAGCAAGCTTCTGTGTTTCCTCACTAATGGGCAGGGATTAAAATGAAAGTGAAATCTGATCCGGCATCTCTTTCCCCGAGGGTTTGCTTCACCTGTGGGCTGCATACAAGTAGGCCCAACCATGCAAACAGTGGACCTCTCAGGGGGGGAAACTGGTAACGCGATATTCAGCCTGAATGTTAAACTCGTCCCGACACTCTTTATGATGAGGCATAATGGGTCAAGAGGTTGCACATAATAACGTAGCAGAAAGCAGCGCATTTTGTTTCAGACCAGCTTTAATATCAGTTCCTAATAAATATGAAATATGATGCTCTATGTTTGTTTCAAGTGGTATTAACTAAAGAATGGAGAAGAAATGTGTGAACTGATAGCCAGCGAGTACGGTTCATTTCCTTGTCAACAATGCTCCCTTGAGGATGAGTCTGTAAACGTGACTCAGTCATGCCGCAAACAGTTTGAAAACCATTTAATTCTGTAACAAGTTCACTCAAAGATGGTTCAGTAAAACAATAACAACGTTTGTACCACTGTTCGAAAACAGTTTCACTGTCTTGTGCAGGGAAAGTCAAAGTAATAAATTAGAAATTATCCTGCAGTATCACCACATAAATAGGTATAAACAACTGTGTTCCTTTATAGACAGGTAAATCAATATCCAAATTATAAGCATATAGTCCAGTAATAAGGAAATAAAACATAAAAAAGAAAAGTAGTACATTGTTCAAGTACCCTTGATCGGTTTTTCATGACGTGGATGCCATAGATGATCAAATAGGGTAATAACAGGGTTGCCATGGCAACTGTTACCAGTGGCTGAAGCTGGAGCACGGCAGTGAGGGTCCAGAGGGTTACAAAGCCAGGACAGAAGTAACAGTAGAGAAGCTCCACAGTCTCATTGTCTTACATCGTCCGCCGGTACATTAGTTTTTGTTCTCAGATGAATAGAAAGTTCATTTCAAATCCCACAATAATATTTGTGAGAAGCCACCTGCAGGCTACATGTGTACATTTGTCTGTTGCACAGGCCGCCTCAGCAGGTCACTGCATCCTCAAATCAACAGAGGTTCCTGTGAAGCCATTTTATTTATCTAACTGTGACGTGAAAGGGCACAAATACTAATATAATTACAGTGATTTAGCTAATCTAAAACATTGTTTTATTGTATTTGTTATGACATACACGTGACCAGAAAAACATTGTTTGCATTAGCAGCTTGTCTGTATTCTGTCACAATTCATCAACTCGTTAGCTAGTGCACTCCGGTGTAAACATGTGGGTCAAAGAGGAATGTATTTTCTCTAAAGAGCAAATTATATTGGTTGTCTGATCATTCACTTTCGTTTTTTTACCAGTTAACAAGCCACCAGACATATTATACCTATGTATTTAATTATTAAAGGGAAATCAGCAGCTGGTAGGTGGTGACAGCTCCGTATAAATATCCAATAATTTAAGGATTAACACGTTTAGTTACCATCTGTGGACAGAGCTTTTTGGATTAGGTATGTGTCTGGACAGCTGTTAGTTGTGTAAGCACGTCGGGCTGAAGTCATCTCACAGGTTCCTAACTTCACTTCTACCCCAAGTGCCGTAGGAATGACACCTCTGCCCATCAGCTGAGTTCACATGAAAGTCTGCCTGGCCTAACATGCACCTCGAGGTCCAAACGTCCGTCTTGGGGACTCAACACTCGAAGCAGTCTGAGTCCTTTATGACAACAACTCATGGCAAAGAGGGAAGAACATGCAGCGAAACATTTGCCCAAGTGGCAGGTTGGATGTGGAGGTGGGGGGTCAGGGAGGGTTGGGTCTGTTGGAAACGCACACTAGCGGTAGGGAGCCGTGGTCGAACAGCTTGTACGGTAGCGATCCTTTGGAGGTCCAAACGTCCGCCTTGGGGTCGTAACACTCGAAGCAGTCGGAGTCCTCGATGACATCGTGGCCGTTGAGGATCCGTCCGCCGGTGACAAAGAGCTTGTTGTTGATCACTGTGGCGCTGTGATGCATCCGCCGCTCCTTCAGGTTCTCGCACTTGACAAATTTGTTGGCTTTGGTGTCGTAGGCAATCATTCTCCTGGTGTATCCTGGGAATTAGATTTTCTGGTAATTTTTTGCAGATTTTTCTGACAATAAACAAATCTTTATATTACTTTATATTCATCTATGCTGTGGAGCTCCACTGGTGTCCCGAAAATAATTAAGAAAACATTACTGAGCTACACTGTTGTACTGAGAAAGTGATCTTTTTATTATCATCGCCCGGCTAAACACAAATGTACTGTTTGAGAATTGTTTAATAAAGTGCCAAACCGTTTTGAATAATTGCCTAAAAAAGAATTAATCTCCATGTAAAAACACATGTAAAACATGTAAAACAAACGTAAAAACAAAACACCGCCTTTTAAATCCTTTAATAAAACACAGAACGTAAAAATGCTAATGCCAACATTCATGATGTGATGGAGCAACCATTCATTGCGCTCACCTCCTATGATGTAGATCTTGTCTTCGATGACAGCAGCAGGAGCACACACGTTTTTCACCGTCCTGGTTTCTAGACTGGACCACAAGTCACGAGCGATGTGATAGACCTGTTGACACACAACGAACAGGCAAACGTTGTTTGGTAGCATAACATTTTGTCTGCTTGTGTGAGGACCTTCATCTTGCTGCCTCTCAACCATCTGTCGACACCGACGATGAATTTAGTTCCGCTTCTCAATGTGTGTGGCAACAATGCAGGGTACCGATTCAACGCTGCTGAAACGAGAGGTCCGACTCTACCTGAATCAGCCTGACCGGATTCTGCATCGCGTCCTCGCCTCCGAAAACGTAGATCCTCTGATCGCTGGCTGCAACGGCTGGATGCAGCACCGCTGTGGGCATCGCCGCCATGGCCTCCCATTGGTTAAACATGCTGTTGTATCGCTCAACAGACCGAGAGATCTTCTTGTCGACACCGATGCCTCCCAGCACAAAAATGAAGTGCAGATAGGACACACTTTGGTGGGCATATCTCGGCTCCAGCATGGGCTCAGCGGTCCGCCACTGGTTGGTCTTCAGGGAGAGTGTGTAAACTGTGGCGCTGACCGAGCTGTCGCCCGATGTCATGCAGAGGCTGAGCCCGCCGACCACATAGAGGATGCTGTGAATGCACACATACGCAGCTTTGTAGAGGCGCAGAGGGAGCTTGGCCAACCACTGCCAGCGATGAGTCCTTTCATCATACAACAAGGCCTCTCTAGAGGTCTGTTCATTGTTCTTGCGTCCTCCTACAACCACCAGTGTTTCGCTGCAGGTGTAGCGCCGCGGTGTGGTCCAAAGCGGCTTAAGTTCTCGGCTGCACTTGGTGCTGACTGTCAGCATGAGGCGGCGCACTGACTCGATGATCTCGGTGCACAGGGTGGAGGACTGCACCAGCGGGTCGTTGGCAATGAACTGGAAGAGGTAAGTTGGGTGGATGTAGCGAAGACGGACTTTCTTGAAGAGGTCGTGGATGGCGCCGCGCCGCGAGAAGGGGTCGTGGTGGATCCACGCCAGGAGGGTCTCAAACACTTGCTCCTCCTCAGCGCAGAGTCGGTCATCTTCTAGGTAACACATGAGCTCTGGAAGAGACAGCTCACAGAAGTCCTCCGTGGCGGCTACGTCGGAGAAACACCTCACAGCCATCTCCTTCGCCCTCTCCCTCAAACTCTCGCAGTGAAGGATCTCAGAGAGTCGTATCATGCTCAGGCAGTTTTCCGGACTCAGCTGCTCCTGGAGGAACATAGAGCAGGCCTCAAAGAGACTCCCGTAGTGAAGCATGGAGGCAGCCTGCATGAGCGGCAGCACAATCTCCATGGTGATAGTGATGCAGCCTGTGTAGACATAGTCCATGATGCCAACGAGGACATTTGAAGAGATTCCCTTGAGGTTAACTCGGGCCTGACTGCTCTCCAGAAAGTTGCTGCAGAACATTGCCCGGAAGTATGGGCTGCTGGACACCAGGACGTTCCTGTGACACGGGATCTCCTGGTGCTCCGTGCAGAGCAGGACATCCGTCAGGATACGCTCCTGCCGGAGGATATTGAGCTGGACAAGTAGGTGGGAGGAAAGTTCTGTGTCTTTGAAAGAGAAAACCTCCCGTGGTATTAAGGCCATTCTGTGGAGAAGAAACAGAGAGAATCAATGATCTTAGTGTTGCATTTCTATTGTCCCTTGGAAAGAGATGGTTGATAACAACATGGGCGAGCACTACCATTACAAAATGTGATAAACAACATGTTGTGGAGTGATTGGACGTTATATCTTCACCCTTCGGAGATCCAGACACTTCCTAGAGGTTGACAGGTTAACTAGTCAGCTTTCAATGAATGTAGTACTCACAGCATTATTATTTGTCTTTCAACTTCGCCCTTTGACTTGAATTTGAATGCAGGTGACAGCAAACCATTTCATCTATCAACCCGCTTTCAAACTCTTGAAACCCCTGTAGAGCAGCTGTCCTTAATGTGACTCACAGATTGCTATTTTTACCCCTCTGGAAAATCATGATGCATCCATGTAGCATTAGGCCACATCTCCGTTATCAAGCAGCCCATCAACGCTCACATTAGCAGAGGTGTGTTAACAGACCATCTGTTTGTCTGCCTATCCTCCCCGAATATATCTTTTTGCTCAATTGCAGTCGCTGTTTTCTGTAAGTTATGTTTTTCCTCCATCATACCCTACGCTCTCTCCCAGGTTGGAGGGTTTGTGATGAGCCTACTGTTTAAAGACCGGGAATGTCACGAGGCTATTAGCAACAAAAGGCATCAATCACGCCTAGCGACAGCTTCTGGTTTACTCCCACTTACTGAGCCCGAGCCTGTCGGAATTATTTTACCTGGATATTGGAATGCTTGTAATACCAAGAACTCCTTATTTTGAATTGTATAAAAAATGAACACTTATGTATGAATTAAATGTAATCCCTTGGGATGGTGTAAACATTTATAAATGTACATATATAGTAATGATTGTTACAGTTATTGTAAATGGGCTGTGCTGGATTCCTTGAACTTCTACCAAAGCATTCATGATCAAACTCGGTAACAAAATGATACAGTGGAAACATTTGAAAATCATCTTTGAACTGATGAGTTTGAGAGAAACACTGTGACTGAGTGAATCCTTACCTCCTGCCCTCAGACAACCAATAATATCCAAAATGTCTGGTCAGTCCCAATCAAAAGAGGACCAAAACATTATCCAGAGGGAGAGTGGATCGCGTAGTCGGGGAGAAAAAGGGAACATGACACAGAGAAACGACAAGGCTTTCCAGTTAGGTGCTGTGGAGCTCGCCATGAGGCCACTGTGTACATTCCTCCAGCTAAGAATAGCCCCCGGGGCCACCGTGACTGGAGCCACCCCTCTCATGTGACACAGAGTTGTCCGGTACCCAGCTGCTGGAATAACAACCCTGCTAGAATCCAGTGGAGGGAGTTTACAATAACCGGGAGGAGGGGGGGTCCTGACTCAGCCATCCAGCCCACCCAAGCAGGTGTTTAATCAAAGTGTCCCAGAGATACCCTTGTCCATCTTCATATGCTGCTTAAGCCTTCCCCCCTCCCTCATTTGTGTAACATAGGATGAAGGTAAATATAGTGCAGTGCTGATGGGCAAACTTGATCAGGAGAAACAGCTGTAAGAACTGGCCTTAGTTTTCATCAAGATGTGTTGTTGTTTCTCTGCATTAGTTCATGCACAACTGGAGATGACTACTGTTACTTCTTCCTTCATAGCAAGTGTAACGAGAACCAGCAGCATAAGGGCCTTATCTTAAGCCCCCATTTTACTTCAGCTCCTGAGGTAGTGAGATGAAATATTGTCATATTTGCTTAGCGGCATATGACAAGGAACTGGAGTTACATGTGGTCAGATTAAATGACAAAGCTGCAAGAAAGTGAGCTGTCAGCAAGTCAGACTTCATGACGTGCGAGCACCCGCAGGTTGGGTGGACACAGTGAAATCTGATACTCTGTTACCGGTTACCAAGTGACAGCTTCATGCTTATGGGTCACGGTGTGTACAAGAGAATCCTTCAGGGGCAAAGCAAATAATCTGACAAAGACGAGTTATTTTATAAATGCAGAATGAGGCGCCAGAGGAAGGTTACAATTTTTCATGCTTGTTTCATATTACTGGCATAAAGTCTCCCCTTCCTCCTTTAGTAGTGCTGCTGCAGAAAGTTTAATAATGACCGAGACATTTAGTTCATCTTCATTTTGCACTATTTTTAAAATCAGAAATTTGGTGGAAAAGCCAAATGAAAAACACATTTCCATCTTCAATAAGTGTTGAAGATATGTTTCCTCATTATATTTTGTAACCATCATTACTCAAATTCTGCAAGAAAAGATACATTTTAAAAGTATATTTTCATTTAGACCTTGGAGTTTTTATGTGGCTTTATGAAAGCATGCATCACTTAAGTATGCATCGTTCAGCACATTAACAGGCACCATTCAAATATGTAATATATATATATATAATGTTATTTTACAGAGGCAGCCACCCTAATATACCCTATTCCCATGAGGCTATTGACCACCTCGATGAGAGCAACTGAGCTGCAGGAACACTGTTGTTTACATTGAGCCACATTCCCCGTTCCGCTGCTGGAAACACTCAAATGTGTATAATCGGTGGCTGAAAATATTCCCCCCCAAAATACACTATTATCTGATCTTGAGTAATACTTAATAAACAACAATGACCTGCTGTTTGAGGAAGTTCGGCAGGCTTTATTTAACATGTAAGGATTATATTCATCATCTAATCTCCAGGAGCGGATGTGCTCGTGCACGCAGACATCGCCGCATTGTTGTCTTTCTTTCTTCTGAATTAGATCGGTTGGTAATAAACAAGCCGAGTGGTTGTTTGAGGCGAGTGCGTGAGGTGAAGGACCGCTTCACGGGACACTAATCAGCTTCGATGACTCCATCATCCCTCATTTGTCACCTCTCTCTCCCCGGAGCTCCATTCACATCCAGTCGCGCCTCGACCGGAAGTGACGAATGTAGCCACGAGCGTGACGAACAGCTTGTTCGAAAATACAACAAGGAAGTGACCGTTTATTGTCAAGGAAAATAGCCACCGGATAACTCCTCTTCAGGTCGGGGGGCGCTTCCATCGGTTATCGGGTGTCGGAGGGGCCGGGGACGGGAGGGGGGGCGACATAGTCACCGTGGACTTGCCCGAGAGCTAGTTTGCGACCGTCTGGAGGGATTCTGCATTTAGTCAGCTAGCTAGCTAGCTAGCGATGAACACGGACGTTGAATTCCACATCAGGCAGAATTACCCGTGGACCAAGCTTCCGGCCAATGTCAAACAGGTACCGTCCCTGAATGCGCCCACCGGGCGGCCAAACATGTCAATGTCACCGCGGGGCGCTGCTTCCTCCAAGCAGCTGTCAGTGTCGCACGACTCGCCAACCTCCTCTGCAGGGGGGAGGGAAAGGGACGAGGGAGGGGGGGGGCACATTCACCCGGAGCCACAGCTGGACCCATCTGTACGTTCCAGCCGCATCACGTGACTGTTTTGTCCGACATGTAGAGTCCCGTGATTTTAACGCGTGGATTGCAAATGTTTTTGTTTTTTTGTCAGATTGCGCTGATTGTTTGACTGCGTTAATGCCTCATCCTGCAAACAGCGTCACGTGGTGCCTTTTACGTCAGCCTGTCGAGGTTACGTAGAGGAGAGGGAATAATGCTTCTTTTGTTAGGGCATTTAGCAGGCATGTTGGGCCGCAGCCCAAGACACCACATGTCTCAAAATCCTCACTGTGTGGATAGAAGTTCTAGAGGTCAAAGGTTGACGTGGCCCTGAAGTCAAAGTCGGTGGCCTGCGGTTACTGAATGAATGCACAAGAATGTTAGTCGTTTCAGTTGAGCTTGTTTTTGCCGCCTGGCAGGTTGAAAACCGCCACAATCACGGTCTCTGTATTGCATCGTGTCATTTCATCCTGCAGAGTTTGGGGAACTCTCAGCGCGAGTATGAGAAGCAGGTGCTGCTCTACAGCATCCGCAACCAGCTGCGATTCCGCAATAACCTAGGTGAGTTAAAACTGACCCTTCATTGGTAAACAGAGAGGAAATAAATCCTCATTGCTTTAAATACCTCGATAATATGTCATATGAGACTGTACACCTGGTTTCTAGTTTTATCTGGTGCATTTGTCTAAAACAAAATGCATACTAATGCAACAGTGCTGCAAAAAAATACATTGGCTTTTACTTGGTTCATAGATTGCCTGTAGCTGTTACAGTAGGAACACATGCGCTGGCTGTGACCGGATTGGTGTGTGTGTGTGTGTTATGAGCAGTGCGGCACGTGAGGAAGGATGAGCGCAAGTATTACGAGGAGCTCCTGAAGTACAGCCGGGACCATCTGATGCTGTACCCCTACCACCTGTCTGACATCATGGTCAAAGGCCTGCGGATCACTCCTTTCTCATATTACATAGGAATCATGGAGGTAAGTGACTTCTGCTGCATCGCCGAAAAAAAAAGCTGGGTGTTTGTCGTGGAAAAGTTAATGCTTCAACCACTTTCCTGTTAAGAAGCTTCTCATACACATGAATATCTGTCTTTGTACACACAAAGTGTGAAAGCTCAGCAGACATTCATCTAGCGTTGCTTTCTTCTGAAACCCAGGATAATAACAGGCAGATTTCATCTGAGCTTACAGAACGACGAGCTGTGTAAACTAAAAAGCCCGAGCACGAGCATTACTGTGCAGCAGATAAGATTCAGTAATTGGAAACACTGCTGTAGTTATTCAAGGTTTGATTATAATATGAAGGATCTGAGCTTTTAACAACATCCTCCTGCCGCGTGTGCTCATAAAACATTATTGTACTCCTTAATATATTTACGATAAAGGTATTCTTTTGTGCAGAAACACCTTTTGTTGTACAGTCAGTACAAAAAAAGGAGAAACCTCTATCATTGACTTGCATTCGTGATTCCTGCACTGCACATCACTTGTCAATTGCATGTTAAAAATGGTGTCACATGCCAAAAGTTACCAGCGCTATGAAAAAAAGGTGTAATATATTTCCTGTGTTGATGGGCTTGGCATCAGTCAGGCACTAGGTGTCAGTCAGTGTCTAGTGTAGCCTTGTGTACCAGCTCAGGAACACGGAGGACTGATCCCGGGACAAACACACCGAGAGAAAACCTCTGCTGTTTGGGCTTTGTCCAAAGTAATGCACCTGTAATTTAGTTAACTCTGTTTTAGTACACTTGCAGCTAAATAACTGTCGCGTGTATTGTGTAATTTCTTTGCATGATGGCCTCAGGAGTGTATTTGCTATACAGCTCTGTGTGTTTACACTGAGTTGGCGTGTGTAGATGCTGGATGTCATATTTGATGGTTCCAAATTCAGCAGTCTTCCCATTTGATTAGATCACATGTGACTAAAATGCCCAGTGCTCTTTCCTATGACTTAAACACGTGGATAAAGACAAACCTTTTAGGTTCTACTTAAAAAAGAGTCTACCTATTTCCTATGCATGCTAAACTAAACTTGACTAAGCTTCAATTGGGACCACTGAATTGCTGAAGGTTATGTCATACTTTCATAATCCGTCTTAAGCACGTAATGAAAATGGGGTGTAGAAATTATCACGCTTGGCCAGATCTGCTAATGCGCTTATTAATCAGAGGCAGAGGGACATGGAAAGGAGAAAATTAGTTTAATTCCTCTTTTCTCCCATCTACTTTCTCTTTTTTTTACTTCCAGGATATCATGAACAGTGAGAAGAGTTATGACTCCTTGCCCAATTTCACTGCTGCTGACTGTGAGTTTTTCGTTCTCCTTTTTTCCCCAATTTCACATTTATCAGCCACCGTGTTGAAATGACTTTACTGTAGTTATTTTGCATATTCCCACTCCTGCCCTTTCTGTGTTTCTGAAGGGTTCTCTGTACCAGGTGGTAGATTAGTCAAAGTGAAAATATATATTTCAGGAATCCTGGGGATTTAAATCCTATATGATTTATAGTAAAACTAAAGTGGAATGATTCATTATTCGATTCGTTCGAAATACATTACGTTATTTTGATAAATTCTTAAAAGAATATTTGCTAACAATGGCAAACTTGTATTTGTTCAAGCTTATTATGTGTTTGTCTCTATTTTCTGTGTCTTGTGTATTTTGGACTGAGGACCAAACAAGCAATTGGAACACACCACTATCAAGGAAATGTTTTTATCTGTTTGCGTTCGTGACTCACTCCTGACGCTACAGGATCTTCACGCTGTGGAGACAGAAGGCTGCCAGTCGGCCCTTAGGAGCCGTGCTGCCGGGGCTTCTCTCCTCTAATCTCCCTGGAGGAGCTTTGGAAGTGTGTCATGCAGAAGTGGGTGGATGGAGAGGCAGTGAGAGAGAGCAAGGGAAAGTGTGTGCGTGAGTGAGAGAGAGAGAGAGAGAGAGAGATTTGTGTGTGTGTGTTTCTTGGTAAAACAACAGGGTAGGTGTGTCTGATTCCGCTGTCCGGAATGGGAAAATCCCCGACTGGACCCTGTTTGAGTTGGCATCCGTCCCAGCGCATTCTGGGCTCAGAATCATAGGCCAGAGGGGGTGAAGTGGGATTTGGAACCAAAATTTGCGTTTGCCCCAGTACACAAGCTATACAACCTGCTTTATGAGCCAGACTACACGTCTATTTTTAGTCCCCGATACAAGTGCGTGGACACACGATTACTCTTGTTCTCTTTAGAAATACTGCCCTCAAGTTTGGCAATTGGGTGAGAAGAGCTTTTATGTGTGGTTGGTTGTGTGTGTGTGTGTGAGAGTATTTGTTGACATACTTCCTCTGTACAGTTTGGATGAGTCACTGTTGCCACTCGACGAGCTCTGAAGTTCCTCTCCATCATGCAGCTGGAAATATCCACAATTTATACCTCTCAAACTTCCTGCCGTAATTCTGGGTTGTAATTTCAGTTTTTTGTAAAGCGTCAGACCCTGAAATGGAAACATGTCAGAGAATTGCAGTGCAGCCAGATTTATTTGCCTTAGTTAACGTTACAGCTACTGCATGTTTATGGCCAGTTTCTGAGTCATGATTGAGTTTTAATGGCTTGCCCAATTCATCCCACAGGTCTGCGGCTGCTTGGTATCGGGCGAAACCAGTACATTGACCTAATGAACCAGTGCAGGTCTTCCAAAGTAAGACATGTTTCTAGTATAGATGAGCATTTATAGAACAACACTTCATAGAACAGGCTCATTGGTATAGTTTGTTTTAGCACATTTTTTATAAAATCCTTATGGGATGGTCAACAACAAACCGCATACTTAAATGTTACATTTTATGTGTTTGTTGTAAGTAAATTACCAGCACTCTCTTTAGAATATACAATCTCTATCATAAACAAAATAGCCATGTTTATTAGATCTCTTTCCACTTGTCTCTTTTGTCAGAAATTCTTCCGCAGGAAATCTGCGCGGGACCTGCTACCGGCCAAACCAGTGGAAATCTCCGTGGAGCCGTGGTGGACGGCACAGACGGGCTACATCACAGAGGACGATATCAGGGTGACATAAGAGGATTGATTACCTTTTTTTCATGTGTCAGTTTAATTTGATAGTTGTGTGTCACTGTGATGTTTACGGTGGGAGGAGAGATGACAACATTCAGATTTATTGATATTAAGATCATTCATTTCTTACACAGCAACTACTTTGTAAGAATGTAAATTACTTTTATCTCCCAATAAGTGTTGGAAGTTGTTTTTTTAATTTATTTTTTCACCCTGAGTCGTCATTGGAATTCATACATGTTACCCACCAAGCTCCAACCATCAATCTCACGAGCCCCCCGCGCCGCACGGGGTGATGTCACGTGACTGAAGAAAACGTACCTGCAAAGTTCGCAACAGTTATTTTCCTTTCTACCAGAATGTAAAGACTCCACAGTTGTCATATGTGAACGTATTCCTCCTACTAGGGACTGCACCACCGCTGTTCGCTGGAGCTGATATTTTAACAAACAAAGCTGCATGTGTACTACAGGTGTGCTTTAATATTGTGTGCTTGTTGTTTGTAATCACAGATCTGTTCTCCGGCAGAGAAGAAAGCCATTGATAAGATGATAGATTCTGGTCCTCAGCTGGCTGGATCAACGGAGTACAATGTGGTCCTAAGTGAGTATCTCTCACATACCGTGTCCCCATTTGAAGCCTGCATTGAATTTATAATTCATGTTTTCTAGTCATCCCTATAATAGAACTTTTAATTCCTTTTATATTCATCTGCACACCAAGAACTAACTTTCAAAGCGTAACTGTTTCTTAAAATAGTAAAAAAGCATCAATGGAATTTTGTAAATATGCTGGTGTGGTTTTGAAAGGTGAAGCACAAGTTTGTGTCCGTGCAGTTTAGAGCTCAATTAGATCTCAATCATGGACCTCGGCCACCGGAGTGCTTCTGACTGAGTGGGAACAAATGTGATTAAATGCAGGAGACACGGGGCAAGTAGCTATTTAAATCCTGTTTGATGGGCTAATCTCCAGATGGCACATGATCAATAACAATACTTTCACTGTGAGGTTTGTTTTACTCAAGGTAGCAGCAACGGTGTTAATGGACACTCTCATACAAGTTCGATGAAACCTGTCTCACAATGAGTGAGCCGCTTTGCCGCCTCGCGTTGAGAGCGAACACTTGGATCCGTCCGCCCCTCCTGTCCTTGTGCGTGCTCAGACCGTCCTCAAAGTCACGTTTGCTGGCGCTCTCCTCCTAAACAACATTTTGAGGCTGCTGTCTCTTCGCATAATGCCCCTCTTCTCCCACAGTGCTCGTCTGTAAGCCCGCGCTTAATGCGGCCTCCGGCGGCTTCCGCTCATCCCCCCCCAAACCCCCCCCCCATGTGTGTCGCATCGTAGAACACTGCGAAAACAAGTGGCGACGAGGGCTCTGGCTGGTGTCTTCTTCATGAGGCGGGAAGGACTCAGCCAGACTAAAAATGGACGTCGTGGCGCTGCGAGTGCGTCTTTAGGTCGAATTAATAAAAGCTTTGGTTTTTCGTGTTTTTGTGTTTTCATCGAGAAGCGTTTTCCCACTCCAACATTTTCGATTCACAAAGAAAAAATGCTATTGACGAATACCCACCCAACAAACAATTATCCAAATGGTTGAGTATTTCAGTAGAGCCTAAGACTGTGTCAAATGTTACCACTACATGTGCTTTTATTTTTACTTCAGGCTTGTACAACCGGGGATTCATCTATCTGGATGTTCCAATATCTGATGACAGCTGCATCTCAGGTACAGTGTGTGCCATTGTTTTTCATTTACATTGAATAAAACTGAGTAACAAAATTAAAACCTGGGAACACAGGCTCGTTTTATAGGTTCTACAGATGCATAGTGGTATATATATATATATATATATATATATATATATATGCAAAGTTAGATACACTCGTTTCCCACTGTGTATTTTTTAGTGCCCCCGCTGGAAGGCTTTGTCATGAACCGCGTCCAGGGCGATTACTTTGAAACGCTGCTCTACAAAATCTTTGTGTCCATTGATGAGCAGACAAACGTAGCAGAGGTAGGCTTTGGAGAAGGTGGTTATTGTTCTCAACTGCATTGCTGTGGTGTGTGTGTTTGTGTCTGTTGATCAATTTATTCTTTTCTCCCGCTGTTCCACTCAGCTGGCCAACGTGTTGGAGATTGACTTGGGCTTAGTCAAGGTGCGTATTCACTGCAGAATGTGCAAGTCCCGTTGTAATGTATGGACTAAAGTGCTGTTTTTCACGAGACAAAGGACAAATGGTGGATCTGGGAAATGTAGCTCCGCTTTCTAAAATGGACACTGTCAAAACACAGAGGTAATTTGCTCAAGTGCCACTGCTGTTTTGAAGAGCTTTTGAGAGTGGATGCTTTAAGGCGCGCAGTGTAGAAGGAGAAAGAAATGACTCGAAAAGCCTTGTTTTGGTTTTACCTCACTGATGTTTTGGATCCAAATTTTGAGATGACTGTTTAAATCTGATAGATTCAAACGTACTTTTCCTTTGTCCTTTGAATTCGCTTACCAAGATGAGTCTTTTTATACATCTGTATCACACAAGGTGTAATCCTGGTTGACATTGCTTTATGGAAGTGAAAGAGGCAGGACTATTCTACAGGAGATATTCTGCTCAAGTTGGCTGTTTTAATTCTGGATACACACTCACACAGATGCACAGTACCCGAGAGGCCGACTGTGTCAAACACACGCCTTGTTTCAGGTCTGATCCATCATGGCCCATGGCTGTACCGGAGGGTTGAGTTGCACCAATCCAGTTTGCTAAGTGCTCCCCATGGCCCACTGAGCCAAACTCCCTCTCAGCGGTGTGACTGCTAGTGTGAAGAGTCGTTTTATTCCCGCTGCTAAATAGCAGCCCTTAAGAGAAGTGGCTGCAGGCGGCGTTTGCTGCGTTTTCCCCAACTTCAGAGATGATTGAGAGGTCTCCTTTGTGCCAAACTTTTCCCTTCGTGACCCAAGTTCAACTCTCTCTTGTGTAACGACTCACTTCGCTGAGTTCCTTTTGATGTGATAATAGGAGGGCTAAGAGTTGACCTCCGCGAGGTGCTGAAAGCCTCAAGTCCACCTTACTCAACTCCGATGGCCTGTTCAGCAAGAATAACATTATTTTACGAGGCAAATCTTGAATTAAGGAAATACTGGTGGGGAAAAAAAAGCAGACTTTTCCGTAGAATAATTTTTTCTTTTGAGTTACCAGACATTAAGTTCTGACGGGTCACAGGTTGACGGTGTGTGACCGTGAAAGGGGATCGGACTTCTGTGGATCAAACGTCTTTTTTAAGTGCGTTTTTTACTGTCCTTTATCAGAATGCAGTTTCCATGTACTGTCGTCTCGGCTTCGCTGTAAAGAAAGGTCCGGTGATCAGCGCGGAGCAGCTCCACCCCTCCTGGAAGAACGCCCCGTCTCTCAACAGACTCAAGTATGTGCAAGGAGGCCAATACCAACCATTTACATGTGTTGTCAGTTTAGAAGTATTTCAAAATATTTCTGGTCGTTTCCTTTTTTTTTTACTGGTGAATATTACCACAGTGGTCTCCAGCACCTATTGGTCCACCTAGTAACCCCTTTTAAAGCTCTCCATCGGGGAATTCATTGAACGTATTCGATCAATATGAATTGAATAAGCCACCACGCTTGGTTTAATTTGGGGTTTCACTGCGGCTCTGTCCTCCGTGTTAGGAGCACCGTGGATCCGCAGAAGATGCTGCTGTCCTGGGAGCAGGGAAGTCCTGTGATGGAGGGAGGCTCCTCAGCCACCGACACCGACACCACTAGTCTGGAAGAAGGTCCGTGTGGACGGACACGCGCGCACACACAGACACACAGAAGTGCACTAGATATGCACACAAAGCACAAGTCATGAAGCAGCCGGGCTAATTAATCCCCCCCAAAAAGCTCAGTCAAGCTTCTCAAAGAAAGTCCCACATTATGTGTTTTTACTTACCGGTAACTTTATTATATATGTTAAGTGGAACTTTGTCCAGACTAACAAAGTGGATGTTAACAAAGTCGATTGTCAACAACCACATTTACATGTTCGTAATCAATTAGAATTATTTGAAAAATACGTTAGATGATCCCATTTTCCATGAATTTAAGATCTCATACAACAGTTGTTCTCCTGCATGCATTGGTGTTATTGCAGTAATGTATTATTCTTATGTGTGTTTTGTTCCGTGTCTTTGTAGCAGACACAGGAAGCGTAAGCAGCCTGAGCATCCCAGCCGCACCCACAAAGAGGATTGCCTTCCTCTTCGACTCCACTCTCACGGCTTTCCTCATGATGGGCAACCTCTCCCCGGTTAGTGACTGAATGTGACAGAATCATTTAACTAAATGTGTACACGGACTGCACATGTTGATCCCTCCCTCCTCGTGTCCTCCTACCAGAACCTGAAGAGTCACGCAGTGACCATGTTTGAGGTGGGCAAGCTGTCGGATGAGACTCTGGACAGCTTCTTGGCCGAGTTAGAGAAGGTGAGACCAGCGATGGAAACAAAGCCTCATAACGCAAGGATACTAAATGAAAGTAGAAAACGTGATGTAGTTGGACCTGGGAAGGCTCACAGGCATACGCTCAACTTTTAACATATTTCCTGGTCTCAGGTGGAGAGCACAGCAGAGGGCGAGGCCCAGCGTTACTTTGACCACGCTCTGACCTTAAAGAACACCATCCTGTTCCTGCGCTACAACAAAGAACTCACTCAGGACCAGGGACCTGATATCCCAAATATAGGTATTTATACAGTTACCTCCTCTTTATCATCCCCTTTATGGGCAAATGCATGCAATACCCAGGTGTGTAAACCTATACACGTTCATACATTTGGGAAACAGGCAGCTTTGGAGCCAAGTTTTTTATTGTGTATAATGAACTTATTTTTGCTAGTTTGGGTTTTAAGTTCTCATTTGCCTTCATCCACAATAGCAAGCTAATGAAATAGAAACTCGCATGTTTTAGGCTGTTTGCATACAGTTTCCATTTAAGGCTTATTATCAGGTATTTTGCCAGTCAACATAATATATGTAGACAATATTTTGTTATGGTTGTTGAAAATTCATAGCACGATCAATGGCTGATGGAAATGTTTTAAAACTAGGCTAAGTTCAGGAATTGAAAAGATGAAAGATCAGCACATGGTAGCAGCACAAATGAAATAGATCTTCTGTTTTTGCTGCCCCTCATCAATGTGTGAGTAATTTTTCTTGAATTTGGTTATATATGTTCCTGTCAATCTGAAGTGAAGCTGTATTGTGCCACTTCAGTCTTGAGGGGAAGCAGCAGAGTTACTCCAATGACGACTAAGCAAACCTCTGAGTTGCCATGTGATTGTGCCACCAGATGCTCTTTGTTTGGTTTGGCAGAGAGCTTTGTTTCTGATTATCCCTCAGTCGTCTTCAGCTGCTGCTCTCCGACGCTGCTGAGACAAGAGCGCAATGAGGCCTCAGTGGCTGAAGCCAAAGGAAACCCCAAATGATACAAAGACCGTTGATAATATTAATGAAACCAATAACCATAACGAGTCCTTGAACTGCTTTACAGAGTTCTAAATCAGTTCTTTGCATTTGCGAAAACTCGACTATTGTACTGATTTCTTTATTGAATTGTCAACATTAGCTCACACACACTTTTTACCCCGTAGATTTATAATTAGGAGGGAAGAGGTGATTATTAAGTCCAAGAATGACAAGTTTTCTCTGTCCTTTTGAGAGAATGCTTTTGACAGAAGTCACCTTGGAGAGAACACTCCTCTAAACACCAGGTCTGTGCAGAAAGAACCCGTACTGTGCTTTCTGGATGAGATCCACTACTTTCAACACAGCCATTGTTTGATGCATCCACCCATCGCATATTCATTCACGGGATCTTTGTTTGCTCTCTTCCGATGCCTGTTTTTATTTAAATGAACAATTGTCTCATATCTCTCCAGTGTGTATTCATGAGGCATCAGTAAACAACTAGTTAGCTTAGCATGTAGCCTGGAAACAGGAGGAAGCTGCCAGCCCAAATGTTCTACTATTGCTGACTTCTCTGCTACTACTCTCCACAAATGGCTTCGTTCCCAGCCTGTTGTGTAAAGAAGCTGTAACTGTCTCTGTTTTCTCCCTCCCCCCCAACTAGGCTTCCCCTTGGACATGTTGCGCTGTGAGAGCCTGCTGGGTCTGGACCAGGCCACATGCAGCCGTGTCCTCAACAAGAACTACAAGCTGCTGGTCTCCATGGCGCCGCTGAGCAACGAGATCAGGCCCATCAGCAGCTGTACGCCTCAGGTATTACTCCTGGAGGGAGGGGGAGCCGACGGGGGGGACTGCGTCACTTTGGATCAAATGTTGAATGACTTTGAGTTGTGAGTTTGTGTTTTACTCGACAGTTTGTGTGCTTGTGTGTGTGTGTGTGTGTGTTTGCCCTCTTATTGTGTGTGTACACACTTGTTTCCCGGAGTTGTGTGTGTGTGTGTGTGTGTGTGTGTGTGTGTGTGCGCGCGCTTTGTGAGCACTCAGCCTGCAGTTGCCCCCAACAACAAAGCTACACAAAGAGGAAGGGAGGAAAGGCTCATGGGTAATTATTCTGCCTGGCCACACTCCAGCTTTCTAGCTGAGCTCAGAGAGACTGCGGGGAAGAAAGTTAAACTCTTGTTGTGGCATTCATGCTGCTGTTTATTCTCACACTGGTGGGACTCGGTGAAGTGGAACTCAGTAAAAACTTTTCTGTTTCAATTTCTGCTCCTCCAACTCAAGAACAACACCTACACAACTATAATTGGTGCTCTCAGTAGAATGCAGGACACCATCAGGTGTGTCTGCTACACCCAGTGCTGCGCTGTGTGATTGAATGTTGGGCAAACCCCACGTTTGGACGGACGCGGACTGTCAGTTGTTGTGTCACAGACACCACGAGAGCTCCTAATTCACTGGCCACCCAAAATATTATGCATTTTGCTCTGTGGACGTATGCATAAGTGCACACTCACTCACGCACACACCTCTTGGTGGTGATAATTATTCTCCTTTTTTTTTGTTCATGTAAGAAATGACACGACATGTAAAGGTACGTCTGAGGATGTATGAATGTGACCATCAGTTCCTGCACACTCAGAAACATTTACATGTTTCTTTCCTGCTGCAGCACATTGGCCCGGCTATCCCGGAGGTGAGCTCCATCTGGTTCAAGCTATACCTGTACCATGTGACCGGCCAAGGCCCGCCCTCTCTGCTGCTCTCCAAAGGCTCCAGGCTCCGCAAACTGCCGGACACATTTCAGGTGAGCCCAGACTGGTAAATAATCAGACAGGCAGAACGATCGTGAGCCCTACATGCGATGAGGACAACTAAATATTGAGCCTGATATCATTTTAAAAATGTATTTCTTCTTCTTTGTGTTTTATTTAATTTAAATTTGCCATTATACAGAAGATTGAAGTAGCTCAAAAAACATAAGAATATTAGGGACTCGTATTCAAAAAGACAGAGCGAAGCATTTCAACTATCGAGAAACGAGAAGTAAAGAAAAAGAAACCTATTCTTCTTTGATTCCTGCCCTTTTAAATTGTGAACTTGCCATTTCAGTTGGTAATCAGAGCACCGAAGGTTAAAATCACTGCAGTCCTCTTTCCTCCCGGTTAACCTTCATTTCTTAACAAAGCACCTCGCACATCACTGTCACATTCAAACCAAACCCTGCAGCTGTATTTCCCCCCCCCAAGGCTTTCTGACGGTCTTGGTGTTTTTTTAACTATCCTGGGAATTGTCGACAGGGAACAAAAGAGAATTTGATGAAGTGGATTGTCAGGGGAGTAATAATAATATGCAGATTGTTCATGTTCCATTTGAACATAGCAGCATGTTTTTTTCTTCTTCAAGGTGAACTTAACTGCAATTTACACTTATTTAATTTTTGTCGTTATGTAAGTAGACTGTATGGATATACATTGAGAAACTTGTAGAGGACAGAAAAGGTCTATTAAGTGTAAATAAAATATAAAATATTTTGTGAAAAGCCTTCTTGTCGTCATTAGTAATCACTCACCTCAGTGTGGTGAGTAATGAGCCGTTGTACTCCCATGATGCTGAACACCATCACACCCGAATCCAGATGGGTTCAGTGATTGGCAGCATATCTGTGACGCGTTTTTTCTCTCTATCCAGGTCTACGACAGGTTGTTGATCACCTCTTGGGGTCACGACCCCGGAGTGGTGCCTTCATCCAACGTGCTGACAATGCTGAACGATGCCCTCACTCACTCTGCTGTACTGATCCAGGTAGACGCACACATACGAGCTCCACTTTCACAGTATGGTTGTTGCCTTTTTTATGCTGGTTTGATTTAATTTCCACATTGCATCATATAATGTTCATGTAAATATGAATGTAATTTTATAGCACATTTGATAAACATTGTGCCAACCAAAGGGCTTTACGGACAACAAAAACATAGTATAACCAAGCCAAGATCAAGATATAATTTACAAGTAATGCAATAATGAATAAACAACCAGTATAAATTTAGTAGTAGCAATTTAGATTCAAAAGCCGAAGTCAAATGAGTAGAGCTTTGAATGACTCAGTGGAGGAGTCCAATCCTAGACGATCGGGTAGTTTGTTCTACTGACCGTAATGCTATGGATCTACTCTTATGTATGTACTGCATGTGTATTGTATGAATGTTTTCAATAATAACACTGTCTGTGTGTGTGTGTGTGTGTGTGTGTGTGTTACCCTCAGGGTCACGGTATGCACGGCCACGGAGAAAGTGTTCACATCCCTTTTCCTTTTAATGCAGAAGATCTGAAAGGAGGTGAGTTAATATACGGAGGTGAAGCTTTAAGGTCACATAGTGACAGTCTGAATCTTTTGCCAATTCCAGATCCAATCCATGTAATGCAGTGCAAGACTTATGTGTGTTTTTCCGTCGAGCTCTGCTCCTTTATTGATAATGGCTTAAATCTGTTTTTAGCTTTCAGGGTTTTAACATAATAATAATTTGAATCCTCTAAAATCCCTCCTCTTATGAATCTGTGTGTAGAGGCCTAACATTAAAGCTATAATATTTTTTCTATCACAAACATTTATTTTGTGAATTTAAATATCACAAATATCAATAACCGTATGAATGGAATCCTTTCAGTTTGAGTGCTGACCTTTTTAAGCTTAAATCCAATTGCTTGTGTTGTCTCTCCTTCCTGTGCAGAGTTCTCCTACTCCAACATGTGTGTGCACAAGGCGCTGCAGAAGCTGAAAGAGAACGTGGACCTGGAGCACCAGTGTGGCTACATCACCATGCTCAATGCCAACAACAGGCACCGCCGCAGGGCCAGCGACAGTGCTGAGTGCAGAGGTGGGCCAGCGTTTTTATCCATGTGCAGATGTTTGCAAGTCAGAGACAATATGTGCACCTAGTAGCTTAGGTCTTTGCCTGTGATAATTAGATCCAGTTTGATTATTCTGTTTGTCTGCATAATTGGGTTCCTTACTGTGATAGCCTTTGCTAATGGAACATTAGCATTTCTAATTCACAGACGTGACATATTTATTATGCCAAAATCAATTATTTCCAAAGTTATGCATTTAACCCAAAGGCTTTAAACCTGCGATCTCGATGTGAATCAACCTTTCCGTGCCTTAATGCTGATGGAGATGTGTTGCTCTTCAAGGGGACACGCATCTAGGTGGAGGCCTGGACAACCACGGCAGCACCGAGTCATTTGAGCTTGTGACGGATGAAAACAACGGGGAAATCAAAGGAAAGACGGACCGTAGGTCAACTTTAGGGTTAACGAAGGGAAAAATCACTTGGTGAATAGGGAAAAGTCATGATTAATTGTAAATAGGGGTTGTGTTTAACACCAATGAAAACTTTATAAAAACGCCTTTGCATTGACCTTGATTCTTACCTTGAGTAAATATGACATTTTGTGTCATATTTTTTTCAATTTTTTTCCAATGTCTTGGAACTGGGAGAGACTAAAAAGACAATAATATTTGTCCCTTCTGTCCCTCCTCTCCATTGACCCTTCTGTCCCTCCTCTCCATTGACAATGTACTTCTTTCAGCCTTTTCATCTGAAGATGAGTGGGTCCCTCTTGAACTCTGCTTCGGCATGCCCCTCTTCAGCTCTGAGCTCAACCGCAAAGTGTGTCAAAAAATCGCCTCACACAAACTGTGCAGCAACGAAAGGTACAAACCTGGAAACACAGAGTCCTCAAGGATTTTACTTTTCACTAAAAGAGTGACAGAGCTGTAAAAATATGTGAGCTGGACTGGAGCTTTGTTGTCGTTTCAGCCTTCAAGAGCTGCTGCACTCGAGCCGAAAGCTATCGCTGAAGGTGTTGAGCTTCGTCCAGTCATTCCAGGTAAAAACAACTCTACACTTTCACTACAAATTCAGTCAGTAAAATGTAATCAATTTAGCAAATTATCTGATTTAATAAATAATGAATATGTCTAAATGAAATTTTGGTTTAATCAGGTTTTAAAATAAATAATATCCACTACAATATTTTGAGAAGGAAGAGAGCGGGATATTTCAAATATAAAATGCAATGCATGGTAAAAAGAACTCAAGTACATTTTTTGATATAGCTTAAAAGACAAAACAAGAAAGAAACCGCTCAATGTAATAGAGGCGATATGTGGAGTTATTTGTTTTTTTTCATTTGCAACGCAAACATTCCTTGTGTAACTGAGCCTTTTATGTCTAATCATATTTTGGAGGTCAAAGGTCACTGTGACCTCACAGAACATTTCTTGGGACCATATCTGAAGAAAATAATTGGGTGCTTTCTAAAAGGGTACATTCAGATCTGATGAGATTTTGGTCAAACATGGATGAAAAACTATGGATGTAAACATGGAGGCACACGACTGTGACGCGGTAATTCTACCTTGATCCACGTCCCAATCCCACATATCATCCCCTCTCCCTGGTGTTCTGATGTGTGGCCTTCGCCCCGTGTTGGCAGGACGGCATGCAGCCCTCCGACCTGGACAGCGGCGTGTCGAACCCTCTCAGCCAGCCCCCAGCGGAGTCCGGTGTGCCCCTGCCCGCCCTCAACCTCATCTTCAAGGACGGGCAGCTGAAGGAGTGGAGCGGACGGGCCCCTCCTCCCCTGGACATCACAGCTCTGCAGAAGGACCAACACACATAAGCCACCCACCCCTCAATTATTCCAGATTCAGGTCACTAGTAAAAAACAACAACTAATTGATCAAAAAACACCATCCCTCGCACTGAGGAAACGATGCTATTTGAGTTCCAACCCAGCATCTTGTGTATCAGTATCCAGTCATGGGAACATGCACTTCATCCCCCCTTACTGTATGAGGAACACTATTTCAAATCCCCTCCGATTCCTCATATTTGTAGCAGGGCAGTGTTATCCGACGGTGTGGTGCTATTATCACAGTATACATCCGTGATGCAGGTAAACGGCATACGGCCCGGAGGACCATTTGACTGCAGACTCCACTGCCCCCTCCTGACCCCCCCCCCAAAAGCTTACTCTTCAATCAATGGATGTTTTTTGAGGGCGGATTGTTAAGTGGATAATAATTGTATAGATGTTCTCAAAATGACCCACAAAATAAACAAAGTGTTGAACAGACATTTTCAGGTATTTCGACTATATGCATATTCCAAGATGAAGTTCTTGGACTTATCAGTCAGAGTCTATATACAGACCCGCCCCCCCCCTACTCCCCCTCTCCCCTTGTGGTTCCACGTTAAGTGATCTAATGCATGATACTGTTGCACTACTCATACCATAAAAGAATCCTTTTGTCTTTACTTGTAATCAATATTGGGGCATTTATTATTTGCACTGTGCAGGATTTGTCCAAACCTTTGGATGAAGTAATGTCATGTCATTTTCTTTCTTTTTTTTAAACTGGATCCTTTGCAGTACGCTTATGGTTTTACCACAAAGAAGTGTTTCCTCTTTGAAATTGACAGGGCGTTTGTGGAATTGCATCTTTTTTTTTTATTTTATTCCTATAATTTCTCAGTACAAGAGAACACCAAAGACCATTTTCTTTTCCTATATGATACTTTTTTAAATCTTCAGTTTTCTTTTATTCTGCTGCCTTATCAATCAAAAACAACCATGTCTTTGCTTGTGTTCAGTTCTTTCTTCCTCTTTTAAATTTTTTACAAATGATACATTTTGATTTAAATGATTTTCTATATATCCAATAATCAACATTATTTGGCCGCAAACTACCAACCATCACTATTGTGAAGAATTTGACAAGTAACTAATTGCACAGAACGGGAACAGTCGGGTCTGTGTTTGACCCAGTCGTGGTGCCACGGTTTGCTGCCAGTATTCCTCCCTGGATCCACTCCAGGTCTTTGTGCAGGGCCGTGCCGGGCGCTGTTGGCCAGCTCTCTATACTCCAAAGGATTCTGCTTACACCACGTTTAAAAAAAAAAAAAAAAAAACAGGGTTTGTAGTCTAGAGAGAAGGCGACTTCGCTGTGAAGGCCTCGACCCGCGGGATGGAAATGCTCTGCTCAGCCTGTCAGAGACGTCGAGGCCCATAAAGTGTCGAAAATCTGACGGGAATTTCTAGTGTGGCTCCAATAATATAGAGTTCCTTTTTGTTGCCCCAGAACGCTGAGCTACTTTGTTTATGTCCTTTTTTTATTTAGTTTTTTATGTATTCAATATACTGCAGTTTTTGACCCATTTGTGGTTGCTGTTTCTAATAATGTGATGCTGACACAAAAAAAAGAGACACGGTCCCGTTGAAGCATGATGACTGTGTATAAACTGTTGTGCGTATGTTGTGTATGCGTGTGTGTTGTACACCTGACTCTTTCACAATAAGTGAACCCGACCTTCCTGTCCGTTATCTAGATGCAGATCCTGAGCATCTCACGTATCTCCCATCCTCCCCGAGCTATATACATCCACCAGTGTTTAAAAAACAAATGCTAGTTTCATATGTCAGCCTATATTTTAGCAAATCTTTGTTGTAGCTTGTTTAATGGGACTGTGAATACCAATGATTGAGTTAATAATAATAATAATGATGCTCTTGTAATTAAATGGATTTAAAAAAGAAACGAAAGTGACATTCCTTCAATATGCCTTTCCGCCATCCCTGCGCCATTTATCCTCTGCTCCAAATACATGTTATTGATACAAATACATATGTAAAAAGTATGAAAATATGAATAAATATGTAATAGGAACAAGCACTTTTTTCTTCCTTTTTTTCTTTCCACATCTGTACTTTGACTTGATTTCTACTACGAAATGTAACCAATAACACAATATGAAGTCAGACTGTAGATGTTTGGCTCGCCAGGTGGAACAGATGGCCTGCAAGATGCAGCGGCCCGGATGCTCCGTCCATCTGCCTGAAGTGCGCACTTGCTCACCCGTCCTTAGCTAGAAAACAATGTATTTTATGTGCGTGGGGAACCTTTTGAAAAGCTATGAAAAACATGGTGAGGGTACCACCGGACAGGTGCAGCCCCTCGTCTCCCAGGCCTCCCAGCTCCAGTAATTTCCCAGCAGCACAAATTACAGCGTGTCACCAGGGGCGTAAACTGGGTCATCCCACCTGAGGATAAGACGCTCCGAGAAGCGGCCAAATAGGCTGCTCGTCACCACTCGAGCCGTTATTTCCTAACAGACTGCTGCTTTGGAAAGGTGCAACTCATCGGCTAAAGTATTGGCCTGTGGAACAAAAACCTCCTGTCCTGTATCGTCTCATCTCTTAAATGTGGACGTACAGCATCTTAAAATGTCCCTTTGAATTGCGCTGTATCATAATGAGATCAGTTTGTGATGCTATATCTTAGAACTCGCGTTAAACATTCAGGTCATTGTGTTACTCCGGTTCATCCTGAAGGGTTTACAAATGTCTCTTAACAGTACTCAATGTAAAGCCCTCAAAAGCCACACACGATATATGTACATGAATATCTGTAAAAGATGTACAAACGTGCCGATAAGAGACTTGTGGATAGGTTCAAAAGGTGTGTGCTGGTGGTCCTACGGGGGGACATTGTGATAATCGGGGGGATTCAGTCCCCGAAGGTTGTGGATGAGAACAATCCAATCCAACGCTTGTGGAGCATCAGACGGACCTCGACACGACGCCACGCTGCTTTTGTGGCTACAAATGTACAGTGGTGCGTAAAATGGTTCGATCTTGACGTCGAAACCTGCTTTACGATATCTGATTTCAACCCTGCGACTCAGGTGGAATTACTAACAAGGGAAAACATTCAATCTGGATTAGTCCGAGTTGGAAATCACACAGCGTGATTCCCGAGCAGCTTGAAAAAAAAGCTCAGTCACTTAATTAACGTGATAGTCTGAAGAACGGCTGCTCAAAAGCCCGCGTGCTAATCTTATGAGTCCACTGTGGCCACTGAGGCCATTCTGCCTGTTTAAACCAGATGAATGGATTACAAGGAACGCTGTTTTCTGTGGAGACAAACTCCCGTCGTCCTTCATATCTATTGCACTGCATAGCGGCTTATAAACGTTCCCTCCAGTCGGGACTTAACTGTTGGGGTCAAACTCAGGTTCATCTGCTCCGGTAAAGTTTGTGCCTCTGTTTGTCGATCTGTTTCTATTTACAGCCTCTCAAACATCACCTCAGCATCTCTCCCAGGCTCTCGCTCACAGCCATATTATTGCCAAGGTGGTGTTTTTAAACGCCGAGGCTCCTGCGGCGTTTGCCATTTCGGGGGCATATTGAGCACATCTTCCTCGGCTGTGGGATACAGCGAAAATAGCTCATAACTCTGAGTGAGTCGAGGCCACCAGCCACTACAAACATAATGACAACATCATTTTCCCACCAGGAGATGGAAAAGGAGCAAACAAGCTTCATCTTCACTTCATTCAAGGTGGTTAAAGAAGGAAATACTGTATGATAAGATATGAATAATGTGGTCCTCGTTGTGAATGGTTGTAATTTTTGATATAACCACATTCATTAAAGCCAGGTTCAGGTTTGCCTACTTTTTATGATCACAGAATAATATAATACAGAAAAAGCATTTTGCTATATGTTATTTATTGCAGTATTAAAATGGCTGCATTGAAGCACGTCACAGTGTTCTAAGCGTTGTTGTTTCAAATAGAGTAACAGTACCGTGTTGTACAGGTACCCTGAATAACTCATCATACCCTGAAATAAACTACAGCGACTTGCTTTCCATTTGTTGCCCGCGTTCTGCGGTCACATCACGTGCACGTGGCTGCGTCTCTCCTCGTAGTGCAGATATCGAGTTTGTCTTAAAAGCCAAACAGAACACGTGTTAACGTGTCTACATACGAGGCGCCGCGTCCATACCAGCATGCGGAGGAGCCGGATATTAAAAGGCACAGTGAGAACAAGTACGCGCACTTCCGCTTCTACAGCGCAGCTGTGAGTTTAAGAGGCGACGCCGCGTCCTCAGAGCCGCTTTCAGTTCAGCGGCGGCCGGATCTCTAATGTGCGCGCAGCGTCACCGCAAGGGACCGGTTCATCGGCGGTGTGGACCGAGGTGCTAGCGTCCCGGGGGGGGTGTCTGGAGTCGAACCCTCGTCGGCTTTCTATGCGGCACACGGCGGACGGAACTTTACGCGGGGCGAACAGCAGGTGAGTCGACCTGGCGGATCTCGTTTCCTCCCCAGCTCCACCTGTTGATGCGGCGTTAACGGGCTCCCCCCTTCCTCCAGCCGCCACACCGCGGAGAAACACTCATGCGTAATTTGGACAAAACCCTGTCCCAGGGCAGGGCCAATTAAGTTTGTTGTTATTGTTGTTGTTGTTGTTGTTTTTTTACGTCAGGTGACCGGGTGGCATCTCACGGCGTCCGATCGGATGCGCGGATCGGCATGGGGAACCAGATTGACAAGCTGTCGCATTTAAATTACCCCTAAGTTCCCCCGGTGGACCCGAACGGCGCGGACGCGGAGGACGCTCCGCGGCTCGGCGTCTCTTACATATTCTCTAACGACGACGACGACGACGACCACCACCACCACCCGGAGGACGGATGCGCGATCGACGGCACGGCGAAGGATCCGAATCCGGAAGAGAAGCGCTACAACCAGCGCGACGAGGTGGAGTGCGCCGTCTACCACCGGGACGAGTGCATCTACGAGCGCGGCGCCGGGCGCGCCGGCCGGGAGGTCTCCTCCCCCGAGAACCTGCTGAACAAGTGCAAAGCGGGGGACCTGGTGGAGTTCGTGGCCACCGCTCAGCTGCCGCACTGGGCCGTGTACGTGGGGGACTTTCAGGTGGTGCACCTCCACAGGGCCGAGGTGAAAAACGGCTTTCTGACAGACGCCGGCCAGGGGAGGAGGTGCAGGATCGTGAACGACCTGTACAGGTGGAGAGCTCTCGCCCCGGACATGGTGGTGCAGAACGCGATGGAGCAAGTGGGCTTGAAGGACCGGGGGCTGAGCTGGAGGAACTCCGAGTGCTTCGCCGCCTGGTGCAGGTTCGGGCAAGAGGGAGTTGAAAACGGGGGGGGAGATCCGCATCGGCAAACAGCCCTACAGGTTGAAAGTAGCGCTGTCCGACAAGCAGTCGCACGTTTTGGAGTTTCAGAGCTTGGAGGGACGCGATCATGGAGAAGAGGAGGAACGATCAGCTGGGCAGGGGCGGCGTGCTGCAGAGCTGGCCACTCACTTCAGCAGCGTGGGGAAGATAACAAGTGACTAATGAGGAGGAGGAGGAGGAGGAGGAGGAGGAGGAGGAGGCTTCTTCCTCCTCCTTTGCGATGCTTTTCATAACAACATGCTATACAAGTAGAGTAGCCTTTTACTAAACATTAATCTATAGCAAGCCTTCACATTAGTTGGAGCACACGTGTCATCATTTACTCAGATATTGTCATTTTATATGTTTTTCATATGCGAGTGAAACAATTTGAATGCCTTAAAGCCCCCAGACTCTTAATGGCCTTAGAAATGTCACTTTTGTGGGGTCAATGGAGTGAATTGAATAGGTCTGCTTGTTTAGTGACGCTCTGGCAGCCCTTCCACACGGGATGTGTAGCTTTACATATGAAACTGTCTCTGTCCTGTAAGTAGAGTGAATGTTTCTCTAGCGGTGAACTCTGTTACTTGATCCTCGTGTGGTTTCGTCTCTCAGCTCGCTCAGACAGAAATGTGTCAGAGCTGCTCGACTGAAGGATTCTTTCTGCCTTTTTAAAAAAAGAAAAAAATTCTCCTCCCAGCACCGTTTTGTATGGAATGTCGTGGAGCTGGTCATGTGTTACACGGATCAATGTCTTAACTGTACCAGAAGTTCAAGTAAACCACGATCCCCTCTCCCTTATCAAAAGGACTCTTCTCTCGTGTTGTTTCGCCTCCAGGATGTTCGCTACAGACTGTCAGCCGTGCGTTTTTTAAGATGATCAGTGTGCCCTTAATTCATCTCGTCTTGGAAATTGGTCTAATTTGCTGGGTTTTAAAAGCAACTTGTTTAAATATTAATTAATTAATGAATTATTAAGATGAGTGCTGGGAATGTAATGAAATCAAACCAAAGCTATTTGCCACTATCAGGGCATTAATGTTTTATGTATTTTGTTATAGAAAAACTAGTTACCGTCACTGATCATAACATTATAACGGGCAAGTTGACATTTATAAATCTGTTTTCTTTATTTCTGAATAAGCACCATAAGCAGCAGCTCAGTCTATTAATAATCTATCCGTCAATATTGTCCCTGTTAAGAGGCAAAGTGGTGGAGCACAATGATTGTGTATCAGAACCAGTGAGCAACAGTCAAAATAATAATGTTTTTTTAAAACATTTTTATAAACTGCATTAATGTGCATTGAAACAAGTGTCGGCATTAACAGATTAATGCATGAACGTCCCGATAACGCGTTAATGTGCCCAACGCTAACTGAGACCAGCGTTAAGTGAACTGGGTTAAATCAGGTCACCACTGTAAGAATAATGCGACCGGCAGAGTGTAAACCAGACTACAGGAGCACCGGCCTTCTGCCTGTTCCTCAGGTGAAACATAAGCAACCACTGATTTTGTTCTCTGGCAAAGTTCTGGAAAAAACAATAAATCATCCGAGCTCACACTATGTGAGGATCTGCTTTATATATTTGTTAACTCGATGTTTTATGAGTTTTTGACGTCCAGGCAAAACAAGGATTTCAGATTCAACACCTTGGACTAGGAAGCTTTTATTTAATGACATTGCAGGAAATAAACCATCACAAAACACTTCCATCCGATCAATTGACACTGAGAGCAATTGGTTTCTCTGTTAGGGGGATCGATTGCAACGATTCCGGCGGCCTGACGGCCAACAAACGTTAATAAATTCATAGATGGGGGGCCTAAAGCAACAATCCTCAAGGGACCCAGCATTGCTTGCTGCCGTGCACCAAAGACTCAGGACTGGACAAAATGAAGCATTAAAGTAACGAGTGATAATAAGAATAATAACCTGAAGAGCACAGGGGAACATGATGAAACACCATTGCATCAATGGAAAGAGGGCTCACTATGACTCATGACAGCAGTGTTTAGTTATTGTGGTAGAAGCTTTATACTCTCTGCAGCTGACCAACATCGATTCTCTTGATTCTTATGTTGTTTTTATTTTTACGTATTCATTAATTCTAATAGTTCATTGTCTTAAACGTAACTCTCTAGGCTAAAATTAGTTTCCAACTTATGTTAGTTCATTCAAAATGCTTGAAATAAAATCATACGAATGTTTTAGGCATTTTATTTTTAAATATTACAGTTTCTAAGTCAGAAATGTCTGCATTATTGCACTAAATTGCTCCATAAAGTAACCATATGAGGAAGCCGTAAACCCACAGCTCCTCCAGCAGCCCGAACTCCACTTTCAAATATGTCGGACGATTGAACTTGACATAATCTATCGATCTATTCGATGGTCTGTCAAATCTCTAAATGGACGTCCATAATGACCACAGCGATAGATTGAACTTCAATGGAACATTAGTGGTAATTATCTGTCTACTTTAGCCCCCACGCGGCGCGTTTTCCAAGCAGCCGCTTCCTGGCAGTGCTGGAATGAAATCAGGACGGGTTAAACCCTCCTTAGGGTCTCGTCAAGTAATTTACCAAAACCGGAGTGCATCTGTGCAGATGTTACTGCTTTGGCTGCAAAGAAGTTTCACCATCTCGTGTGTCAAAAGCCACCCGGTATTTGAGCTTTGCGCTGCAGGAGCTGCTTCTTGGGGTGTTTGCATTGAGGAGGCGAGGTTGTCCACGTTGTTGTTGGGTGCTGTTTGTGTTTTATTTGTAGTTTCCAGATACACTGATGCAGTTTTTTCGTTGTTGTTGTTTGCGCCCCTTTGAAATTGATAGTGTTGTCCACTCGGTACGCATTGTGTCTTCCAGTGTGAACATCAGCGGTTTTCTTTCTCGAGCTGTTCCTCTTTAAGGTCTGAAGACGTGAAAGTATTTGACCACAGGGGACACGCAGATTTAAATGAACATTATTTTGTTCTTTAATTTCATGCCAACACCCAGCAGGGGTTTCAGTCTTTTTCCAACGGAAAACAGAAAGAATTGTCGGTGTCTTTGACTTTCAACCTCACGTGTGTTGCTGCACTTGAATAAAGAGAAATTTAGCAAGATGTTTAACAACTTTATAGAATGGGTATAAATATATTACCTACCTGTTTTTTCTCTTGCCTGCAATGAATATTTCTATAATAATAATAATAACATATTCAATAACTTATAACCCCTAAATTATTCATCGCAAAGGGTTTTTCTTCTTTACACAAACCCTTCCTCCTGTAGAACAATCTTCTCTCCCGGTGAAGCAGCATTGACTCCGTCCCCGTCCATTCTTCTTGATGGGACGTGAAAGCTTCTTACAGGGTGGAGGCGACCCAATTATAATCAACTGTGGCCTACAGGTACCTCCGGCAGCCTGCCGCCGCTGTACTTGGTTTATACCCATAGGATGCTGATGAACTGATGAGATCAGATGATAAGAGAGCGAGAAACCAGCAGCCACTAGCAGAAATACTAGAGAGGGTTTGCTTTGCACGTGAGAGGTATCCGGGGGAGGAGGAACGGAAAGAAGCATTTGACTAAACCTTGTTTCTTCTCTCTCTCAGAGACCAACTGTTTATGCCTCCACGCATATTGTTTACGCACATAAGTGGACGCACACCAGCAGCCAAGACCCATAAGCTTAAAAGCCTGTTCTGAGAGGCAAACGTTGAGGTGCTCCATTTTCTTCATTTGCACCACAGGGGTGATAACGCCCGGGGGGGTCAAAAGGAAATACTCTTTCACAAACAAAAGACTGGGCAGACCATTACAGACCAAAACTAAAGGTTCACTTTTTCAGCTCTGGGTTTTCTGTGTGGATTTAGATAATTTGGTCACTGGTGCTCCTCTTCCATCTGTAAGATGTCAGGATTTCTCCCGTTATCAATATTATTATGATCAGCCAGGCTAAGCTAGTTTCACGTGTACAGGTGTGAAGGTGGTATGGATGTTCTTATCTGAATCGTGGCCAGATTACTACTCCTTTAACGATCCAAAGAAAATCTCAAGAGAGTTGTAACATTGTAATATTCCAAAATAAAATCTCGCTATAAAATGCTCGTTATAACAAAACTACTTCCCAGTGCATTTCATAAGAAGTAAAAAGTAAACGATAAAAATCAGTAGGTAGAGAAATGAGTGTGTCTAAAAAGAGACAAATGATTGCAATACAAACACAAACTTGTACATCTATGCCAAAATAAACCACGGCCCAATTCAGAGTGCAACACGTCGGCCCAGTCGGGGGTTTCCTATTAATCAAGTGTTGATAAGGTCATTAAAACGTTTGAAGATCACGCAGGCCTTTAAATATTTTAGGATTCAAGTCCCACTCCCTGTGTGGCCTGACCTGCCGGGACTACAGACGGGAAACTTTCTGTGTTGACACCTGCCATGTTGGGAGTGAGTAACAGCAGCAGAGCCTCAGGATTCATGCCAGGCCAAAAAAACAATGCCCCGAAGACAACTGTAGTACCGAGACGTCAAAATTGTCCTGGTAGGTCGATACAAAACATTTTTTTAAAGGATGAATGACTGAACTGTTTAATTCTTTTTGTATTAGTGCAAGTAAACCTTGAAATGCAGAGGAAAGAGCCGCTGTGGCCGCGTGCAGCAGTACAAGTTAAACGCGTAACAAATGGAGAGACGTTGTCTGTTTGACACCAATATTTTATCTAAAGTTTGCCCCTGTTAGCTGATGCGGGTCCTACCAGAGCAGTGGCGTTGCTCATGAATTCAGAGGAAGATTGCTTTTGTTTTTCTTTCAAATAATTGCACAGACTTGCTTGAAAAGGCGCCTGAAGCCGTGCTCTTTTATTCCAGGTCCTGAGCGAGGTGGCACAGCCGGGCGGTTTTAGATGCCGAGGAGGCAGGTGGCTTCATTGTCGGCAAGGGGCTTTGTTTTGTCCCCCGCTGTTGTCCCGGTCCTTTCTATGGCAGCACCCGCTGGCAGTGGTCCCTTGAACTGGTCATTTTGAGATGACGGGGCTCAGTGTGTGCCGGGGGGGGTTTATTACCTGGTTTTAATGGGTCTCGGTTGGCTTCCAAGCAATTGGCTTAGTAAACGCAAGCAATTCCAGTGTGTTTACATGAAGCTCTGCCTAGAGGTCTGTAAGGTACGTCTTTGACCAACGGGGTCTGTGGTGTTGGACACATTTGCATCACATCATCAATGCTACGGATCCGTTGAAAGTTCCTCTGCTGAGCAAATCCAGAGCACATTTACATGTTGTACCACTACAAGCTTTTCTCTGCAGGGTTAAACTGCTAAATTAGTGAACAAAAGAGCAGAGGGTGCGCGTTACAGAACCGCGCATATTGCTTCTTATCGGCCGGCTGTTTGTTGACACAGCTGTGTATGCAGGCAGCGGTCACCTGTAGAAAGGGCAGGACACCACAACATGTAACTCTTAGGCGTGAACGAGTCCCCTAGTGTGAGATGACGCCTCCCCTCCCGGGCCGACAGCTGAGGGCGCGCTTCAACTGGCACGAGCCATCTGCCTGGAGACCTGCGGAACAAGGTGTCGCTGCACAATGTGAGTCACTGTTGCCTTCATTGTCCAACTTTAGCGCGACACCAATCGATCCCTCTCGGAAGCTGTTGTTTTTTTGGTCATTTTTAGGAGACGATCCAAGAGCCACGGCTGACGGTGTGTATAGGAAGAGGAATTTAAGGTTTGATATTCACGCAGAACGTGTGTGTCCCCAGTGACTTAATCAGCTGCAGGAGCTATCAGCCGAGTTTCTGTCCACAGAGTAAAGCGCTTCGCCTCACGCGTCTCTTCAGAGAGGCCATTTGCTCAGATTGAGGGCCGGGACACTGAGCTTTCTCTGCTCATCATCCCACAGGCGGTTGGAGGGGCCGCGCCTCCGGCGTGTCCGCACGGTTGTGCAGAGGGTTGAATGCAGGGAGCCCGGCCAGCGTGTTACATTACGCATTATCAGTATTCATGAAATTGAACCCGTGGCGGATAAACCCCCTCTGTCCTCCTTGATCCGTTCACATCTGGGGAGCGCGTTAGGCCAAAGGAGCCTCCACGTACTAATTGCTTTACGTTTGCATAGATGTGCGGCTTCCCGACGGCAGGAGTGTGGTCAGGTAGGGTAGCAGCTGGCGGCATCACCCCTCTGGGGTTTGATAGTGAACTCTGGCCTCTATTGCGGCTCTATTTCTGTCTCTATGATGAAAGTAATGTATGACAAGTATGAAAATAAAAGTATTCTTTCCTTAAAAGCAGCTATAATCCTGACCTGCAGTTGCTGCCAGGCCATTTGGAAAATCTAACCTGGAAACGTAATAATCACAAGAAATACTATAAGGCAGTGTGCGAAACAGTATGTTGGTATCTATGCTTTATTTGATCAGTTCTGTGCTGATAACAATAGATGATTTTAATTGACTGTTTTTTACTTAGCTTTGTGTTGTTGTGGCTTAAATGAAATAACAATACAATCACAGTTAGTAACAATTGGGTTGTCAGTAGGAGTGTATTTTTAAATGTTGAAATATTAAATTAGCGGGTCGGAATTTGCTGCAAAACTGTTATTTTGACATAAGTGTTGTAAATGAAGTATTATAATTGGCGTTGCTGTTTACCAGTGGTGAGGTGCGCTGCTGCCCAGGTACGTTCATACTGTGTATTATTCACAACGTATTCACAGTGTGTGTCAAGCCAAGAATAATGATCGCACACCCACGAGGAGCATTTTCATCGCCCTGCCTGGTATGTCAGCCAAAGGAAAGGAAATTCCTTGATTACAATAATAACAAGGGCGCAGAAATGAAAAGATGGAGTCAGTTGCGTGGGGAGTGTAAAGCTCAGGAGCCTTTTCTGATTGAGGGTGTTTTAGCAGCATGTTTTTTATCAGAGAGCATGTTAATATCAGCGTCCCACAGTGGCAGAATTAGAAAAACACCAAGTATGCTCACAAATGCACTGACAAGTCTATGTAGTTTGTGCAGGTGTGTTTAGATGCTACATACTCACACACAAAGCAAAATGTTGCTTTGTTGATTTCGCTGTTTTGTTTCTAATGATTCTGTTTTTAACAACTTCACGTCCGATGCCCGTTATCGCAGGAAGCCGAATCCAGTCACAGCTCAGTGTGGGAAAGGTCACGACCTCGGGAGGCGGGTTGCGAACCCCATCGGTGAGGGAAAACGTCCGGGGCCGTGGGACGAGGTGCGTTCGAGGGGGGTTTGGTTCCACAGAGAGACGCGGGGGCATTCGCATGAGCCACCTGTCCCGTCCCGTCCTGCCTGAGGCTTTTGCTGGATACAATCTGAGGAGGGGGCTCCCGCCTCGGCCCAGCGACCTCTCCTTTCAGCGGCGGGCGCGTGTGTCAACCAAGAGACGGTCCTCATGTTTGCCGAGGTCAAAGCCATCCATCAAACCGGCGAGGCTCCCGGCCGGCCGGCTCCGCGCAGGCAGTTGGTAACGTCGCTCCGTTCTAGGAGAAGCTAAAGGAAAGTACCGTGTCCTCCGATGGCTGAAAAGCAAACGCGCTAAACGTGAAAAGACTCAAAGAGAGGCGACACTTTGCTGCAGATTATATAACCGCCACATACAAAAGGCCGTTATAGGCCAACCAAATTCCCTTGAAAAGGAATCTTTCCCACGATTTACCAACTGAGTGTTTAAAGGAAGGAGTTTTATTGCTGCTAACAATGAATATTTATGACTCAAGATGGTGGATTGAAATGTGACACATATGTGTCTTAGAAATCTTCCCTGGACATATTTCCGCAGCAGGCTGGAGATAACTTCATTAATTCTATGGTTGCCTGGATACAGACCTTAATAATTCCAGTGGGGCTTTATGAAAAGAAGACAAAGACGGGAAGGAGCAAGATATCTAAATTCTTCCTAAATCTCCTATTTTAACTCCGACAACTATCTTTTCTACTCTTGTCAGTTAGAAGAAAATATTATCAATTAATACTTAGAGTTTTATAAAATGTGGTTGAAAGCTGTTGCTCGCCCCATATCAATTAGTATTCTCTGCAGAAATGACAAAATGACAAAATATGACAATTTAAAAAGGCTGTCGACTTTTTGCGTTTGTTGCCT